ATCTCGGACCCATCCTCCAAGATTACAACTAGATCTTGAGGGTTGACTTCCACAACGCGAGAGTTGTAAACAATCTTGGCAGGATGGCCAGGCAAACCTGGATCGAGGCCTGTTGCTGCTCGTAGCAGAGCATCTTTGAGGTCCTGCCGATGGACCATCCACCACTCTGAACCGAAGCTTTCGAGACAGTCAATTCTTGATTCTTTAAGTAAGTTGCCGTTTTGGTCATAACTCCTGAAGCCATCTGACACAACAGCTTTCAAGGACTCTTTAGTAAGTCCAAGTCTGGCTGCCATTTTCGAGCCATTTGGACCTAGCCCAACAGCGGCACCGCTTTTCTGTAGCTTCTGGGCTGTTACGCTCGTATATGGTGACACCATGAGCCTCTCGCAAGACGCGTGCTGCGGCGAGTCCGGCTATGCCGCCGCCGATAATGGCAACTCGAAGTGTTATGGGGCCTGGCATCTTGATGTCCGGGCAGTCCGAGCTTGCCTCCAGGAGTTGAATACTCGAAACATGTTTCTATCAAAGGGAAAGCAATCAGAGGAAAGACTGTGTGATAATAGTCTAAGTTTTATCTCGACCGCGTCTTACTTTCATATTGACGAACGTGATGCATCACTCGGCTATGAGGATGGCCACAGCTTCTCTGAATCGGAACTAACACAAATAGCATATATCCCTGAGAGAATCATGACTCGACTCCCGCTTCTACCTCCCGGCATTGAGATAGACTTTTGTGTTATGCCCGTCGTTCTCGGACGGCAGGTGGGTTCAGCTAACACCCGGCTTTCGGAAACCGGAGTCCGGAAAACCTATTCGTAGATCTCAACTTTCCGTGCGACCAAAGATCTGTGACTGTGGTGGGGGGCTTGGTATTGCTCAAGTTTTGAGACTTGCTCCGTCGGATGTTGGCCTCCTTGCGAAAACGGAAAGCCGGCTTTCAGGTTCGATGAACTAGCTTGAGGAGAGATGTGTTTGATTTGACTCCACACGCTTAATCCAACCAGGAGCTACTCATTGGTGATTGATTTTTGCAATTTGTTAGGCACGATGAGTTGTGGGCAGCTCGGGGGTATCTTGATCATTTCCAGACTAAGTCATGTCGTCAATGAGTGATGACGAAAAGAGGCCGTCTTTTCCGATGTACTTAATGGGCAAAGGGAGTGATACCAGAGAAACTTGAATGTATTCCTTCGTCGACATTTAATTCATTGGGGCACACAATTATTGCCGCAAACTCGAGCCATGTTGTCAACTATATGGGCCTGGGCTCTCCTCTGCGGTGTTGCTGCTGTGCTCGCCTATCGCCGATCAGTCTCCAAGCTATCTGGAATCCCCTTGGTCGGATTCGAAGTGAAAGACCCGAAACAACGGAAAGGCCAATACACCTTCAATGCTCCCGGTATTGTGCAGAGAGGATATGAAAAGGTACGCAGCTTCATGCTTTGAGCTAATTATTCCGGACTAAATAAGTACATTAGTTCAAAGACAGAATATTTGGCGTAGATACCGCAGATGGTACGAGCAGTTTGCCACAACACTCCTCAAGTATGTGTGCTGACACCTTATGTCAGGTATCAAACTCGTCTTTCCGCATCAACATGTGGACGAGATCTCGAAAAAACCAGGGCTTAGCTTCCAGAATTCCCTTGACGAAGTAAGTTCAAGAGAGGGACTGAAAGCCAGATATGCCATGCTAAAGAGTCTAGGACTTACTGATTGACTACACGTACATGGGCGGGTTGAAGCAATTTGCACTGTCTACTTTCAAGCGGGAAATAACACCTCATCTTCGTCAGTATTCCCTTCAAGATTCTTCCTATGCAGTACTAATTTCGGCTTTTTCCAGCCATGTTCATTCCGGACTTCATTTCACTTATTGACGGTTATATCCCCAACGCGCTTGAAGTTCCCAAGTCTGAAGGTATGTCATGTATACATTCTATCCAATCAGCCTGATCGACTTGCAGGCTGCAGCCAAATTTGGCTAAATCTAATACCGATAGAATGGACTCCGGTCAACATCTATCCGAAAATGCTTCGTATGCTTGGCATACTTACGGCAAGAGTCATGATTGATAGCGACGCCCCTCACAACGAGACTTGGGTTACTCTCACCACCAAGTATCTACACGCAGGGGTAACACACGCGCATGCTTTGAAGTTCTGGCACCCGATGCTGAGGCCGCTCGTTCACCGATTCGTGCCAGGATACGCTGAGGTGCAGAGGCAACTCAACCTTGAGAGGTCGATAGTTGTCGACGCAATTCGCAAAGTAGAAGAGCGTGAGGAGAACGGAGTACCGGAGCCTCAACCGACGAGTGTGCTCTACCATATGTCTCGCAAAGCACCAGGCACTTCTTCCGCGGTCATCGACATGCATCTCAAGGAGCAACTGAATCTTGCTGTCGGGAGAATACACACCACTTCAGCCGTCCTCACTCAGACGCTATTTGAGCTTTCTGCGCATCCGACTTATGTCCCAGAGTTGAGAAAGGAAATCATTCACACTTTAGTCAAGTTTGATGGAGAATTTTCAAAAGCAGCTTTGTGGGACATGCACAAGTTGGACAGTTTCATTCGCGAGACTCACCGTTTGAGCTCGCCGAACTTGAGTACGTCAGCCATCAATCATGTGCCCTGAGTGTAGTTAACGATGTCAAAGCAACTCTGCAGAGACGGGTTACCCAGGATGTCACTCTTTCCGACGGCACCTTCATCCCTAGTGGAACGAAGCTCGAGTTTCCAACGTTCGCCATCCACCGTGATAGCGAATTCTTCGACAACGCTGCCGAGTTCGACGGCTTCACATTCTTGAAATTGCGCCAGGAAGATGACAAAGATGGCGGAAAGCATCACTACGTCAGCACTCGTAAGGATATGTTGGGCTGGGGGCTAGGCAAGACGGCATGTCCTGGCCGATTCCTGGCCGACATTGAGATCAAGCTGATCGTTGCATTCATCCTGATGAACTACGACATCAAGAACCCGGATGGCCAAGGCAGACATTCGCATGTCCGTTTCGAGAATCAGGTATGACATCTCATCTATCAAGGCCACACGGGCAAAGACTAAGATTCAGCAGGTTTTTCCTGATCCTGTCAACCCGGTCCTCATGAAGAGGATTCGGCGAGAGGATATCGATGAAAACGGGCATCTCAGAGAGTAGAACTTAAACATATCTGCCTTTGCCGGAGAGCAGAGCCCCAAATAATGGAATCAGAATCATCTGATTTCGATTCCAACGACCGTGAAGCAACTGATAGATGCCTTACTTCGTGTAAGCCCTTCATATGACTAGGCCCTACAATTGCTCGCGGTATTCTTATCACGGATCGATGTGCAGTTCCAACGGAGTTGCACTTGACATTATTCATGACAGTTTAGTCTTGAATCAGTGCAAGTGCGACATCCGCGGACTAGGCGTTATTATTGCAAATCCCACCGGAATCGGTTGCCGAACCCTACGTTTCCGAGAATCCCGTCGCCGTGGTCCACTCAGATCAGAACTATTTCGATGAATGACCGCTTCAATTAGCTGGAGATCTCCGTCCGAAGTCCGTCCGGGTGCTTGAGTGGTTGGTTTCAACTACTGACTTCCGGCCAGACTGCCCTACTCGTGCACCCATCCTTTCGCCATGATTTCGCCCGGTTCGCACCCCTTTCGGACACAATATTCCGAATTCGAAACAACTCCGTAGATTCATGGTCAGCACTGCTACAATACACTTGATTTGCTGCATGGCAGAGCATGGCCTATCAAATCGGGACGACTGACGATGCTGCGCCGAGGAATCGCGCCGTGAGTGGTCCCATCTTTCCGCTATGATTGAGAGAGTAATGGATACTGATCAAGGCCTAGTGTGACTTTTGCTTCGAAAAGAAGGTAAGCACTTGCTGGATTCGTAACAAAGTTTGCCATTCAGATTGCGTACTGATTGCTGGAAAGATCAAGTGTGATAGAGAGGATCCTTGTGCCAATTGTTTGGCGGCCACTGTGGACTGTTTGCGCAGACGGCCCAAGAGAACAATCAGACATGCAGCTTATGTGAGGCGAGTTTTGAATCTTCGCACGAGATACGAAGAGGTTCAATTTGATGGACGAATACACCAATTGACACATGAACATGGTGTAGACATAACCCATCTGAGACTACATCGACTTGGAGAAACCCTCCATTGTCAAGAATAACACCCCGCAACTCACAAACTACTCCTCGCCAAGTCTTGGAAGGCCACTCTGAAATTCACCAAGAACGCTCAGAGCCAAGAATTGACGGCGAGGAAAATAAACCGGAGGGAGCTCCTGCTTCCCAGAACAGCAAGCAAAAGTCAACATGTTCTTCCACCACTGAAACCGGGCCAGCTGCTGCACAAGCTCATAGTCATATTGGATCGGAGTTGGAGTCACGCATGGGGCTAGATGCAGGAAAACGAGAAGTTCTCAGAGCAGCTTTAGCGTTTGCAAACCAGGCGTCTCAGCAACCAAGCGTTGGGGCATTTGAAGAGGACACTGGAGAATCTTTTGATGTCTTTAGCGAAACATCTTACCCGACAGCCGAGAGTCTTTATCTGATACTCTCTAGTAAGTAAGGCATTTGCATGTTCGCTGGGAAATAGTGCTGATGGAAAATAAAGTCCATGACAAAGTGTTGGCCAGGCTTTCACTATGGACATCGGGTCTGTCATTTCCGAAGAGATACTAGAACGTCAAGCTCTTGGACTGATTGAACAGTCTGTCAATGGTGCGGCACGTGTTCACTACATCGTGAACGTCAACTTCTTTGTCTGGATGTATTTGGGAGCTTCCAGCTTTCAAACCACAGGCTCTGTAATGGCACAGCATCTTATATTGAGACGACAGAAGTATGAGAAGAACTTACGGGCAGTCTTATGCCGCATAGGCGTTCTAGACCAGCCAAGCTTGCCACTGCTTCAAGCCCTGCTGTCCGGTGTAAGTAGAGCGCAACTCCCTCTGCTAACCATGCGATACTAAGACGTCTAGGCCATGTTTATGTTACTCTCGGGGAAATTGGAGATGTGCTGGCAGCTGAGTGCATCAGCATCGAGAATATGCATGGCCTTGGGTGGACCTCGCAGAATCAGCTCCCAGACCATGGCTATCCATGAGCTTCGAGAAACTCGGTATACTTTATCGATCTGCTACATGTTTGATAGAGCGCTTGCTCTGAGTATGAACCGCTGCCTCTCTCTGCCCAGGTTTGACATGAACCCCACGGAGCTGGTGCCCACTGATGCAGAAAAGCCATACACCTCACTCATTCAAGTCTTTTTACAGCTGGCTGAGGTTCAGTCAGATGTTGTACACCACGCGAAGACCAAGAAAACAATGGAAAATGTCGAAACTGTCCAAACATTACAAGGCAAGATGTGGAAGATTAAAGAAACAGTAAGAGAGGTAATTAGCCAAGACCATCAACTATGAGGGTAACTTTTGCTGACTCGGAATAGGGTCAAAAGCAGCCTTTGCATACCAAAGAAAAATGTCTTCAGGCGGAGTGGATGGGCGTTGATTTCGTCTATCATTCCGTTATGACATCTATCGTTAAGCTCCACCCGTATCTTCTGGATGATGCCGGTTTATATCAGCAATTGCTCGGCTACGCTCGTACGTCGCTTAGTTCTCTTTCAGAGATGTTGAGCCTCGCCAAAACCTTGGTAGACTTTCACTTATTTCGGGTTTCGGTGTCGTGGTGAGTATCTCTATTAAATTTCCTTCGCTTAAGTGCTGTGGCTAAACACTCATTGTGTAGGCTCATTTTGTTATATCCTGTTTATCCCTTCTTCGTCATCTTCACACACACCGTCAACACCTCGAGTCTTCAAGACTACCGCTTGATCACGCAGATTACAACAAGCCTCCAGGAGTTTGCTGGCCATAATCCAGCTTTGATGGGAGTCCAAAAGTTATTTGAGGAGTTCGTTAAACTTTGCACCCCTATCTTCGATAGGAACAAGTCAATTGATGCCACATCTCCGGCGCTCCCAGAAACAAGAGGTTCATCACCACATAGGACTGGGTCGCAATTACACCATAATAGGATGTCTCAAGGGCTTTCGGGTCCTCCTGAGATAGGGTCATTCACATCTTTGATACAGGACGCTCTATCCATCCCGGCAGCAGGGGATCATGTGGTCAGCGGAATCACATTTCCCGACTTGAGCACTCTGGAGGAGAACGAGTTACTAGCAGAGTTGTATAGCACACAGCCATCTATAGGGTGGATAGATGGCAATTGGTCTATACAGTAAACTTGAGACACAACTGTAAAGGCTAAGATCAATCAAGAAACATCCCTCCTGATACATTCAAACTGGTACCATTGATCCAGCTGGCTCTCTCTTCTGCCAGGAACGCAACAGCGAAAGCAACATCTTCAGATAATCCGATCCAATCATCTACCGGGGTCCTGGCATCGAAAATCTGCCTCAAAAAGGCGCCGCCCGTTCTCTGCAGTTCTCCAAGAAACTGTGGCGATTTGATGATACCAGGAGACACTGCGTTGACGGTACACCCGTAAGTTGGCGGTAGCTCTTTGGCTAGACAACGGGTCAGAGTCGCAATCGCACCCTTGCTAGTTGCTTATGCCAATTGTTGAACCTCAGGATCTGTCGATACAGCAGAAGTGATGTTGATTATCCTGCCGCCGCCACCCTCCGACTTGGTTGGGAGATGTGGCAATGCCGCCTGACACTCCAGGAATGGCCCACGGACATTGGTGGTCATCGACGCATCCCACAAGTCGACGTTTGTGTCCTCCACTTTGGCGAGCGTTGCTTTGGCTGCATTGTTGACGATGATGTCGAGTTTCCCAAACTTGTCGACGGCGGCTTGCACAAGATGAGAGGGGCCACTCGTGGTCGATATGTCTCCTTCCACGGCAATCCAGGGGCTTTTCAGGCTTTTCCAAGGATCATTCACAGTGCGTTCCAAATCGGGCCAGCCGTAGTTGATGACCACGGAAGCCCCTCGAGCTGAGAGTTCTCTAACAATGGCAGCCCCAATGCCGGATGAAGAGCCCATCACTAGAGCCACCTTGCCTGCTAGCGCATTTGGGGCGGCGTCTTTGGAGGGATTGATTCTCTTGCGACTCGCAATAGCCTCCATGGTTGAGTTGTTGATCAATTCTTTCTTATCCTACCAATTTTCTCCTATAGGGTATCGAAAGCTGAACGGCAGAAAAACTTGAAAGATCTCTATTATACCATAGACACATTTCAATGCTACTTGATTGCATCCATAGTCTCCAGGCAGACAGGTTGCTTGTCACGACCTTGTGCTGTGCATTGAAATTATGCAGAATGCTCTGAACAAGTGCGAAAAGATCGGCGCGCCGTCCATCTCAACCCCTAAATTCAGCTCCTCGATAGCGCCAACAGAAGACCCTTGCTGCCATCACAGCAGAGAAGCCAGTGTTTCTTGAATAGGCCTTCATTGGTTGAGACTTGGGTGAATGACACGTTCCAAGGACGCAAAAGAAAGCACAGGATGCAGCCTTTTGGTTTCCCATACCAGACTCTTTCAGCCCCCAGCTTATTCACCAAGACCACCGCCGGAGGGAAGCTAGCACAGAAAAGAGCCAGCGTTCCACGTGTACGAAGTACAGAGTACTGGTCCCACTAATCAAATGATCATGAATACGCATTTTCCGCAGCAAGATGCTTTGGCGATGGGAGTACGGATAGTTTGCTGTTAAAGGTTATGTGCGCTTTCACCTGCTCTTTGCATGCAACGAGATACTCTCACTCTCCGAGTAAGATAAAGGGTCAACGAAGGGCAAGTAAGTTATCCGTATAACAAAAGTAAAAATGAGGAGCAAAACAGCCCGCCAAACGGGCAAAAGCTGGCAAGTCATGTCACCCAGAGAACACCGCTGGGGGCAATAGCTAATCCTCGAGAAACATCCTCAATTTGACGTCACTAGTGTCAGCAGCAGCACCCTTTATCCGACTCATACTAGTCTAAATCCTCCTTAGATTGCGCCTTTACCTAAAGGACGCTCCCTTTGTTCGGGAGCTAACGCCGGACTTTAGGTCCCCGCCTTACGCTCCACGCTCTGTCGGGTTACCCTCCCTCCAGTGTGTCCCTTCTTCTCTGTTCATTCTGTCAGAAATTCTCCATCACGAAAGAATCATCACGGCGAAAAGCACATGAAGTAGATCAAAATGGCCGAATCGACGACACTACCACCTCTATCAAGCCTGATTCAGCCTGCGATACGAACAGTGGTATCTGGCGAGGACAATTGGAAGGGCAAGACGAGCCCTGCGGAGAGGAGGAAGATCCAGAACAGGCTCAATCAGCGAACGTGGAGTAAGCCGCGCACCCACCTCATGCAACCTGCTTACGCCCGCCTTTGATTGCCCATCGTTTGATGGAATTTTCGACCACATCTCGTCCAGTGACATGTGCTTACTCGTCTATCTTTTGCGACAGGACAACGAAGAAAGGCTGAAAAGCAACAGCAGCGCCAGGCGAAAACCCGACAGTCTGGTACGGACGCCAGGAAACCCTCGTCCTCTTCCTCGTCCACCAACTCGTCGCCGCCGTCCTCCGGCGCTCTCGTAGCAAGCTCGAAGTGGGCGGCGGCATTACCGGCCGCCACCGTGGCCAATGATGATGGCACGACGACCTACGTGACGATAGAAATGTCTCGGCCGGGCCTGTACAAGTCGAAAAGGGGCGAGCGGACGTGCGCTAAGAACACGACGTTGATGGCCTTGACATACATTGGGCGGCCGCGACAAATGGCAGACCTTCGAGACGAGGACCTGGACGACTTATACCAGCTGTTCCTACAGCACGCGCATCAGAGTCGAAGGAGCCCGAGCCCGGATCCAATGTCGGATTTACTGATACCACTTGTGCAGTTCAATTTGTTCCGCGGTCTGATGGAGAACATGAAGACGCTGGGTATTACCATGCCCATGATCTGTGACGATGACTGCGTATCCCCATTTGGAAGCGATCCCGTGTACAATGTCAACACCGCATGGAATGTCCCGTACTTTTTGAAGCCAACGGAGACGCAGCTGACACGAGTACACCATCCCTGGCTCGACTTCCTCCCCCTACCGAGGATGCGGGACAACTTGATCAAGGCCGGGGATGACTGGGATGATGAGGCGCTGTGTCTAGATATGATCGGTGACGGAGATGCGCCATCTGGACAAGGAGGCATGATTCTGTGGGGAGAACCATGGGATCCCAATAGCTGGGAAGTCACGCAGGACTTTGTCGAGAAGTGGCGGTGGATCCTCGAAGGGTGTGAGGAGATGATCAGATCGTCTAACTTTTGGAGAGCAAAACGAGGCGAGAAGAGACTGAGGGTGAGAATATAAAGACACGAGTTAGCCCCCGTGGCCTCAACTGCATCAACGCCATGTTCCACGATTGATTGACGCTTTTAGACCAGGTGCCTGTGAGTTAGCCGTGCCATTGACAGTAGTTAAAAATCAGGTGGAATGAGACAAGGTGACCGACCAGTATTTGACCATCTGCGAGGCGCTTGCAAATGATCCGACCTTCGGCAAGCTGGTGAGGCGAGGGCCGGGTGGCATTGATCTCACTACGCCCGAAGCACCGCGCACTAGAGCAATCTTGCCAGCTACATGTCCAAATCCCCTGCAATCACTCATGCGGTCCTTGATTCGATTCAACTTCGAGAGGTGGGGGATTAGTCGCCGGTGTTACTCCTCGCTCCAGCATCAATTTCGGCCAACAAACAGGACGATGAAGCTTGGGAACGTTGTAAAGAGACCATCAACTACCGTATGCGCCTCAACCTCGCAAACTCGGACGCACCAGGCATAGCAAAGAACCTCGGGCTAACTTTTGTTGACGACAAATCCTTGTTCGATGGGGCCTCCAAACGCCAACTTCGATCTCATTTTCGCAACTGGTCCCTGGAAGTATTCCAGTCGGAGAACCCAAGGGCGAAGGATATAAACGCAGGGCTCGGATATTGGATGCAAGGCTGTGGTGTTCCTCGATACGTGTACTTCTTCGAGGTAGACCTAGAGTCCCTCCGGAGCATCGTGTTCGAGGCGCCTCAACCGCCTAACTACGATCTCGACTGTGAGAGCCACATCAACTTTATCGACGCCTACTGGAAACCGCTGAGGGAATGGACAGATGTGCTACGACATACAGACCAAGATGAGATTGATGCCTTCGAGAACGCTCATGAGCTTATTATGGGGTGTGGGGAAGAGAACGTCGGATGGATGAAGGTGTCTATCGAGACAATGGGTTCCGATTGGTATGAAGTATGGCTTGGGAGTATTGGCGGCGATGCCAGCATTTGGTATGCCTTCTACCAACGCCCGCCTGAAAAGGTGTACTGGTAAGAAAGCTATGAGAAGCTTCTCGCATTCGTTACAACGAACGCATCGCTCATCTGCGTTTCTTTTGCGACGATGAGCATGTCCCGATGCCAGAACCATCTTCAATGAACGAGGCGCATGTATGGCAGGGGTTGGCGCCAAGGCAACGAGTGCCTTCAGACGCCGCGCCCCTGCGTCTCAGAAGGGGCTTGGATCGAGGGAACCAACACCTAACAGCACACCTCAATCTCAGAGAATCTCACCTTTCTCGTGACGACGTTCGCATGATGAGCTTTCTCCCCAGGCCCTTCCTGAGCCCGAATGCTCCATTCTGTTCAAGTAGGATCACAGTTCGCCTTTAGAAACAAGGCTCCTCACCCTCATCGGCGATTCCTGCCCATTGGCCACTCCTCTCCAGCCCCTGGCAGCTACCGCTGCACAGCAAGCGACGCGAAAGGCTCAAAGCCCAAAATGGATGTACCCTGCGAGTCTGAGCTGATCAGGGACGAAACCCAGGACTTTGGCAAATGGGGATGGGTATTCTACCGGTGTACCTACGACGACGATGACGCTTGGGCTCGCTTCAGAGGCATCATCAATGACACATCCCGAAAACACAGCGAGTTCTACGAATATCCGGAAATCCTCGATAATTGTTTGTTTGTTTGTTATATTTAACGCCGTGGCGGCAAGGGCGCAGCCGCCCTTGCGGCCGACCTCCCGAAGGGTATATGGCGTGGAGAGCCGTCGCCCTATAACTATTGCTAGATACAGTTCAAATCGTCCTCCAAATCGTGCCTTATGGCTACTATGCGTTCTATCTGTCCCTGGTTCCCGCTGGTGCCCCAGTTCCATTCTTGAATTTTTGCGGCTTAAGGCCGGATATGTCTGGAGAGGGCGGCCTGCCGAAACAGGCCCCTCGTACATGTTCTGATTTGTACAAGACCATTCCTGCCCCAGTACTTGGTTGACGACGTGTACTCGCCGCATATCCACTTTTTCTTGGTCGGAGGGTGTGGATATGAGAAAACCCTGGCGAGGGCCCGGAAAGGGTCCTAGGCCCCGCATTGGGCTCTGCCCTACCCTTCCCACAGGTAGTTAAAGCAGTTGCCGGCGGCTGGAATCGAACCAGCGACCTCTGGGCTCCAGAGGCCTTGCCAGGTGTATGCCACTACACCACGCCGGAAATCCTCGATAAGATGAAATGGACATTCTTGGAAGACAAGCAACAATTCGATGGCGCTTCTACGGCAAAGTTGCGTGCTCACTTCCGCGAGTGGGTGAAGCAATCAGCACCACCGAGGGATTCATCAGAAACCCCGCCCCGAGAGCCCAACCCACCCGGCCTAGAAAGCAGTTCTGACAACACGATGTACGATGAATATTTCGTCCAAGTAGACGAGATATCGCTGCGCAGTGTCGTCTACAAGGAGTTGCCGCCGGCTGAAGCCAACCTGTACATCCGCAGGCACATCAACCTGGTGAGCACCGACTGGAAACCCGCGCGACTGGAGGATTACCATGGAGACAATGTCATCGAAGACCATTTCAGCTTTCCGGAACTTGAGGGATGCACTGAGGAGAACGTTGGCTGGATGAGTTTGGCAGTGAGTGAAGTCGGCCCGTCTACCTTTCAGAGGATCCCTCATCTGTGGTACATCATTTATGAGAGACCTCCTGATATCGTGTACCGCGTGTAGGTAATCGAATCAATTCCCAAAGACATGCAAGGCGTTCGTAGTGGAATATCGTCGTGTGCTTTTTTATTTACTTGCTTTTACCTGTGTCATTCAGACCTACGCAAGTGTTGATATTGGGATCATCAAATATAGGTTCGCGGCTCGCCGACGGCCTCAACGCGAGGTACCCCGACTCCAATGCCAGTCCGGCAGGAGTCATGTGTCCAAATTCTACTCCGTGATGACCATCTCATCCTTGGCGCCATCTGTTTCGAACCAACCCTGTTGATACATCGCCATACCAAAGCCTGACGCCTGGCTAACCGCCATGCACTTGTCCATGATCCACATCTTCGTATCTTTATCCGCAAAGGCAGATTTGAGCACCGCTATCATGGGCCAGAACATACACCAGGCATTGAAACCAACACCTTGTACGGTACAGGCAGAGTCTCTGCCGTCGAATCCGAATACAATACGGATCTGCTCGCAAACTTGCTCCATCGCCGTCAGTCCATGAGGGAGGTTGACAAGCGTTTTCAATTCCTCGCGCGTGGGTTCTCCGAGAGCAATGGATAAGCTTAGAATGTACTCGATGAGATGGAGCCGGATCGTGAGGTAGAGTCCCTTTGCTATCGCATCGCTCGCGTCCGACTTGCGGCCCAGTAAATGGTTGAACGAGTTGAGATTCTCGTCAACGGCGCCATCTGGCCCGGGTTTGTTTCGCGGTCCGGGCGATAAGATTCTGTAGTTCGCAGCCGCTTCGAGATCGCGTATGATGTCGATACCCGTCTGAAAGACTTCTGTTACATGGCCGACGGATGCCCGTCCGATGTCTGGCGATGATAACACGTGCTGGACCATGTTTTTGTAGTCAATGGCTCGAACGAGCAGCGGTTCTACCATGCCGCCTTTCGCCCACGCTGCTTGTTTCAAGCCCACCAAGACTGGTGATCGGCCTTCTTGGCCGATGAATATTTCCAGCATCTGGGGTAGCTTAGTAAAGGAGCCAGAGCTGGCTTGGTGGTACAATAAGACTTACCCCTAGGTGAACGACAAATGCGAGTAGGCCCTTGTCAAGCGAAGTAGCGACGCCCTGTTCGGCCCGATACCTGAGAAGTGCGAGAGAACCTCGACAATGTGATGTTATCTTTCTTGGTGATGTGTCTGGTGCTATTGCCTAAAATTGTCTCAGCACCGTATACCAGTAGGTTCCCATGGTATTCAAAGGTGTCACCCGCCAGCCTGTCTCAAGTCACTTACCTCAAAGAGGCCGAGGGTGAGTAATGCGACTACAACTGAGTCGTCTTGCGCTGTCGAGTTATCCTTCAGTGCGCCGCCAATCTTGCTGATCGCTTTGCCATAGTGTTGCCGCGCTTGAACCATCAAGCCTGCCTGGCACATCTGCAGAGAGGAGCTGGCTAGTGCCGTAGCTTTGAGAGCCCCTTGCAAGACAGGCGATGAGGCATCCGACGATTTGATGCCGGGGAAGAGGTCAAACAAAGCGACCTCACCTCCGGAGGCATAGTTGGAGTAAAAGTGGTTCAAGGAGACGAGCTCGGAATCGATACGAAAGGCCTTCGGCACGGCCGCCGGCCTCCTCCGAATCTCCTCTTCCTCAACTGAGTCTGGTGAGGTTCCCTCCTCATCTGCCTCCAGGATTGACGACTTTGAGCCAAATGTGCCTCTTTCTTTGAGTCGTTTGGCGACGCGGACTTGCACTTGATGAGCTGCCGACGCATTTTGCTGACGGTGTACAACGGCCCACGGATCCGCATACCCCGGACACGCCCTCCCGAGACTCGTACAGCGGTTACACGAAGGTTTCTGAAGATCGCACTGGCGGCTTGCGTTAGACTCAATTCACTTCAATAACCAACTTTGGAAGTAATTCATGGGCTTTTGGAGTCTCAGTACTTTGACTTTGCGCGCCTTGCAGGCGAAGCAGCTCGCTGACGGCCGACATCCCATCGTATCCGTCGGCTCCGGTCCTCTGTGAGCGATGAACCCCCTGGTGTGATCCCGACCCCCCACCACTTCTGCGTAAAAGATGGAAAGTTAAGCCAGCTCTGCGGTGAGCTCAATCGGACATGATTTGATGAGGGGAGCTCGTGGGATACCGACGACGGCGACGGCTTCTTCGGGAACGCGGCTTCTTCGGGAACGCGGCTTCTTTGACCTTTTGTGAACTGATGATCACTGCTGGTCGTTGGCTGAGAATGAAGAAAACACAGCTAATTAGGGCGCGGCCTGGCGTCTAGGTATTGAGGCTAGCTGTTCTCTGGTCCCAGGTACTAGTCGTGCGGGGGCCACCTCTGGACGATTAAATTTTCAACGAAGGGTTCCAACGCGCAACGAGATGGGATACTCGTATGAGAAACTGGGTGACTGGCCCAGTGACGAAAGCGTCAAGGCAGACTGAGGTGATGGTGGTGGCGTCGAGTCATTTGTGGGAATTTCTCACACCTCAAGCTTGAAAAGTCTACCAGCTGGCACCCATTGAACCCGGAAGCTTTGGAATAGGACTAAATCGTGTTTGATGACGTGGTCAAAGCGCCGAAACCTAAATCATTGTCTTCCGGACGGTCAATGGCGGGATTCTTGTCGCATGGATGGTATTTCACAGGCTTCTGAGGTTCATTTAAGCTTTACAACGCGTTGGACTTCCCATTGTTGATGAGACTGTGTGACATGAGGGCTGCTCCAAGACTCTCACGCAGCGTTAAAGGGGGTTGGCTGGGCGGCTACCGAAGACTCTCTTAGGACCCAAGCTCTTTCGTCCCGAAAGATCGGGCAGATCGGTAAAGCCTCGAGCCCCTGGATATCAAGGAAACTGTAGCCTCGGCCTGCCAGAAATAGCATTCGTCCCGAAACTCTCAATGAGTTCATTTCTCTATTGCACTAGCCGCCATATTTCTCGCTGAGTTCGAGACCCGTCGACTAGAGTGGATCAATCACACCTTCTTTGACGTCCTTTGACTCTTGAGGTCACCCAAACTCCTGGAACACGCACATCAGACATTTTGGGAACCATTCACTTGGCAAGCCAGATATGAAAGGGCCGTTTAGAGATGACAATGACTGAGACACGTCAGAAGAGCTCGGAGATGAACGCTCATTGCCTACTTCACGCGTTCGAGGTGGAACACGGTTCAGGCACGGTTTGGGACGACCCTTGGTTCGACGAGGTATCAGAACGCGTGAGGACGATGATCGCTGATGACAAGATCTCATGTAATTGATTCAGAAATACCATCATTAATGCTGATGACAACTCCGGTGTGGTGTAGAGCCTTCTCGGCCGAGTGCTCGCCGATAGACTTTCGTGTTCGGTCTAATACACCGAACGCGCCTCTCGCTGCCGTTTACTCTCTTCTTGTTCGCGCTGGACGTAATACTCGACCATATCCTCCAAGTCATCCTCCCATCTATGAGTTTTTCCTGCGAATTCGATGTTTGTGAGGCCCCAGTTGACCAAAATTGTGTTGATCTCTCTGAGGCAGTTGGCTTCTGCGATACCCCCATTCTTTTCAGGGATGACTATATCTCCGTGCTCCTTCCTCAGTCCATGAATCTCTTCCTTGCGATGCTTTCCTGCTGTTCTTCTTTCTTTTGCTTGGAGCAGTTCAAATGTCGTAATCTCCATTCTCCGGCGGATTCGCCCGCTCTTAGAGAGCCTTCCTTCATCTGAAGTGGCAGATTTCCCAGTGCTACTGGTTGTTAAAGTTTGGCTAGACAAGCTGCGTGTGGTGTGTGATATGACTGCTTGGAGGCGGAGATCATCTTTGAAGTTTTCGAGTTCAGTGTCGTGAGCTTGCCGTAGCTCAGCCAGGAGCGTGCGATAAAGCGTTTCGAGTACGCGACGCTGGATGCTATATGCTGCTACTGCGACTTTGATTTCGGAGGTAGTTGGCGCCTTCTCAGTCATTGGGTCATTTTGTTTGGATCTAGCCAATATCTTTTCAAGACCTAAAATGGGTTTAGGTAGGCGGGTCGTCTGATTTGGATGCATTTGTTTCTTGCTTGCTCTGAACTTGGTGAGACTGGAGGTGAATGGTTCCATGAAAACGTCGTGGTGTATTTAACTTTTGACAAGTTCAAGGAACGAATTTGACAAGGTGTAATCCAAATCCTGGAGGGCAGGAATTCCAGGGAGGAAACAGTCTGATAATACCATCTCCTCTGCAACTATCTCCGAAACTTCTCATGAAGACTAAAAGCTCAAAGTCGAAGTGGTGGATTTTGTCAAAGATATCCGTGGAACCTCAAGAACCTTGGGGCCCAAACTCAATGTTAGCCACAATTCCATGGACGCTGACCTACAGTACGAAGTATTTTTATATAGAACTGTAATTCTAACAACGTAATGATGGGGGTGATTGAAGTATTGCATTTCGAAGCTCATTACTTCATAGCATTCGTGACTGCTCTAAACAGAACCCTGGACCAGATTTTATAACCCCTCTCGTTCAGATGGACGTGGTCTGCCAAACACTCAACCATATCAACTGAGGGTGGCGCCAAGAACTCTATCCGGCCTGATCTTTTTTTTTTTGGAACTCTCGAACAAGCTCGAGGTAATTCACATTCGCTTTCTCAACCAGCTCATCCTTGATGTCCTTCCTCCTGAAGAGCCCGACGAGAAGCATCTTCCCACCCATCTCGAGTAAAGCCTCGACAATCAAGTGAAGTAGCGCCATGTCGGGTTCCCTCATTCCGCGCTTGGGGTGCAGGTTGTTTGTGCCCACATGCAACACCCATAACTTGACAGTACGGTTCCGATGGGTTTCCAGTAGACCGCCAATGGGCCTCGAGGGCTCTGATGAGCTGGTGAGTCGATAGATGACGTTTTCGAACTTGTCGCCGCCCAAGCCAGCGTTGAAGACGCCTTGTAAGCGTCCAGGGCTGGCCGAAGGGGTTTGAAGTTGGTGCTGAGCCATGGTTTCATCGCTGATCATCGTCGCAGAAGGCCATTGGTCGAAGCTGGGAGATAAGCCAGTTGTGATCATGCGTTCAATCATGGAATCTCCCAGCAAGACAATAGACGGTTGCTCAGGGTTGTCTTCAAGCTCTACAAGATGCCTATCACGGGATGTCTCGTCAGATCGCTGCTTGTATTGCCGTATAGGTTCAGATTCTCCATCTTTTCAGATTTCGGCTGCTTGGTGTCAGGCAGACTGCTGGGCAAAAGAGGATCGCGAAGAAGTTCGGGTTGCTGGTGCAATGCAAGTAGTTCAATTAGAAGACTCCATCTGCTTTTGAAAGTGAATCTAAGGGTCTGCTAATGACTTGACAATATTTTAGGTTAAGGTTGTATAATCCCCCCCGCATGTCGGAGTGTGCTCACGGTGGCTATGCAAATCTCACGAACCTGCCCAGCCCGCCGTTGACTCATCCGGCGTGCATCCTTGGCTTTTCATGAACCACGACCAACATTTCTTCATCCGACTGAATGCAGCCCATCAATAAGAGTATCGCCCAACAGTTAATCTCAGGTCGAAGGCTCCTTTTGCCGCCAGTTGCCCGATGCTGCTGATCTGAGTGGTTGAGAAGATCTCGTGCTGTTCTCGCGGTTCTCGCGGTTCTCGCGGTTCGAGTTGTCGTATCTGGGCTTCCGCCAAGCCGAGCGCTCACCGTTATCCTTCTCATTTTGTATTTCTGCGGGCGTCGTACGGTCCTTGAGCTTGTCGGGCATGGCGCGAGCAACATTGACACGCAGTCGGCCGGTTCCCCAAACCTTGCGGTCCAGCGCGTTCTTTGCTACATCGGCCTCCTCAGCTGTCGCGAAATCAACAAAGCAGTAGTGGTGTTCACCACCCTTGGCCCTAGTAGACTCATGAGGAGTGATGCGCTTGCTGATTGCTAGTCTATATCGTTGGGGTCAGATTAGGTGCTGCGTAAGGAAGTGAATCATCACTAGCGAAGGGTCCCTTACGACTTGTGGCCCCCCAGAATCTCCTGCATCTCATCCTGGTGTTGTGCCTGATCAACCATCGGGCCCAGTCCTCCAACATAGAGCCTCCGACCGTCTCCCTCCGTCGCGGCGACCTCGTCAAAGTGCTTGATGGCGCCATACGGTCCACTCTCAATGCCGCCGTTCCTGCCAGTGCGCGCCGGCGATCTGCCGGCCTCATCGCCGCCTTCACCCCGCGATCCGGACCAATCTCCCCACCTGTTGAAAGCAGGTTCTCTGTCGCTTTGCCATCGGCTCCGGTTCTGCTTCTTGGGCTCGCAAGGGCCGACCTTCAGTGGTCTACCACGGAGGCGCGCATCAAGGGAGGATAGTGCCCGCTCAGCGTCCTCGCGCTCAGCGAAATCGACGAAGCAATACCCGGGGTTCCGAGCTGAGACCGGATCCATCGAGATATGAATCTTTTCGTAGCCTTCATAGCCGTTATCCTTCAGCATATCCTCGATCTCGGCGGGTTGGACGCTGTAGAGCAGGTTGCCCAGGTAGATGCGCCGACCCTCTTCCAGGGCGGCGGGCTGCTCCGATGGTGAGGCCATGGTATCAAAATGTGAGATCCAAAAGGGAAACGAGGGTTGACGCGACTACTTCACAGCCTTTATGTTTGTCGACCACGTGTCGTTGGGAGCGATGTGAAAGATCAGAGTTTGAGAGGTTGAGTTGGACCCTAGTGAGGGGCAGGAGCCAAATTCACAGTGGGGTAATTCGCGTTTTTGCGCCTAGGGTTCGCCGGCACAGAAAGCTTATGATACTTGGTCGTCCCATTGGTCTGCGAACAATGTTTGAATAGTATCATAAAACGCTCTTGAACTACAAGGTCCTCATTACCCATAATTGCATTAAAGAGTCATGGTATCAAATTTCAACCCAACAACGTGCGCCTTAAACACTCTCGGTTCTTTCACAACCCAGCTCAAAGGATGAACACGGGCTGTCTGTTCCCAATCAACTCACTTTTGGGCATCTGCACATCCTTCTTGTCGAAATCATGCAACATCAACCAGCAAATCATCCTGAAAACGAGCGTATACCAAATTGCCAAACGTTGCATCTCAACATGCTTGGGCACTATCGTTTCCCACTGCGGTAAATCTGCCAACCTGCTGGGCTGCGGGGGTTCCGGTAGATCGTTCAGCTGCTCAGTCTCGATCCGATGAGGCCACGTCTTGACCCTGCTGATGCCCGGTGTCGGCGTCGAGTCGTCGAGAGCCTTGGTAAGAGACTCTCCAGGATTGAGTCCAAACGGCGATGGGGGAACTGCGCTGCCAGCTTGGGGTGAGCCGTTGCCCAAGCGCGATCTCCGTTTCTCGGTGTCGTCGTGTATGGCCCTCGAGACGACCTCGTCGTCTCGTTTGCCCCTCTTGGCAGAGTTGGTAGGCACTACACGCCATAGTATGCACTCAAAGTATGTCTCCATGAATCTTTGCTCCCTCATCTCCAGAGGAATACCAAGCAGGTCCCGAAACGAAATGTTTTCTTTTCCCTTCTTCTCTGGGCTGTTGATAGCTGCTAGCACTTCCTGAAGGTGGCGACGTAACACGTCGAGCACGATCCCCTGGTCTCGTTTCTTCAAACTGTTGTCTGCCAACTCGATAGCCTTGTGTAAAAGACTCATTCTTTTGCTCGTTAAAGGCGGATTCTCGTCAAAGTCATTGCTCATCTCCTCCGCCGACTCAGAAAGCGCTCTGATATCATCAACGGCGGCTTCGACCCTCTCGTCGACAACAGTCTCGGCCTCTTCCTCGACAACCGTAAGATGATTCATTAACAGTCCGCTAAAGGCGATAAGCAGGCGCTGCAGGGATAACGATTCTCTGTCCCACGGGAAGATGGTGGGATTGGGCAGGAAACGAAAACATCTCCCTTCAATGTGCAAAACTCGTGCGAGCATGCCAATCACTTCGAACGTTACTGTTCAGGAAGTTAGCCGAACACGCTCAGAATGGTCCGATAGACTGATCACATACCAGAGAAAAGATGTCTGTCTTTCTTCCCTTCCTTATAGAAGAGCGTGGTTTTGCCGTTACACCCTATCTGGGTCAAAGTCTCCGCAATGGCATCGCGGCTGCTCAGTTGAAGAATTTCGACCTTGGTGCCAGTTTCTGAGGACGTCTTGAACTCCCTCTGCCACTCCAAGTCTTCGTCCGGGTCATTCTTATCTCGATAAAAAGTTGGCACTCGCCCAAAACAGAGCTCCTTCACTTCAGATGTCGGAATCACCCGTCGCTCCTCAAACACAGTTGGGCCGGTTTTCTCAAAGACAAAGACGACACCCGAGTCAGACACACGTGAGCCGGTCAGACTATAGCCGTTTCCTTCTGCGCGGTACTGATTATTGTCTCGGTCAAAGACTCTCCAGTAGAGCCCAAGTATCGCTGCAAGCTCGACCAGGTGGGAGATCGTAGAGGTAGCGTATGGCTTCTTTATGGAGGGGTTGGCATCGAAACTTCTTTTCTTTGCCTGTACTTTCACGGCCAAAGTCGGCTCAGGCAGGTCCGGGATGATGGAACTTGGCAACCATTCTCCCTGGAGCTTTTTGAACTCCCATTCCTTGGAATCTTTCTCCATTCTTTCCACAGCGATCAAAAGATAGACCCATGTTGCCAGCTCATTATTGACAGTATGGACCTTTTCGGTAGGCTTAGACGGTTTTTCGTTGTTGGATCCATTAGCCAATCCAGGGTCTGGAAATATTTTCTTATAGTCGAGTCGGTTCTTGGTACAACTTTCCTCGGTACCTTCTACAGCCCATATGTCCCCCTTTTCAGGCTTGTTCATGTTCTTTGGAGGGGATAGAAAAATGATTGGCGCCTCGAACCTGACCTCGAGACGCAGCTCCTTAAACTTTGCCCGTTTCGTCGTGCCTTTCGCCCATCCTCCCATCACGTCGTCGGTGCAATTCGGAAGTCCTTTAGCCGACGCGAAGATCGCTTGCATGATTTGTAAAGTCGCTGCAAAGAGTGCGACTACGGAGACGACGAGGGCGACAATCGCAACGACTGTGTCGCTCCCTCCGTTAGCATTGCCATTGCTGTTGCTGCTGTCGCTCGGGCTATTACTGGTATTGCTGTCGGCCATCCTGACAGATTCTCACTCGGTGGAACACCGTAGAAGATTACGAATGCGACTGAGAGCATCAAAGTCCGAGGTCTATGCCAAGAACTGTGTCCCATACAGCTGGGACTGAGGACGAGATGGAATCGATGCTACCCCGCCGAGGAAGATTCCGTTGATCACCGGCAGAAGTGGGTCGCAAGTGGACAAGCCGGCGCCGGAGTTGTGAGCACGTGGGCGGCGGCGACTAGCCGTCAAGTGTCTTAGACCAAAAGTTGGTGAAGGTGTAACTTAGAACGCCATTGCTTCGATCGAGTTGAATTTCTCGTCGAGAACGGGACATAAGTAAGCAGATTAAGAAGACTAAAGAGGAAAGTTGAGAATGAGGCCTTTGTGAACTGCCGCAATTGCTGATTTTGCATCGGTTCGCCCCGTCTCAGAGGATCGCGGCTGCAGCTGAGGCCGCTTATGCGGCATCCCTGGAAATGCGCATCATGAGGTCCAGCTCGGCCCATGGCGCAGCCCAAAAGAGACTGAAAGAGACACTACGGATGTCCGGGTTCTGCGGCCTGCGTAGCCTGCCTGATAAGCAACAACTAGAAACTGCGCAATTGGTGGCCTTCTGCTGTCAGAAACTTGCCGTACAACCAATAATTCTGCCCATTGATACAGGTGCGTCATCATGTCTCAACCATTGGGCAGTGTTCAATTGGAGAAGCTGGAGGTTGTCATTTCTCACCAACACCACTCTTCGGCTTCAAGCAGGCTGCGCAGAGCCTCTTTTCTCCACGGAAAATACAGCTCCTGCGAGTCTCATAGGTCCTTGCGTGTAGATTTGCCTACTGATTTCTGCCTGACCAACCTTTTGGCGCACTCTAGACGTCATAATCCATCTCTGATTTCTGACTCAGAAGCTGGCCGAGCACAATCCCGATCGACCCACTGTACCCAAGGTCCAATGCATGCATTCTCTGCTAACCCCTTGATTTCGGTCAACTTGCGAAGATGAAAATGACGTTGGAAGAGAGCATTCAGGTGCCTTCCATTCTTTTGAGATTGGTGGTTTGGGGTTAAGTACAGTGTTGTCAAGTTGAAGGGTTGAACCCTGGCGACAGGTTCGTCTGATGCTTTCGGGATATAAGGGAGTCTGTGCATAGTATTATGCGGGATGACGGGGGCCCTGCCTTTGGAATGAAAACTAAAGCATCTCCGGCAGCAGCATCCTGGCGACACATCAGCCAACTCGGAAGAGGGCATCAAGTGCTTGCTAATCGGAACTCGGCCTTTGCGATCTGGGAAATAGGCAGGAAATGTTCACTTGTCTGAAATACTTGGGGCCTTGAGCGTCATTATGTGTTTTAATTCATGTTCTTGCTACTTATATTTTAAAAGAAAAATTACGCTTCGTTAGCTCTTCAATATCCCATGCTGACTCGAATGATTTGATGCGTTCTCCACATCATCAGGAAGATGCTCGTAGGGCCCGGCCTTGTGATCTGCGTCTTGCCTGAATTCCGACACAATCACCTCTTTTGTTTGCATGATTCCCTCCATTGGGCCCAGCTTCCGCCTTGTGTTCATGGCATAAGCCTCCTCCTCTGCATTTCCGCGCCGGACTGTGGACAGATGGGTCGACACATTGGTCCCTCGACCATAATAGTGAAGTCCCGAAGTTCCACCATGAGATTTTGACGATGACTTTGCTTGCCTCCTCTTGTTCCAGAGTCCGTACAGTGTCGGTGCGTTGACGACGATCGCGGCGGTGAGCAGTTCAGTGCTGGCCCAAGTCGTTCGGTTGATTTGGCTGTCCTTGTTCGTAATGTTGATCGGTAGTCGAATAACGGTGATGGCGATGATGAAGACGCCGAGCGTGAAGAGGGCGTACAGCTGGATCTTGCGTTGCCATGGGGTCTTCAAGGAGAAGACCAGGGGAAGCGGCAGTACGAGCAGCATAAAGTCGGTGACGATGTTGAGCACGCCGACGACGACGAGTTGCAACTGTGCCTTTGAACATGCGCCTGCAAGGGTTGATGATCAATAATCAGAGTTCGTTCCATCCCATCGGCATGTCTCGCATGTCGGAGAATTGGCTAGTCACGTACCTGGGTCAGGGACAACCTGCCAGTAGAGGTGGAATGGATTGCATTCGCTGAACGTCGTCACCTGGCAGGCGACATAGGTGCAGAAGAAGATGATGGAGAATGACCAGATGGTGACCTTCTCGAAACGAAGGTTCAATAAGAGTCGACGATAGACATCCAACAGGACGAGCTTCTGTAGCCAGAGGCTTGGTAGATGTCAGTATGATTGATCGTAAAAGTTTAATAACCTTCCTGACTCAAACAGCATGCACATTGTGACCAAATGGCCCAAAGGAGCGCTGAGCCCAGGGTGGTTGAGGGTGCACGTTGATGCAAATGGGGGCGGCACTGACTAGGAGTTGTAAAAGACCCGGTTCACAATGGACAGTTTGCTGCCGATCTCCCGCCTGTAGATCTCCACGTCGGTAAAGGTGTGATTCTTTCGATATGCCGCCGAGACGTTGTTCGTGCCCCAAGTCAAGACGACGTGGATGAGGCCGAGCCGCGTCAGCGCGCAGACGATGGCGGCGACGGTGAACCAGTCGCCCAGGTTGTATTCCTGTCTGGAGATGTGCACCTTCTTCCAGACCAGCCGAGCCACCATGATGAGGAGGGCCAAGCAGCTAAAGAGCCAATGGATGAGCAGCGTCGGGTCGTCCATGGCCAGCGAGTGTCCGAGGCTCCGGGGGGTCGACGAGACGATGGGGCGGGACGGAGACAAGACAAGACAAGAGACGAAAAAGAGAGACGACGCAAAAAAAGGAGCCTCTCGAGAAGAGGAGCGCGCATTCGGGGGCAGATCATGAACATTATTATCTTCTTGGTTTCCCGTCTACTACGTACGTACTCATCGCACTAAGGTAGGGGAGAATAGGGGGCCTTGCTAGCTTGATACGCAAAGTCTCCCGATCCCAGCTTGTCCGAGGTACTGACCTGCTGTGTGAAAGGACCATCATACCATTCTCAGAAATGTTTGCGGGCGTGACCAGTCTCTGGGGAGTCTGGGACCTTGCCAATGCTTGCAGAGCGGCCAGAGCCTTGCAGAGAATAGAGAAAAAAGATGGTCCTACTTGTAGATGAAAGGATCAGGGCTTGAGACCTCCGGAGTTTGGTTGCTGCGAACCCCAACTTTCCCTGGTGGTTCGGATGCACGTCGGCTGTTGAGGAATCTCCATAAGATGTGTGATTGCGATGATCCACCGTGGGGCTCTTCCTCGCTGCTGTGCGGCACGTACTCTTCAGTCTGTGTGGTCTGTCGACTTCTAGAAGCCGAGGAGGGCCGATTTTCGAGAGCCTGAGAGGAGACGTCTGGAGTCTTGACCCAGATTCGCCTGTGCCGCTGTGCCGCTGAAGATTGCTGCAGGATATAGAGATGCCGGGGGAACGTGTGGAGCGCCAAAAGTCTTGAGTTGTCGACAAGTTGGACAGCCGATATTGATAGAAATTTGTTTTGTTTGAGTTTGACAGCTTGACAGTGACGCTCTTCTTGCACCCAGATGTTCTCAACGGCTACCAACGACGGGAGCGATTTCTTAGCCGATCGAACCCCAACTCAATACGGACAACTTCATAGACTGCCTTCACTGAACTGAGTCTAGTGACGGCGGGCGGCGCTGAACTTTGCAAATGTTCTCCCCGAGCTAGAGGTTTATCGGAGCAAAAAAAGCTCACCGTGAAGAGAACGGGGATGGGTTGACCGTTGGTCCGCCGGCAAGTTAGCGACACTAGTGAGTGCCGCCACAGTCGTATTACACGTATTGATCATGGTCCCCCTCCTCCAGGATCCAAGGCCGGGTTAGACGGGCTTGGCAGCCTGTTGAAGAGTATCCAGGATTATAACTCTAAGATATTGTTGTGCAGACCCGATTTATCCAAGGACCAAAGATCACAATGGTGGGAAGAATGCCGGGTTTGCGAGATCATCGTAATCAGGACTTCGCCCCGCCGCTAGTTTGAGTTAATCAACCGAATTCCCCTCCACGTTACGTTGGAAGCGATTTACGGTAATATGTCGTCTCTGAGCCCCTTGGCTTTCCCGCTGCCCGGCACATGGCTTTGACAGAATATTGACGGAACTTAGCCCCCAAATATGCCACATAGGGTCAGATTTCCTGCCTTATGAGTTGGCAAGAGTCAGACACCTCGTCCAGAATCGTGCTCTGCCTGTCTTTTCTGAGGCTTTCACTGCTCAATGGCGGAGATTAATCCTCGGGCTTGATCCGTAGTCAGCGTCCTAGTGGAAGGCTACTATCCACGATGCCGGACTGATGCAACACTTGCTCCATTCTATATGAGACCATCGGGCGTGGTAGTCCCCCGGTCCCTGTCCGCCCGCTGACTCGCGCACAGAACACCAATCTAATATGAGCCGACTTGCTCTTCTTGATGGAGAAAATTTCCAGCAGGAAAAGCTGTGCACGGCGGTGCGCCTCCTTTTGCGGCTTGCCTACGTCCCGCACCCCCCCCGACTTCCGCCATGATATCGTCTTGTCCGCTGGGCCACAGCCCACCTCGACGATCCTCGATAGAGATCGGGACCTAGCCGCGTGGCGTTCCTGTTCTCGACCTTTCGGCTGACTGCCGCTCTTCAGACACACAGACTGAAACGGGTGGATGCCGCTCGCCGGGCCCAAGGTCTCCAAGACCAGGCCTAATGTCGTATCACCCTCCCTCGCCTCCATTCCTTGCCATTTCTTGATTGTTCTTCTCCATCAGCCCTATCTTAAAATCACTCGAGGATGGACCCTTTATGCCAGGCTAGCGGAGCACGCGGCAAGGTGATTTTCATTCATTAAAGAAGTCCCAATTGCCACCCTCCCGTACCGCGTGGCCCAAAGTTTAATCCCCTGCTCAACCGCTGTCGCTCTTTTCAGTCTTTTCCCGGTTGCTGCAGCTCGCGTCCGTCCCTTTATTTTCCTTTTTTTTTATCTGTACTCTAATTCCAGAAAAACGGTACCATTCCTGTCCGAGTGTCTCACTTCCCAGGCCATCTACGTGACACGCCCTACGCAGCACAACCATGCAGTTCCTCAAGTTCACCGCTGCGGCCGCCGCTCTGATGGGCCAGGCTTCCGCGTTCCCTCCCGGCCCTGGATTCGGCTTCCCGGGCGGCGGCGGAAGCCCGGACGCTCAGCCGGATAGGGATGGCTGCGTCGACACCGAGGCGGCGTACATTCGCTCCTACTTTTACGTCGGAGGCGGGTACGTCGACGATGGTTCCGGCGGTCACATCTTCCGCGACCAGATGTACGTTGAGAAGTTGCTCCCCACGACTGGAGTTTCCCAGGAGACGCCGATCGTCCTGATCCACGGTCAGGCCCAGACGGGTAGCGTAAGTTTTGCAGATCTTTCCCAGCGGGATCCTCCCTCGCGATGTCATAATATTGAATATTTGCTGATACTTCCCCCAAAGAACTTCTACAACAAGCCCGATGGCGGTAGAGGTTGGGCCTCTCACTTTGTAAGACAAGGCTTTGAGGTCTACATCGTCGACCAGACGCTCCGTGGCCGCTCCGCTTGGATGCCCGCCTACGGCGCCTCCAAGCCCTCAACGTACTCCGCCGAGATCATCCAGCAGCGCTTCACCGCCATCAAGGAGTACATGCTCTGGCCCCAGGCCGTGCACCACACCCAGTGGCCCGGTACCGGCATGATGGGCGACGAGGTCTTTGACGCCTTCTACAGCTCCAACGTCCAGTTCATCAACAATGCCACCTACCAGCAAAAGACGGTCCAGGACGCCGGAGCCGCCCTCCTCGACAAGATCGGCAGACCCGCCGTCGTTCTCGGTCACAGCCAGGGCGGCCTCATGCCCATCATCATCGCCGATGCCCGCCCCGAGCTGACCAAGGCTCTCATCCTCCTCGAGCCCACCGGTCCTCCCTTCCAGGAGGCCGTCTTCAGCAACAAGTCCGCCCGCGCCTACGGTCTCACCGATATCCCCGTCACCTACTCCCCCGAGGTCACTGATCCCACCACCGACCTCGTCCAGCAGACCTACCCTGCCAAGGGTGAGAACTACGTCCAGTGCGTGCTGCAGGCCGAGACCCCCGCCCCGCGCCAGCTCGTCAACCTCGCCGACAAGCCCATCCTCCTCGTCACCTCCGAGGCGTCCTACCACGCCCCCTACGACCACTGCAGCGTCGAGTTCCTCGTGCAGGCCGGCTGCAGCAAGACGGAGCACCTCGAGCTCGGCGAGGCCGGCTTCCACGGCAACGGCCACATGTTCTTCATGGAGAAGAACAGCTACAAGATCCAGAAGACCCTTCGTGACTGGATCCTGGCCCTGTAAGGCTTTGGCAATGTTGTCAAGGCGGGTGGTTGGAGTGGAGGAGACAAAGATAATTGAGTGATGTGCTCACGTGTACTCCGTACGTTTTGTACGAAAAGAAAGCGGATACCCATAGACAATGAATATCATAATCTGGTAATGACACGCACTCGGTATTCTCATCACCTCCCAGTCTCCATCTGCGATCGTCGAGGTTGGTTCGGATTACCGTTGTGACGTCCGGAGAGACCTGCCTCAGTATGTAGCCACGTGCCGTTGGTCCCAGTGTCGGCCGAGTCATCCTCCATGTCCGAGCGCAGCGATCTTTGACAAGTTGACATGAGCTGAAATGTGACTTGAGCTATATCTTGACAGTCTGGTTGAAGAAAAGATCGTCGCTGACAAGGGAGGGACATGTCAATATTGCTTCCGTCCCCTGCCGTCGAGTCGTTGACGCCATGTCATGTTTGTCCTCCGCGGGAGGTGGGAGATGACTCGCTTACACGGACCCAGATCTCGGGAAAGGCAAACGGCCACAGACTAAACCTCGGATGTTGACTTACACTGCTCTTAGCTCTCTCCTGCACCTTTCACCTCACAGACTCTACGCTTGGGACATCATGTTAAGCTATGGCATCGCCAAACATCGCATCTGCACCTCAATGGCGTTTCGACTAATGCAATTCATTTCTGTAACAGACACCAGCACAGCTGCTGAAAGGTGCTAGGCCTGTTGTTTAAAATGTAGCTAGCTGCCAAGCTAGAAGCTAGAAGTCTTCTAGTTTCTTGTTCCATGACAGATTGACTGCCTTCGCCCGTGTTGAGGACTGACAGTACGGATAATGGCGACCGCAACCACCGTGATCGCGGCCAAGGGGGCGGAAGATGGAGCCTCGGATTCAAGTCACTACACGATTGTCCGTAAAACGAGTATGTTCAGTTCGCATCATTGAAGGATGCTCAACGCTAATGCATACCAGCAAATCTTGACCGAATGTTCTACACCTACCATCGTCTCGGAATCCAATCCAACGTTCTAGTCGCAGCTCGCTACGCCTCGGCCCAACCAGGCAAGCAGCGCCTAATCCTATCCGATGACGCAGTTTTCTCAGCTCTCCACGTCATCGTTGCAAAATACCCAGAGCTTGGCCTTGTCGGAGTCGTAGGGCCAGCCGCCCAGGGGGATAAGCATATCCTGTCTCTCGCAACACTCAACGAGATCAATCTCGAGCGCTGCGTCGAGTTCATCGATGACGAGACAGCCCAGGTCGACGCCAAATTCCTAGAAAACCTTCACGGTAAATGGCACTGGGCTGATGGCACAGTCGAAGCCGGAGTGCCCTGGTGGAAAATCATCGTCGTCGGACGCCGAGACGTCGTCTTCGTCTACCACCACCTCGTCTGTGACGGCGCTTTCGGGATGACATTCCACCGCGAGCTCCTGGATGCCCTCAACGCATCAGCCGTCTCCGATACGGGCTCCGCGCCCACTCGTATCATTAAGCTGGGTCCCGACAGGGTACGACTCAGCACGACCCTCGAAAACGCCATTCACAAGAAACCAGCGGTTCTCGGCGTCATCTACAACCTCCTCGTCTTCCTCTTCTACCGGTTCTTCTACGCAAAGAAGCTCTTCTTCGTCAACTTCCCCAAGTCGAAGGAGCTGCTCAAGGACCCGATGGCCGTCGCTGGACCCTCGGACCGCACCGTCACAAAGGTGACGACGTGTCGTATTCCTTCTGACAAGATGAACGCCATCATCAAAGCGTGCCGCGCGCACGACACAACCTTCACGCCTTTCCTGGCCGTTGTCGTCGCCGGTACCCTCGCAGCGGACTTTTATCCCCACGCCGAGGTCGGGTTCACCCGGTACGCCGTGGATATGCGCGCCACGGGCTGCTTCGACACGGCTTCCCCAGACGAGGGTAAACTGCTCAACCTGGCTGCAAGTCTTCCCGAGGCGGAGAGGTTGAAGAAGTACCGCCAGGCCTTCTCGGCGTCGTCCTCAGTGGGCGACAAGCAAAAGGGCCTCACCGCGACCATCGATTCTAAGGTCGCCTGGGACCTGGTTCGGGACTACGGGAGACGAATGGTAGAATCGCGAAGTGGCGGGGATGAGTCTTACCTGTACAAGGCCTGGATCAGCGGCAATGCTCTCGGACCAAGCCTCGAGGAGTTTGCGGAGAAGTTGCCGTCGATGGGGCTGTTCATGCAGAACAGCTTTTCAGTCTCCAACGTTGGATGCCTCAAGACCGCGCCCCCGTCCTTGGGTCTTGAAGAGCCGGTGGTGAAGATTGAGGATGTGCAATTTTCGGCTGGCCCGGTACAAGGTGCCGTCGGCTATCATGGCATCGTGTTCAATGTGGCGGGAGTTGCGAGCGGCGATACTGTCATCAACGCCTGCACTGAAGGGGGAATGGCGCCTGAAGGAATGGTTGAAGCCGTGTTGGATGGTGTCATGGCTAGAGTCAATGCATTGCTGCAAGAGGAGACCACTCCAAGTGATGGCGGTGGCCGCAAGGGATTTTGGCATGCTTTTGGCTGAGTCAAGAGGAGTTGTATCGCTTCAGACAGACGTAATGAGAACCAGCTACGAAGTGCCAGATCCTTGGTCATAATCAGAACCTCTCGCAAGACTACATGCAGCTTTGCCAACCACTTACATGCTGGATCGAAGATGAACCCCGGGTGAGAGACAAGTTTGATGCCTGCCCGGTCTGCTAGAGATATTTGGATCTTATCTCCCAGTGAAGCGTGATTACAATAGCATGTTTAGACAGGTGTTTGTGGCGCTGTATGTGACTGGCTAGAGGTTGCAAGGCGACTGGTAGACGATGGTGAATGCCCTTGGTTACTTGGTTCAAACTCAATCTGGCTTAATGTGAACCCAGATCTTCATTTCAACTCGTTTTGTCGGTATATATGACTTAAGCTTATCATTGTGGCCTACCACAACTATGAACTAACCTTATAATGATGGTTTATCACATTGTATCCATAACTGTTCTCTTTTTCAAGTTGCTACTGCAGGACGACGTTTGCTAGAGCCTTGACTTGCTAGCCTTGAATTTGAACCCAATCGGCTCTTGGCCGAACGCGGCTTACGGCGAATTTTGTAGCATTCTATCATACTAAGTCATATCTTAGTCTGAAGCCATAGAACTTGAGGAACACGCTAGATGCTACCCGATATTGCGCGGCATTGACGTTGATAGGGTATCCAGCGTCGAGAAGTCGCGTTCAATGTCCCAAGTGAGCACTAGGATTATGGGCAAGTGATGTATTGCATCTTTGGAAACACCCGAGGTTCAACGTTGAAACACGACAATCTTCCTTCAGAGAAGTTAGTATACAGAGGATCGATACCATGTTCCAACAAAACCAGTCATTTAACTTCGTGAGTCGAGACCTCACCCAGCGTCGCGGAGACAAGAACCCTCCTCCAAAGCTGACCTCCCGCCAAGGGACCCATCACGGCCTAGCCCAATCTCATCGAAGCCCCATCTGCACTCGCCATCACCAACCCAGTCCGAGGAACCCACTCGTCCATAAACCCAGTGCAGTCAGCCGTCGCAACCAACAACCATGTCGTGGCACCCGAGAAAGCGCAATCTAAAACATGCACATTGCTTTCTTGTGTCAACAACCAACACGAAAAGTTCAAGTTACCATCTCGGGCAGGTCGAAGCATTGAGAATGTCGACCCTGCGGAAACACACGACGAAGAGCACCAACCGATCCCAATAAACGGGGATACGGTTCCTCAAGAACGGAGTCGGGTTGCGTTTGCGTATCCACCGTATCTGAGGTATTTGCTTGGCGACTTCTCCAGCTGCACACTGGGTCGGTCACCTCCCCTCACAATCACATCGCTTACGCAGTAGGGAGCCACGAGAGCCTGGTTCCAACTCCACGGGCGGGCATGTGGGATATCTGCACTTCTGCAAACCTGTAGCGGAGCCTGCTGCCTGCATGTTTGCTTGTCTCGCAACTGTTAAGCTGCTTGAAGAGGCGCAGTGCTTAAAGACTCCCCGGGAGCCTTGCGTGCTTTGCTTGCCTCGGATGTTTGCCTCCCTCGAACTTCTAAGCGCCCTCCCCCAAGAACTCGATCGGAATACCCGTCGAATCGAGGTCTGTCATCTTGAAAGTTGACGAAATCCTTTACCGATTCGGGAATGCTTCGGCCGGGGGATAGCGGGAAGTTAGGCAGGGGTTAGTGGGTTTCGAGATTGTGTTTGCTGTTGTGCCGTTGGGATGTATATCGTGAAAGTGATTGCGGAACCGGGGTGGTTTTGGGCTTTTGGTGATATTGTGGACTGCAGTTACGATTGTTCCTGGCGAAGAAACCGAGAGACTAATGAGAGCCACCTTTGCTTGGCGGGCACGCAGTGTGCTGCATGACGGAGTTGTTGGAACAAATAAGTTTGTATTAAAAGCTCTTCAGCGTCGTTGGCATTGTCCTCTTTCAAAGCTTGTCATTCCTGCAGCTTGTTATTCTTCAGCAGTTCGAGTAATCGTCGACTTTCACGCAGATACTGTATACCTACACAAACAGCAGGGATGGCTACCGCGGACGCGTTGATTGCAAGTCTTCAGAACATCAACGGGGAGAGCTTCACAGATAAAGCCGAGAGGATACGAGCCAGAGATGCGCTGTACGATGCGTTGAGAAAAGTCCAGACGCCGTGGGGTATCGCGTGGGATCACATCGTGGTCAAGGGCGGCGGCAACGCGGCGATCAAGACAGCTCATCGACGCGGGCATCTTCAAAAAGTGGCATGAGGCTGGTGGTGAACCCATCACCTGTACCAAGCTCTCAAAGCTGACGGGTGCCGATGAGCACCTCATCCGTACGTCAAACCTCCTCTCAAACTAGTTCGAAGATGAGAAAACACACCGCTGACCCGAGAAAAACAGGCCGCATGATGAGGGCAATAGCAGGCCAACGCCTCGTCATCGAGACAGACCTCGACACCTACGCCCGCACACCCTGGGCCCAGGCCCTCGGCGAGGACGCACCGCTGCCGGCCATGTACGGCGGCTTCTACGGCGAGCTGACGAACCCCATGTTCCGCTTGCTGCCGTACTACCTCAAGCAGAACGGGTACCGGAACCCGACAGACACAAACGACTGCAACTTCCAACACTGGCTGGGACCCGAGGCCGTCTTCTTCAAGTATGTCGGCACGAACCCGCTTCTCACGTCGGATTTCAACGACGTCATGGAGTGCCATTCGCGGGATAATCTCACGGCGTGGACGGAGGTGTATCCCACGGAGAAGATTATTGACGGAGCGATCCCGGAGAGGCCGTTGGTCGTCGACATCGGCGGCGGAAAGGGTCATGATTTGAGGAAATTCCACGTCCGGCATCCGCAGGTTCCCGCGCGGCATCTCATCCTGCAGGACCTGCCCGATTTTCTCAAGGACGTAAAATCCGATTCCGCCTTCACGATTCAGGCGCACGACTTCTTCAGGTCGCAGTAGCTGCGCGGTGCGAGGGCGTACTTTCTGCACAATGTCCTGCACGACTGGCCCGACGCCACAGCGGTGGATATCCTGAAGAATATTGCGGGCGCCATGGAGAGGGGGTACTCGAGGCTGCTGATCCACGAAAGCTTGATCAGCGAGCGGGCGCCGCTTTCCAAGGTGACGGCGACGGATATGATTATGATGGCGGGGTTGGCGTCGGCAGAGAGAACGGAGGAGCAGTGGGGGAAGTTAATTGCGGCGGCGGGGTTGCGGTTTGTGAAGATTTGGAGGCCGGTGCAGGCGGTTGAGAGTGTTATTGAGACGGAGTTGGCTTGATGAATGATGGTACGCGGTTGGAGTTTCTGGTTTGAGTGGGAGGAGGGCTTCTTGTTTGATGTATCTGTATGGTTTAGCAAGCGTATGGGAGGCAGGTCTTTGGTAGAATCGATGTTATACTTGGTCGAATATGGTAGCGCCTAATTTCCTGCGCATCTTGAGATCGAGTTCTGGGATTCGAGAGTCTCCGAGGCGTAAATGACCACCGTGATACTAGACACTGCTACTCGAAAGTGGCAGAAAAAAATAAATTCAGGAGTTGGCCTTGACTTATTGGCGAGCGAAGACTCCTAAAAGTGTTAGTTGAGCATGTTAGTCACGGCGCTTGGTCAAACCCGCCCTTAGCACGCGTCAAGTCTCTCGAGGCCCAGGATTGAATAACTTTGAAATATCATTGGTGATGTGTATGCTTTGTGGGCAGCTCGACGGCATGGCCCTTCTTGGTATCTTTTTATACGCCCTTGGCTGGCTTTCTTTCGCCAAACAACCCCGTCCGTCTATTCTCCTCGCCCCCCATTGTCGCCACGTTCTCGTGTTACTCGTATGCTCAAGTCTCTCCTCCGAAGTTACTGGCGCGCAGCGAGGGCCTCGGTCGCGTGGCGGTCGTGCTCCGCAATGTCGATGGCCTCCCAGGGGTAGTTGATCCAGACGTCGCCGACGGTGCGGGCGGCGAGGTAGTGGCCCGAGGTCATCATCTCGGAGGGGAGGCTGCCCTTCTTCGCCTTGTCCTTGTTCTGTATTTCGCTGCGTTAGTACGTTTGATCCTCTCTTACATGTGCGTGGTAGGCGGTTATGACTCACGTGCAGGACAAAGATGCCAAACTCGGTCTTCTGGCCCTTGCCGAGGCGCTGGCTGGCGGCCTCAACGTCCTTCTCCAGCTCCTTGACGGCGTACTCGAGGGTGGTGCGGGTATCGTCAACCTCATCGACAATCAGAATGCGCTTGCCGACAAGGTTCTCCATCTCGCCGATAGCGGTCAGGTCGAGCCATTGCGTGCGGGTGACCTTTGTGCCAGGGACCTCGGGGACGCCCGGGGTAGAGTTGCCGCCAAAGGTCTCGGGAAGGCTCTCGTACAGGGAGAGGCCGATGGCCTGGATGGGGATGTTGGGGTTGCCGGGCTTCTTCAGGAAGGAACGGAGGATACGGGCGGGAACGTAGCCGCCACCGCCAATTGCGATGATGAGCTGGGGCTGGAAGGTCTCGAGGATCTTGACGGCGGACTCCTGGCAGAGGTTGTGGACCTGGAGGAAGAGAGATTAGCCCATGTTTGCGGTACCTCGCACGAATAAAGTACAGAGACCACTGGAATAAGAAAGCAATAGCGCTAGCAGATTGAAAGAAGGAACGAAGGAAAACATACATCGTTGTACGTGACGTAGAGCTTCTCGACCATTTTTGCGGTGTTTGGAGGGGTTCTTTGACTCGAATTCGGTCGGTAGACGGGGGGTGTACTGCGGGGTAGGAGGAATGCTGCAGATTTGGAGATGTCTCTGACGTCTGGTATTTGGGAGGATGCAGAGAAGAAGTAAGAAAAACGAAAAAGATGGATCGTGTATATCGGGGAGGGAAGGAAATATACAGAAGAGTGAGTTTAGAGTGGAAAAGAAGCTTGGGTAGGGAAGAATGGAACCCAAGGTTTCTGCCAGGAGAGAGAGTGCCGCTATTCACACGCGAGACGAGGACGGGAGAAAAAAAAAAGATGCGCGCGCCAGGCTGCCAGGACCCCTCCATCCGTTCCATCGATGAGCAAAAAGGGACCCCGCCATGCATGGGATGGGCCAAGGGCATAGGCGGCGGCGCAGCGCAGGCATTGGGAGAGAAATTTTGTCTGTCTGGCGAGCCCCGAGCCCCGAGCCCCGCGATGACCACCGGTTGCATTGGGACCCACTTTGGCATGGATTTGGCTGCTGCGCCCCGGATGCCAGTCATCCGACTGTGGCTTGTGAATGGCTGCTGACCGAGGGAAGACTCACCGAGGCATCGGAGCTCGCCGTGGTCTTCGGTGAAGGGACCCCACATCCGGTGTTGATTTACCAATGAAATCGGCGTGACTCTTAGAGGGCAGGGATCAAGCGTTGCGCTCCTTCCAAAGTTCCTTCCCATCCCAAGTGAGGAAAGAGCTCACTGCTGAATTTTCACTCCCTGCCACCTGCCACTGAACATTTCACGATAATTTCCAGGCGTAGAGAAGATGCTGTGATGCTGCGACTGCAGCATTATTTAGCTGTTGCCCTGTCAATATCGAGTCATGAAAATGTGTGAAAATACTCCGTATGAGAGTCTTAAAATGGACTTCTTTGGCGGGAGCTAAGGTAATTGACTCGGGTGACATGCCGCCTCGAGCTCCACTCCACTTCTTCCCGACCCTGGCCGCGCGAGCCGATGGGAATGTTTGCTGCCGTGCTCTCAACTTTCAATTCTTCTCTCTCTCATTCTGGGGCGAATAGCTTGTCACTCTTGACGTGTATAATTCGGGTCTTGGACGACCTAACATCCTCGCTCCCATGGGAGTCGACTTTCTCCACTACTACAGAGATCGTCTTTAGGCGCAACATGATGGGCCACTCTTCAATATGGCACATCTTGAGTGGCATTGACTGCATTGTCTCCTAATAGCTCTGGGTATCCCTTCGTAATAACTCATCAATCCCAATGAACCTCGTGTCCGTGTCCTCGTCAACATAGCCGTCGTCCTTCCAAAAAACAAAGCTCAAGACTAAGCTTGGCACAAACATGAACTAGAGCGTCTTCATGCGCGCAATCAAAACCTTCAAAAGCAACTTCCTCATCTCCTGATCCCGATACGATCCCTCCGGCGCAATATCCTCCTTCCACTGAATAATTCCTTCACTGACAATCATGTATGCCGCCCAGAACGCGTCAAAGATGCCAGGACCAACGCCAGGCCGCGGGAAGAAACGCTCGTTCTCCTAAATGTAACCAGCCGGATCTCCCACGAAATCGTCTCTGTCCTCATTGACTTTCAACTCGTCCATGTTTCCCAGCCCACACACCCAGAGCTGCGGCTTGTCCTGCATAGGATCGTACGCGAGCCGGAACTTGACGTTACGGGCGTCCTTGTGCATGTCGTGATGAATGATGGCGAGCGCGGTGCCCATCTTGCGCGCGAGCTCGAGGACGCCAGGGCGACCGATGAATTTGAGGAGCTGGTCGAGGTAGGCCGGTTGCGTCGCGAGGTTCGGGTAGTCTTTGAGCGCCTCTCTGACCTCGAGCGGCTGTTTGAAGCCAAGCCAGATCTTTGGGTGCAGGTTGTAGTTCTCTGGCATCATGAGAGCCTGTTTCTGGAAGTCGCGGCCGATGGTATGATCGATGATGATGCGGACGACGGTCGGCTTGATGGGTCGCATTCTCTGCATGATGAGTCTACCCTCCATTTCGGGGAACGGCTCGAGGAGCTGATCGGGCAGATGTCTGGAGTTGTCCATGCCCTTAATGAGCTTGAACTGGCGCGGCGCGGCGGGGAGTACGAAGCGCTCGAGGTAAGGGTGGTCCTCTCCAAGGATATCTTTGAGTCGCTCGGGAAGCACGTTGGACCAGTGGCTGAGGAGCGTGGCAAACGCGTCGGCGGCGAAGAATCCATCGCTCAACGTCTCGTAGGAGGATCGCTCCTTGAGGGCCTTGCCGTCCCTCAGCATGTAGATCTGCGTCTCCCAGGTCCTCGAGTGGTAGATGAGACGGAGTCGCGCCGAGTGGGCGGGAGGAGAAGGCGGACGGGCCCTCTCGTGGGGCAAGAGAAGGTCCTCGTCTTCGTTGTAGTCGTCATCCGACGAGGAGGAGGAGTCTTCCCAGTCCCCCTCCTCGTGGATGACTGGCAGCGGAGTGATTGTGCCTCTGGATGCCATCTTTGGTGTTGAGTTGGTTAGTTTGGAAAGAAGGAGAGAGGGAGAGAGGGAGAGAGGGAAGAGGTTAGTACATTAAAAGGCGGCCATTGGCACCCTCAGGTGCTTAGTCGTCAGTATCCGCATCGATCCCAAGGGGTTGAGAAACCCTAAGGTGGTCTGCAGAGGTGTGTCGGCAGGCTAGGTGAGGGCGATTGGAAGGTTGTAGACGGCAAGGTACGGAGAGCCGAGGACTCAGGCTTGTGCTGGTAGCTAATAAAGGCAGGAACCCTCTCTCGTCACCTTCCGTAACCAGATCGTTCGTATTCGAAGTATCAAAACGAATACGGGAACGATAATGCGCAACGACAGTGACGGGAGCTTTGGAGGAAAAGGTATTTAAGTACCCTGTGAATTTCCCCTGTTGGTGTTTGAATGAGTGACTGCATGAACGAGATACTATTATGAGGAACCCCCGATCACTGCCTTTCATGCCATGCTTCAATTCAACTGCCGTTCGAAAGGTATTGAGAGACCATTGGCTGAGCCCTTTATAGTGACTGACTGCTCATAGACTTAAAAAAAACGTGAGTGTGAGTGAAGGGGGGTGAATTGCGAGTTGAAGAAGGCATGTGTAAGATTTAGATGAAATATGAGAGGAAAAGGAGATTCGGCGATGAAAGAAGGTGCATGCTGAGGTTGACAAGGCAAGTACGACGAAAGCTCCTGGATTTCTGAAAGACAATAAAGGGAGAAGATGACCGTGGACTTTGGCCATGCTGATGACAGATATTGTCTCTCGGCGTTGAGATGGGGCCAGTCGAGCTATGTGATAGTTTTGTCAACCCTCTGCTCTCTTCCCCACTTCAATTCTTGAAGCTGTCGGAAACTTCGAATATCACCTGTATTAAAACAGTAGTCAGCTGGCCAGGGAGGATGTGGTGGGTTTTTTGCTGTAAATACTTCAGCACCACAGCTCTTGGGAACCAACTTGATTGTGGTATTGTGTATTGTAACAAATGTCTATGGATGACGCTGATGATGGAACTTTTAAGACGATTGCCTCCTACGCAAGCTATGAGACGAAGAAGAAAGGAGAAAGAACCGAGAAACCAAGTACCGTTCCCCTCAGCCTCCAGTCGTACCCTCTTTTTCATGTACAGCTTTCAACTTCTTCTCCGTCTTCATAAACTCTCGGATGCCAACGGGGACATCGTCGTAAAGCTTCTCATCCCACATGTTCTTGGCAATCTTGGGATCCTGCGGCACCCAATTGGTATCTGAACCGCCGCCGTCGTCATCCATGGTATTTGAATCGCTCGCGCCTTGCTGCTCCTTCAGCTTGAGCTGTGCCTCCGCATTCGCCGCCGACCAGTCTTCCATCTCCTCCCTGTACCGTTCCCACACGCAGTTGACGCAGCCGCTCATGCAGCAGTTATCCGGCTCCTCCGGCCGCGGGGGAATGACCACCCCCGCTATCGTCGTGCTCTTGGAACGCAACTCCTCGAGACGCTTCTGGCGCGCGGCAGGGCCGGCCAGGGCAGAGCCGAAGACGATGGCGGCCTTCTCAGCCGCGGTTTGCGGCGGCGGCATCGGCACCGGCTGTGCGGGTAGAGCTTCAGCAACGAGTTCGGTGGTTGGGTTTGGATTTGGGCTTGGGCTTGGGGAGGGAGGCGACGTCTTACGGCCTTGCTCCTGCTTGTGGGCGGAGGAGTTTGGGGGCTCCTCGGGCTTCACATCGGGGATGGGTTGGGGGTCGTTGAGGATCGCATCGTAGTAGGCGCCCAGCGGGTGCGCTTGGGTCTGGGTGGGCTCGATGGGTGCCGGGCCGGTTTGCGACTGGCTTGTGATGAAGGCACCTCGGGGTACACGGGCGATGCGCGGCACAAGAGGCCGGAGGCGGGGGAGTAATCTGGCGGGTGCTGACATATTGAGTGTGCTCCGTTGGTATGTCCAGTTCTAGGTAGGTTGAAGCTTGGAGATGGGCATTGTTGGGGTTGAGTGAGGCCGGCCTGCTGTCACTACAGAGGCGGGAGAGACCAGGGCGATTGGAATGCGGTCATCAAAGCCTCGGACGTCATCGGTCTCTCAAATTGGTGCTTAGGTAAGGTGGGAGATACTGTCACGTGCTCTCGCGTCTAGACTTTGTACTCCGTTTCTGAGGGGGGTGAGGTAAGGTGAGGAAGGAAACGTCAATGGCAGGCCAAACAACTGCTTTTCAGCAGCGACTGAATAATCATGAAGTATCTTGAGTTTTCTATCAAACTGAGAAGCAAACGAAAAATAAAACAGAGAACTCTAGAACGTGGTTGGAATTGAGTAAGATTTGGGAGATGCTTGCACTTAGACTCAGGCTCCTAAGAGCTCTAAGAGGACCTCTCCTGTTTACCTCCCAAGGTCTGCCCAATTAGGAAAGCGGTGGGGTCGCATGTACACAACGCGCTGCCTGTGCACCCACTGGATGAGAGACCGTCGCGCATCTCACCAAGGTCGGAACCAGCACTGCAAAACAACCTCGAGTGCCCAGCTCCGCATTGAAAATGCTTCAGTAGGGCTCACGCTGATCATTGAGCATGGACGAGTCCGCGCCGAAGCGGCGGAGGGTTTCTCCCCGCCTGAGCAGAGAGCGCGACGAAGGCAATAACGAATCGACCACTCCGCCGGACCCTCCCCCACCACGGTCGCGAATCCCCAGGAGACCATCCTTCGCGTCGCCAACTAGAGCAAGCCTCTCCCGGACGAATCCCGATATCCAACGAAGAAGAAGTCGAAGCCTGAGTCCGTCAAAGGCGGGTAGCAGCAACCCGTCAACGCAGTCTACCACCCAAGATGTCGCTGGCGAGGGTTCAGCTGCCCAGTCCGAGACCCAGGCAGAGCGATTCTTAGAGAGAGGGCCTGCGCGCCCAAGGAGTAATATGTCTGGGTCAACTGCAGTCGAATCAACCAACTTGGGATCTCCAGCACGGCGAATGGCTCTTGAGTCGAGGGTCAGCGGTGCTTTGGCGTCTAGGCCACGCCGGTCCGGCGGCATCCCCGTTCCCAGGCCACTTCCCGAACCTGGACCCAACGATGATGAGGACTTCAACCCTTTCGCTGGACGCGTCTTGAACCGCACACCTCCTCGCCATGGTGCCGCTCTTGGAAGAGCACCTCCTCGTCAACCTCAAGCCGGACCTGAGCCTGTACTTGATCAAGAGCCTGAACTCCCGCCGACGCCCACGCAAAGGGGCCAGGCTGACCCTGTCGTCACGACACCTCCTCGCGGCATACACGATACGCCCTCGAAAAAGAAGCGGCGGATTGCTTCACCGTCTAAGAGCTCGCCACTGAAGCAACCGCCTCTCCGACCACCCGAGTTTTCTCAAAAAGCGCAGGAGCCCTCCAAAAAGGCCATGGCACGAGCTGCGCGAGAGAAGAGCCCGACCCAGACCGCAAAGCAGACAAGATCAACAAAAGGCCCTTCAGGGACACACGAGGGGCGTGGGATACCAGTGCCTGATCCCTATGCAGAGCTCAAGGAGACAAGGGACGCGCTTCAGGCGCAACTCGCCAAGTTGGAGGCCGACCTGGAACTTGCAACCGATGAGAACGAGCGGATACGTAAGGCGCAAGCTCGTCGATCAGGTGATGTGCAGCCTTTGGGCCGTTCTCGTCAAAACCAACTTCTCGACTTGCTCCGCCGTCATCTTGTGCCCCCTGAGAAGGAAGCCAAGCCAGATGTTGCAGAAGGATGGTTCGACATGGCCATGAATCCAACATCGTGGCTTTCTTTCGGATCTCTTGGGCAAGCTCAACTGTCTCTGCCAAAGGAAGAGCCAGAGAAAGTCGCCGCTCCGACTTCTCACCACCCCATAGCGATGACGGCCATCGATGAGCTTCCATACCTTCAGGCCTTCACCCCCTTTGAGTTTTCAGCAACGACGAACATGCTGCCGAAAGAAAGAAACTCTGATCCTTTACTTCGGAAACACAACATCGTCGTCAGATCGGCTCATCCAGCGGGTTTGTTCATGGCGAAGATGGAAATGACTGTCGACACCGAGAATCTCCAAATCAAGGAGCTCGCAGTGCCCCGCCTGGACCCTGCCGCCGTCGCGGAACTTGGCCCCTTTGTTGAAAAGGTCACAATCGGAGGCTCCAACACTCACATGAACCGAAACGTCAGCACAGTCACTTGGGCCATGTCCGAGTGGTATAGAGTCGCCGTCGAGAGAGCGAATGTTTGGCACACGCTCGACACCGAACTCGGCGACAAGGAGAAGCTGGCACAGAGCGTGGCGAGGATACGGACAAGACGGAAAAAGCGAAGGAGGAAGGACGACGAAGAGGACAACAGTCAAGATACGGATGGTGCCACCGAGAGGAATCGGGGCGAGAATCTGCCTCGTTCAGTACTGCTGCCTCATCTTGGGCGAACAGCCTACGAGATTCCGATACCAGGCGCCGTGAAGGAAGAAACATCGTGTTTGAGATTACTATGGCGGATTGATTTTGACTGGACGGGCGAGGCGCAAAGCAAGGTTGGGTTGGTGATTGGCATGCCCGGCAAGTGTGAGTACCCTTGAGGAAGCCCTGTATCACGCCTCTGACTAACATCGACCAGGGCATTTAGGTGACGAGCGCGGTTCATTGGCGGCAGCGTCCAAGGTTTTCGAAAGATTTGTTCAGGGTAACGAGGGGCCGATGACGGCCGTACGAACTGTTGTTGCCTTGCTGGCGGGAGACGCGTTGTCTTGAGGATACCTGGTTCCATGCAGCACTGATTCTATAGTAAAACCTTTGTGCTTTAGATGGGCGTATCATCACAATGTTAATGTTTGCGCAATCCAGGGGCTTTCCCATCCATCCTCTCAACATCACGCTCGTCAACGAGGCACCTCAACTACCTTGTCGTAATGTCAGTGTCCAGTAAAACTATAAAACAAATTACCGCCCACGTCTGTTAGTAATGAGGAGGGAAAAAAAAGAGTTCACCCCCCCGGTGCTGAATCAGGGGCTACATCTCTTGGTGCTCATGCTGGGATTCGAACTCGGGATCTCGGTAGCCTGTCGTCGAGTAGGCTGTGAGCGTAATTGATCATTGACCATAAACCACTCCACCACCCAGCCAGTTTGACCCGACTCGTCGACCTAGACGGGCGCCTGCTGGCTGGTGACAGGATTGGAGTTGAGGGGGTATATATGGGCTTCAGTGGTGGCTTATTCGACTGACTGGGTGAATAGATGTTTCGGAGAGCAATACTCTTGCGCATAGAGTTGATCATGTTTTTAAATTTTACTTCAATTCGGTTAGACGCTATCTATGGGCTCGCGACTAGGGTCTACCTACTAATTAATGTTTACATACTGCTGAAGGAGACATTGACCTTGCCCCTTTTCTATATTACTACTTAGAGCCCCGTCTTAGGTTCTCGAACCACCTCAGGGAGAGCTCATGCCATTACTAGAGTCTAGTAGGAAAAGCCGCCAGAATGACCACCCCGGCCGCCGCCAACACCGCCACCACCGCGGCCGTAGGGTCCATAGGGACCATACCCATTCCCACGTCCACGGCCCCGACCATTGGGACTACGCGTAGGGCTGCCATTCGAACTATCACTACCATAGCCATTGGTGTAGCCGTTGGTATGGCCGTTGGTCATCCCATTCTGGGTGGAAGAACCACCGCCACCCCGTCCATAGCCGCCTGGTACGCCAAACAGAGCTGCGGGGCTGTCCCGGTACGCATCGCTTGCACGGGGACCATTTGCGCCAGACATGAAGGCTCCTCCACCGCCGTTGGACGAACCGCCTCTACCGTATCCATTGATACCGTTCGTCGGTCCAGGTCCAGGGGCGCCTCTACCAAATCCAGCGTGGGTGAAGGGTGGACTGCGAGGGGCAGGACGCATTGGAGTCAGGGGGCTCTGCTGTCTGTTCCCGTTTGTTCCATTTGTTCCATTCACGCCGTTGGCTGGACGGAAGGGGATGTTAGTTGAACCGCCGCCGTAAGTGGAGCCGCCGCCGTTGGCGTAAGTTGGGCCTGAGAAACCTGCGCCGTTGTTGGCGTTGCCGGTAAAGGCTGCGTTATTGGCAGCGGCATTGCGGTTCATGTGCCAGTATGCGTCTAGGGCGGAGAAGCCGTTTATAATTCCTGGGGAGAGACGGCGAGGGGGGGTGTCCCCATTGTTGGAGCTGTGTCTGTTGCTGGACATGGTGTTGAGTTGTTGTTTTGGGGGTTCTTGATGTTGATGTTGGGTGTGCTTCTTTTGTTGTGATGGTTTGTGTTGTTTTTGAAATCTGTAGTGTTCTTGGTGATGATTTTGAGAGATGGATAGAAGCTGGTTTCGTTGCTTCAAGATTCTTTATATAGATGTTAGAAGACATTGGGGTGAATCGGTGCTGGTGGTGCTTGAACAGTGAGCTGAGAGTTCGTGATGCGGTGGTTTTCTTATTGAGCGTGACAACTTCTCATGTCGGACGAAATTTCCACCAGCCATTCACTGTGCTACTTGAGCAAGGACTTGCGTATTGTAGGTATGTGAACAGCCTCTTTGTTGATTGGAGGTGCCTATAGCTAACAATCACTATGATCATTGATTCCCAAGACACCGCAAGTCAGAAGACTTCCTCCCATGGAAACATCAAACAAGTAGGGGGTTCTACGGCTGACCACAGCAAACTCGCGAAAGACAAGGAATGTAGCTTGATAGAAGATGTCCCTTGAATCCCAGCAATATGAGCTACAAACACAAAGATCATGCTGAAAAGGTTTGATGCAGTAAATGTGTGCGCCCATCTTTCGACATTCGACATATTTGCTCTGGCACTCCAAACTGCGGTAGATAGTCCCCGTCTGGACTCCCAACCCAAGCCCAATAGGATACGAGTACATCCGGGATTCAAGAAGTGTTCAATCTTTCTTGTAATGTCACCGTTGTTATTGAAGGCCTTGAACTGTAAAGCCATGGCAAAGTTGTAAGTAAACGGGGCCGGGGCCGGACGCCGGGGTGGGGCCGTCATCAGACCCAATGCGGAAGGGCCAAACATCGCCGTTTCCTCAACCACACATCATCTCGCCGGATTTCGGGTTGCAGTCTTGGTTTCTTCCATAAAGATATGAAGTTTGTAACATGCAAATCATGAGTTATTTCGCTTTCATGTGCAAAACTATTGGTGCAATAATTGCTCCCATGTTGATGCGGCCCACCGCATGCTGGATGCTGGCTTACTGGCCAAAGGGAATAACGAGCTGCATGTTTGCATGATGTCGGAGGCCGGCAAAAATTTCAAGCACGCAGATGGATTGAGCTGAAGACTGTGTAACCTTGTAACGGCCGAGACACTCGACAGAAAAACTCAGGACCATTGCGGTCAGCTGCCGCAGGGCATAGCCCGCATGTTGAGTAAGGTCTTATATCAAACGCCATAACCTGCTCTTCGACTTGGTGTTGACCTTTCTCTCTCACGCAATCCAACGCTTCAAAACTACCCTGTCACCTATTATGGCAACGTTGGGACATCTGAAGAGTGTTCTGAGGCAGCAGGCAGCAGCCCATGGATCAACCGCCACTCAGCCTTTATCTGATGCACAATACAGCGCCGGCTTCAGTTTCTTCAAAGCGGGTCCTGCATCTAAAGCATACCAAGACTTCATTCTACCTCAGCTATCTCAGCTCCTCGATTCAATACTTCATTCGAGTTTGTGTATCTCTGTTCTAGAGATTGGACCTGGATCGAAGAGCGTGCTGGGAGACCTGCCCTGTGATGTGAAGCGCAAGATCAAACGGTACACCGCCTTTGAACCAAACGGCCTCTTTGCTTCGAGGTTGAAAGAAGATCTTCTATCGACTGAGAACGCTGTCTTTCAATGTCTTGAGACGGACCCCGACATCAGGCAGACTCCGTTCAATCTGGACAACTCTCTGAAGATCTTGAGCAACGACAAATTCGATGTTATCCTGTTCTGTCACAGCATGTACGGCATGAGCCCAAAATGCGATTACATCCGTGCAGCACTCAACCTCATAGATGAATCAACAACTGGAGGCATGGTCATACTTTTCCACAGAGACGGCCCGTTGGACTTGAACGGGTTGGTACCTCATCAAACCGCCTGTTTCCCGACCGGCACAGTCCGCGTAGAAGACTCCAACAACTCGCTCGACTCTTTCGCCTCATTTATCGCTGGCTTTGTACCCAAGTCCGCGAGCATTTCACTAGGATGGCAGAATCATTGCCGCACACTCGGCCGCCGTGACAAAGACCATCTCGTCTTCGCTGCGTCCGATGTCATGATGGCTTTCTCGCGACATTCGACCGCGCTGCTAGAGTTGACCTCACGGCTGCCGACTGTCGATGGGAATATGCCTGTCAAAAACCGGGAAGCTCGTATCAACTGTCCGGCCTCGATCATCAGACCAGCACACATTCAGCAAGTTCAGGAGTGTGTTCGATGGGCTTTGGAGCACCAAATGAGGTTGACAGTCGTGGGTGGTGGCCACAGCGGTCATTGTCTCTGGCCTCATGTCGTCGCCATTGATATGAGCGCCTTCAATCAGGTCCACGTTGTTGACGCAGGGGAAGCCGGAGGCCTGTTCATAGCCGGTGCCGGTTGCAAGACGGGAGACATCGTCCTCGAGACCATGAAAAAGGGGCTGACTGTGCCTCTGGGATCTCGGCCAAGTGTTGGAGCAGGCTTGTGGCTTCAAGGTGGCATTGGGCACTTGGCTCGACTTCACGGACTCGCGTGCGATGCCATCATCGGTGCCGTTCTTGTTAGCATTGACTCTGGACAGATTTCATGCGTCGGCCGTGTTCCTGCAGGTCACCTGCCAGCCGATGCCATACGCCCAGAGAACGAAAAAGAATTGCTGTGGGCGATCAAGGGGGCAGGAACCAACTTTGGCATCGTCGTCAACGTTGTCTTTGCAGGACAGCCAGCTCCAACGTTCTTGATTAGGAACTGGGTCATACCGCTGCGTGACGACGACGAGGCGCAAGGCAAGGTTGCTGAATTCGACCATGACATTGCTAGTCAACTTTCTCGACACAGTTCTGCCGACGCGTTTCTATACTGGGACACTGGGAAACTCCATCTCGGCGTGACCATGTACGAAGCCTCAACTGCTGGTAGATTGGCTGAAACTCCCACGCCTATTTCCACGCCCATGGCCACGATTCTGGGCCCGGAGTACAGCACCAAGATCGTGGACAGCATCGGTCTCTTCGAAACTGAGATGTACATGTCAGCAATGCACGGTGGCCACGCTGGAGGCAAGACATCTGCTTTCAAGCGCTGCGTATACCTCAAGGATATCGGAAGGGTCGACGTTGCAAACGCATTGATCTCAGCCGTCCAAACCCGCCCCTCTGCGCTAAGTTACCTTCATCTCCTTCAAGGCGGTGGTGCAATCAGCGATCTGCCGGAATCAGTCACCGCTTTCGGCTGCCGTGATTGGGACTTTGCCTGCGTCATCACTGGCGTCTGGCCGCGCGAGCAAGACGGATCCCAAGTTGCTCGGGCCGCCGTAGAGTGGGTCTACGCCGTTGCCGGGACTCTCTTGCCGCTTAGCACCGGAGCTTACGGTGCCGACCTCGGGCCTGATCCCCGAGACGCAGCACTGGCAGCCAGAGCTTTCGGACCAAATCGCCCTCGTCTAGCCCACCTCAAACGTGTCGCGGACCCGCGTCACATACTTGCATATGCCTGCCCCCTCCCAAGAGAGCCGATGGAACCAGGCCTTATCATCTTGGTGACTGGGGACAACTGTGCGGGCAAAGATTCCTGCGCTGAGATCTGGACTGATGAATTCAATAAACATGGCAAGACTGCGCGTGTTGTTAGCATCAGCGATGCAATCAAGCGGCAATTCGCCGCGGCTACGGGCGCGGACTTGGGACGAATGCTCAGTGAGCGAGAGTACAAGGAGAGGCATCGGCCGGCTTTGACAGCGTTCTTCAATGAACGTGTGCAGGAACGACCTCAGCTTCCAGTTGAGAACTTTCTAGACGTTGTTTACGGCGCTGTTGGCGTGGATGTGCTGCTCATCACAGGCATGAGAGATCAGGCGCCGGTCACAACTTTGGGCCACCTGGTGCCCAACAGCAGGCTTGTCGATGTCCGCGTCAAACCCGGACTAATTATCAAACAACTTCGGCAAAGATTCAGCACTGGCATAGAAGATTACAATGGCTCTCAAGAGGAACCTGGCAAGCTGACTGCTGAGCTGCTGCCGGCAAGGGGTGACTGCGACTACAGGCCCAGCTTGTCTTTCTATAATGACACCGCGGGAGATGACGCTCCAAGAGCCTTCGCAGGAAAAAGTCTGCTTCCTTTCATAAGTGCAGACTTGAGGCGGCTCAACGATATGGTGCGCATCATACCAGACTTTCCACGTCCAGGCATCGAATTCCGCCATATCCTTAACATCGCCCAGATGCCGGGTGGCTTGGCTTTAAGTACGTCTCTTCTACAGTCTCACTTCACGGGAGCCTGGTCAAAAGTCGACGCCATCGTCAGCTGCGAGGCAGGCGGCTTCATCTTTGCGTCAGCATTGGCGTTGCAGGTTGGTCTGCCGTTAGTCTCGATCCGAGAGGCTGGCAAGCTGCCGCCACCTGTTGTTTCTATTGCCAAGCCTGTGTCTCACATCTCATCGGGGGTGAACGGGGTAGAGGGAAGAAGACTTGAGTTGGATCGAGATGCGATTCGGAGCGAGGCGTCAGTTGTGGTTGTAGATGACGTGTTCGCGTCGGGGGAAACGATGTGTGCGATCTTGGAGCTGTTGAAGGAAGTAGGTCTTGGGGCTGAGCAGATCAGTGTGATGACTGTGGCTGAGTTTCCATGTCATCGCGGTAGACAAGTGTTACGCACTCGTGGGTTCGGTCGAGTTAGTTTCCGGAGCCTTTTGGTTTATGGAGGGCCCTGACATTAGCAATACGTAAGGAAAGAAGTCTCTGAAGTTAGTGACTCAATGTTACTGAGGAAAAGTCACCGCACGCTTGCATCAATCCCGACCTTAGAAGGTGAAATTGGCCTTGCTGGGACCAGGCCTAGTTCTTGTCGAAGTCCAAGGCTCCATAAATGGGTGTAATGATGGATTGGCGAACTAAAATTCTTACTAATTAAATGGGGAAGCCTGCGGATCAACATTCGACTTATCCGTGACCTAAAAGTCCAGAATAGTCTTCCACTTAAGGTTAATCATTCAAATGTCTATTTGCTGAATGCATTAAATTTCGTAAATTTGTTACCTTCGGCATTACAAGATCTGCTTGTGATGCCGCAGATGAGAGTTAGAGAAATGCATAGCCTTTGTGAACTTGAGACTCAAGAGGCACACCGGAGATGATTGTGTGTCGTCTAGTGTCACAAGTAATTGAAAAATCAAAGACAGCTTATATGAAACTTTGACACTAATTACCTTATGCAGGAGGCCAACCCGTCTTCGTAAACTTTGAAGGGTAACTAAGTCCTTGGAGGCCCACCGGTTCTACAAAATGATGTTGCTGAACTCTGCGCAGGAGGCCAACCAGAACTCAACTTAGTGCAAAGCTTATTCTAAGAGAATTATCAAACCACCATGTTCAGTCCAAGACGAAGTTCGGTAGTAAGTTTGGAGCTAATTTGAACGACCCGGTGAACTTTCAGGAGTGGTCGATCACCATTGCTGGCAGACCTGCTATCGAAGGCAACGATGCTAGGTAGGCAACGAATGTCGACATCGAGATGTTCCTGTGCCGGGCATCACAATACTAGCAAGTATCATAATCAGAAGCTTTTCACTAGTGAGTAGGAAGATGATCATGGAGCTATCCTGATCCAGGCCAGCACACATGTAGACTAATTTAAAACGAAGGGACCGATAAATATTGACAAGTTCTTTGGAGAGAAGTGTTGCAGCGAATTCTTGAGAAAGCCTGACGCGATTGTCTCGTTAAGAATGGGTTTTATGGTAAGATAAATGGGATTTGGCTTCGTTACGCGAAGCAGTCAAGAGAACAGCTAAATCAGTGGGTAATCCTACTCCATGTCCCTACCTTACTTAGTCGCATACTACCCTAGGTTTCACCAACACCATCACACAGTCGTAACTATCTCCATTGGCAGTACCGGCTTTGGTAAGACCTGGCGATGTGTTGAGAATCACGCCATTCCCCATTCCCAGTGTTTTCTCTCAAGCATCAGCCTCCATCATGTCCGGGTTGTATATCAATGTCGCTTTCCCATCAGGAGGATTGGCTACGTCCAACTAATAAATATGGAAAAACGCTCTCGACTTAATGAAGATCGACTGAAGCTTAACTGCGTCCTTCATGATCGCAAGTAAGTCTCTGTAGAAGCTGTGTCTCACTAACCGATCGCCCTTTTTGTCCGGGGGTATTAAGACCGAGAAGCCCCTTTGCTCTGTATCTGACAGATGTCGTAGCCTCTGTTACTGTGGCCCGAAAAGATCCTCTACCATAGCAGCGCCCTCAGATCTCCATTTTAAGAACTCCGGGGCAGTGTCGAGAGAAACTGCGGCTATTCCGAAGAGATAAGTAAGCTGGTAAACGAGGCCATTCGAAGAGAAGAACTCACTGATCAAAACCTTGCAAAGAAAAAGAAGCCTAGAGCCAGCCGTCCCGCCCCAGGCTCCGGAATGTTCCCTTGGAGGACCATCTCCAAAAATGCGAGATAGGATGCGCCGCCAGATATGATGTTCAACGATAGCAGATCTCATATCTTCGTTTGCAAGCAAATCATATTCAAAGGGGGTCATCCCTACAGCCGTAGTTTGGCAGGTCTGAAAGCCCTTCTCCAACTCCTCTTTCGCCTGGCAGTAAGTGAGAAGGGTTGTGGCAACAGCGCGGATATTGTACGCCATCTGTTGCCAGATTTCGAGTATTGCGGTGTCGGAGACTTTCTTTCTATTTGCAATGGTCTTTTCTGCAGATCTAGCAGCTTCAAAGTCACAGATATGACCCTTTAACCCCCTAATTTCGCGCTGATGATCCAGGTCTCTCTGCCGGACATGTGCATCGTATGCTCGTTTCGAGTCTGTGAGTTGTCGCTCAAGCTCCTTCACGCGTCGCGAAGCTTGGTCAAAAGCTGCCTTGCATGACACGAGTGTTTGTCTTGTTGATCTATTTGTTCTTGCAGCAGTGTGTTTTCATTCTGGAAATTGTCGATCTCTCCCGTTTGATCACGCCGCATGCTATGTGTGGGTACATGTGTAAAGAACCAGTTTGACAATCTTCGGTGGCTACCGGCCAGCATAGATTCAGGCTGTTCAACTCGTCGGTCGTGTTCTGAACTTGGTGGCAAGCCTGACTCATCTGGTGTAGCCTGCAACCGGTTTGGTTTTCGGTCGTGCCTTGTGCCTAATTGATGGAATAATTGCGCGGAGAGTGTTGACAATCTCTAGCGTCAAGAGGATACCGCTTCGTTGGTTCTGGTGTTGTTTTAACCTCACTGCACGGCAATGAGCATACGTAAGTAAGCTTCTCGAGGGCTACGATAAAAAAAGGTTTCTTTTGAGGCGAGTGATCTAATGAGAGCTGTGGGGAGTTCGTATGGTCAATAAATACTCCCTTTGAACATCACATGAATAAGGATATCTGACAACGGTGGAAGCGAGACTGGGGTCGGTCTGTAAAGCACCTCAAGATTAAGGATGACCACAAAAGGCAGCCATCATCGGAAACAAATCTCGAAAGCTAGTTAGTAGTTGCATGAACCTAGAAGATGAGTTGAAGCATGTGCAAGGTCTGAACCACGGTGGAAAAGTGAAATGTCCTGTAGTTTGATTTCTCACTTAAACACACCTCTCCGAGCACAAGGTCCAGCTCCCTTCTTCACCTTGACTACCTTATATTCTCATTGCTTTTTGCTCCATCATATCTACATAGTGCAAACAAGTGACAACTGTTAGCTATCAAGTTATCTCGGTATTCTCAGTAACAAGTCCACAACTCCTGTCAAGATCAGTCAGTATGGTCGAGCTGTGTTACAGAGATCCTATCAGCACCGAGCAGAAAAATGTTATTGTCATCGGCATCGACTTTGGGACAACTTAGGTTTCATTTGCGGCTTAATAGGCCATTTAACTGATTGAAATAATAGATTTTCTGGTGTTAGCTGGGCCTTCTCAGGCTAGCCCAAAAACATTGAAGTTATCAATCAATGGGCATCGGAGTTGAACTTCAACTCCGACACCGAGAAGACACCGTCCACGTTGCTTTATCGCGGTCTTCAAGATGAAGCTTTTTGGGGCTACAACATACCAGCCGCCACTGATGAAGAAGCCCTCAAATGGTTTAAGCTGCTTCTCATCGATGCAAAAAATCTTTCTCCTGACCTGCAGAACTCACGTCAGATAGCCACTGCCAAAAGACTTCTAGACGATGCAAACAGGGATACAGTGGAGGCTGTGAGCAGCTATCTTCGTCGCCTATGGAATCATGCCATCGACCACATCGGTCAGTCGACAGGAATAGGCCTCATGAAGCTTTGCAAATTTCATGTGGTTATAACTCTTCCAGCAATTTGGCCTGAATACTCTAAAGCACGTATGAAGCGCGCGGTGGAGAATGCTGGGATCCTAGAAACTCGTCCGGCAGGTGACACCGTCTTATCATTCATCTCGGAAGCCGAGGCCGCTGCTTTGGCTACGATGGAAGATCTTAAGAACCGCCCTGATATTCAGGTAGGTCGCTTTGTTCTACCATCATATGTCTTGGATCCCAAGTACTAAACCTCTTTATAGGATGGTGATTATTTCGTTGTCTGCGATGCTGGGGGCGGCACAGTCGACCTTATGGCCTATGAGGTTGTAGGTACCAGCCCCGTGGCTGTGAAGGAAGTGGTAAAGGTAAACGGCAGGCGTTGCGGTGGCGTATTCCTTGACCAAGCCTTCGTCGAGCTGTTGAGTCACCAGCTAAGCCCAGGCATGTGGGACGCGATGTCCAAAGATGAGGTGAAGAGGCTTCTAAATGACAATTGGGAGCATGGCATCAAAAAGCAATTTTACGGCCAACAGAAAGATTGGGTTGTGACTATGCCCCAAAGTCGTCAACAGAAGAGTCACAGCAGCACCTTTCGAAGAGGGACCCTGATACTTAGCCATGCGGACTTGGACCTCGTGTTCCGGCCGATCGCCAAAGAAGTCGAAGATTGGTCGGAGAGCAGATCCATCAAATCGAAGAAAAGCATCATAGGAAACCAAAGGTAAGATCACCTCAAAGGCTTCCGAAGTCACTGGAATACTAATGCATGTCAGTACATCATTCTTGTAGGGGGCTTTGGTCGCTGCCCCTACCTCTACACACATCTTGCTCGAGAACTTGCCACCAGTGACACACAAGTTCTACAAGCGCAAGGATCGAGACCGTTAGTATCACTTTCTATTGGAATTGAAGCGTTTGTATGTGCTGACTGTGGGTTGAACCAGTTGGAGTGCCGTATGCCGAGGCGCTGTGCTGCGAGGACTTGCGTGTCAGAACGAAGTACCAAGTCACGCCCAGGCAATAAAGTCTAGGATTGCAGGACTCAATTATGGTCAAAGTCACTTTAAGAATTACGACCCCCAAGTCCATCTGAAGATTGATAGGGTGTGGGACGTGCAAGAGATGAATTGGAAGGCAGACAACGAGATGAAGTGGTATCTGACAGAGGTAATTATGCCATAGATCATTCCTGCGATTAGTTGTCTCCTGAACCGTCTCGTAAAGCACAGACATTTGCGAGACCAAGGCCCTTCGCCATGGCTACTACCGTCTTTACGACAAACCTCCTAGCGAAATCGTCGAAAGACTTTGCTACTCTGCCTCATCGCCGGCACCTACGCGCAAAGACTCAGACGTCAAGGAATTATGCACAATCACTTGGAACAGGAAAATTGATTTCGAGTCTCTACCTACCTTTACCAATCCCGTTGGCAAGGTTTTCTATAGACTGGAGTGGGAAGTAGAGATGTCCTGTGAGGTTTTCCACAACGGCAAACGGGTGGCTGCGAAGAACGTTCTAGTTGATTTTGAAATGGAATGAAGGGACTATTGCCTGTAGAAGTTTCGCACCGAACTTGGATAGATTGATAACGTATGGCACGATCATGGAACCACAGGATTGCGCGACTGGTGTCATAAGTTGACAAAGCACAGCGAGCGATGCGCCAATGGCTACGAAATGAAGTGCCTCGCTGGTACACCCCAAGTCTCGGCTGAGAAATTTAGAAGCCCACACCAAAATTGACACTTTTCGGCAGCTACCTTAATAATAGGTAGACGTTGCGAGGACATAATGCGCCGCAAACTGGAATATGTATTACCCATGATTGTGTAATGTGTCTTGGCTGTTGGTTGACACTATGTATCCCTTTCTTCGATATCAATTATTACCCCGCGTTTGTGAGGCGCAAGACTTTCCAGCCGTGCCAACCATCTCTGTTTACCCCTTTACAAACATTATGTCCAGACTTATCCCTTAAAATCACCTAGGCCAGTCTTACCACACAGCCCAATCGCCCAAGCTCTGTTGCATCGCACAACTTGCCTCGGACCTCATCAGCAACTATCACCACGCATCACAAGGAGATGATCAACCCAGAGTTCGGATACTGGGCTCCAGGCGGGGCCATCTTTCCCAAAGGACCCAGCACATGGTAAATTCTCAGTATTGACCAGAGGCGAACAATCGCCGTCACCATGGACGGAAAGCAAGAAAGCGAGGACCTGGCCGTGGAAATCCTCAAGAAACATATCGATTCTCTTCCAGATGATGTGTACGCAATCAAGGTCTCTCCAGACGATAATTTGACCTCCATGTCCACCGATCCCGAAGACGACGAAAACTTATGCGTGCATTACCCGCCTCTAAAGGAAATTCAACGACCTGAGGGTATCAGAACGATTGTTCGCTCTGAGCTACAGGAAATTAATCGACTCGGTCCTGACATTGATCTTGTGTCGTATCAGCCACACCCAGACGACAATGGCCCAAAGAAAGTCGTCTTCAAATACTACTTTCTTTTACAGTTCATTCAAAGGGCAATCTGTGGATGCGTCTCCCTCGCCACTCAAATATTGTCCCTTTTGATCGACTAGTGGTGGATGAACTGAAAGGCCGCGTTGTTGGGTTCACAAGTATCTATATTCCTGGCGAAACACTCGAAGATAATCAATCCCGCGTGTTCAAACTCAAGTGGCTTGAGCAGTTGACTCGCGTTGTCGACGATCTCAACCTGAAGCACGGCATCATGCATCAAGATATTGATGCAAGGAATCTGCTAGTCGATCTGTCGACAGATAACCTGCTGCTATTTGACTTCGACTACTCGGGTCGCATTGGAGGCACTGGGTATGTTGAAAATCGTAACGATATCAAGGGCGTTATATTCACCCTGTACGAGATCATCACCCGTGACAACCATTTCAGGGAGGTGCCACATGAGAAGCAGAACCCCAATGATGTTCAGGGGTTGCCCGTATGGCCCAAGCATCCAGAGGTACAGCTCGATCATTCCGTCTCGGAACATCGATCAGTTCTCGATCGTTGGGTAGAAGAGAGGAGGGAAGGGAAAAGTCTTTCTGTTTATACGGAAGCGCAGGAGCCCATCGACTGGCCTCCACTCGAGACCCCAATGGGGTAGTTCCCTTGTTTTGATGTGGAAGGAAACGAAACTACTCGCGTGGGACCCGCTTGGGCTACTTCACGCCGCAGTGAACGAAAGAAGGGCAACATCACGTTGGACTGGCAACGCTCGGCATGGAACAAAATTCTGCGAGACGTGGATTGAGTGGAAACATTATGACATAGGTAATTTGAAGTGCACACAGGTCACTCAAGTAGAATTTTATAGGGCGAGCAAATTTTTGGCAGCAATCTTCATTGATTTGGATAGTTAGTGAGCAAAATTGAACGGACAAGTCGTCGTCGACCGGGTGCTCGTTAAATAGAACTAGAGAGGTGTATGAGATCATGTATTTAATCCAATAATCACCATAGTCGGATTTGTTATTCGTCATCTGCTTCGTCGTGAACAACATTAAATTTGGCGCCTGGTGTCTTGAAAGTCGCAGCTTCTTCGCAGATCGGAATCGCCAGTCGAATGGATCTTCAAGGTAACTCGAAAGAAAATGCGCTGTCGTAGTGAACGCAGATGCAGAAGGAAGCGCAAGGGCCTGACTCCGGCGAGTTGCGTAGCCCCGATTCTCCTGTTCTCTAACCCAGCACTGCTGCGATTGCAGGCTACACTTTCATAATCAAGAAAGGAACTTGTCCAGAAGCTACTCATCGTCTGCCTTGGGAGTGGAATTGCTCTCATTGACTCAAAACTCCTTGATATCAACCAAGTTCTGCCGAGTCCTTCTGGCTTGCCCGATGAATACGGAATTGAGCGTCGGCGGATAGGTTTGAGAACATGGAAGTCAAGCATTTTACAACTACCTTAAGCGTTGTGAAACTCATTGTCTTGACGTGATAGCTCTCGAATGCCAGACTCCCGCACTGGTACCGCTTCTTGAAGGAATTCCTCCTTGCGTAAAGGCCCCGGCCAGCCGTACTCATAGTACAGTCTTTTGATACCCTAGAGGATGTCAGGAGCAGTTCAGGGCTCACCTTCTCTGCGAGATGAGCAGGAAGTTCTCAGTCGATGCATATCTCCGCTTACCTCTGACCCAAAGTCCCCGCTACCCATGATACTCTTCCCAAGGTTTCCCGCCGCAGGAGCCGGCACAAGTGTCAGAGAAGAAATCTGATTTCGAATCTTATCAAAGAACTCTTTGAACGAGAGAGCCTTTGCTTTGAGCCACCACATCTGCTGCTCGTCGACCTCAGGAGGTTCGTCGTCAAATAGGTAATATTCATCCGCGTGAGGGTAGATGCAACCTGACGATAGAAACGCAGTGAGTTAGTACGTAGACACTGGCGAACTTCAGGGGCCCGAGGTCACCTCTATCGGTGTCGATGACCCAAGTGATTCCTATCTCTGATTCCTCGCACGTCAGCGTGATGAGATGCGGTGGCATGGGTCCGTCGAAAGGCGCCAGGCCGAGCGCACAGAACGACCTCTTGTGCCAGTTGACGCGACGGCCGGTCCCGGGCTGCCAGTGCTCATGCAAGTAGGAAATAGCCATGGACGCGAAGTAGACCTCAGTCTTTCTTTTGCGGGGATAAGGGATATGCCGAAGTAGTTGAATGACCTTGACATCGCGACCTAGTATTTGTAGTGCGTTCACGTTTAGGTCCTCGTCGGACCATCCAGCGGGCTCTGATGGCCAGCGGACATCTTCGGGCTCGAAGTAGGCCATGTCAATCAGCAGTTGATAATGCTTCTTAATGAGCGATACGAGCTCATCATGACTATAGACGAAGTTCTCATTCTTGGCGGTGCGCTTCTTGCGACGAGCCATGGCGAGCGTGCACTTGTACTTGATGGACTGGACGTTGTTGACGCGAAGATGCACACGGACTGAGCGGAATGAGGGGAACGCGAAGGTGTCAGGTGCACTTCATTAGGCCAGACCCATTGGATGCAAGGGGCTCTTTCATAATACTTGCATGTTGGGGCCAACGTCAAATCGAATGATGCCAAGAGCTGTGCTCCTACCGTTCAACAAACATTCGATCGGAAGTTGTGGCCAGCCGTAGAATACGTAATAAATGAATTGCACGTCTGCTTACTTACCTGCACGCACAGAAAAAGACCATTTGGACATACCTACCTATCTATGCCAGCGTCATTCATAACAAATTGCCTTAAAAATATGAAGGAAGGCTTTTGGGCAGCCCAAGATGTGTTAGTGCAAATGATTTCGTCAAAAGCCATTGATGGTACCGAACTCAAGAACAGAAGTCGTTATGATTGATGAGTAATATGGTTCAGACTTCACCAAATTACACTAACTTTGGCACGTTCAGCGTCATTCCGGCCTTTCACTATCTGAAAGTATGTAATATGATGCTCAGGCAAAGCGTACTGTCCCCAACTGTTCAATAATTATCCACTTCACTTAACAACCCCGCAGCAAAAAGAAAGCAGCTACGGTAAGTTGTGAATCGAACACAATGTGGTTCAACTTGGAAAACAGGCAAAACAAAAAATGCACGCACTCTCTCCTTCCAGAATCGAACCAGAGACCTTTCGATAACAAGGGATAAACCATTACAGTCGAACGTGATAAACCAACTACACCAAGGAGAGGAGTTCAAGGCTGTGCCTTGCTCGGTGTGGTGGACATGCTGAGAGAAATGCCACAAGAAGCATAGTGGTGACCCACCGCTTGACCCTCGTCACCTACATGTACCTGTGACTGAGTAAGAGAGTTCGGGGACAGTATGGAATATGCGTCCGAGGATACTTCGACTTGACATACGAGTTCATTCCAAAGATGGAGTGTTAGTTGTGATATCGTTGCTAAGAACATTGTGTGACGAGCTCACCTCACATTATCAAATTGAGCTCATTGAGACGTGAGTCCTGCCGAGCCGAAAATTTTGGTCAGTGTGTACTCCTAGACAGGAATATGTGTCGTAGAGAAGCTGTAGATATTGACCTGACCATAAATATGGAGGTCACTGCCTGAAGACTGAGGGCTCAGAGTGATACGAGATATCGACGGACCTAAGATCTTGGAAAGCTACGTGCTTCTTATTGTCCATGCACAGCTCTCACGAATTAGTTTACCACGACTAAATAACGAAGTAAATAACTTCTTCGCTTTCATATGACTTTGGGAATGAAACTCTCAGGAACACGCAATGCCTATTCGCCCGGTACTCTTCACCATGATCAACCTACGATAACCTGTCTAGCATGTAAGCTCATGAAAGAGTCTGAACATCCGCCATCCTCCATCTGTCTCAGATTTGCAGATAGATCTGGCTCACCCAGAAGCAAAGTTTTACCCGCGACTTTCCAAGCCCCCTTTGAATCCATGTCTTCGTCATCTAACGGTACCAGCAACCAGGCCCTCATCCACGCGCAGTCATCTTCCAGCAGATCCGTCGGCACTGCCACCCTCATTCGAGTGTCAATGTCACTCTGTCGGAAGTTCTTTGTGAAGCTAAACCCCGTCAAAAGTGCATCTTTCCCCTCTTGTGTGCACGGAAGTCGCAGAGCCAATGTCGAGATCCAATAGATTGATCTTGGGTCCGTGATCCATGTCAAGAATGCCGTAGCAACTTCGACTGTGATGCCGTCTTCAATGTCAACCAGACCCTGATCGCTCTTGGCAAAAGCCTTGAGCATCTCTTCCGCTCCAGGGCGCAAACTCTCGTTCACTCTGAAGTCTGCAAAGATGCCCGTGTTGTAGTTCCACTTTACCACTTCACGATCGAGCTGGGCCCAAAGGCGCCTCAACAGGTCTGGCCCACTCGACAGCACGGCGGCAAGGAATCGTCTTCGCGGCGAATCAATATTCTCTTCAGGCTGGAACTCCGGCATTTTGACCTGGGCTTTGAGCGGCGGCGGGGTATTCCTTATCATGTCTGGAAAGATGGCATATGTGCGCTGGAGTTCCTCTTCTGAACCCCACAATACACCCCGATTGAAAAAGACCATGTCGATTTCTATTTTATTGAAGGTCACGGCGTGGATGCCTTTGATGTCCCCCAACGTGAACTTGTTGAGCGTGGTGTCCGCCGCCGTGACCGGTCGTGCAAGCCATGATCCCTTTCCGCAAAATGTCAGGGGCTCTATATTGGTGAAAGCAAGAGGCATCTTTTCGCCTGCTGCGAGGGCCAGTAGAACTGCCAGATAGTACACCTCGTCTACTGTCGGCTCCTCAGATCGGAAGAATGCCAAGCCAAGACCGATGAGATTGAGGCACACGCTGAGCCTGTCACCAGGCATCAGGCACCCCGTCTGCGCGATGGCGTTGAACTTCGCCATGAAACTGGACCGGATTTCGCCGACCTTGCGATCTGGATTGTCGAACTGTGGGGATGTGCGATTCGCGAACCCAGAGAGGATTGGGTTGAGATGAATGCTCCGTTCATTCTGATGGCCGAGCTGTACTGTGATGGTTGCTAGAATTGCATGCAGTGTAGTCCACTCCACCGTAACCGTTCTGTCTTCACCAAGGCCCAGGATGAAAACGGTATTGTGAACTCGTTGATGTCGCTTGTCACTCCACGGCTCGGCAACAACGAATTCGTGGTAACACCATGAACGCTGCCACCACCGAGCGGCGGCCACTTTGTCATAGAGTGAAATCAAGAGTGAAATCTCTCTATCATCAGTCGGGTCCCTTTCGAGAGCACACGGAGACCTGTAGCCATCATACAGGTCGAACAACTCGGCCTCGTCATTGGTGAGCTCAGCATCCTCCAGCAATACAACCAGCTTCCGACAAGATTTGTAGACAACGTCCATTGACGCGATAGCTCTTTGCTGCTCAAACTCATCACGCTGATTGATGCAGACCTGGTCTATCCACATTCCCTCGCGCGGATGGCCTCGTTGTTCTAGAATTGCATCGGCGAAACGTTTGCCAACTGGCCACACCCCTCCAGGCTCTGGGACCGATTGTGGTGTCCCCGGCCAACTCGGGTTGTGCCAACTGTAGCTAATGGCTAGAAACTGTCGGATCACAAAACGACTATCGAATGGGATTCCAGTTGGACTTGAGCAAAGCAGCCGGAATGGAGTGTCGAGAATGACGTCTGAGGTGCGTCGCTGGAAGCGTTCCGCGGCCTCGGCGGACCATGCCTGGAGGTTGCTGAGGATGAGGTCTGCTTCTCCGCGGCCTGAATCTAAGCTGCCGATGGCCTCGGAGAAAATACTGAACTTGTTGGCTCTCGTCAATGACAGCTTGAAGAGATCTGGCGAGAGTTGTTCGACTCCAAGAGTCTCCCCAGCTTGCGTCGGAGAGTATTCGATTAGGCTAGACATTTTTCGTATGAACTAGGTACTTGCGTGGATTTCAGTCGCTAAATCAGAAGTCGTGAATCACGAGATGGCTAGAAGGGTTCGGTAGATCTGTCGGCTTTTAATGAAACTCTTTTGCCAGCTAAGACAGATCAATGCTGTACCTGGGAACCTGTGGTGGTGACCATGAAGAACTGAAGTTCAGTGTGATGTTCTAACTTCCCCCTCCTTAGAAGCGTGTGGGTCGTGTGTTCAGCTGAGTATCCGCAGCTACTAAACGTGTGGTGTGATCGCCTAGGCTGCAGCAAAGCCTCAAACGGGAAATGGCAACTCTTTCTGGTTAGTATTTTGGCCAAGCCTCTTTGCCTCGAAGCTAATCTGTTTACGCTCATAAAGCTCAGTCAAAATGATGCAGTGCTCAGCATAACTTTATTTGAACGAGTTTCAAATGATATCATGGTTGTTGGAACAGCAAAGGCTGATAAGGAGTAATAGGCAGGTACCATGGGCTGGCTGGCACCTGCCCTGGGCGAAGTGGGACAACTGGCTTAGTCATCACGGCCGGATAAAGGTGGGGCAACCACCCAGGCCGTCACTACCTACTTCGACCGACTCCTGCCTACAATGTAAGATAGAAAAACAAGAAGAACAAGCAATAGGATCACCAACAGACGAGTGATAATTGCTACCACTATTTGTCGTATACGACCCCGTGGAACCAACAATGGTCGTCATTCAAAGGAAATCGCACCCAGGTAGCTCTCGTGGAGGTGCAGACACCAGACGTCAAACAGTGTACAATCATGAGTTCAATACCATTAGAATGGAGGATCAAGAACTAAGGTACGTCTAAGCTTCGCAAGGGGGGGGTTTTCAATCTAACCGCCTTCTATAATTTGCACAGAGAGGATTCATCACTGTGCTCCTACAAGAACCAGCGGAAGTGAGGGCTCCTAGGTCCATCGCCCAACTTCGATGTCGGGACTTCACTAGCGGTCAAGGTAACACCCTCGGCCCGATTTCTCCTTCGGTTATCCCACATCATATAGAATCCTAGAGCCAGCGCGCACGAGGCACCAACCACACCGAATGCTGCGGTTGTAATCAGTGCAGGTGCGTATTTGGGAGCATCTGGCTTGCGGAAGATGTTGCTGCTCACAAGACCCATGAGGTTGGCTAGAGGGACACCGATTGAAGTTAAAAGTACACCTGTAGTCTCGACATTAGTCTCTAGCGGCGGATAAGAATCTGATTCTCTACTTGACTTACGCTGGTTCTCATTGACAACATTGTTGTTGTACCAGGTCGACAGCAGCACACTGGGTGCCGAAGTTCCCCAGGTCATCATAAAGCACGCATAGTACGCGAGCTTGATTTCAGCTTCAACATCGTCAATAGCAGCGTATATGATAAAGCCGATGAAAGTGAGCATGAAACCTAAGGCAATGAACGGGAATCGGAGACGTCGCCAATCCGAGAGGAAAGCAAGAATGAGGAGCATGGCAGCGCCGCTGACATTCGGTGCAACTGTGTAAAGGTTCGTCTTGATGGTGCTGTATCCTAGGCGCTGAACGATTTGGGGCATGAAGAGGCCGACGCTCTGGAGTGGAACGCCAAGACATATTTCGATGGCAAGGAAGCCGAACTAAGTGAAAGCGAATTAGCAAGTGCACGTCTTGATTCCAAACACCAAAATGAAAAGATTAGAGGAAGATAAAAGATGCTTACCGTTGTTGGGTGCTTGAAAACCTTGGCAGCTTCTCGGATCTTCATCTTCTCTCCGACTACGGATGAGCTGTCAACTCTGATGCGGTGGTGGGCAAGCTGCTTCTGTTCCTCTGTGAGGAATTTGGCCTCCGCAGCGCTACGTGGCAGATACCAGAACGCAAAGAATGAGAACAGAATGGTCGCAGTGGCTTCAATGATGAACAGCCATCGCCAGGGATGCAATTTGGTGTTGGTGATGTGGAAAACGCCGAAAGCCAGAAGGCCGGAAAATGCGTTTGCCTACCATGTGTTAATTTCAAAAACATCACTGGCAGGCCATAGCTAGAGGAGGAGGCCATACAATGTTGGATGCAGCGTAGAAGACAGCGAGGCGTCGCGCAAGCTCACCGCGACGGTAGAATGTGGTGAGATAATAGATGACCAGCGGGAAGAACGCCGACTCCGCCATGCCGAGGAACCATCGCAGCGCAAAGACGCCGCCAAAGTTTTGCGCGGCGGCCATGAGCATCGTCATTGTGCCAAAGGCGAACATGAGAATCGGGAGGACGATGGCGGGGCCGAATTTCTTGCCGATGAGGGCAACAATAGGCGCGGCCGCTACGAAGGGCACAAAGAAGATGCTGACGATGAGATTGTACTGGCCATCTTTGAAGCCGAGATCCGTGCTCAGGCCGTCAGTTTCGGCATTGCCCAGGTTGCCCTTATCGAGCGCGTTGAAGAGGTCTGGCGGACAAGTATTAGCAACCACGAGTACATCCTCTCGCGAGTCAAAGTAGATGAAGAGGCTACTTACACATCACGGCCAGTACAGGCAGGATGTGGAAGTCCAACTTTCTGCAGAGGGCGCGCTCGGCGGCCTTGTCGACGACTTGGACCACATCGTCATCGTAGTCATTCTTCTTGACGTTCTCGCCGTCCACGGATCCATCGCGAAGCGATCCTTCGGCCCGTGCCGCCGGGGTAATCTTGTTGTCCTTTACAGCCTCCATCGTGAATCTCGCGGGCCCGTTTGACTAAAACCACACGAGCGATGCAAAAGGAATGTGCGAGAGTAGAGGTTGGGAGACTCAAGTAGTGCAAACCGAGAGGGAAAGGGAGACAATGCAAGGTTACAGTTACCCCAACTGGGACATTGGTATCCGTGCTTTACGAGCAGACACATAAGCTTTGGTTGGAGTTGTTGGAGTACGGAGTAGCATTCGCTGATCCAGCATATCTTTTGACGTGTCTCTCATCCCGGTCATCTAGAATCCTTGTGGCTGGTTCGTAACTATGAGAGACACGCCCGTTGGTGGCCGAAGATAAGAGTGATATCCCAAGTGGGGTCGTTCATTCACGCGCACACTTCTTCGGTATCCCATCTCTGCCATCCCTCAGCACTGGGTGAGTCCCAACTTCATGTCAGCTCACCGTCACCGTCACCGTCGGCGGAGGATTTGCGACGGGAACACATATTCCCACAACTGTCGTGTTACCATAGAGCTCGAATCTTGGGAAGCAACGACCCAGAGTTCTTCAAAGCCGAACACCCTGGTGAACGTACACTAGTTTTCAGGTCTGGTAGTTATCCCTCCACTTTAGCCCACGGCAAGCTGCTTTCAATTACCCCCAGTGGCTTGACCTATCCGTAACTCATGTTGAAGCTTTCGCTCGGAGGTCCTTTCTCGAAATCGAAGGTGAAGGCAGACATGCCATATCTGCAGTCAAGTTGTTCGGCTTGATAAGGATGGACGCCGACGGCCTATGGCAGAGCATCACATTTATCAATTTGCACCCCGCAATCCACAAAGCTTGCAGCAACTCCATCGTAGTGGGGCGAGCCGACACGAAGTAGCCGGTGGTGAGTGGTGCGTGGGGGTACCGTGCCTCTTGCTGGCTCAATACATTCTGGGACTCGAGCATCTCGTAATAAGAACTTGGTGCAACACGAACGTCGTTCCAATTAGAGATCAACCCGAGATTTGGAGACAGAATTACGATTCCGAAGTGACCCACAGATGAGATGCTTAGAGCAGATAAGGACGAGCTATCCGGGGTGAGGGGGGCTTGAAACGTTGCAATCCCGCTCATTTCAGGATTGCGGGGTTGATAGGACGATCCGACACAACTCTCCGCGGGCAGCTCAAGCCCATCCGAGAACGGAGCCAACGATGAACATGTTAGCCTAGGAAAGACGATACTCACGATGTCTGCGATGGACTATCGATGGGGTTTGTAAGTGACTAAGTAGTAGTCCGAGTGATGAACTCTTATGTAGTGCGATTTAATTGATGAACAAACACCAGCTAAGATCAACTCTTGCACTGGACTCACAGCACATTACTGATCATCAATTCCAACCATTCAAGCATAGTATACTTACGTACCACGATGTCCTCCTCAAAGACCCCTGTTCTCACCGATAAGGCAGCCAAGCCCCTGCCCGGCATCTACAGCCAAGCCATTATCGCCAATGGCATGGTCTTCTGCTCTGGCGCCGTTCCCATGGACCCGGTGACTATGGAAATCATCGACGGTGACGTCCAAGCACACACGGTATGTGCATGCAGCAAGAGGGAATCTTCCCGATCTGCAACCCTATTTCAATCGGACACCGATGTCGCTCATCGCTAACCGGTAACCGGTAACCTTAGCACCAATGCATTAAGAACCTCACCGCGGTTCTAGAAGGCGCTGGTACCACGATTGATAAGGTGGTCAAGGTCAACGTCTTCCTTTCGGATATGGACGACTTTGCTGCGATGAATGAGGTTTACTGCACCTACTGGGGCGATATAAAGCCATCGAGAACGTGAGTTTCACATCGTCGCTGAGTAGATTGGAGATGCTGATTGGGTTGATTTAGTTGCGTTGCGGTCAAGACCCTCCCTCTTAATGTTGATGTTGAGATTGAGTGCATAGCTGTCTTGTAGATTAAAGTGATTAGAATAAAGAGACCTACAATGCAGGTTCATCAAGTATCAAATTGAAATGAGACCGTGATAGCTTTTGATGACGATGAAAAGTCCAATTCTCGGCTTGGACGTTGGTCTGGGCACTATCCGCACACATATTGTCCACTCGTCACGGCTGAACTTCAAGTCATTTGATTCAGCTTCCAACAGGAACCAAATTGAAACGACTCAATCGATTTTGGTAAGCCCAATCGACATCATGTCTTCGCCTTTTTACAAAAGCTCTATCAACTTGTCGCAAAAGTATGTGATTGCCCTCCTACCATCTTCCAACGCCTCATCCATCGCAATAAAAGGATGTGGCTGCCCCTTCATAATATGCACATCCGTCTTCACACCCGCATCCTTAAGCTTCTTGCCAATAGCCTCGCCCTCACTTCGCAAAACATCGAGTTCGCCAACGACCACCACAGCAGGAGGCAACTTGGACCACTCCCCCTCCCACAGAAGCGGGCTCGCCTCAGGGTGCGCCCAGTTCTCCTTGTCAGGAAGGTAATGGTAACGATACCACATCATCTTCTCCGCCGGCAGCGCGGGCGTGAACTCGTTCTCCTTCCACGACGCATGCTCCAGCTTCGTTGAGTCAGCCGTGGCGGTGTTGTCTGCGACGGGCACGGAGAGCAGCTGTGTTGCCACGGTTGGGAAGTCTGGGCGCTTCGTTGCGCGCTGGCAGATGATGGCTGTGAGGTTTGCGCCTGCGGATGAACCTCCGATCGCGATGCGTGAGGCGTCGAGGTCGAGCCTTTCTGTGCCGGTCGCGGAGATGGCCCAGAGGACGGATTCCCAGCAGTCGTCAACGGCTGCAGGGAAGGGATTCTCTGGTGCCAGTCTAGAGGTGAGATTAGTAGTGGTTGTCTTGTCCCGTGGTTCTCTACTCACCTATAGTCTACGCAAATAACGACGCATTTTGCTCGGTTGCAGAGATGCGTGGCAATCACGTTCTCCGTGTCAATGTTGCCCAAGACCCAACCGCCGCCGTGGAACCAAAAACACTGAGGCCATCCCTTGGCCGGCCTTTCTCCCAAGGGGGTGAAGGCTCGGAGGAGGATATCGGGCCCGCTCGTTTCTTTCCTCGGAATGGTGAAATCCTCTGAGTTGGCGACCTCGAGCTTAGGGCCGGCGCCTGGGATTAAAGTGCCGCTTGCACGAGATGCGGAGATGGGCTGGTGGTGCACGACTTGCTTGTCAAAAACGAACTTGTTGTAAAAGTCTTTGTACTCGGGGTTGATGCGGTCGACGACCGATGGGTGCAGAGGATACGGCGGCTCAGGCATGATGGCGATGATTTGGCAAAGGTTGGTGAAATCCGGTTGGCGGTTTGTTGCAAGCTGATGATGAAGACGGTCGGATTGTTGTCCAGCTTCACTTCCCAGCTGTACGAAAGCACATAGGTACTCGAGCAATCGGCAAGATGCCGTCTTTAGCCGGCAAACTCCTCCGAGCTCCGGTCACCGGCCGGGCGCCCCGTTCGAACATTGCTGCTAACGCGACACCCCGCCCAAGGGTCCGTCACAAGATCATCAGTCCGTCACCAGATGCAAGATAGCAACCGTAATGCTGAGAGCTTTATCGGTGAGTGGAGCAGTCGGGAAGCTTAAGATTTGGCCCGACGTTACTCTCAGGGGTCGACTTGCGTCATGCTACCCCTCCGAACCCCGCAGAGATCAAGACCTTTGCTAATATTGAATGAAGCAACGTGGAACTCATAAAGGTGTTGAAATAAGCTGCAAGATGCTGAGCAGCTGGATAGTTTGGATACGCTTATACAAATGATTCTGAAAGTTTCGTCCTCGAACCAGACCAGCCGGACGACTGACATACTTACTGTGGTCCATGGATGATATGTAGGATCCAAACTCTGCCGCTTGCTCTCATCTAGGGCAGTCTCGTCATGCTAGAATTTAGTAGACACCCTCGGAGGAAGCCTAGGTCGTCTTGTCCCAGTAACAATATCATCTAATCCGTGACCAAGCATGGCATGAGATTGTACAAGCCGGGGAATCCTCAAATCTGCAAAGTTTTGGGCCAGATGCAACCTTCTGGTAGGTACCGCCAAGGGATTTACCACGGCATGAGATGTCGGCTGGTAAAGACGAAGCAGAGACAAACACGGTACAGACGGATCAACAGAACCAGAGCGGGAAGTATTTCCTGCCCGCCTGGAAAGAAACGACCATCAAAAAGCGGATGCTCATACGCCCTTCTTGGAAAGGCACCTTGGTGAGATGGATGGCGAGAGAGGGAGTTTCGAAAAGCAAACTCCCTCCAACCACCCTGAGCAGTCAACTATCACTCAATCTGTACGCGGGAATGAACGACTTTGCTCCCACGGATGTCTAGCATCGCCATTCCCGTCGTCGGAATTGGAGCCATGTTTACGTCACCAGCAATGCTTCAAAGACGGTCGCATCGCGGTTTCACAGTATCGAGAGGTCGACGTAAGTATCGAACTGTCCAGCTATATTGCAAGCCACATGGTAGACCATTGGAAATCCACACTCAAGTGTCCTCCAGGCACTGAGAGCTACTTGCGCCAGCTTGCCATCATGGGCACATGGTATTGACAACGTTGTAGGCCTTACACGGGATTTTCCATCTGGCCACCCCCCGTGTTCGTATCGGGCCTTGCCGCCTTTATTAATCGTCGTCTCGTATCGCATACGTGGCAGGGATGGTCGTGTTGTACAAATCTCTAGTGGGCGCGAAGCAGGAGTAAAATCGTGAACGGGTTGATGCAGACGTCGACGAGCCTATTTCATCGACATATCTTAGGCTACATCCTCCAAGTATCCTACAATGTCGGTATTCGCATCGAGCCGTCGGTCTCTCGTAGACATCATCATTCCCTTAGTCCACATCAACACCAAGCTTCCTCAGGTCGACGACGGCCTCCTCAATCTCAGCCATGAGCTCCTTGTGCGCCTCGGGCACGTCGTTAAAGGTCATGACATTGTATCCGAGTTTGGCCAGTAGGTAGGAGCCGAAGGAGATGAGAGCCCAGAAGGGCAGCTGTGCGCATGGAGTATATGTTAGCAAAGTTGGGCCAAGCCGCAAGGGTTGCTTCTAGAGTGCGATCACGGCTACGCACAACGGGGACGACATCGTTCTGGATCTTGGCGGGGATCGGAATGAGCTGGAGGAAGAGAGCGAGGTAGAGCTGTAGAAGAACATTGACGGTCAGCAAAGGTCTTGTTGGAGGTGGGATGGTTCTGGACACAAGGGAGGGAGGGGTCATACCGAGCTCACGAGGAGCGCAAGAGAGATGGTCTGCTGTGCGCGGGTCATGATTGCGAGCGGTGTAGGAGGCCTGATGTAATGGTGGGAGATAAGATTCGAGGTTATTGTCTCTAAGCAGAAGCGATCGTGGCTGAAAGGAGTGACTGGAAAGCTGGCGAAGAGATTACGATTCTTGTGCCCTTGGAAGCACTGACAAGTGGAAAAGGAGTCGCGAAGCTGTCCTGAATTCTTGGTGGAGCTCTGAGTGACTAAGCAGATCTCGGGCCCTGTGCGGAGTACGTACCTCTGCGTAGCCGCACTTTACGCGTTGGACCCACTTGCGGCAGGAGCAGGCGCGCCGCCTCCAGCTCTTTCCATCCCTTCCCTCAATGCTGGGAAATCTCATCAACCTGACAACTCACTTGAGCCTTTCTTGTCTTTCTCATGTTCTCATTGACCAATCTTGAAAGTGCGCGAATCATTCATGAAATTCATGCTCTGGGAGCAGTCTGTCCGGCGCAGGGTAGCCTGTCAAGAAACCCCATAGCTGAGGTTGTCACCCAGAGATTCTCGTACCGGTGCTGAGACCTGCCCATGATTCAAGTCCGAGTCCCGTCAAGGTGTTCTTGGTGTGGCGAGTAGAGTAGTAAAGTTGTGAAAACTGCAAGTTCAATGTGCTTCGTCAGGCTCAAACTAACGCAAACTCACACTTGCCGCGTTACCGAATGCTAGACTCCTTATTGTCGTCGCGAATACATTGGAAAGGGATGATCTGCTCAGGGACCGAAAACTCGCACCAATCGCATCACAGACCACCTGCTGGTCGCTGTCGGGATGGGTATGTCATGAGACGTTGGGACGACGATGATGAGGGGAACTGATCAGTGCAGGAACACGCAACCTCTGTAACTCTATTCTACGCTTCTGTGGAACAAGCTTTTGGGAGTAATCTACGACGAACTGGAAGGAGACTCAATGACAAGTCCGCCCGGCCGTCCGAAGATGGTGGGGATGAAGTGCGTGGCAGACCGCGGCGACCGCCTGATCATGACTGGAGTTTGCTGAGGGGTTCCTGAAGTTAGGAGCTTTATAGGCAAAGGTACCGCCGTTGAAGAGCACCCGGACTCTTGTATATCGAGGTCTGTCAGTTACCACTTGTATCCAGCGTCAAGATGCATACCCTCGGCTTTCTTACTTGCGTTGCTGGGCTCTTGGGCACAGCATTTGCCGACTTTGGCCTCACAACATCAGACTCCACGTACACGATCGACACCAGCGGTGGGCTGATTTTTGAGGTTAACCGGTAAGAATAATGATGGATGAACCAGCACTCTCGAAAAGTGAACCTACCCGAAGCTGACGGGGAGTCAAGCACAAATGGCGACATCACCAGTCTGCTCTACAACGGTGTTCAGTTCCAAGGCACGGGCAAGATGTCACAGATCAACTCCGGTCTGGGAACCTCAATAGTCACAGCTGACACCGTAAATGGACGTGTCAAGATAACCGTCAAGGCTGGCTCGCAACCCTTGACACACTACTATGTAGCCAAACCAGGCGATCCGACCATCTACATGGCAACTCATATCACTGGTGAGGTTGCGCCTGGCGAGTTGCGCTGGCTGGCCCGACTCCAGCGCAAGCAGGTACCGACTGGTGTGCATGGCAATGTTGCCGACCTCGATGGATGCGTGGCATTTGAAGGCAAAGACACATTCAAGTGTCCGGACGGCACCACCAGATGCAAGATGTATACATCTGACCGTTTCATTGACGATCAGGTTCATGGCGTGACCGGCGACGTAAGTCAGAAGATGAAGGAAGAAGGGATCTGAGTGATGCTAACAATTCCAGAATGTCGGTGTGTGGATGATTATGCCTGGTAACGCCTACGAGCACTCTGCCGGCGGCCCCTTCATGAGAGACATCAACTCGCAAAGCACCGGCGACCAGGAGCTCTACTGGTATATGAATAGCGGTCACGTCAGGACCGAACCTTGGCGGTTCGGCCTTCTTGGCCCCTACGCAATGAGCTTCACGTAAGGGTCATCCGTCTTCTCAGTCTCGCCTATGTTTATAATATGCTGACTAGACGCGTAGACGCAGCACCAAGCCGCCGCCGGCGGATGTCGACATGAGTTTCTTCGACTCCTTGAACATTGATGGCTACGTTCCCGATAGCGGCCGCGGAAGTGTTTCGGGCACCGCGACGGGAGCGGCAGGTGGTTCTGAAACTGTAGTACACTGGTTCAACCAGGATGCACAGTACTGGACAAAGGCCGCCGGCGGAAACTTTAACTCGCCGCTGATGAAGCCCGGAACATACACGATGAAGATGTACCGGAACGAGTTCCCCGTCGCTAATGCTAGCGTGACGGTAACGGTGGGTGTGAAAGCCACGCAGGACATTGTGGCAACCGAGTCCGAGCCGTCGGTTATCTGGCGCATCGGCGAGTTTGACGGGCAGCCTTTTGAGCTGAAGAACGGCGACAAGATTCAGAGGATGCACCCCTCAGATGCTCGCATGGCGAGTTGGGGAGGCGAGTTTACTGTCGGATCATCCAAGAACCAAGACTTTCCCATGGCCTTATTCTCCAAGATTGGAGGCAATGCCACCGTCAACTTCAATCTAGCTGCCAATCAACTAGAAGGGGTTGTCCTGCGTATTGGAACGACACTTTCGTTCAAGGGCGGAAGGCCTAGTGTCAAGATAAATGAGTGGGAAGCAGCGGATCCTGGGGCTCCGGTAAGTTATCATCATAAAATTAACTTTGCGTGGATTTCGCCAGAAAACTTCCTAATGCAGTTACTGGTAGACACTCATTGACTCTCGCGGTGTGACTCGTGGTGCCTATCGCGGGTTCGGCGACATGTACACTTGGGAAGTACCTGCAAGTGAGTTGAAAACGGGTCCAAATACACTCGTGATGGGGGTGATTGGGACGGGGGACGTTGACTTTCTCAGCGCCAACTATATAGTCGATGCAGTTGAGTTGCAGGGTAAAGGGGGTTCCAAGAACGGCACCTTGTCATATGCTTCTCGATACCAGCGGCGTTTTGAATATTAGAAGTGAAGACTCATGTGTTAATACATCCTGTCACCAAACCCTTTTCCCACTTTCAAAGGGTCCATAAAGCCTGTCTTTCAGTTGCTTCCAGCTTTTCGATGCCTGCAGGTTGGCCGCAACCTATCTCTTCTCACTCTAAGCTGGCCTGAGCAGGTGACGACAATGTCACTTATCCGTGATCTTTGAGATGGATTCGAACAGCTAAGGGCAACAAACGACATTGAAAAAAACATTGGGCAAGCCGCAAAAGAGGTATTGCGTAACTAAAGTCCATATTTGAAGTAGTGATTATTTATATCTGCCTTCCATTGTGTTAAAAATGTGCCGAAGCCTTCAACAACTTCCATGCTATTCCGGTCAGCAAAGATGCAAGCTATGAAGTTTCCGAAACCGAGAATCGAACTCGGGGCTATGCCTAACCTCTCAAAGAGATGAGAGGGCATCATGTTGGCCACTACACCATATCGGATGTGAGGATGGAGTCGTCACCCACTAGGAGCATTCATAGACTCCACCGGTGTTACGGATTTCTTCATATAACTTCAGATGCGTGACTACTTTAGGTGGGCGCCCGATGCTTCAAGACGTTGTATCGTGTGCGATCTTACTCTGCTCTGAAACAGAAATTATCGTTGTCGATGAGATGTTCTATCTCTTTGTCTCTACACACTCAATTGCGCACAGTGCTGTCTTCTTGTATACAGAAATTCAATGACTTCAAAGCTACATTCCCATGTTTTCCTGTGATATTGACGGAAACTATATGTACCCACAACTACCTAAATGCAGTAGAGGGATCTCTCTTTTGTATATGGCGCAACGGTACAATTCCGAATTCTGTCAGATATCATGTGGGACTGTGGATACCTGAGGCAGTGGCTGGTGCCCCAGGTACCAGCTGCCCGATCCACTTCCTGGTTGATCCAGCCCACCGCAGCCACCTTTCACCTTCACGCCAACATCACCAACCAACCGTCAATACCAGTCGTATTGCCTCATTGCTTGCCTCGTTGGTCCAGATGAGCAGTGTGTACTGCCCACATATCAAGACCCAGTTGTCAATGTCGAGCCTCCAATTGAACCCGTTGCCGTATTCGTCTGCTCCGGCTGTTGCCCAAAAAACCCCTCATCGAGTTCCCAATTCCACACCTCCACCCCTCCTCCAGGAGTCCTTATGGCAATTGTGTACTTTCCTTCGAAGTTGCCGACGGTGACTTGCCGTCCCAACTTGACCGGAATCTTGAGGTTCTTGCGCCCAAGGAAGCCATGCCACACTTCCTTCACGGTCCCAAGTTCAGTCCCTTGAGGAAATGGGTCATGGTATCTCCGTCTGCTTCCAGTGACGAAATCGAAGAGGTCGACTCCTTTTGCGTGTGTCAATAACACACCACGATCAAAGAACGCCGCTGGCCAGGCGCTTTTAAGTTTCCCCGGTTCAGGGTCTTGTTTTTCGTAACCACCATATTCGGAGTGCGTGACCCTATCTTTCTCAACGTCCCAAGAAATGATCATGACGGCTCCGCTCGGCCCGTCTGGAATCCAGAACAAGACACGGTACCCATTATCCGCTTGCCGACTCAGTATCATACTGACCCCGGGGTTCTCGGACTTAGCCTCTTGCCCAAGCCGGAGGATTGACTTCTTGGCTTTCATTGAGCCCGTCAAAACCTCTAAACAGATTGCATTGCCATCTGTCATTAGCGCGACGGCGACGTTGCCCCAGATTCCAATTCGACTGATTTCTGCTGGCCCAGGAACATTGGCTACTATTTTATGCCTCCATCTCGGGCCTTCGGACTTCCATATGGCGTTTTTATCATGCCAAAAAATGACAAGTCTTTTCCCTTCAAGATGCACTGGGTGAAGTGTGGTCAAGACTTGGTAAGGCAGGTATACGTCCAGAATTCGTTTGCCCTTCTTCCAATCCCACAGAGAGGCACCCACTTTATACTGAAGAAGGATTATATACTCTGAGTCGTGGCCACATATAGATGCGGTCTTGATTTTGTATACGTCCCACGAGTGGCATTTCTGCGTGTCGAGGGTGCCCAAATGCTTCCCACTTTGCGTATCCCAAATGACGACGTTGGAATCCCCATCTACCCCGACGAGGTGACGCCCATTCGACTTGATGTAATGTATGTTGTTTTTGTATGCCATTGAGTACGTTTTGGTGACTTTCATTGACCCAATGTCCTCGACGGCGCTATCACGCAGCAATATCTCACCACCAACTGATTGAGCCTCCGGAGGCGGCATTTGGTCATGCAGATTAGGTGGCAAGTCTTGCAGCAAATCGTCACAGACGCTTTCGGCGTAAGATGTGAGGGATTCCAGCCAGAGGTCAATGGTACTGCTGTTGGCTACATTGATTTGCCGGTTGGTGCCCACAGCTTTGCGGATTCTCGCTATCTGTAGAGTGACGTCGGAGACCTGGCGCAAGAGGTTCGTTGTGTCCTCTTTGATCAAACTTGCATCGTTACGAATGATGACGGTATCATCCTTGATGGCTTTTGAGGATACACTGCGGATGTTCATTATCGAGTCCGACAACGCGTTGTGGTAAGATTGCTTACAGGTTCGCCAATTCGAGAGCCAAGTTTAACGACCCCTTGTGCGTCTCGAGCATCGTCTTCAGCTGGTCAACGTTCCCCTTGCCTCCCATTGCCCATCGTGCTGGCCCACTTCGACCATCATGATTCTCAAGCTCCCCCGCGATCTCCGTTGTCACACCCAAGCAGTTCCCGACAAGAGCCAAGACATGCTTTCCAAAGGCGGCAGGCAAGGAGACCTTGGTCGCGGTATCGTCGATGAGAAGCTCGAGCACGATACGCAGATCGGAAAGCTCTCTGCTAACGGCGGCGAGATCTTCGCGCGCATCGCGACAGGTTCGAACAAAGTTCGTGACGGCTTGTGTCGTTTTCCCAATCGCGCCAATTAGTGTGATGCAAGCAGTCATTATTGACAGTGGGTCAGCCATAGCTTGATGGAGTTGATATTGAGAGAATAGAGAGTGTTTGCGTCGTTGCGAAACGTCTCGAGACAAGACGTGCGTGGAGGGACAGCGCTTTCATGAATGTCGCACTGGTGTGCCTCACGCTGCGCCTCGCCAGCACTCCTCGCTCAGCCACAATATCGAGTATACGCCTGTTGGCGAACCATAGTCGATTACGATAGAAGGTTGTGCTGACACGCATGTTGAGGTAGAACTTAGAAGAGTAATAGGCGGCCTCTATCTGCAGACCACAACTAGCTAGACCCAATACAGTCCAACTTATGTACAATAAGCACCCGCCTAAACAGTGATGTGAGTCCCGATGTCAGATGTCGTCATGAGATGGCCGGACTGAGAGCAGGCGAGGATATAGCCTAGGAGTTGAGAAAAGTTTCAATGGTAGACCATAGGAGGTACGTAAAGTAAGTACTTCGAGTAAACAACATGTTTCAGAGTTTTTGATAGATCCTCGATTCCTGCCTGGCTTATTACTTAAACTGCACGCGAAGTATGGGACGTAGCGTCGCATGTGACCGACGAGATGTTCTAAACCATACTTTATGCATGTATCAACGAGTGTGTGCAACTACTCCTGATGACTTACTAAGGAATACATTCAGTTTGAAAGCGCTATTTGGATGTGCACATCCCAACTGCACTCTCTGAACTTAGCCATATCAGATCTCAGAGTAAATAAAGTAAGTAAGTACAGAATACAAAAACTTGAACAACTGCCTGTCAGACAACGAATACAGCAAAACAATGGACACTGTGGGAATTGAACCCACGACCTTTCACAAGCAAGCGCGATTATCCAGATCCTCTTGAGGATTGGAATGAGATGCGAAGCGAAAATCATACCCCTAGACCAAGCGCCCTATGACTGATGGCAGCTGGGCCAGCAGCATCCACTAAGATCTGCGAACGGAACATGCTGAGCCCTCGTGGAGTCGCACAGTCTCTACGGATACCTGGTTCCAGTGTGCCTAGCCGGTCAAGTGCTCGTGGAACCCAACGTCAGCTCTCAGGCCGGCTGGCAACAAGGTACATGGAAATATTGCAATTGGCGATTCGTCCGAGTTGGTGTGGTGGTCGCGATCAAGAACACGGAAGACGAGGAACATGAGCCTGCGCCTTGTTGGTTTAGAAAGTGGATCTTAATGCAGATGAGATTTGTGCATACCGGAGCAAACGGAAGTGAACAGTTCACTCGTATTATTCCCGGGAGATGAGGAGATCTTCAGCCAAATCTGGAAAGTGCCATTGTCAAATTGCGATGAAGTGATTGACATTCCAGAGCACGGAAACTGAGACATGCTCAATTAGCCCCAGAGACCCCTGAGGGTTTCCATCTGCCCTGGGTGTCTGGGCCCCAAAGCTCCTGGTCTGCCGGTATCTGACTGATTCTACTCCGTACAAAACGAGGACATTGGAACAATACCCATAGTAGCGAGTGGATGTGGGCAGTACACACTGCTCATCTGGACCAACGAGGCAAGCAATGAGGCAATACGACTGGTATTGACGGTTGGTTGGTGATGTTGGCGTGAAGGTGAAAGGTGGCTGCGGTGGGCTGGATCAACCAGGAAGTGGATCGGGCAGCTGGTGCCTGGGGCACCAGCCACTGCCTCAGGTATCCACAGTCCCACAGTGGAGAGTCATGACAATTCTCAATTATTATCTGTAGAGGCCGGCAGTATCGCGATTCGACATGTGATAAGTTGTGCAAGACTTAGTTATACTTAATAACAACAATTGAGTTTGGGTGGTCGGAGCTTGAGGCATGGTTTGGTACTAAAGAAGCAGAAGTTGGCAACCTAACCATTGGGCATTGGTGGATAGAAAGCATGAACTCTACTTCTCAATCAACATTGCAACCAGTAAACTCAGGATTGAAGAAAGTCATATGCTCCTCTTAATGCCATTTTTACTTGCAAGTCACAAAACAGTTTGATCCAACTCTCCATGTGGCGGCGAAACGAAATTTGGGGGCCATTCCCACAATGGAATGCAAAACACCACCAATCCAGCTGTTGTGATATTGCCTGAGGTCTGGCTAGAATGGCGCATTCCACACCTTTCACATCGAGGCTGCACGTAACAAAACACAGCTGAGCTGCTCTTTTGGTAAACTTGCAAGACTCTGTCAGCCTGTCTTTACACACACGCACTTGGCACAGCTGTGACAGGATCTACATGTAGCTATCACGGAACCACAACACCATGCCATACCGAGGCCCGGCAAAGAATCCGCTGACAGTGCTATCAGATGGAATTTGGACTGGTAGAGAAGCCAACTCAGAGTCCAACGTACACCGTCTGGCACATTTAGTATGGGGAGAAACCGGACTACCCAGAGATGACGACTTCGCACACCTCCACCCCACGGGAAAGGCACACTACGCCAACAGCGTGCCCGTAGGCACCACATTCATGGAGTAGAACGCACTTCTCATAAATCTTCTTGAAGAACATGTCGCTAATCGAGGTCTTCAAGTCATGTCATCCACGGCCTCAACGTTCAAGACATCGAGCAGCAATGCATAGATACCTACGAGTACTTAGTTCACGGCTACACCCCACAGGAAACCGAAATCTGGATGTTTGGTGTTTCAAAAGGAGCCTTTGTCGTTCGGTCAGTCGCGGGAATGATCAACAACTGCGGGATCGTGAAGCCAGTCTATGGTCTGGATGGGAATGTTGACGTCCACAAAACACACCAACTGTGCCAGGAGGTCTATCGCATCTACCGATGCCCGTCAGAAGCCAACACCCCAAAGTCAGAGCAATCACGCACCTTTAGAAGGAAGCACAGCTGGGCCTTGATCGGAGACGGGGACGTCGTTGAACCGCCAATTCGCTTTATGGGAATTTTCGACACGGTTGGGCAACACGGCATCCCGGAGTTCGCTGGCGCGGTCGGCATCGACTGGCCCAAATTTCACGACCAGCACGTTTCAAGCGTCGTATCCGAAGTGTACCACGCCGTCTCACTACACGACCGCCTCTACGCTTACCAGCCGTGTCTGATATCCCGCGACACAGAGTACGGGCCGTCGTACGGCATCACTGAGCGTTGGTTCCCGGGAACACACTACGATGTCTGTCGACAGAATTTCAAAATTGTAAGAGGCGTGCTGCCACAGCGAATCGAGAGTATTCTTCCAGCGTGGGCTTGGTCTAGCAAGACGATCAAGCCGAATGAGGTCCTAAGCGACCTTGTCTTCAAGTGGATGCTGGAGTGCATCGACGCGCATGATCCCTCAGGGCTCGTTATACCGAAGAACACCCTTTACGATGAGCTTGACAGACTCAAAAGTAGCATTCTGCAAGGGCAAAACGCCGGCGATGGCGATGTGTACAACCATATTCTGCAGTTCGCACCTTTTGGACGGTACTTTGAACTGGCGTTGTCGACGGCTTTTGGGAAGTGGCAAGACAACCAGCTTTACAAGATGCTGTTCGCCTGCAGGCCTCGTCTTATTCCTGAGTTCAACGCATCGGTGTACAACTACAGAGGCCCCGATCCTAATCTGGATGGCAGAATTATCCAGAAGCTAGCCAATCTCCCATCCAGTTCAACGTCATCCGAGAAGCAAGCTGAAACGAGATACCCTTCGACATCATACGATGGATGGCTCTTGAGGCGATAAATGTGATCGATACTTGGTATGTTGTGTACAAAGATGGAACTATTACAATACCTATGGAGAGATCAGATCATGGCGATGAATGCACTAATGTCATGTGGAGGCAATGCTTGTACGAGCTGGCAAGGTTTTTCGCACATGTCCTGGATTAATTGTGTACTAATACCTAATTACGACTATGAGTTATCTTGTCTTGATTGGAGAATTCTTTCTCGTCGCTAGTCTTCTGAATTCGAACATCTAAACTCAAAATGGTCGTTACGTCGTTATTATCACTCGAGGAGACGAATGTGGCCCCCCTTCCGCGTCCACGGGTGGAACAGACTCTTGGTCCACTCCCACGTATGAATGGCCATACTCATCGTGCCGAATAAGAAAAAGGGTATCAAGGTGTTGGCAATTATGTATAGCATACCGCCAGACCGCTTGACAATGCCGTAGAGCTCACCGCGTATGATGCGCAGCGACTCCTCTTCGTTCTTCCAGGGACCAACCAGGCGGAACTTTGCATTGAAGTTGCTACCCATGGCCCAGGTGTACAAGGCTTTGAAGCCCTTGGAGTATACATAAGTGAAGCGCGGTGCTGAGCCCATGTCGAGGGCCAGCTGGTATACATAGCTCTCGTGGTCGACGCCTCGCTTTTCGGCCCACGGGTCTCGGCCGCATCGTGGATGAAGTTTCCAGTCGATATCGTAGCCGGGAAGGGCGTTTGCGTCTAGTGTAAGTCCTGCCGACGGGGTTGCTAAGCCAGGGACGCTAGGGTACTTGGATCGAAGAAGTTGAAGGATCCAGAATTGGGTTTGCATTTCGGCGAGTGTCGGAATGGCACCTGAGAAGCGTTGTTAGAGGTTGTGCTTGCAGAAGAGTCATCCTGGGATGAACCACTCACCTAGGTTCGGCCGCACAAAGCCGATGAATCCCACGGATACATCGTTGCTGTGATAGATGGCTCGCACATCGGCCGTGTCGGGTGTGCCATAACTCTTATCGAGGAAAGGAAAACGACGGGTGTAGCCAGTTGCAAATAGGATAACATCAGGCTTCACTACCATCTGCTTCATCTTCTCCGACTCTGGTCTACCAGTATCGCGGAAGTGCAACACGCCATCGTCGTCAACGTACTCGGGCCAGGGAGCAACGTCAATGTACCGACCCTTGGTATCGACGTCAAGCTCTTTGATGTAGAAGAAGAATCGGCGGATCCGCTCCATGACCGAGAGAGGCGGCCGCCAAGGCGCGGAGATGTACGGCACAGCACGGGTGGATTTGGCCGGGAAGACTGCGATCTTTGGTTAGCCGGTCCCCCCAAAAGTTGGTGCAGATGGCCGCATACAGTGATCGATGTGCATCCTCTCCCGACGCATGCCGCCGACGTGTTGGTCCCAGCCTTCAAGCGTTCCACCAATTAGCGAGAATGTGACGTCGATCTGTTGGTTGTAAAAGTCCCACAGCAGTTGGCTTGACTGCAACTTCTGGGGAACATATGCAGTATCGAAGAGACTAGCGATGGAACAGTCGACGGGCTTATCGTTCACTTTGCTATCTTTGCCCCAGAATCCGAACATGACTGGCGTCGGCACGGTCTGTGACGAGTCAACATCAACTTCCATATACAAACAGGCTTCCAACCTGTTGAGTCTCTTACCTTGGGTGCAACCACAAATCCATCTCTGTGGCACATCACAACATGTTGAACAGTTTCAGTCGTCGCCGCGAGTTGACCGAGATCCTGGCCAGTCTCTCCGGTGCCGACAATGACAACGATAGGCTTATCGCTCTTGACGTCTCGGAGCTGATCTCGACTCTTGAACTGCGATGAGTGAAGGACCTTTGGGACTTTGTCTAACCCTGGAATGTCAGGAATACGGGGTTCGAGGTTGAGCCCGGAGCAGACAGCAACGGCATCGCAGATGTAGTCGAAGGTTGTGCCATCGTTGCGAGTGACGGTGACGATATGCCCTCCACCATCTACCCTTTCAGTGCGAGTGACCTTAGATGAGCACTCGATGTGAGGTCGAAGCTCGAAACGATCACAGTATTCGTTCAGGTACTGTACATAGACAGCCGGGGTGACATAATCAGCTGCATCTCGGGGCAGGCGGTGATCGGAGAAGGCGGTTAGGTATTTAGACGAGACGAGCTATGACCATGCTGTCAGCTTCAATACACCTTTCCTCCGATGACAACACATGTCGTGAGGAATAGACAACAGTTTGAGTTCAGTGGCGGCAAACTTACTTCGGCATCCTCGTACACTCGATACTTGAATGTCCCTCCAATATCATCCTCGGCCTCAAAGACCCGGATCTGGATAGGCTCAATCGCGAAGAACAAGTGCGCCCATTTCAGATATCTGGCCGTCGCCAGACCCGCGGGCCCGGCACCGATGACAGCGACTTTGAGAGGCATAGTTGGTTAGCGTGTGCGGCCGTGAGCTTTCAACGTGCCCTATCTGCAGGGTCCTCCGATGTTGTGAAACATGAAGGGACGTCTTTCAAGAAGGGGGCACTACCCTCCACCGCCACGAAGGGATAGCAGAAAGCGAGAAGGTAAGGGCACGAGTGATAGCGGGAAATTTGGTGAGGAGTGGGAGAAAAGTCCGCTCATGAGACGATGGGGGAAAACGGTCGGGTCTTATGGCTTACCTCACACCTTGGACTAGCATCGTCCGCACAGACAACGTGGTACACCTTACCTAGTGTAGGGACGATGGCGAACCTCGGTGGGTGGAAGGACAACCGAAGGGGAGGGAGGTGTGGTAGCGAACATGGAACGGTCAAGTCTGGTTTGGGTCGGCCCAGTCCAGTCTCGTCTGGTCTTACTACGTACTTTGCCTTCCCGAGTTTCTCGCTTTCCCGTCAGCCCGTCAGGAGTAGAGAGAGAACCCCTACTCCAAGACCAGGAATAGGAAGAGGAAAAGGACCGGACCTAACACCGAGCTAATGGTTCGGGTTCCATACGTGCGTATGGGCGAGCCAGTCCGCCGGAGGGACCCTCTCGACCCTCCCATGCTAGTGAACCCAATTGTGAGGTTCGGTCGTGGTGGATAGACCTTGCCAAGGTTGCAGTAGCGCCACTTAGTCCCATGCGACAACGAGGTCTTTCCTTGTTCTCGTCATCAGACCCTCGAGACCTGAGCGGGGTAGGCAATTATCTCCAGCGGGGCGGTCCCCGCGAGAGGGATCGGCTCTTGTGTGGTGTGTGGTTTTTGGATTCCATTGTCTTAGACTGGCCGAGGATGTCGTCTTTCCTCTCTTCGGGAATGTGATATGTGGGAACCTCTCATATCATCTGTGGCCGCCCCCCTCCTGCCATCTGGGTCCGATACTTGAGAGTTGGGACGTGTGGAGTTACCAGTGGTTATGATTGCAATCGACAAAATGAGTTGTCCCATCCGGCCAACTTTGCGAATCGGTGACCACTCGGTCTGGGCCCGGCGTTCATTTTGGCTCAAGTCTCAGGGGCACAAAGACAGCCGCCATGCGGCGCCGCGGCGTAGCCCCAAATGCTGCAAGACCAAAGCGCAACGGCGCCCCCGGTGGTTCCGGCGATTTCGTCCGGCCTAGTCTGGCGCGAGTCTGGCGCGTGTCTGGGTGCGCCTGGCATCCTCTGGCCCAAGCTGCGTTGCCACACCCGCGCCGCCGACTCGAAACTCAATCTGCTGTCATGTCTGTCATCTTGGATTACGGTGTGTGATGTGCGAGCGGTTTTACGTGCGTACTTTTGTTTGTAATAACTGGCTCATCGGCTAAAGTCTGTCACATTTCTGCAAACATGTCATCTTCCATGACGGCGTCACATCGTCAACTCTCCACGTCGAAATCGAACCGTTCTGACCGCCACTTTGATTTCGAAACTTGATCCTGTCAATCGGACCCGGACGACTGGGTCATTAAACATCCTCCTCGGACAGGGAGACCTCCACCTGTTCTCAAACTTCAGTGGTCTCGGCGCCGTAGCATGAGTCTCTTTTCGCCCCTTTCGTCACCTTATGGCCGAACCATCACAATATCCACATGCTGCATTCGTCCGTCGTTGCATAGCCGTTATCCACAGCTTCAGGAAGTTTCGCTGGACTCTCCTCCACCGCTGGTTGAGCGCTCCCCTCTTCGTCGCCAATGAGTCTTCTCCGGTCATCATGATCCTTGCTCGGAGCACATGCGGCACATCCGCAAATCCCGTCCTGCTTGCGGGTGGTCCCGCGCGTCCCCAAGCCGGAGCTGCCACTTCTCTGCACTGCGTTTTGCTGACGAGTCTTGACCGATGAGACAGGAGCCAAGATATTAGGATCCAGTTTAGTCTTTTGCGGAATTCTTTTGCCAGGATCTATGGCACGCTCTGGTCTCATATCCGTACGTATTCGTAGATAGTAGCGAGGCACTAGGCTAGGCGCTGATATCCGCCCGCCGGCGACTTGCGTTGATTGCGGCGCCGGGAAGACGACCCCTGCCGATAACCAAAGATACGACATGTCACAACTCATTGAGCGCGTAGATCTCATGAGCGCGATGAATGCAGCGAAGCCGTGAGCTATCAGAAGACCTCCGTAGGAATGTCCCATTTCCACTGTTGAGAACTAAGCGAGATCTCATAAGTATGGTACCCTCAACTACCTTGCCATACTAGTAGCATGATGATTGTCCTCGTCCTCCTCCCGGTTCGCCAACTTGAAGTCGCGAACGTCGACGGCCTCGTAACCACTATGTCGCTTGAGCCTGCGGGGCTTGAAATGGAGAAATACTTTTGTACTTGTCTAGGGTAGGAGCTCGGCAACCGTCGGGAAACTGTCGAATTGCGCGGGCAAAGGCTCCATTGGTCTCGTTCAAACCTGGCCGCCCCCCTTTGCCCTCTCATCCACTACTTTTCTGATTTTATCCAATGCTAACGTGTCTTTCCGTCTCGTTTCCTTTGGAGACTCTTCCATAACTATAGCCTCATCGCTGCTCACTGGTATGAAGAACCAAGGACGAGCTACCCAGTTGGGCATACCGCTCGGTTTCGGCGAATAGTTGACGTAGAACGGCACTGTCAACTCCATCAATCCAACCTCTTTGCGGAACGCGAGATCATCGAACTTGGCATGGATATCCGTGTTCATGGGGCTATTCTTGCTCCCAGGTGCGACAATAACTTCGGTGATTTTATCGGGCGTTACATGAGCTGCCAGATCGATTCCGGACCAAGACGCAAGAGAGGCCGTCGTCCCCATTTTGAATGTCTTCAACGCCGCCATGCTGCTGCTCCAGTGGTCGAGTAGTTCATGCCAGGACATGCTGGAGTGGTAAAACTCGGTCCATGTGTCGTCGACAAGATCGATATCCCATGTGGTTGGCAAGTATCCGCGATTGGAGACTTCCACGCCGTTACCATCGGCATCTTGGACAGTGACAATGGTATAGTTGCGGTCTCGGTCCAGGTCCCAGATCTCCCATTGAGGGATGGTACAGTATGCTTTCGATACCACCACGCATTCATCGAGGTATAGTTCCTCTATCCCACCCGCTGAATTATGACTTCCGAGAGAAGCGAACCAATCTAGCTGCCACTCGTGACTGAAGCAATATCTGCCCAAAGCTAAGACCTTCAAGTGAGGGAAACCGCACTCTGGCCCGCTGCCGGGATTGATGAGGCGGAAGTCAAATTTGGGCTGGTAGCCCCAGATATCGTCGTAGTATAGAGACAAAGTGGTCAGGTTGCGTGCGAGCTGTGGCTTGAACCACGAGGTGAGCTCGCGGAGATAGAGGTCTTGCCACTGATAGTTGTACTCGGTCGGCTCATCCTCCAAGTTGTCCCACAACGAGTTATCCGGGTCATCGGGGGCTACCATCAACTTTACACCTTTAAGTGTTGGAAGGGCAATCACTTGATTGAAGATGGGCCAATCCGCAAGGTGCCTCCGATGTAATGGATTTTCCATCTCGTGATGTTGACCATCGTTGATATCCTCGGCTAGATTGAAAATAGTCAACTCCTCTAGCTGAATAATGGGAAATCCGCCATCATTAAGCCTGTCCTCTGTGCTCCAAGACATGTCCGGGATTTTCAGGTTCCCCGTCCAGGCAAAGTCATCTGATGTCCCGAGGCTTTGCGATAACTGAACCAGATCCTGATCATCTTTGCTCCCTCCGTGTATGCAGTAAAAGGAGACAAGTATGACAAAACGCCGAAAACTGTAGATGTCATAGAAGCGATAGCTTGTGGAGTTGTCCGGTTCAGCGTTCTCGTCGCCGTCGTCTGCATAGTCGGTAAACTTCAAGTTTAAAACCTTGAGCCCGGAGAAGTATCTGAGGTATGGCAGAGCTTCGAGGAAGTCTATGGGGAAAGGGCGGTAATCTAGAAAGGCGCGAGCATCACATGTGACCTCTCTCACATGTCGGCGAAGGTTTGCATCTTCTGCAACGTGCATGAAGCGGTCGCAGAAGGGTGGCTTGAGGAGAACATGTTGAAATGATCTGGGCGTTGCCGCGGCGGACAGAATTTTGCTCCCCAGCCGAGCGGCGTGAGCCGTTGACTTCGGCGTGTGGGCAAAGATGAGTCCCAGTACCTCAGGTGGTAGCCGCGGCAATCGAGAAGGATCCTCGGCCATTTTTGGAAGCCAAGTTCGGCCAGGCGAAGGCTTCGTGACGAGATGGCCAGGGTTGTGTCGTTGTTGGATCGATGGCATTGGGGAAAACTAAAATCCAGAATGCCGGCCGATAGCCCCTGTCTCGGATGAACTAGAGCCCCGCACATCTCGTCCGCTGAGCTGATTGGTAATTGAGGCTCAAGCGCAATGAAGCCACTGGTATTACAACTTCATACTATCAGTCCTGGCACTCTGGCTTCTGAGTTGTTCAAGGGAGAAAAAATGTAACATGAAATGTTTATCAAAAGATGTGTTACCCTCTTGCACACGTAGTGGTCTTCTGATGTCAAGCTAAGAACCAGACTCTATCAGCTCCGCTGCCAGGTTCAGCTCAAGCTAATTATGCACCAGCAACTGCACTGATCGCACTGAATGAAGGACACATGTGAGGAAACTTGCCCGTAAATGCCAAGTACCTTAAAAGTCAAATTCTGTATCACGTTTCTGGGCCTCTACAGATGGCTTGGGCCCATTAAATTGTGTAAACGTCAAGTGTTAACTTGCATACTAGCCATTGAGCTCAGAAAAGGCTAAAGCAAAAACTTCAGCCATGACGATATGGATTGATCAGATACCTCAAAACACCTCGCAGATGTACACAGCACGCGCCATTTCTCACACTTTACAATATCTTGTTGCAAATGTTGATAAGACCTGAAAGCGCAAAGATGAGGTAGACCTACTGCTAATGACTTTTTGTTGCCCGCGTAGACCGCACCCAACTGGTATTTCGCGTAGACTTCCCCAGGATGACAAGGTAGGAAGCAAAAAGAGAGATGCTTGGCGTGAAAGCCGTAACAGTTCCCCGGGAATATGACCGATCAAGAGTTTGGACTGAAGCGAGATCCATTAATCAGCGACCAGGACATGAGACCATGGCCCATAAAATTCGCGGAGTCGGAGCAGCCTCCACAGCCTTCCAGCTTGTTGTCTCCTCGTCCAACGAGGAAACCAAAGCCGCTCCTCTGTTAAACGAGCAAATGGCGTGGGTTCACGGAATGCAACTCTGCAGTTTGCTGCTTCGACAGATGCACGATATTGGCTGTAACCCTTGCTTTGCATCAAGCATCCTGCTTCCGACCGAGGACATGGAGGAAAAGACTGGAGACGATTGTTGGAACGCGGTCACGTTGGCGTTGGCTTGAGAATGTTTCCCTTGGACCGTTATCTGCCCCTCTTTCTCACTTTTGTCTCTACATCTTGCGTCTCTCACTCTTATTCTTTGCTCTCTTTCTCATTTCTCCTCCTTTCTAAAACTCGGACCCGTCTTTAACATGGTAGCCGATCGCGCTTCAGTTTCTCGTAGTAACTCGGGCTCTGACAGCCACCGGGATAATTCCTCGTCTCCGATTCCAGCAGCCGCGATAGTGGCGGATGACGAGGCTACAGATGATGACGGCTACCATGAGCCAAGTGATGGCAGCTCAAATGCATCCACGTCTATGGCTTCAAGCGTTCGAGACTACAACTTCGAGAACAGACGTCGCTACCACAAGTTCAAAGAAGGCCGCTATATGTTACCGAACGACGACATGGAACAAGATCGTGAAGATATGAAGCATGCTATGTTGGTACACGTATGTGAAGGAGCCTTGCATAACGCCCCCTTGGTCAACCCTCAGAAGATCCTCGACATCGGCACTGGCACTGGAATTCGGGCCATGGACAGTGAGTGCCCCGTTGAATATCTCCTTTACCTATCATACCTAGTTGTAGTCGTTCGGACGTTGATCTTGGATGAAAACTCCCAGTGGGCGATGAATACCCAGCAGCCGATATCACCGGTCTTGACTTGAGTCCCATTCAGCCTGCTTGTGTGCCGTCAAACGTGCATTTTGTGGTCGACGACGTCGAAGCTGATTGGCTTTATCCGGATGACTCGATTGACTACATCCATGTGAGAAATATGGCACCAGCACTCAAAGATTGGCCTAGGCTGCTCGCGCAGGCATACAAGTAGGCAGTCGAATATCTTTAATAATTTGCCACATTACTAAACGAAGCAGGGCTCTCAAACCGGGCGGCTGGATCGAGATGCAAGACATGGTGTGGGCATTTGCTTCCGATGACGGCACAGTTGGCCCGGATTACACTCCTAAGAAGACGGTGGACCTTCTAAGGGAAGCCTTCGATAAGTTTGGGGTAGATCTAGATGCAGCTGATAGGTTTGGCGACCGCATCGATGCCGCAGGCTTCGTCAACCAGATTCATGATGTCGAAAAGGTGCCTGTGGGCACTTGGCCGAAAGAACCTCGTCTGAAGTCAGTCGGTAGCTATTGTGCTGCCGTTAACTACGATTCATTGGGAGGAGTGACCAATGTACCATTTACGAAGTGTTTAGGTTGGACGCAGTTGGAGATCGAGATTTTCCTGATTCAAGTGCGCAAGGATTTACTGGATAATTCGAACCACGCGTATCACTGGTATCACTCTTACTCTGGCCAGAAACCTTTGGAGGTGGAGAGCTCGACTTCGTAACGGGGTTTCAGGTCATGGAAACACAGTTCCGACATTTAATTCACTTTTCCCCCGCTGCATCTTGCTGTTACTCCAATGTCGCAGTGACGTTCTGTCGTAGGGTATATATGGCGTTAATTGCTGCCCGTAATTAACGGCGTCGTTTTTGCGACACGTTCACAGTACCTCCAATCCTCAGATTCTTTGACAGATCAGGTGCATCCGCATGGAGAAGAACACATGACTTAGGTATGCTCCGCTATTAGACAGAACCAATTGCAGCAGAAGGTAACCACAGTTATGGGGTAGGTAGACGACGATTATCAAGTTGCTGCCTTGCCGCAGTGTCGCGGAAGCCCACTGATCCGTCTTAGTCAACATCAAAGTTTAGCATTGTCCAACTTTTATCTTCTTCAGTGTAATGGCTCTATCCAATACTGTCTCTACAGTTGTCGAGAAATATTTACTGTAGCCCAGCTGTGTCAAAACAAACCTGAGTATGGTAAGTGCCAAGCAGCTACAATATGAGGGGATAAGTCAAACCCCCCACTTCCTGGCACCCCCCTGTTTCTGGCACCACAAAAACGATGGGATCACAACCCGACCTCCTCATTACTATTAACTATTGATCCTCAACCACACCCACTACAATACAGCTGCCAGCCTCACTAAGAGTCGCTGGATTCAGCCGTGATAACCTCCTTTTCACCCGCTTCGATTTGAGCCCGATGGATATCCCTGATGTTCGCGAACTTCGTGTTGGGATCGATTTGAACAGTCTTCCTCTTCCTCACTGCAGCGTTGGTAACTTGAGCCCTCAGGTGAGCTAGTTGCTGCTGGGCAGCTGCCAGTTGCCAGGCCTGCTCTGTGAAGCCTTTTTTCACCTTCCTGAATAGCAGCCGTTGAGTGCTGGTATCATTGTCGAGTTGGGTGTATAAGTGCAGTTGACCGCTGAGCTCTGCCAGCTTCCTGGGTGTCGACCAGACCACTGCAGAGGAGGCAGAATCCCATGGCTCAACAGGGGTAGTTTGTTGACCATTATGGCATCGCTTTCTGCCCTGACTAGTTGGTTTGGGTGTGGTGGGCTTAGCAGGAGGCTCAGGTAGTACCATAGGGTTCATCAGGGGCTTAACCATCGCCACAGGGTGTAGACCAGTCCACTTCCAACCACTTCTGATGTTCGAGACTGATAGACCAGCAAGTCGAGCCTTCTGGTAACAGTCCAGGAAGTTCCTTTTACCTATAATGGTAGAGTCGTTCCATTGAGACAAGTAACCGAGCTCCTTCCGATAGGCTGACTTAACAGGGCTGAAGACAGACTGGTCAAGAGGCTGGAGGACATGAGAGGAGTGTGGTGGTAAGAACAGTAAATGGATATTGTTAATATAGCAATTCCACATGAAGTCTGTCGTCGTATGACTCCCATGCCCATCCACAATCAGCAGTCGAGCCTCCCCCTCAGCCTCAGGCATAGTCTGTGGGATGAACACCTTCTCTAACCATTCAATGGCAGTTAAGTCTGTAGTCCAGCCATTATCTGTTGCTGTGAACTCCCACCCATCGTATGGAACGAGATGTAATGGAAACCACTGCTGTTGGACTGTCTTCCCCTTGAAAATGATAAGAGGACGAAGTGCCCTACCCAAGGCTGAGATACACTCAATGATAGAGACCCATGCCCTCGACCCAGGTTGTTTCTTGCGAACAGACGTCGTCTCAGCCATACCCAGCACTAACCCATTAGCTCCCTGACCCTCGAGGATGCCAGTCTCATCCATATTATATCTGTTGGCTGGTTTGATGTCCTTGATCTCAGGGATAGCGAGGAACTTAAACCAGTTCCTAATGACCTCAGTAGATGCCCCATTAACGCGTCTAGAATCGATAGAACGACTTCTCTGAACCTTAATGATAGGGTTCCTTCTCACAAAGGCATAGATCCAGCCTTTTCCCAGTGGTTTGGTATCCCCAGCAGCAGCCAGAACTCGCTCTGCGAATTCCTTCACCTGTTGGTGCGTTGGTGCGAGGCCCAGCGAAGCCTGAATGCGAACCCATTGTGCCAGCTTACTCTCCTGGTCAGGAGACAGCCTCTGCCAGTCAGCAAAAGCCACTTTCCTAGTCTGACCACCTTGGAGACGTAGTTGGAGGGTTGATCGTGGTATCCCATACTCCAATGAGGCTCTCTTTTGACTCTTGCCGTTTGAGATGTCCTCGAGAGCCTGACGAAGCTGATCTTCGGTATATTGAGGCATTAGATATAGAAGAAGGTATGTGCAAAAGATGAGCCCATTTGGACGCGAATTGAAAATGTTGTGATAAAAGGAGGTTGGGGGTGGGCATTGGGTTGTGGTGGATTTTCGCGTTTTTGTGGGTGCCAGAAACAGGGGGGTGCCAGGAAGTGGGGGGTTTGACTTATTAAAGAAACTCAGCCTCAGTTATGACACCCCAGTTTAGTAAAATGTGTGCTGCAGTGATGCGTTACTCTATGTTTGCATTCGAAGCTGTCATTTATTTTTCGTCGCGATGTCGTTTTCTCAGACCGTATTTTCGTGATTCCATTTCTGGGCCGCAATGGAGATTAAAAGGGGTTGATTCATCATCTAGAGTTTCGGGCGGCTGCTGAACTCTCATTGCGGGCAGTATTTTTCTTTGACTATCAGAGTAAGGTGGCGCAAAAACTCTGATGCTTCGCCATCGTGACAAACTAACTCAAACCCAAAGGTAAATCGAGACCATGACGCGATAAGCACTGCAAAGAGTTTTGATATAAACAAATAGATTTTAGATGGCGCGCATCCTGTTTCTCGATGAACGAGTGACTAATAATCATAGCGAGTTGAAGTTTCACAGCAGAAAGCCCTGGACGCAAAAATTGATATCTCGCTGAATTGCCCGGATAAACACAACAGCTATCATCCGTGGGAAGTGATTGTACCACCGGGTTGGTCAGCCGCAGGAACGTGCTCATCGCGGTCAGCTCCGCCGTTGACCTCTGCTTCCCATCTTCCCCATCGTGAAAGGGGTCAGTCGGGGCACACGTCACGCTGCAACCCAGCAGCCCTAAGATGGCAGGACGGATCTCGGCCGATGTGAGTAAGTGGGCAAATCACCGCGCTAATGAGCTCGCGGTGCAAACTCGTGTCAGGAACTTGGCCATCACAATGGTCGTGTCCACTTACCCGCTCTCCCCAATATCTTGGCAATTACTTCTGGAATAGGTTCGTAACAAGCGCCCAATCGTGGGCGTTGCCTTATTACCCGGACCCTCTAAGTACTCCATAGTGGTTCCTGCATGAGCCTCACTTTGGATAGAAACAACCCAAGTATAAGATACTGCATCAAAAGGGCTGCCCTTGGTCTTGTTCTGTCCCTTCTGTCTCCCCTCAAGTCGTTCTTTCTGTACATTCTACATTATCAACTTCAACTGCAACTCAGCTTCACGCTGGCGTGATTTGGTCACTCTTTCAAATCGATTTCACGCGTCCATTCTTTTATCAAAATTACATTTTTTTCAACTTTCGAACAACATGCGTTTCTCAGCATCCGCCATTTTGGCTGCTGCAGCCGCGACGTCAGCGTCCGCCCAGTCTGTCGTTGGCACGGCGTACGGCTTTGCCAAGGGTGTCACCGGTGGTGGCAATGCGGCCGCTGCCGTCCCCTCTTCTGTCGACGAACTCACCCAGTGGCTTGCCGACGATACTCCCCGTACCATCGTCATTGACAAGGAGTACGACTTCACCGGTACCTCTGCCAAGGGCAAGGGCTGCAGCCGAAAGAGCTGCACAGTCGTCAACGGCGGCCAGCTCTTCCTCGGAGACCTCTCCTGCGGCACGAGCGACAACATCGCGACCACGGTCAGCTACGACCTCGCTGCCACCGAGCCCCTCATTGTCGGCAGCAACAAGAGCATTCTCGGCTCCAAGGGCAAGGGCATCCTCAACGGCAAGGGCCTTCGTGTCAAGACCAACGCCAAGAACGTCATCATTCAGGGCATCGAGATCACCAACCTGAACCCTAGTGTTGTCTGGGGAGGTGATGCCATCGACTTGCAGGGCGGCAACGATGGTGTCTGGATTGACCACAACAGAATCTCCAAGATTGGTCGTCAGTTTATCGTCACTCACTTCGCTGGTTCCCGCGTCACCATTTCCAACAACTACTTCGATGGAGCTACCCCGGCTTCAACCACCTGCAACGGCAACCACTACTGGACTGAGATGCATCTCGGTGACGGAGACCAGATCACCATCGACAGAAACTACTACGTCAACGTCTCTGGCCGTTCCCCCAAGCTCGGCCCCAAGGGTACCTTCCATGCTACCAACAACTTCTTCCAGAACGTCCAGGGCCACACCTTTGAGCTGTTCACCACCACCCTTGCTCTCATTGAGGGTAATGCGTTCGAAAACGCCAAGCAGCCTTACGTTGGCCAGGTCTTCGCCAACAGCTTCAATGCCCCCGACGCCAAGTCTGCTGCTGCCTGCTCCTCAAAGATTGGCCGTGCTTGCGTAATCAACAGCGTTGACTCCAAGAGCGGCCAGTTCAAGGCTTTGGCTCAGACCAACGTCTTGTCTACCTTCGCGAAGCTTTCTGGCTACCTCGTCAAGCCCGTTGCTGCCGATACCGTCGCTAGCCTTGTCGTTGGCAACGCCGGTCCCGCTAAGCTTGGCGGCTCCGGCTCCGGTGCTACCCCTACCACTGTTGCCACTTCTACCCACAAGGCTACCTCCGTCATTGCCGCGACTCAGAGCGCCAAGGTCACTGTCAAGGCCCCCTCGACTCCCAAGGTTACCCCTACTGCTGCCGCGACTCCCAGCTCTGGTGCCAACCACACTACCAAGGCCTCTCCTTCCCACACCTCCAAGGCGGCTCACACATCCAAGGCCAAGCCTACTCCCAGCACTCCCAGCACTCACACCTCAACCAAGAGAGCATCCTGCCAGCAGACTGCTTCTGGAAACTCCACCGAATCTGCCATTGTTCAGAACTATCACCAGTGTGGTGGAAAAGGCTGGACCGGTGCCACGACCTGCGTAGCTGGAACTTCTTGCGTTGTTCAGAACGAGTGGTACTCCCAGTGCGTCAGCTCCGCCACGAGACGCAGCTCCAAGGCACTCCGCCGTATCTAAAGACGTAGATGTAGTGTATAATGAGGACCAAGGGGTCTTCAAAGCTAAGGTATGACTGGATAGCACCCAGTTTCTCTTCTTGAAGATAGTAGTTAATAGTTGGCCATCCGGTCTTGTATTCAGAGCCAGCCGATTGCCCGGCAGCACATAAGAAACATACTTTATGATGAAAACTAAATGTTCTACTTTCTCCGTGATTTCTTTTTCACTTAACTTCCCTCTCGCCTAATTTTTCTTGGCATCTACTGTTAGTGTAACAAGTGGGCTACCACTAAAATCCTTAACAGCTGAAAACCCTTCACCTCTCCTCCGGCGCCCTCCCGCGATGGTCTCGTAGCCTCCGGCGGGCTCTGGACCGTTGCCGGCCTCCTCGGCCGGCCCTGATCGAGGCTCTAGACCCTCTTTAGAGCCGTCCCCATCCTCAAGGGCTAAACGCCGCCGCGAAACCAAGGCCCAGCCATTCCGGCCCAGCTGTTACGGCCAGCTAGTCGTAGGGGTAGTTTGCAGAAGTTGAGGCTGCGGAACTGGTAACAGTAATCGTAGTCGGGGATAGCTTCAGGGAAGCTATGTCTGTCAATCGTAAGGGTGGGTAAGGCTTCGGTGATCAATCGTAGTCTTGTCAAGGTAGTAGCTGAAAGCGGATGTTAATCCTGATACGAAGTTAATTGCTGAAGAGCTATGGAAAGTCTGTCCTAGAGTCCGGCTCGAGTCCATCCTATATACAAGTCCTGGTCCTGAACATATCCCTTGTCAATGATCAGTTCCTCTGATCGGGTGAGCGCTCATTGTTCGGCATGAGCGCTCATTACTTGGCATGAGCGCTCATGGCCCCACCATGGTCGCTCATGGCCCCACCATGGCCGCTCATGTCTTATCTTATCATCACGTGACTTGTACCATAGTTCTTCCGTTCCGTGAGAGGGTGCCTAGTGTCCCTTATCTCCTGCATATGTGGTGTATTATAACCGCCGCGAGCCTGCGGGGCAGGCCCTGTTCTTGGTCATGCATGTTGGGTCGTAACACCAGCCTCGTAGGAAGCCAGCCCGATGCCCTAATAACAACCCCCTTAACAGCTAAGGGGCCCTCGATTATAACTAGGATAGCTACTAGAGCTGTCCTTATAGCTCTTAATGAAGAGGCTAAGCACTATGAAGCCCGAAAGTGTTACGGCCAGCTAGTCGTAGGGGTAGTTTGCAGAAGTTGAGGCTGCGGAACTGGTAACAGTAATCGTAGTCGGGGATAGCTTCAGGGAAGCTATGTCTGTCAATCGTAAGGGTAGGTAAGGCTTCGGTGATCAATCGTAGTCTTGTCAAGGTAGTAGCTGAAAGCGGATGTTAATCCTGATACGAAGTTAATTGCTGAAGAGCTATGGAAAGTCTGTCCTAGAGTCCAGCTCAAGTCCATCCTTATCCCATCGAGTGCTGCAAGGCGACAGTACATTGAGATGCGGGGGAGCAGCCAATCGGGCCACTTCGGGCCCCTTTTTCCAACCAACCAACGTAATTGATAATAGATACTTCCAATTACTAGAGATTCTGCGTATGAAATCGGTACCAGCAATCTTCTGAGTTACAGAGAGCTACATCGCACTCGAGGCAGCCCATCCTCGTGTACTTCCCAGGGATACCGGGCTCAACCTCCGGAGGCTCGCGGGGCCGAACAGTGGCATTATCACATTGCTCCGGCGTACAGTCGGCAGTGCAGGCGGCGGCGAGGTCCTCGGGCAGCAGGGCAAAGATACACGACTTCGCCGAGCCCGTGGAACGGCCAGATCCGTCAGAATCGTCAGAATCCATTAATTGAGTATTGGTAATGATGGATTTGGTAGATGTACCGGAGTGGAAATCATAGGGGCAACTCAAGCAGTGGATGTACCAGATGCGGTGCGGGGTAAAAGGGGGCCCGTTATGTGGAGCCAATGTACTGTCGCCTTGCAGCACTCGATGGGATATGTGGTAGGTGCAGGTGGGTCACGTGAGGCAGCTCCTTCACATCTCGGAGCTGCCCCACCTACACCTTGCCCAGATATCCAGCCCAGCCAGCGCTCAGCTTTTCCCATCATCATCATCATCAGATCCAATACAGTAGTATTGCCTCCACATTATATACAAGTCCTGATCCTGAACATGTCCCTTGTCCCTTGGGTCGTCTTGGGTCATTCTGATCCAGAATGATCGTTTAGCCCCCAAGTCGTGTTGGATCATATTGATCCCAAATGATCCTTATCTTATCATCACGTGACTTGTACCATAGTTCTTCCGTTCCGTGAGAGGGTGCCTTGTGTCCCCTTGTCCTGTGCATGTATGGCGTATCGTAACCGTCGTAAGCCTGCGGGGCAGGCCCTGTTCTTGGTCGTGCATGTTGGGTCGTAACATAGAGCATCCGCTTCTTCATTTCCTAGTACTCCCGTATGCCCAGGGCACCACCAAACATAAACCCTGCCGGGGGTTATCCAGCTCTCTCTTTGTCTCCGAGTCCAGGAAGAAGAGAGCCTATTAAAGGCCCTAAATCTAGCCTGGCTACTTCCTATGCTCTAGGAATATAGTCTAGCCGCGACTATAAGGTTATCGAAGCAGATATAGACGTTATCTACTATACGAGCCGTAAGAGCCCGGGTGGCTTCCATCAGGCCGTGATACGCAGCATGTGCCTCCGCGTCATACACCTCAGTTTGGGAGCCGAGTGGTTCGGATCCGCGGAAGATCTGCCGTGTAGCTTGGTACCCTACCCAGCCTGCTCCGGCGGAGGTGCTGCTGCCGTCCGACATCTGGGACCCGTCAGTGTAGACAACAATGTCCCGCTTGGAGAAAGTTGCCATCCTGCCTGCAAAGGAGAGGGCCTGTTCTTCTTTGGTCTTATTAGATTCGTAGCCGACCCTGGCGAGGGCTGTCTGCCAGTCCGCTAGTTGCTCCCAAGGGGGGAGTTCTAACGGATCGATGTATTCGGTATTTTTGCTTACGAGGCTTGCCATTCGTCGTAGCCGTGAGTCTGGTCCTGATTTGTCCCTGAGTCTCGTTCGGAGAGGGTGTCGCTCGTCCAGACGATGGATTCTGGTGGACGCTGTGTGGAGCTTCGCGTCCAGTATCACCTCTGCTGGGGGTAGAGCCGCCTCGCGCTGTAGGATCGGTACAGGCGTAGTTCTGTATACGGGGACTATCGCTCTAATGGCTTTGGTTTGCGTCGCGTCCAGTTGGTGTAGCAGACTACCAACCCCGTTTGAGATAGTACGTCCATTCTTTATCCGGCTCTTGCCGGGCCACCATGCTTCAGATGCATAGTACTGAGTGGGTAATACACAAGAGGTGATCGCTCGACGAAGTAAGTACGCAGGCGCGCCCCAGACAGTGTTCCCTAGTCCCCGTAGTCCATTGACTACTTGGCATGCTTTTGCAGAGAGGTTTCTTACGTGACTCTTGAATGTGAGTTTACGGTCGAAGTAAACGCCGAGCCAGCGTAGAGAAGAGCCTTCTTTGATAGCCTGAACTGTATGATACCTCCCATCCGGCAAACCTACTGTAATTGATGGGTTTCCGTCTTTTCGTCTCTTAGTGAAGTGGATCAGTTCGGACTTATCGAGGTCAAAAGTGATTCCTTCCGTCGCGCCCCATCCTAAGGTTTTTTTCCATTCCTTGGTTAATGCAGGACGGGACGGAACATTGGGGAAACCCCAGGAACGGAAGAACTATGGTACAAGTCACGTGATGATAAGAGATATGATAAGGGATAAGGATATGTTGGATATGCGACATATCCAACCGAGTCAAGGATATGTTGGATATTCGGCATATCCAACATATCCAGACAAAGTGGACTGTTCAGCACTGTTCAGTTAGGATCGGACTTGTATATAAGGATGGACTTGAGCTGGACTCTAGGACAGACTTCCATAGCTCTTCAGCAATTAACTTCGTATCAGGATTAACATCCGCTTTCAGCTACTGCCTTGACAAGACTACGATTGATCACCGAAGCCTTACCCACCCTTACGATTGACAGACATAGCTTCCCTGAAGCTATCCCCGACTACGATTACTGTTACCAGTTCCGCAGCCTCAACTTCTGCAAACTACCCCTACGACTAGCTGGCCGTAACATAGCCATGCTATTTTCAAAACAGCCGTAATAATTCCGTCGGTCCCAGGAGTCGTATTTCCCACGGTAAGAACCAAAGACCATACCTCGTCCTTCGTAACCTACGGGAAAGGAAGCATAGCTTACTTTTGTAAGACTAGGCTTTCTATTAATATATCCTCAAAGATTACAGCGTTTCTAAGGAGGACGCAGGTAAATAAATCGCGCTTCTCTTTTGGTTATAAAACAAGCATATCTTAGTTATCTACATCTCGGAGTGGCGGGGTCTGAAAGGATCCTGTGGCTTTATACCAACCGACCATTTCAAATATATCTTTACTTAAGGAGGCTAAGGAGATCTTATCTTTCCAAAAGGTATCTTTAGAGCGTTTAAACTCGTAAAGGAAGTCCTATTTTAGAGCTTCGATCTTCTCTTTTTCCTATTAGCAGTTCACTCCGGCTACGTAGAGTCTTACTAACATCGCTCGCTTACTCGCATAGGCTCGGTGTTTACGTATACAGCTTTCGCTCCAGTATAATCTCCCTATACCTTTCCCGAGCGTACGCTTTGTAGAAGCCGTAAGTGCTTTAATAAGACAGTCCGTAAGCTATTATACTAGGAGATCTAAAGACTATGGGTTTTGGATATTGCTTATAGTGCGGCGCATGGGTTGTAAGTTGCGTTTAATAATGCCGAGGAAAAGTGTCAGAGCCCTCCCGGATAGGGGCTAGTAAGAGGTAGTAAGGAGTCCAAGCAACAAAGGAACAGCTCAGATATATATACAGCGCAGGGAGTACACGTCGAGGGAGGAGCAGACTTCAGTAATTCATCATTCTACCCCTAACTGCAGTTGGCCTCTGAGAGCTTCCACCCTGCGTCAACATCCCAACTTGACAAAAAGCTCCTCGTCCATCGTGTCGAGCCGAAACCTTCCCGGGGTCTGTCTGGGTGAATCTATCAGGGCCAAGGGGACCCGGGTAAGCAGAGATTCGTGGTCTGATGTCGTATGTAGTGACGTTTCTATGCTGGTGGAAGCCCCATGGAGGTTGCTGGACGCCCAGCATAAATCTAGGGTATTGCCGCCTTTATGCGTGGGTTCACTTATAGGTAATTGTTGGTTCACGGGGTCGTATACGACAAATAGTGGTAGCAATTATCACTCGTCTGTTGGTGATCCTATTGCTTGTTCTTCTTGTTGTTGTTCTATCTTACATTGTAGGCAGGAGTCGGTCGAAGTAGGTAGTGACGGCCTGGGTGGTTGCCCCACCTTTATCCGGCCGTGATGACTAAGCCAGTTGTCCCACTTCGCCCAGGGCAGGTGCCAGCCAGCCCATGGTACCTGCCTATTACTCCTTATCAGCCTTTGCTGTTCCAACAGAATGTGTAATTATCCAAGAAGCATCACGTCTTGACCACAGCAGCACCTATCACTCCCCATTAAAAGCACAGCAACTTCCCTTTCCGGACTTTTCTCTCATCCATCTAGTGGGGTCTATCTTTTCTAAAAGCTGGCATAGCCTTCGATACTTCCTACTCGTACAATGCCTATCAATCAAGCCGCCTGGTTGACAGCTAAGAAGGCCAAGCCTTTGGAGGTTAAATCAGCCCCATACACATCAGCCGGCCAAAAGGAGGTGGTGATTCAATCGAGCCGTGGCCATCAACCCGGTCGACTGGTTCAAGCAAGAAACCGGTGATATCCTCTACGAATGGGTCAAATATCCCTGCATCCTCGGCAATGACGTCTCCGGCGAGATCATTGAAGTCGGCCCAGGTGCCGAGGACCGGTTCAAGATCGGCGACCGTGTTGTTGCCCACGCCGTGGGTCTTGACAAGCGAAGCAATAAGTCATCCGAAGGCGGTTTTCAAGATTACGTCGTCTTGCGGGCCGATCTGACCTCTCAGATTCCCGATTCAATAACATTTGAGGAAGCATGTGTAATACCCTTGGGCGCTTTGACTGCTGCATGCGGTCTCTTCATGAAGGACTTTGTCGGCCTTCAACACCCAGACGTCTCCGCAAAACCGACCGGGGAGACATTCTTAGTCTGGGGTGGCTCGACGAGCGTGGGGTCAAACGCCATTCAACTCGCCGCTGGAGCTGGTTACGAAGTCATTGCAACAGCATCCTCAAAGAATTTCGACTATGTCAGGTCTCTCGGCGCCGCAGAAGTTTTCGACTATCGCAGTCCGACTGTCGTTCAGGACATTATCAAGGCATTCCAGAGCCGGAAGTCAGCTGGCGCAATCGCGATCGGCGCGGGGTCCTTAATCCCCTGCATCAACATCATGGTTGGTTGCAAGGGCCGCAAGTTCGTCGCCCAAGCCAGTGTCGCTGGACCTGGCCGGCCGCCCACAAACGTCTCGGAAACCGTTTCATTGCTGTGGGCAATGGCTTCCGAGAGCGCGACTGCGACAGTCAAGTGCAGAGTGAGCGGTGTGCGAAGGAAGTTCATATGGGGAAGTGATGTTATGGCGAATGAAGTCGGTGCCGCCATTTACCGAAACTTCCTGCCTCAAGCACTGACCCAGGGCAAGTTTGTTCCGGCGCCCAAACCCCATGTTGTTGGAAAGGGATTGGAATCTATACAGCAGGCATTCAAGGTCAGCTACAAGGGAGTCTCGGCGAAGAAGATTGTCGTTTCTTTGTGACAATGAGCGCGGTCTGTTTTTAATCGATCGGAGGATTGGATGTAGTGTTCAATGCTTTCTTTTCGTCTCGAGCCTCAGCATCCAACGTGAAGCTCGACTGAATATTATAATAAGTCTTCAACGCTCTGCGCAGTGCTCAAGGGTGACCTTGTCCCGGCGAAATGATCGAACATTCCCAACATGAGCCTGGGACTTTCCACTGTCGTTCCTAGTTCCGTTGTGGACCAAGTCTCCATCAGAACGAAACAAAAACGGCTATTTGGGTAGCACCGAGTATTCGTACTCACGTTTTACCTACCCATGCCAATGAAACACGTGGTTCGTTGGCGCGAGTTGGATGCCATCAATGATCTTCCGCCAACCCTCGCTTCAATGATCTCGGGATGGCGTCTTCGGGTGGTCCCGCTGCTGATTCGGTGCAGGAGCTTATGTACCGAACGACTGGATTTGCCGCGATTGCGAAGCACACAACAATTAGACAAGCAACGTCAGATTTCTTTCACCAAGTCAAGTGACAAAGAAGTCACCAATGAATCAAGGCCAAGGATCCTGAACAACTGCAACACTACAAGGAATGGCCCAGTCTGGAGTACATGTCATCAGATGAACCCCATGCAGATCGCTGGAAGATAAGCCCAATTGACAATTTGTGTGGTCGTCTATTTGACTCCCTGTAAACCTTCGCGATTCATGCGCTTCTCCGTTTGTCACAGCGGACTAGACACTGCAAACAGAGGGGCAGCGGGCCACTCACTGCGAACGCCGCACTCCTTTTTGAAGCCAAGCTTCTAGCACCGAATGTCAGCTCTTGGCATCAAGAGGCCAATTGGTATTTTACAGGATTATGCGTCCGAGTCCTCACCCAGAGCTCTAGTTGAGCCTTGATAACACCATTCGATCCCTAAATCAGCGTCTTACCATTTCTTTGGAAAGCATTGAATGATTGGGGTCACCTCCATCAGGGCCGGAGATTCTAGGACTGCTTATCGAAATGGAGATTGATGCATGTTCTCCTCCTATCAGCCAGGGTGGCCATGCTGTTGCGCTCTGTTTACCCCAAGATCCTGACTCGCGGCGATAGAAAGAGATAAACCGATATGCCCATATGTAACGTGGTTCTTTTTAAAACCAGCGGATATTCCTCTTTCTTCGAGGACGGTTGAGTTCTAATCGCGATCTTCTCGCAAAACGCTGTCGAATGCTTCATCAATGGGCAAAATGGGACAACAGGGACGTCAAGTACAGACGAAGATCAAGTATTTCGATGATCCGGGTGTGCCTTTGGTGCCCATGATAATTGGAGGGTATGTAAGATGCCAGTTCCGACTTAATTTATTGGAAAGCTAATTCGTGATGGAAAAGTCCGGAACCCGGCAAGCCTCAACCTAAAGTCGAAATCGCGACAACCATCACCGACATCACTGGCAGAGAGAACGATTTCACTCTCGACGTTCAAGGATTCCACTATGTCAAGCATCAAAGTCAATTAACCAACTGGGATGATGATGAGGAAATCAAGCGGGTAAACTATCCCGAGATGGAGAAGTTATGCTACAAGGTCCTATCCGAGACCGAGAATATGTAAGTGACTTTCTATTTGCGTCGTGATGAGGCTTTTTCTGCCCACCAAGAACATCACAAGTCTGGCATCATGTTGACACGCATAGGCCCAAGCCCTGTCTAGTTCATATCATGACACACATCATCCGCCGCGGTCCTAAGGATGGCGAGGGCCCGAAAGGTCCGGCGCCTTTGTACGGCGTCCACGTGGACCAGTCATTCAAGGCAGCTGAAGGAGTCGCTGAAAGATGGCTGAAAGAGAAAGCAGAAGAACTGCTCAAGAAACCACGATACCAGATTATCAACGCAAGTGGACACTGACCTTCGCTTAACTCCCAAAATAGCTGACAGAATTACGCAGATGTGGCGACCCATTCGCCCGATTATTCGGGACCCATTCGCGGTGTCGGATGCCCGGACTATACCAGACTCTGACCTGGTGTTTGTGCCAGTGCGATTTCCGGATCACGATACTGAAGCCGTCGAAGTTCGCCCGCCGACTACCTCGCAGCACAAATGGTATTTCAAAGACCAACAACAAGTCGATGACGTGCTGTTCTTCAAGCAAGTGGACTCAAGCACGAAGCCTGGTGTTCCTAGAAGAGTGCCTCACTGTGCCTTTAAGGATACTGACTTGCCAGAAGGCGCTGGTGAGCCGAGGGCGAGCATTGAGGTCCGAGCATTTGTTTTCTACGACGAGGACTAAGTACATGTACGCGTTTAAGGCCCATACCTTAGTACGCGAGGAAATATCTCAACGGCATTGTCGATTTCGAGTTTTCATAATCGAACCAAGGCCCTCGAGATACTCCTTGCCAATGCCAAGTGAACAGGTGATGTTGGATGAAGACTGTTGATCCACATATACTCATTGGCAGCATAGGTGCAATTGTCCCACTTCGTGTCTGGCTCAGGTGTTCCACTGGGCCAACAGTCAGTGGAATTTGTCTTCTGCGGGTCTGGAGAGAGTGTGAACTTGATGCCTTACTTTTGTTTTGGTATGCCGAACAGTATGTCGTCGTGTTCTTGTAAACTGCCGTTTCTTTATAACGGCCAGGATCTATCACTCTGCCAAACAACCCATAGGTGTCGTATTGGAACACGGTCACATCTCCGTGAGCCTCTCGCAAGTCGCTGACAAACACGCCAAGACGCTCATTCCAATCCTCAACCGCAGCCTTTTCAAGAGGAATGCGCTCTTCAGCCGCGCTGGACTGGGTTGTTCTCAGCTTCCGCTCAAGTGGAGGTACGTTGAGGAAGAGGAAGTTACGGGCACCCGCCTCGTAGACTTCTTCCACCAACTCCGCAAATTTATCAAAGATCAGCGGGTGAAGGTCCGTGGAGTTGCCATTGGTATAGGACTTCCCAATGTCATTGATTCCGATGAAGAAACCGAACAGAGAGGACTCAGCATCCCAAGTCTGGTTGGTTCCGGTGTAGTTGGGGATGAACCCATTTTCAACTTGACTCACAACGTCGATGCTGGACGTCACGAGGGTGGTGTTAACAGTGGCACCGCTTTGTGCAAAGTTGTAGGTTAGTAGCAGCGATGCATTATGCTTGGTGGTGAGATATTAGATCCAGTTTTCTCCGTTTGCGCTGGTAGGGCCTGCGTACGTCGGGTTACCAAGGGGATTGACGATGGAGGGCTGGTCGCGAGTGACATAAAATCCAGTCCTCGTATAGGAATCTCCACTGCATTTACATTTGAGCCTAGGAACAACCCCATGGTTCAAAGGACTTTAACCTACAAAGTGAAGAGAGTTTGCAGGCCAGCAAAGCCTGGATATGCTGCTGCGGCATCGTGAGTGGCGAGGCCGAGAACTATCAGCAGTAGTCGGAAACTAGAGAATGGCGGAACCATGGTTGCGATGGGCTTTCCACTTTATCTGGGTCAAGCTGTTGGATGGTATGCAATTCAACAAAGGCCAGTAAGGGAAGAGATCTTGAGAGACTCTTTATACTAAAGGCTTTCTTCTCCTGAATCCAAGCAGTCAACTTGTCAAGGTGAAGATACCACCACCCCCCTCCCATATTCGGCTCATCCATGTCTCCGAGACGGACGAGAGGAGATGTAATAGCTTGTTGCACGTATGTGTTGTCATTTCCTTCTCATACCTTATGCGTGGCTCACTAGTCCCCGTCTCGACAACTCCGCTTTAAGGCCTTGCAGCACATCATCATGTTTGTCCACCAACATTGACAACCCCACAGAGAGATTCAGAGAACATATGCAGATCCCGGAGCTATCCGCCATCAGATGCATGCGAAATTCAGCCGGGGCGTGTAAGAGCTCCATTTTCAAGTTATATTCCGCCAATGGGATGTTTTCTCAATCGTTTGCAACTTGAAATCCACAAAGGGCCCGGCCAGCCCGGACCAACTCGGCCGGAAGTCGGACTCAATGCCCGACCTCCTCAGCACAACTTTTTTTTCTTTCCACATCGCTTAGATAATTCACCTAAGAATTTAAGTGAATAATGGTTGATCGAAAATGGCCTATCTGACCGAGGTACTCTGCTTGATTCGTTTTCGTCTACAACCAAACCACCGCGTAAATCAAGTTTCCTCAGCAGCACAGGGTACGTCTGTAGACTTTATAGAGTTAAGAGGAGATATACTACTCCTGCCACAAGCCCAATGAAATGGTAACCTCTGGAATCACTTGGCTGTGAAATAACACGCTGAAGTCTGCCTTCTGTCTTGATTTCTATGGGGCTGGATAGGCCAAATTATGACAGTTTACCTTACCCTAATGATGGTTATAGACCTTTACAAACGCGAAAGTTTAAGGTGTGAGGATGAAAACAGCTACTTTCCGATTCGACACTCCTACGTAAGGTACTCAAGTTATTTTTGCATGCTAGTGCTCTCTTTGAACCTCGTTGGAAGTTTCAATTGCCAGTATCAGTCAATCCAGGTGGAAGAGTCGATTATCCTACTTTCCACGAGTGATGCTTTTCACGTTACCTAAGCCGGTCAAACTATTTTATCACCGACTCTTCGTTGCCGACATTCCTGAAGAGGCTTAAAGTCGACTTGAGTCTATGCCCAGGGCCGCCGTCACTCAGAAAGGTTACAACGTGACCGATGATCACACACAGATCTCTGTTCACCAGCCAATCTCAGCCCTCACGATACTCGAAACGTAAATTCGGCGATGAACTGATTATCTACTAAGGTAGTCTGTCTAGAATAGTTGCAAATCACATTGACGTCAACTGAGAGAGTCTATTGGTGCCCACCTTGCCTTGCACAAGTGTATTCTCGAACCGCCATGCAGTCGGGAACCGGCCCGTTCAAACTTTACATCGTGCTGATAAGGTGGCAACGATGACGACGTCGACCGGAATCAGTCATCACCTTAAGTAGGGACCGAGTGGGCGATTGACTTTGAAGACCATATTGTATTTGGATCATGGTTCTCCGACTCAAGATTCATCTCAAGACAGGCCTTAATAGTGGTTCTACACCACGAGGTTCTTGGTGGAATAAGCTTTTACACGGTGCGAGCTGTGAAGTCCTTGCTTTTAAACCGTAAATCGATTTCGATGAGTTTAATAGCCGCGATGGTTGTATCACCCAACGTTCCAGACTTCTATTGGTCAGATTCTATGGTACAGGGTGTCATAGCGATTGCTTGATGAGACCATCTTATTGCTTGTGACACGTTGTCATGTCAATTCTCTACAACACGCGCTGATCTTTCGTGATATAACGTGAATCTTCAATCACATCGATACAGGTTCTCTAGGCGCTTTGTGTGAGAAGAGTGTGAAGAGAGTTGAGGGTATTAAATACAAAATGTACTGATGTCTTAGTCTATATGCCAATGCCAAATTCCTTCACGTGAAGATTGTTGCATGCTGCCGCCCCAGTCCGTCATTAGTAATATAACAATGCTTCTTTGCCACGTCGTCAGTCTAGAATGCAGTAAAGACCTTCCACCCGGTGCGGTGAATTCTCGCCGCAAGGATAAAAGTCGTTCCTGCAATGCAAAACACACCCGAGAACACCTTGATGCCGACCCACCCACCTGAGCCAGCCAAAATAGCTCCGTTGATAGGGTTCGTCGTCAGACCGCCAATAGAGTTTGTGAAGAACGTGATTCCCGTGCGGAAGCCAATCTCATGGAGGGGCGAGATCTGGGCGATGAGGGGTGCAATCAGCGAAACGTACGCGCCGGAGCAGAAGCCGAAGAGGATGGCAAATGCGATTAGCGCGCCGTCCGAGTTGGCCGGGATCCAGAGCGCAAGCATCCAGATCGAGGTCAGGTAGCACACCACCACGAAGATGTTGTACTTTCCAATCTTGTCGCCCATGATGCCGGAGAACATTCGGCCGAAGAGACTGCCGGCGTTGAGGATGGCTACGAGATACTGCGCTAGGTTGGGGTCCATGCCGGCCTCGAGGGCCTGGACCTGGATGTAGTTGATAGGCACGAAGATGCCGTATGTGAAGAGGAAGAAGCCGATGACGACACAGACAAACTCATACTCCTTGAAGGGGCGGATGATCTGATCCATGGATATCTTTTGGGGACGCGGCGGGTGGAGGGCCTTGACTGTGAGGTTCGCGATGATGAGGAGGCCGAGAATCATGAAGGCGCAGATGCGCAATGCCCAGGGATATCCCAGCGACTTGATCAATCTTGTCACCATGATCGGGAAGACGATGCCGCCGATGCTGGAGCCGGTGGAGAGGAGACCGAAAGCGGCGCCGCGCTTGACGTTGAACCAACCGTGGATCGTGTTTAGTGCCGGCTGGAAGATGGCTGCGACGCCTATGGCGGAGCACACGCCTTGCGCTAGGAGGATTTGCCAGTACTGAGTTGCGAGAGAGGTCATCATGAGACCAAAGACGTGAAGAAATGTGCCGGCAAGGATGAGGTAGCGGGGGCCGTAGTGATCGTATAGCTGGCCGATGATGGGTCCCTGAGAAAGAATCAGTTTACATGTTCAAGTTGGGGTACTGGAAAGATCATGAATTACCATTGCCATCATGAAGAAGATCTGGAGAGAAGGAATCCATGAAATGGTACTCGGCGAGTAGTTGCGGAGCAAGTCGTTCTGGTAGTATTCCTGGAAAGCCCCGACACCTGCAAGACAACGTTTGTTAGCTTCCGCGACCCCAATCAAGCAGAAAAAAAATAGACTTCAGCCTCAACGTCGCAACAGGAACTATGACTTACTGTTTACCCATCCGAAACTGCAAAACGATGTACACCAGGCGCCAAGAACGACAAGCCATGCCGTAACACCTCCGTCCGGTGCATCGCTGCCGGGCCACGACGGCTTCGCACAGTCGGCCGGAGGACCGCCTTTTTCCGGGTCGGTCTGCCGTATCGTGAAAGGGTGGTCGGAAGAGTAATCCGTTGTATTTTGATCTACTTTGGCGTTTGCTACAGACGGGTGCGGTTCCGAGAAGGTCATCTGGGAGTCCGCTGGGGACGAGAGCTGCTGTTGCTTCGACATTTTCGGCGGAGGTTCTGTTGTGTCGGCCAAAGGCTTGCTGGTGGATTTCGAGCCGCGTTGATAGCTTTAGAAAGCTCTATCGACGTCTTGATTGAGAGCTGAGTTGTTGATGTTGTTGATTGAATCTCTTGATGAGGAGAAGTCTATCTACCCCGGGAGGAGCATGGATTAAGTAATTCTCAAGATTCTTTCTCTGGGTGAACAGAAGGAAGAATGTCAGTTCCGGTAGACCAAACGACAAAGAGAAGAGATCTCAGCGTCAGCGGCCCTCGTCCGCACCGGGCGCCGCAGGGAGATCTGCATCGTCACCCTAGATGGGCCAGGGGGCAGAATTGCATTGGAAATCGGTTTCCGTTACGACCGAGAGGGTCCTGAACCTGGTCATTGAGCCAAGTTTGCTTCCAATCTAGACCAATGTTTCCAGTGATTCGGTGCACTAGCACTGTTCGCGGCGCGAGATGGTGTGGGTTTGGCGCGCTCAGGAGGCGGCGATGGAAATCCTTTCGGCGTGCGGCGCTCATGAGAGCGCCGAGGCCGAAGGCTGTTTTTGTTAGCAAACACTGCCATCTCGAACCCCTACAGGAAATCTCGGCGCCGAACGGTCTCCACCGCGGCGATGGTTACATGGGCCGTTGGCATGTGCGTTCCTCGCCGACATTGGTTGGCCTTATGGGAAATCTCTGAAGTAAGCATCATTAAGAACGGCGCCAGTAGCAGTGGACTTCCGTGTCGAAGCTTATTGCTCTTTAGTTTTTCATCCAGTTCTCCATTATTAATATGCTTTGGCTAGGCTCTTAGCTATATGCTGACCACCTTCACGGACTTTACGGTTTGCCCTCAACATCCAATCCTCGCAGACACGTTCATTGCACTAGCGGCAACATGATCCGAAGCCACGTTCACGAGACCCCTCATCTTCCCCAATCCAAGCTTCTCGGCGTCATCTACGCTATCGCCGAGCTCATCAACAGACATGACATCTGTCGAGATGCGAAGCACAGAGCTTTGCTACCACGGCTCCGAGACGAGCGCCATAGATCTAGGAGCCGGACGATAGACATGTCCGGTGCAGCGCGGGCTCAGTTGGAGTGGGTAAGACGCCGGTGATCCCACCGGGTCGTCCCACACCTGCGCAACAGTGCCCACAACATCATCACATCTTGACGAAGTTTGTTAGCAAACAATGACAGAATAAGCCAAGAGAAATCAGAACTTACCAGAGGTGTCCTTGTCCCCAACACCCTTCCCCCGCTACCTTCAGCCTAAGGCTAAAGAAGTTCGACGCGCAGTAAACCAAGGGGGTATCATCAACAAATAAACGCAGCCAGTGCCAGTTCACACCATCTCAGCAACATCAACAGGCTTCGCAGGGTACGGCGTCTTGTGATCTTGCAACAGCCTAATATCTTGGTACTCGACATGATCAAAAGGCTCTTCGTTCTTCAACGGCCAATTCGAGCGTACGGTGCGCATCTCGGCATCCGGCACGTCGTCGACGGCCTGCCTGCCGAAGCTCTTGCGCCGTGCTGACTTTGGAACTGGCGGCAGACTTTGTAGCGCGGCAGCGCGGTCAAAAACTGTCGGCGACTGCGGCTCATCTGGAACGTAGAATCGTTTGACGATGCCTGGCGCCACGTGCTTCATGAAAGCCTTGAGGAAGGGCAGACAGGTGCAGATGATGCCCACGTTGGCTTCCACAACGCTACACCGAGTCAGCAAATGTGAATACCCACATTCAAGCGTAGTGAGATGCTTACCACCAAATGATACTTATCGAAGCTGTCCATGTGAAGTCCGCGTTGTTGAAGCCTAGAGGGATCATAACCATACGAACGATGCTGGGCCCGAGGACACTGAAGGTGTTAGCAATGACCAGTTATTCTCGGTCGGCGACATCAACTCACAAGCCTCCGGCCATGAGGAAGATCGTCATCTCAATCTTCTTGACCAGCCTTAACGAAAGAGGTGAGAGAATCCAGATTGGTAGCAACAAAATAGCGAGATCGGTGGCGACATTACAGACCGACAACATCAACCACCACATCGACCGATCAACACAGGTCCCTGGTACGTCCATATCCCAAATCTTCTCCATGGGGGTGCAGAGGTATGCCCAGCCAAGCGCGCCAGCGAGCGAATACGCCACCGTCGCAAACATGACCACGTACACAACAATCCTCACGGCGCGCTTGAGAGGGAACCGCAGGTAGAACACAAGGATCGAGGCCTTGGTGAAGAGAACAGAGAGGCTGTACGCCGCGAGATCAACCATGCTCAGCTTATGGAAAGCCACGGCGTCCGCCCTGCTCACGTCCCAGATGTGGTGCCCAGCTCCATTCCTCGTCTCGTAAACTTGTATGACCGAGTATGCCGTGGCAAAGAGAAGTCCGATGAAGATGAGGTCGTCGTCGCGTTGGTGGCGGTGAATCATGACCTTGACCGTGTACAGACGGATCCCGCAGAAGATGATGGCCAGGAGGTTGAGCACAATGGTGACGACCAACACCTGTGGCACGAGGGACTCGGCGGGGTTGTCGAAGTTGGATACGATGCCTGGCGGGGGCGGCGAGGCGGCCGTGAGCTCGTCTTCGCTCCTTGTCCACATCGCATTATGGATCTTGGGGCGGGTTTGGATGACAGGTTTTGTCTGGCAGAATTACGAACAAGTGCACGAGTGCTAAGAACGTGGGGGAGAGGTTCGTGTCGAGAGTATTTAGCAAAAGCCTGAATCGCGACTACACTCGCACACCCCCTCCCTCTCCTATCCCCTCCACTGACATCAGTCTGGATGTTCTTCACGGTAAAAGTGGCCGTGGCCATGGTCCGTTCCTGAAACGTTGCTATCGTGCCTGGAACGCACTGACTGGTTCGATGAACTGGATCCAAGGCACATTGACCATCGGCAAATACTACCAGCCGCAACGCTTCATCTTGGAAAGCTTAACTTCGTTTCCTCCTGGGGACTAGGCTAGGGGTAAGGTCTCGTCACTTGGGGTAGTCGCGGTCGGCAGTTCAAGCTTATCGACCGGAGAATAAAATCAACAGGCAGGGTCACCTTACATCGGGAGCCGGCAAGCGAGCAAGAAACAAGACTTTTATCCCACGTAGCGCAAAGTCGTCGGCATCTTGGCAAGTATGTTCCTGAAGCTAGCAACGCTTCTAGAGGCCCCCTGAAGATCCCTCCCGCTACGCCAAGCGCTTAGAAGGCTTAAGGTTGTTTGCTTGGCGGAAAGAAGCATAACGATATTATCCCGATGGACGCTGAGTGGACGCGGACGCGAGGAGGGTGCAGCCGCCGATGCAGCTGGTGCGGCGGACAGTGTTTGTTCCTCAAAGTATAAAGCATGGGAGGCGTTCTTTGGGACAAGGAGAATAGTGAATAACGCCCGGCCAGCCAGGAGAGCGCTTGCTATCAGAGTTCACCGCGGAAGGCGAAGATGAGGGCAATTGGTTGGAACCGAAAATCTTCATCCGGAACGGCATCCGCAGTCCTCTCTCGGTCGTTGACGAAGCTTTAAGCTCCCGGCGGCGACTTAAAGGGGACGCGGGGGAGGACGTAGGAGGGAAGAGTAAACACAAGCTTTTCCCAGGGCTGAACAGGGATGGCAGACGAAACGGGAAACAAGTGAGGAGTCTTGGCTCGATCACTTCTCTAGGCGGCGGCAAAGCGAATCTTGCCTTCTCTAGGCGGTTTATGAAATCGTGGTAAAACGGCGCGTCGAGGTGTTATCCCTGGCCTGAAGCATCCGACTCCAAAGTCTAACTCAAACTTTGGGCGGAAGCCGTTGGGACTAGTCAGCCTTACTTCGTTCCCAGCTGTTCCTTACGACGAATAGCAGTTGTCGGAGTACGATAGTGTCGGTGCCTCTAGCCTCTTGACCGGACGGATGGCTCAATGTGTGGCGGAAGTTGAAGATGCACGGGTCAAGTTGGGTTGATGTTGAGCCAAGTCACCTGGTTGTCTTGGCCAGCGAAACAAGCCAAGATCGTCGCGCCGTCTCATCAAACATCATCCTAAAAGTCATGTAAAGCAATGACTGGGCGAGCTCGAGCCATCGAGATTGGCCAAGATTGTCATTTCGTCCCAGAGAATGCCATATAGATGAGCATTCGGTTTACAGACAGATACATGAGGTAACTGTTGGATCTCTGAGCAGTCGGCAGAAAAGGTGGATCTGGAAGGCGGTATGGGCACTTACAAACGGCCCCTTACATACCACTTCTGAGAGGCCGTGGGCTCTGCCCACAACCTCCTCCTTCCACCTCCAGACGCAGCAATAATAGACCATTATTGACACTTCGTTCCAACCGTACGGTTGCCCTGCTGACGTGTATACGAACAGTAACTATCCCACATAACTCAGGACTTTGGAGGCAGTGCGAAAAGTATCCCACTTACAGAGCCGTTTGTCAGACTAGACATCTCGCCGATATACTCTGAGTTATGCTCTAGGAGTTTCAATCGCTCTTGGAGTAAGCTCTTAGAAACAACGTCGCCTGTAGGCCCTGTCGGCACAACGTTTGATACACCAACCGCCAAGGAACATGACGTCCTAACCAGAGACGCAGTGAGCGGGTACGCAGTGCGAGCAGAATATTCAACGTCTGCCCCCTGGACCAAGCTTCAAGTTCATGTCACGGTCTGTGGGGGAAGAACAAACATTCGTGTCTCGGACAGCAAACACTATGGTCGACGCCACGCGGAGACTCGAGACGCCGGCAGCTTGTTTTCTTTTCGACTGCCGTCTACCGACAAACCAATCTCATTCGCCGGAATTCAATTGTTTCCTGTCAAAGTCGTAAGTCGTCCCGTCTTGGGATTACGGCGCCATTGTTTTGGAAGTTCTGGGGGCAGATTAATCGGTTCGTTTTGAAACTAGACATCTGTCGTCCGTCAAGTTGGATGATTGGAAACCAGTCGTCTCATTGCCGCGGTGTTCTCTCTTCATGCTCGGCCTTTTGCCACAGTCCGCAAGACCTAATTTCCTTCTTTTCGATTCAGTCTGTCATCTGGAAGTGTCGAAATCTCGCCGTCTGTGCGGGTGAAGAAGTAGAGTTGGATGACTTCACCAACAATTATCGAGCACAAGCAAGCACCGAAATAGTAAAAATGTAGACGGTAGGTCCGTTCACTCATTGCTATCAATTGCCGCGATATTTCACCCTTTCCGGCCGGCCATGAAAGATCCCGATTGGCATCCCGGGATCCGCATCTCCCTCGGTCCCCGTGAAATGTTGGCACACCTGTTTGCTTCTTCCGCATTATTACAGGAAGGCACATATTGGCATGCATTGCACGGAGCCCCCGTTCCTGCAGCTCCTGCAGTTTGCCTGCAGGGCGCAAGAGAGAAAGAAGAAGGTCGTGACAAGGTTACATTGGCCATGGAGTCGTGCTAGGCCCAAATGTGAAGTTGCGTTGGCAATCAAGCCACCCTCGACTCTTGGGACACGAGAAAAAGGCATGGCAGAGCCGACGTCGGCTTAAATTCATAAAAGATGCTTTGTGAGCTGCAGATGTAGTCTTATCCTCGAGATATGGCGTATCTTGTGATCTGCTGAATACACCACGCTTAGGCACAGAGAGGCGTGATGAGGATTGTGGTGATAGATAGCTCGCCAACTTGCGAAGATGTTTAATGAATGCCCTTGTCGGTAATCCATGCTTGATAGGGTCGCAGCGCCGAATACGAACAACCTGCAATTGCATTGGCATGTCACTTGCGCTGGGGTCACTGGCTGATGCAACAGCACGCCGGACGCGCTGGATAATGGAAATTAGATGCTCAGGATACGAGTCGCGATGTTATTCAGGCTGTTCATGTTGTATATAATACCATCGCGATGTTATCCCATCGTTGCAGAGAGGGGAAGCTTCCCAGGTTACGGCTCATCGTCACTAGATCTCCTGTGATCCCACACTCGTTTAATTGTCAGAAAGGGGGAATCTACCCTTGACGCAGGATGCATCTGCCCACCCTCCTTCTCGCCGCCACGAGCGTGGTAGGCATCACAGCTCAAGGCAATCACCCGCTCATGCGCCGAGCCGACGACAACGCCCCTGAGACGGCAGCAAACAAGACCACAGTCGAGCCCAAACGCTTCATCGTCGAGTTCGACAAGGTAACATCTCATTCTTCTCCTCTTCAGTCTTTACCTAGGTACCGAGAAACAAGACTAACACCACCCAGGGCGCCGACGCATCAGCCCTAGCCGCGGAAATCGCCAACCAGCGCGGCGCCAAGGTCCTCCGCGTCTTTACCAGCGACATCTTCACCGGCGCCGCCGTTGAGACGGGTGTGGAGAACATTGACTCGCTCCAGGCTCTCGAGCCGGTTAAAGTAGCATGGCAGTCGAGGAAGCTGAAGCTCGCGCCCAGCACGCCGCTGGCGTCGTTTGTGGAGAATGCTACTGCTATCGACTATGATATTCACCATATGACTGGTGTCGATAAGCTGCATGAGGCTGGTGTGTTGGGAAAGGGTGCTAAGGTTGCTGTTGTTGATACTGGGATTTGGTATACCCACGAAGCGGTATGTTGCTAGGATTCTTTTGTGAAAAGTTGAGTGAGTTGCTGACCATTTTGAAAGCTCGGTGGTGGATTCGGTGAAGGCTTCAAGGTTGCTGGTGGTTATGACCTTGTTGGTGATGGATGTGACTTCACTCTGAATCCCCCTGAAGTCCACCCAGATATTGACTGCTTCAGCTTGGCCAACCGAGGGTGAAGTCAAGAATCCCGATGCCGACCCCTTGGACCAGCAAGGCCACGGAACTCACGTCGCCGGCATCATCGCCGGTAAGAGCAGCATGTAAGTCCAGAACTCACATCACACAGTGATCTATCGACCCAAGGAAACCCCCCAGCTGACACACACTCAAGCCTTACCGGAGTCGCCCCTGCCGCAACCCTCTACGCCTACAAAGTCTTCGGCACAGTAGACGGCACCGACGAAGACACCCTCATCGAAGCCTTTCTCGCAGCCTACGAAGCCGGCGTGGACATCATCACCTCCTCCATCGGCGGCATCAGCGGCTTCACAGACAACGCCTGGGCCGTCGTCGTCACGCGCCTCGTAGACCAAGGCGTCGTCATCACCATCTCCGCCGGCAACGACGGGCAGGCCGGGGCCTACGCGGCCAGCAGCGGCTCCTCGGGCGAGCACGTCGTTGCCGTGGCCTCCGTCGAGGCCGACGTCCTCGCTTCCTCGTCCTTCAGGGGCGTGTTTTCCCTCGAGGGAGAGACGAATGAGACGCGCGTTGCGTATCGTGCTATCGAGGATTGGTATCCTTCCGAAGTAAAAGACTGGCCCATCGTGCCTCTGAACCTCAATACCAGTACCGCAGACGAGGCGTGCAACCCGCTTCCTGTGGGAACTACCCCAGACCTCACGGGTGTGGTAGCCCTCGTCCGCCGGGGAGGCTGCAACTTCGACCAGAAGCAGCGCAACCTCGCCCCCTTCAACGCCTCGCACATCCTCTTCTACAGTAACGAGATGCCGCTCGTCCGCCCGACGACGGAAGACACGTCAAGCCTCATCGCAATGGTTGACGCGCGCGTCGGCGCCGCCATCATCGACACCGTCCGCGCGGGCGGCAAGGTGACGGCGGACTTTACGGAGCGTCCCATCTTCCACATTGTCGGCATCAAGAACGAGGAGAATGGCGGCGTCGCGAGCTCCTTCACTTCCATTGGCGCCACCAATGACCTCTTCATTAAGCCTGATGTCGCTGCGCCCGGCGGCCAGATCTTGAGTTCTTACGTTGGCGGGGGATACTCCATCCTGAGCGGCACGTCCATGAGTTGTCCCTACGTTGCCGGTGTGGCGGCTCTCTGGGCAGGCAAGTTCGGAGGACGTAGTGTCCATGGGCCCGAGTGGGCAAAGAACCTCGCCATGCGTCTAATTTCCTCCGGCGAGGCCATCAAATGGGACGACGGCGCTCTTGAAAACAACCCATATGACTTCCTCGCGCCCGTAGCCCAAGTCGGAACGGGTCTCATCAACGCCAGCAAAGTCCTCGAATACGGCACCGCCCTCTCCTTTGCCAAATTCGCCCTCAACGATACCCGTCACTTTAGCCGGTACCACGCCGTCGACATCACCAACGCCGGCGCCGAGCCCGTGACATACACTTTTGAGCAGCAGGAGTTTGGTGGCATGAACACCGTCAACCTCGACCCGACCGCCTGGGGAACGCCCAAGATTGCGTGGTTCGAGGAGGTCCTGGCTGCACCCCAGAAGATGACGCCCTCCATCTCCTTTCCTGGCCCGTTGACTGTCCAGCCCGGGGAGACGAAGACTGCACAGTTCGGCTTCAACTACCCTGATGCAGGGGCACAGGGCCTCGATCCGGCAAAGCTGCCTCTATATAGCGGCAAGGTCCTGGTCAAGGGAAGTAACGGCGAGACGCTCGGTGTACCATACCTGGGCCTGGCAGCGGATCTGCACAAGGACGTAGGCATCATGTTCCAGTATCCCACGGGCTTCCCGCGCATCACATCCACGCGTAGCGACATTCCCATTGCCCAGAAAGCCAACTTCACCTTCAACCTTGACCCGGCGGTCCAGGACTTTCCCAACCTGTACGCCCGGGTGCAGTACGCCACCCGCGAGCTGCGGTGGGACATATTCGATGCGTCCTGGGTGGAGAGAGACTGGAAGTATCCTCCCGTCGTCGGGGAGGCTGGCTTCGTGGGCGCAGCGACGAGCTGGTCAAAGGCCTCGGGAAAGATGTTCATCGATCCCAGCGTGGATGACCCGAATGATATCATTACACTGCCAATGCGCGTTGTGCCGAGAGATATTGTTGGCGTGTACGGTGTTGAGTTGTGGTGGCTGGGCCGTCTGGCGAATGGTACGCAAATCGCACCGGGCAAGTATAAGATGCGATTCGCTGCGTTGGTTCCGTTTGGGAACCCTGAGGCTTCGGATAACTGGGATGTCTACGAGACTCCTGCATTTGAAGTCTTGCCTCTGTCAGTTTGAGGGTTGAGTTGAGCATGAGTGAGGCTTAAGGGGCAGGGTATCAGTAATAGCATCATCTAATAATTGCCACTCAAGTATACGTGTAGACACAAGATCATCTCTACAAGGTATATGCTTCATATTGGGTATTATGTCTCAGACTTTGAACTTAGCAGGGGTCGCCTGTAGGCGTGCTGCCAGTCTCATCGTCTGATTTAGATGGCTATAAATGACTGGCTATAAATGACTGAGCGCCTCGAAAGGGATATGTTCTGGTATCTTAAACTCGTAAACTTCATCGTAAATCACAACTTCTCCGTCTGGTTCCTGCTCAGGGTCTGGTGCTGCTCGGCAAGAAACACCTCTTCCGAGGTGAGCTGGTACTTGCCAGACTGGCGAGCCGAGATACCCTTCTGGAACATGACATCCATCTCGCCAAAGGTGCGGCCCTTGGTCTCGAACATGCGGAAATATCCCCAGATCCAGGTCAGGGTGGCAAGAACAGCCCAGAAGAATGCCTGAAAGTCAAAGTTAGTCATGAAACCACATGCTGCCTTAATTTGAGATGGCCACTTACAGTCTTTCCCTTCAGATTCCAGTCACCAGGTGCCAGCATCTTGGGCTGGATGAGGCCACCGCAGATGATGTTACCGACGTAGTAGGTGCTGCGAGCCAATACGACAGTCTGGGTGCGAAGACGGGTAGAGCCGACCTCGGCGACGAGGGTGTACACGATAGGACCGACGGACATGGAGTAGAAGCCAAGCCATACGACGCAAAGGATGGACTGTCCCCAGATGATGCCATCAGTCTGGTTCGGGGCAACAGACAAGAATCCGATGATCCACAGGCAGACAACAAGAAGAGAAAATCCGACAATCCAAATAGTTCGACGACCAAACTTGTAGATATAAAGCCAAGAGATACAGGTGCCGACGAAAGCAATGCCAGTACCTCCCAAGCTGATGGCGTACGAAGCCGAGGGACTGATGCCGGTTTGCTGGAAGAAGAAGGAGCCAGAGTAGCAGAGGGCGCCGCCGTTGGTAATCTGAGACATGAAGGCCATGCAAGCGATCTCGGTACGTCGTAGGTTAGTTCCCTTGAAGCAGTCAAATAGAGAGGCGCCGGCTTGCTCCTCAATCTCGAGCTTGTTCGTGTGGACCATCATGGCCACAGTGGCATCGAGATCAACGTTATGGTCGGGCTCTGAGAGGCGCGCGAGCGACTTCTTTGCCGCGTCGAGGTTTCCGAGACGGACGTGGTGCCAGGGAGACTCGGGGGCGAGCCAAGCGGCAATGATCAGGGGGATCGGCCAGACCCATTGCACGGCAAAGGGAATCTTGTAACTCCACTGGCCCTCGACGTCGACGAGTCCCTTGAGGATACCAGCAGAGATGAACTGACCGATACACCAGCACAGGTTGACGTAGGAAGTCAGGTATCCACGGATAGCTAGGGGCGTGACCTCAGCGGCGTAGGCGGGACCGGTTGTGGCAAACACACCCCAAGGAACGTTGCAGAGAACTTGACCAGCCAGTTGCATCTCGATATTGTGGGCGAAGAAGACGACGAAGACGAAGGCGGCGAGCCAGACGAGAGAGAAGATGAGGACCTTGCGGTGACCGTACTTTGGGGTGAAGTATCCGTTCATGAGGGCGCCGACGATGTTTGCAAGCGCACCGATGGCGTTGAACTTTTGTTGCCAGGATGAAGAAATCTGGTAGCCGTTTTCCTCGTCGAGGTATTCGCCATACTTTTTGCGGAATGCGGGATATCCGTAAAAGGAGCCGATCAAGGTGACGTCGTAACCCTCCATAATGACCGAGGTTGAGATAACTGAAGAAGGGAAGTGTTAGACGGTGACATGGTAACATGAGTATCGCTTTGGGAGTTCAACTCACGGATGGACCAAAACGCGGCGCGCTTGTAGGTCTTGAGACCTTGCCAGACACCGAAGCTGTGTTCAATGTTGGTACCCTCATGGGCGTCATTGTTGAGTCCCTTGTCGTCGAGGCTGACATCGTTGAGGTGAGTGATGTGAGATGGGCCCTTTTCGACGTGAATAGGGTCCTGCAGCTGGGACGCCGTCTTGTGAGTGATGTCGTTGGACATGGCTGCGAACGCTCTCGGGCTGCTTGAAACTGTTGACGATGAGCAAGCTCCTGGAAGCAGAGTCGTATCGAGGAGAGACAGTAGGACCAGGCACGGTGAGCTGGGGGTGGGCAGTTGGAGTATTTTAAAGTTGCGTCGACGCGAGATCAAGGTGGTACCAGACAGTCGGCTTCTCTGGTCTCATGTCATGGTTGCAGTCTGCAGAATGCATGGTATTGGGACGAGGATGGGATGGTTGGGTTGGATTCGAATGAGCCGACCCCATAGAGAAGCAGTTTGTTTCCCCCAAGATTGGCCTCTTTGGATGGCCCATTCCCCAATCAGACTTTGTTGGAGATCCTTCGTGGTGCCGGCCGGGGTATGCTAAACCGTTCACGCTCAAGCCATGCTCTCCTCATGGGACTGTCTGTCTGGGCGGACAACTGAATTGCTGGCCATGTGCGAGGCAGAGCCCACATTCAAGAGGAAAGCCGATCGACGCCTTGTGGCTAGCGGCGGGATTGACGGTCTTGGAAGATGTTGAGTGGATAGTTGAAGCCACGGGGAAGAAACTGCGGAGAGAGACGAGGGAGTTGACAAGCTGTGAATGGTCGAGACATCCAAGACGCCGGCGGCAAAAGCCAAGGGAAGCCAACCGGGGGCGGGGAGAGGCAGATTACTGATGGACCATGGTCGATTGTGCCAATGTGGTGCCAAAAGGAGTCCGGGGTTCTCGTCTTTGGAGGAAGAGGAAGTCGGGAGACGGTGGGTACTCGTGACTGGTGGTGACCATGGTGACTAGGTAGACGCAAGTCAGGATGGGAGGCAGGATGGCGGCGCAGTAGGGACGACGGACCGTCGAATCTGGGGCTTCTGGGTCAGTCTGAGTTCGAAGCATCAAGCAAAGAGGAAGCGTAAGAGACAAACTTGACTTCAAGAGGCTAGAAGGGAAATGTCGTCCGAGGCTTTGAGGAGCACAATTGGTGGAACTTCTCGCCAGGTCGAAATTGACGGTTGGAGATGGCGGCGGATATCCTAGGGGATCGGAAGAGACAATATGCCCAGCGCGCCCAAAAGAGGATTAGGGTTGTTTTTGGCGATTCCTAGCGCAACCTTAGCGATGGCAGAGTGGAGTAAGTGGATCCGATGAGGAAGGAGATGTGGGGTAAGTCTGGGGATTTAGTGGCGTGATGGGCCGCACTGGATGCCCGGGGCCGCTGAGGAGTCGCTGGAGTTCGCTGTAGGGCAGTCGTCTGGGCCTCAATGGCCATCGTCTTAGCGGAGGGATGCGCTGAAGCACTTCCCCATCCAGGCCCAGCCGCGCACCTTTACTGCTGGGTTTCCCCAAGTTTGTGCCCTTCATCTGCAATACGACCATTTCGTTTTCGTTTGTAGGTTCGTTGAAGAAGGTAATTTGCAGCTATTGTGTGCTTCAAAATGACAATCTTAATGTAAGCGCCTCCTACTTCAATAATTATTTCCTGCTAAAGGCAGAAGGGCAGAGTAGAATCAATTACGAAAAGAATGAAAATTCGAGGTGCAGAGCCACGGTTGAATGTCTGGGTACGTATCCCTCCCCTCCGTGACGGGCTTAGGTAAGGTAATCAAATAACTCCGGAGCTAGGTACGTGACCTAGCCCGGTTGCACCCGACAACACCATTGCAACCTCAGGAGAACAATCAACGACCAACAACGTCCGCTAGGCCTGCGTCGAATAGCTGACTCTGACTACACCATGGACCCGAGGCTATTCGGTTGACTCTTGCCTGTTCGTTGTCCGCTGAGAGCCTGCTGGCATCTGGTTCTTCTTTCCCCTCCTGGCGCATCACCTGGGCTGGACACGGCTCGAGAAGACATGATGGACGATGGCTGAGAGCTGCGAGAAGCTTGATTGATGCTGACACCTGGCGCCTAGCAGACTACGGTCTTGGGCCTAATCCCCGATATACACGCCCATTTCGAGGTTCGTTGGCTACACCAAAAGACGCGGTCACGTCCATTTGAAGGGACTGACGCTCCCACCATCCGATTCCCCCAGAAAATAGACACCACCTTCATGCAGGCATCTGCCAGGTCGACAGGGAATGCGTCTTGACTTTCGGCTCCAAAACTCCCTCTTGCCGTCGCCCGCAAGGGTCCCAACCAGTCATAACCTGCAATTGCTGCTGTGGAGTGCCGCGCGAATCAATTGCCTGTCTTCTCCAACTCCTGGTCTGTCTTCTCCATTTCTAGTCTCATTTCTGGTTTCTCTTCTCGGCCTGCCTCGGCCGAGCCGTTTGTTCCACTACCCGCAACGGATTGTCGTATAAATACGTGCGGTAGGAATATGATACTCCTAAAGTATGAAAGAAACACGTTGTGGTTTGTGGACTACTAAATCAACTAGGAACCCATCAAAGCGTTGATGGATAATGAATTCCCGAACGTGTTTTCATCTACAGATGAATTATTCAGTGACATAGGAAATCAAGCTCTACGAGAACCGTAACTCAGGGTCTTCATCATCTATTTTTGCAACAGTGGTGGGTGCCATGGTAGTAATAGGGGCCATATAAACCAGAGGTAGGATTCACGGGGCCAACTAATATTGTACAGCCATGAGGCCGGGAGCAGGACCGGCGGCCATCCACGTCTCCCCAGTAGCAGTGGCCAATATTACATGTAGATTACTAGGATTACAACCCGAGCCATGGGATCAGGAGCATAATCTAAAATGCCGCTAAGCCCTGACTTCCACTGGCAGCAACGGATTCTCTGACGAATACGTGCATTAGGAATAAGTTACCCCCGAAACGTCAAAGAGAATCATTGTGCACTGTGAACCACTGAACCATACCTGTCGATGATGTTATATCTAGGGACATGGAGGTTTCTTCTAGCTACCTAGGTTACGACGCCGTCTTCCTTTACAGAACTTGCTGGCGTAAAACAAATAGAGAAACCAGATAAAGCGTTGTCCTGGAATATTGGTATCTGCTATTCTACTTCTCATTTGCTCTACCTTTTTTTCAATTTTGAGGCTTGCCTCGTGGCCCAAAGCGCAGCCATGTCGCGCTGTTGCTCCCACTGCTTCCAAACATTTCCTCGAATCCTGGGCAACGCCCAACGTCTAACCTAGTTGTACTCGTTCTCTCCCACGAACAACTCCGGGTCACCGTCGTCGGCATCAGCAGCGGCGGCAGGGCCCATCGGGGCAATAAGCCATAGGGCCGGGAGTATGCCCTGCAGCCGAGCCTCGACTTGCACTAGCCACAACGGATTCTTGTACGAAGACGTGCATTTAGAATAGAGCGTGGGCAAGCAAAGCTCCAGAGGAAGGCCGTACTTGGTTCCTGTTAGCTTCACGCAGCACAAGTTTCATTCACAATATCAGGGAAGCATCGTGTTACCAGTGCATGTATTTATGTGCGTCTCAATTTCTAGCTTCTCATGCCACCCCAACACACCCACGCCACAACTCACTCATGCTGCTGCATAAAAAGGTCCGGGTAGCCATCCTCCTCGGCAGAATCGGGCGCCATATAGGCGACAGGCACCACCGGAGCCACGGGGACGGGAGCCATGGGGACGGGGGCCACGGGGCCCGCACGGCGGCGCGGGAAGCACATCGGGTGAGCGTGGTCGCCCACGTCTCCCCAGTAGCAGGGGCAATAGACACCCTGGTCATCGATCAGCCAAGGCGCATTCAGACGGACCCAACCCACTGCCGTGTGCTCCCTCCGGTTGTAGCCAGGGGACCACTGGCAGTGGTTGCAGGTCGCGAAGGTCTTGCGGCCACACTGGGGGTTGGTGTTGTCTCGAAGACGGGTGTTCCAGGCAACATTGCCGTTCTTACGACACTTGGAGCATCCGCGCGGGGCCGAGATCCCGTTGGTGCTGGGCAAAGGGGCCTGGCTGGCCATGATAGCGTTCATGAAGTTGGTGGAAAAGCCAGCCGCCACGACATTGTTGGGCACATGCTGCTGAAGACTCTGGCCAAAGGCCTGGCCGTGGGCCTGAGTTGGGTTATGCTGCTGCAGCTGGGCGCTGGGGCCATGGACAGGCCTGCTTTTGGTTAGCATCGCAGAGCTTGGTAAAAGATTGAGAGGATATGTTGGAGTTCAGGGATGGATACTTACGGGGTCGGAGCGTTGGTCATGCGGTTCAGACTGGTGTCGCCAGACTGCTGCTGCTGCTGGTCGTGGATGTCTTGGTGGTCCATGATGTGACTGAGTACGCTGAAGATTAGTATCGCAAGGTTGAGACAAAAGATTAGAGGTCTGGGGCAGAGATGTGTACTCACGATACTCAGGTATGCGAGGGGATGATGAAGGTCGTGAGACTGAAGGACGAATGAAGATTTATTGACCGAAGAACTGGACGACTGAAGATCTGGACGGCTGAAGAGCTAGGCGGCTGAAGAGCTGGACGACCGAAGAACTGGGTGACTGAAGAACTGAGGTGGGTGATAATAAGGAACGGTCTGGCGACGTGCGAAATGCAAACGTGACGAGCTCTGAAGGATATGAAAAGGCGACCGAAGCTGCTATGAATTCCGGCGGTCAGTAATTTTGCTCCTCAATAATGTTATGCGTCTCCAGTAATCTAGTAGATGGAGAGTAAGAGACTTACTTTGTTATCTCTCGATGGTGACACTTGCGCGATGGAACAGTTGGTGTTTGGTTGAGTAAAATGTAGCAACGAAGATCGCGACTGAGGAAAAGAAGAGGTTTCTGGAAGGTGAGGGACGCGACGAGAAAGAGGAAGGTAAACAAAAGAAAAGCCCTCGACGACTAATCGCAATGGCACATGATCAGGGTGTGTCGACTAAGCGTGACGAGTCGTCCTCAGGAATCATGATGCCTTCAAAGACGCAGTTGAATGGGATAGCGGGGACCATGAGAGCCACAGTAGACGCAAATTGCGGGGATTATACAAGCCGCAGTACATGGAGGAAACGGGGGCAATGCAAAGTCATAAAAGAGAAGACGAATAGTGGGAGCTGCCTTATCCAACCTCATAAGTAAACTGTCAAGACGGCGAGAGCTATCCAAAGTTGCGATTATGCTTGGAGTTGGGACGGCTAGATGGATAAATCACAGGTCACAATGGACTAGTTGAGACGAAAGACGAGAATGATCCAATTTCATACTAATTTCTTTATACGAATGGCCAAGGAGATCAGGGTGTTTGGGTTCACGGATGTATATGATATATGCCACCAAATATAATGAGAACTATTCACAGATTGAAGAGAGGACGACATGTATGTGGTATGTGACGACCACCGTGATGCAGGTTTCTCAGGTTCTTTGATTTCCATTTGCTGTTGACTTTTCGACGTCTTTCCGAAACCCAGCTTTGGCAAGTTGGGCATTATCATCATTGTAATATCTACTTGCTTACACTTTAACCAGGTACTTAAGCTTTTGCACTTCCTTGTACGAGGTCTTGGAGAAGTAGTGGAAGGATTTGACGGAAAATCTGGAGTGCAAGGGCAAAGGTTGCAACAAAGTCTGGGTGAATGTATTTTGCCCAGATGCCTTAAGAGGCTACAAAGAGTCAGAATGTTTTCCAGCCTTTGGACTAGCCTCGAGCTCAAGACTACATGTTTCGCATTTTTGACCAGCTGGAGACTACCAGACCACAGGGGAAGTTTCATGTCATCTCTGCAACTCTGTATTTGAAATTTCGATCTGCAATTCAGGCCAACTAAACTCTGTTTCCTGGTCGAGTAGGAATATTTGAAAGGAGCTCCGGCACTAGCGGTCAGGGGTAGACATCAACAAGATTCTTGAGCTAGAACGCATGCGCGGACAGCCTACATATGCATGCGATTGACCGGTTGCTTGGAATATAGCTGGGGAAGAAGAGCAGAATCGCCTCACTGACTGAGCATATTTCTCACATCAAGTGCATTTTAGGTGTACGAATCTCGTGAATCATGATTCTCAATTTATTGACAAGAAGTAAGAAAGACTAGCTATCAGAGAAGCCAGTTTCTAAGTTATCTACAGAAGCCCCAAGGTAGCAAACTCGGTCTCAATGTCAGACAGAGTGCGCTTGCCAACGGTGACGTTGTTGTTCTGGCCGTAGCTACGAACCAGACGATCCTCAGCCGTGTAAGCAGCCCATCCGATAGCATCCAGACCTGCAGTCGAGTCCTTGACAGAGGCGGCATACGCATCCATCATGACGCGGCTGAGCGCGTACTCAAAGGTGGTTGAGTTGCCGCGGAAGTCGGCGTGTGTGCCAAAGATCATGGGTAGCTCGCTGCCGTGGTAAGCACCCATCCATGAGCGTGGCGAGGTGTTGTTGGACACGGCAGAGTAGTAGTAGCGGTAGGTTGTTCTTCCGGCAGCCAGACGTTCACTAAGTTTCGTCAACTAGGATAGGAGCCTTTGTGGTGGAGACATGGTCAAATGGATTGGGATGCTCACTTGGTGGTCTTGGTAGCAGGGCACCAGAAGAACTGGTAGGACAAGGCGTCCGCGACAGCGGGGTCGGGGCCGTTCTCGGCATCGTAAGGAGCGAGAAACAGGCCCTCTGCGGCATTGAAACCAATGATCGCAGGCTGCGAGCTGTCAGCAAATCACTCATACTTTAATCTTATCCTGACATGAACTTACAAGATCGGAAAGCTCGCCAAGCGCAGCCTTCTCGGTGTAGTTGGCAAAGACAATCTTGTTGTCAACCTGAGGAGAGAAACCAATAGTAGGCGTGACCTCGGAATCCTTGTAAGTAGCCACAAAGTTCTCAAGCTTCTCTGCAGGAATCTTGCGCATGCATACCAACTCAGCCTCGGCGGTCGTCGAGTTGCCGCAACCAAGCTGCTGCGCGACGCACGTGAAGTTGGAGTGGGTCTCGTCGTGGTTCATCAGCTGGTCCAGGTGCGCCGTGCCAGAGTCCATGATGAGGCCTCGGACGATGGGGTCCTCGGCGTACGCGAAGCTGTAGTAGTCGACGGCGATGGAACCGGCCGAGTGGCCCCAGATAGTCATCCGCTCCGGGTTACCGCCAAACTGTGCGATGTTATCCCGGATCCACTCGACGGCGAAGCGCTGATCCATGAGTCCGAGGTTTCACTCCTTGAGAGCGGCCGAGTTGGGGAAACCAAAGAGCTTCATGCGGTAGTTGAAGGTGACAAAAATGTGCGACTGAGAGCGCTGAATCCAGTTCTGGGGCATCTGGTAGGGTACATCGGTGCCGCCGGTCTCGAAGCCGCCACCGTAGAACCAGATGGTGACTGGGAGTCCCTCTCCGGAAGCTTGCTGCTCGCCGGTGACGGGAACGGCGCCGGCAGGGGCCCACACGCTAGCCGTGAGGCAGTCCTCGTCCATACCAGCATCGCCAATCATGAACTCGGGCACATCCACGCGCTGGATGGCCGGGTGGATCGAGATGTACTGCCAACACGAAGGCGGCAGCGCCGCGGCGTTGAGAACGGTTCCATTGGCGAAAGGAGTTTGACTGGGGAGCGACGTAGGGCTGAGGGGGTTCCCAGCGCAAATCGTCGAGAGGCGGTGCGGCATAGGGGATGCCAAGGAATTCGGCGACGTTGGAGGCATCGGGGGCGATCCGGCCCTGAACCGTGAGGCCGCTCTCAAGTTGCACGCTGGGACCTGCGCTCGCTGAGGCCAGCAGGCCGGCAAAGGTGGCCACGAACTTTGCGTTGCACATCATGACGAAGGCGACTCTCTGTAACTGAAGCGACTGACTGAAGTTGAGGGAAGTGGCTTGGCAACTAGCCGTTCAACATCAGGAGAGACTCTAGAATTATATCACGGAAGTCCTCCGGAACTCGGGGGGCTTCTTCGCAATTTTTCGACATCCTAGCAATTCCGTCTCCAATGGACCGATGCTCCACCAACATCGCGACTCTGTGCTACCCGAACAGGAAACAAGACGTTGCACGCTTCGTGCCAGAATTCGGAATTGTACCGTTGCGCCATATACAAAAGAGAGATCCCTCTACTGCATTTAGGTAGTTGTGGGTACATATAGTTTCCGTCACTTCGCCTTTCATCGGAAATTGGTGGGCAGCACCCCACACTCTTCAACGTTGACATCGGCAGTTCTCCAGTCGAGAGACGGGCGTCATTGGTGAGATGGAGGGATTAAGTGTCTCTGTTATGGGTTTGCGAGTCAAACCCCTGCTTTGCCCTCCACCTGGGCCTGTCGATCAGCAATCGGATGCTGCTAAACAACTCTTATTCCCCTGGAATACCGCTCGATAATCGGAGGAAACGGGGATGAGGAACTGTATTGAATCCACTGAAAACGTGGTCCGCAACTCGTCAGCAACCTGTCAGCGGAACTCGGATGAGTTGATAACTGTCGGATTGGAAGTCTAATTCGGCCGCGAGTAGGGGTAGAGCATAGGCCACCTCGAGGGGGTACACTTAGACCTCGACTACCCACCCAACCTCCGGTTGGAATCTCCCTTCTACTCCTTACGCAGAATCAATCAATACAGAGATATTGATACTTCGTCACCCCCAGGACCCTACGGTTCGAACCAAATTCCCTGTGAAAGGAATACCAACAATAACCTCGTTAGGTCCTCAACCATTTCTGGGTCTTCGCCCAATTTCCAAGAGAGCGTTCAACCAGATCTAGATTCGGAGCTTCACTAAGAGTCACATTGGGCTACAATTGACCAAGAACGCTACAGTGAGACAGATATGCAGGAGCGCCGAAGATGCGAGTCGGCCCCGGAAGATTGGACATAACAAGAATAAGCGTAGAAAGTACAATTTGTCAACTATCGACCACAACCCAGAAGGCGTGCCTTTATCGAAGATCACGTACCTTCCTACATTTACAACTAAAAAGTAAGGAAGGAGCACATGTTTCAAGTTCAAGGATGCAGTATGAAGTAAGCCCGATGAAAGCCTGGCAGGCTGTACATATGATAATTGCTTAGTATTGAAACCCATGAGTGCTATGCCATCTCTGTACCAAGTCATTCCAGCTATCGTTTGCTCGAGATAGACTGCATGATGTTGCCCAATCTCAATGCCAAATAACGGTCCACAGAGCTTTTGGTTTTTTGACATCCGATACTGATTTGGCTAAGCTTGCTCCAAGCTCATCGCTTAGCACGGATATCCAGAGCTGCACTGGGTGGCGGTGCAGCAGGTTTGCTATCCATTCTTGCAAGCGGTGCACTAGTAGGCGCGAGCTTCCAATTGTTCACCTCTAAAGGTGGGGCCAACTAGCTACTCTATCAGGTATCAAGTGGCTTGCTAAAGAGCGGCCAAGACGCCAATATAGACGATGGTGGAAACAAGAGGCAACTCCCCGCTATACCCAACTAGGGCTCAAGGCTACCCTTGCTTGCCCTCCTGAACTTGGCCTCCCTAGGGCTGCCCTTCATCACCTCCTCGCGGCACGGTCAGGCCACGGGGACTTTAAACAATATCACCAACGCTTTGACCACACAGAAGCACTACTCTCCTGCTCCTGTGGATGGGTTAAGGAGGCAGACCATCTAGTTTACTGCCGAAAGACCCTACTGAGGAGGCAACAGTGGCCCACCCTCTACCCCTACAGCCGCCAGGAGCCAGTAGGACCTATAGGGTCTCTCGATCGCTACTTCAAGGGGCTAATCACTGACTCTGAAGGCTTCCAGGCCTTCCTCTGCGTGACAGACTTCTTCCAGAAGATCTGCCCGCGGTACTAGGAGATAGGTCACAACCTATCCTCCAAACGACAAACTACCTCTATTAAGAAACCAGATGGTTATAACGGAACTAGGGCACCAGTGGGAACTAGGGATGGATAGAACACATAGTAGCTCACGAGCAAGATTTGGAGGACGTCAGGATACGGCGTGTACTATATAGTATATAGCTAGAGCCTGCGACCCTTCACGCCACATACCCTCAGGGAGGTCTGCCGCAAGGGCGGCTGCGCCCTTGCCGCCATGGCGTTAAATAGAACAACAACAACAACAAACCTGACTTGAGATTCGCAGTGTCTTTCTGAATCGTAGGCAAGGCGGAATTTTCCGCCTTTGCCAGGCGAACCATGGCTTTGGAATACCAAGTTTATCGGCGACCATCTTGATTCGAAACCCATTTTTCATTAGTCTGTGGGAGTATGGCTTCTGAAAGCTTTTGTTATTCATTGTATTTTCTGTCACTGCGAGTTGTCAATGTCAACTTACTGTGATCAAGTCAATTGCGTACTCGGATGATCTCCGATCGAGCTCAAAGACTGATAAAGTTCGTATGCAGCACAGCGCCTCTTGGGAACCATTGGCCGTTGGCGTTTAGTTCTTCAAAAAGGTAGAGATGGTGTCCTGATAAAACCAGATAAGCACATGGGAAACTGCATCGGATCCCTGAAGTACGGGTATTTGTCCGTGTGAAGTACTTTACATGTAGCCGTCCCAGCAAGAGACTGCATGTGAAGCGACACACACATCAGCTACGGCTGAGCGTTTAGGAACGTGGCAAAAACAAAACATTACACTAATATTCAGCTTACATTGATAGTCGGCGATCCTTGCGTTGGAAGATTGAAAACGTCGTTGCTGGTCTCTGCTAGTCTTTGCAGCACGTGCCTATCAGAGGCACAGGATACTCCCTTCATTCTACCAAGTCGCGTTTCACCTAGTTCTAACTAGTTGCCATCAACACAAAAGTCTCTCTGTTCTAGAATTAGTTGTCGCCCGGGGGACGTTTTGCATCTATCATAGAGACACGACGTACTTCATTGCACTGAAACTACTGCATATCAACCAGCGGAATGCAAAATCTGCTGTTAAAAAGCTGTCAGTGGATCGATAGTCAGCTTGCCGTGGCGTTTACCGACCTTGCAGTGTATGGAAAGGATGGAAGACTCTTAGCAGGCCTGCTTAGGGAATACAGTAAGTGGTTTCAGAAGAGCGCTCCGACCTCCCCGCGTCCAGTCTCTATCAGATCAGGGATATACTTATGCAGCACATGAGGCTTCCAGACTAACAACCAAAAGCCCAAGCTGTACAAGACTATGAGTACATGACGAAAGTCTCCCAACAGCCATTCGATTTCTTCGTCGCGTCGAGTGAACGATACCAAGACAGCTACGTTCTCGACAAGGTGATGCGGAAGAATGGAGTAGGGGCTAGACAGTTCGCCGATCCGCCGCGCATGACGTACGAGTCCATGAAGCTCCATGCTTTGCCCACCGTTCCCTGGGGCAATGAGAAGAACCCAGAGCCTCTTGGCGGAACGAGAAACGCATCGGCCAAGGCAGTGCTTCGTCGCAACTTCTGGTGGAAGATCATGGGCGCAGTGATTGGAGGGGCTTTCCTTGTCGGTCCTATGTGGTTGCTAGTACTGCAGCGAGACTTGTATCTCAACCTCGGAGTTGCTACGGCGTTTACATTTGCGTTTGGGTTCCTCATTGTTGGCTGTGTTGATCAGCTGGACCAAGTCTTTGCATCCACTCTTGCGTATGCTGCGGTTCTCATGGTGTCCGTCGGAGTTATGTTTGATAAGCAATTCCCAGAAGGCGTGTAGTGTAAGATGAGAATTCTGGTTTTCTGGGCGGGCAAAGTATCACGAAAGTATCTATTCACTGTTGGATACATGTAATGATAATGTCAAGCATCTTTGCGTACCTGAGAATATTCAAGTGTCATGGCATGATAACCTAGGGGTCCGAAGCACTGACTTGGGTTCCCGAAGTAAGCCTCACTTTGTTGAGCGAGATGACGAATCAACACCGGGAGATTCTATGGCTCAAAGCGTCGTATTCTCGGCTTGATGGGATGACTGATTATGTACTCCGTACATGTCAAAGAAACGGAGATGATCAGCAAGTCAAGGCACTGGGTGAGCCCCACGAAAGTGGACCACCGAGGCCTGGTCCGAATTACACGAAGAGGCCTTGGAGTGCATCTGTTTACACAGTTGGCTGCAACACACTGTCTACAGACATCACCTACTCTGTAGGTCGTCTTCTCAGGCTGGTAGAATGCTTTGTTCTCCTTCGAGTGTGTGAGTGTCCAAGATCTTGCAGACTACAACTGAGTCACCTCATTCAGCGTCCACGGTGATTTTAGTTTAGCCCCTGAATGCATCATGTTCTGCGAACAGTATGGCACACCGTGAATTGTGTGGAGCTTGCTGCAAAGTGCGAACTCAAGCAGGCAGTGATCTCATAATGGCGATCCCGAGACAATAGTTCACAAAAAAATTCCACAGTACCACTGCCGCCCGCATCGAGAAGAGGGATTGGTTGTCAGGTTGAGGGGAAACAGTGACACCAGCCCTCCTCAATTCCTCTTGTTTTGAGTTGCTTGGAAGCATTTGGATCATAGAACAGTCAACTTGGGAGAATTCCATCTCGGCTCGGGAATCTCAGGGCTCCTGTATGTGGTCTGCTTCATAGTCCCCTGGGGTAGTGCTCAGACGACTGAACGGACGCGAAGCCGAAGCAACAACAACTGGGAATGGCGAAATGTCTGGGCGAATACACGAGTAAAGCAACAGAAAAAGTGCCGTATCGTTGGGGACGGACCAGGAACAGAAATCTGGCCAGTTGTTGACGTAGAACAGGTTTCTGATGTCGATTCCTTGCTCGGGTATCCCCACGGATGCCAGGATCCCAACATTGCTTCGATCGACGAATCAAGTTATCTGAATTTAGACAGCTCTTGATCTTGTGAGAAGAAGAGACAGGGCTTACCGAGTTTTGTAACACTGTGTTCAGGGGACTTCCTTCCATGATGTGCAGTGATCTACCGCAGCCCCTGATTGGGCAGTCAATCATTGCTCGAATTCTTGATGCCTAAGAACATCAAATATGAACGTCAACCAACATTACTTCTCAGCGAACGAATGAACGGGTTGCAATGATACGAGTGAGTCCATGGCTTCGAGTGATCCATGCTGACATTGACTGGCGTACGCCGTACTGTAATATTGGTTTTTGCCTCAATGATTTCAGCACAGACAATGATTATCTGACAGATTCAATCAAGCTGTAGCAGATAACTCATGAAGTCAACATCTACCGTTGCCATAATTCTTGTTGGTTAGTTGGACCGATGGACATCGAAAACAAGCTAAAGACACATACGAAGTCAAGCATGATGTTACGTACTATCTGAAGTAGGTGAAAACCTGGTCTTTGCTGAATCTTTCTTGTTCTCAAAACGGATATTCACCAATTTCCAACTTGCAACACGGCTATGACGTAGACAGCGCTCCCATCAAAATTGCCCACATTCTCAGCCACAGGGCCAGCTCAAATCCCAGTCATACGCACGGTTCACGATGGGCCACGTAAGGACGCGACAGACACCTCGAGTGGGTGCCTTTCGGTGTCGTAAGCTATCACAATGAAGCCAGTGGTGAATTGGAATTTGCTCTTGCTTTGATGGTCGCACGAACAGGTTTCTGTGATTGGGCTGTGTCTCTCAACCTGCGTTGGTCTGCTCTTCTTCCAACTCCAGCCAAAGTGGCTTAGCCTGCTTATTTCCTTTGTGGGACTCTTGTCAGCATTAACTCCGGCACCGCAACTAGTCATAGTTGGCAACTTGGCATTGGCGTCGCCGGGTTTGAGAAGCTCTTTCATAGAGGGTGTTCTGCTCCGGTCTAGACGCGTCCATTGTCAGGTGCTTTGTGAGCGTCTTGCGTATTACACGGTCACCAGAATTGGAGTACGCATAGGCAGTCCTTCTTGACTCTGGAGGTGAATGAGGTGGGACGGGGCTGGCTCCGTTGGCCCGTGAGCGAGCCGTTCAGGGGTCCAATAAACCTGCAGCTGATTGTGAGGAGATCCGATCTAGCCGGGGCCCTGCCGAAGAAGCGTCGGAGCTGCTCTTCCTCTTGCGCGGCGGCCTCCAGGAGGAAATGGTCCCTTGTCCAACGTTCCCGACCACAAACAGCAGATTGCAAGACATCACTAGGTACTCACAGCTGATGATGGCTCTGTGGCTTCTTCTTCTTCTTCTTCTTCTTCTTCTTCTTCTTGCTTGAACTCCAACGTTGTGATGATTGTTTACCGAGATCCAGATCCCGAGGTACGGGTATGCCCGACAGTCTGGATACAATGTATTGCTGTTTTGAAAAGAAAAGTGGTGACGTGAGCATGACGATGACATCGTGGCCGTCACATTACCCCTTGCTCATCAGAAGCAGTAAAATGTCAATAACCCCCGCTTGCTCTTTGAGAGTTGTCAGGCATTGACTGACGTGGTTGTCGTGGCTCCGCAAGGACTGAGCGAAGTTGCGCTGTCCGGGCTGCTGTTCTGAACCGATTGTCTTTAGTATGACAATTAGCATTGGCCAGTGTGGCTTCGCCGTCCTTCATATGCCCGGGGAAAGAGGGGTCCAAGGCACCACAATAGAAATAGGGGTCAGTGATTGGACACATGGGACGAATACAGCCACAATTAAGGTATCACGGCGATCATTCCAACGGTTTAAGGACTCAAGGGCCCAAGGGGGGCATAGCAATGGACCCTGACAGTAATTGCCTGACACTTGACAGGCCCGTTTCCAGGGCGAAGACGCGAAAAAGAGAGACAAGAGGGCGGGAACGCAAACGACTGACCAGACCTGAAGGAGGGGGAATGGCGCAGACGGCCTGGTTTTCCCCCCTTCGCCTGAGGGTGCCCGCGTGACACTAGACAGGGAACATGCATGCGGTTATTGGGCGCTGCTCACCACCCCATCCTTTCCAGCGCCGGATCAGGTTTTTCTGAGGTCCCTGGAGACTGGAAAGTTGGACAAGGTTTCAATCTGGCAGTGGAGTGATCATTGAAGGGCGAGCCGGGGCGGGCTGGGTCAAGTCAAGTGGCACACACGGGCAGTCCGCAGCCACGGGGTTTTGCGGGAAAAGGAGATCTGCATTTATAAATACCTTATCCAGGACACATTCTCATTGCCAGTTGCTTGAGTCGTACGCTGCCCTTAAACGGTTTAAACTTGCAGAATAAACTTCCCAAGATGTCTTCGCAAATCCCCCGTCCCGCTTCGACTACCACGAACTCGTCGACTTCGACTACTTCTACCTCGACGACCCGGCAGTTCTCGGGCAGCATGGACGCTTACACCCTCTCCATGTACGAACATACCCAGCGCCTGATGGCCGCGGCGCAGATTCCGTACACCAGCCCCCTCAACATCACGTCCCCCGGCGAGCGAACGCCCTCCGGAACCGGCTCCGTCGTTGTGAGGAACGGCGTCCCGCAACTTCAGTCTGGCAGCCTTCCTTCTTTCGGCTCGAGCTGAGCGGTCCTGCAATCGAATATCTATGAAGCTGGAAAGACGCCAAATACCGCGATTCCGCTTCTGTGAGCTGAGGTAAGCGACAGTCCTGGGATTGCTCCCGAAGGTGCCGTGCCGATGTTCATCGTTCCTGATTCTCCGTTTCTTAGACCTCAAAGATGCAGATTTCCTTGTTCTTTGGTTGATTCCAGTCGAAGCCAAAGCAATTGACGAAGCCACGATCATACCACGGTCTCTTCCCGAACGCTTTACGAAGATCAACTGCTCCTTGCAAAACCCTCGATGCGGCGTTCTTTCAATTACTTCATTTCCCACCACGAAGTTCAGCCCGATTTTCAACCCGACATGGAATTTCGCTTCTGCGATGCGGCCTACCTATACTCCACACGACAGCTATCACCCGCAAGCTATCACCGGAACCGGGCCTAAAAGGATCTCGACTCGGACTCGCCCCAGAAACCTATCCACACCAGCAATGGGAGGTGCGGCTGCGGCCGAAATGATTGCTGACATCGCTCGATTTGAAACAGGCTTTCGCACCCGAAGCTGTCGTCCAATGCGGGGTCGCTGTCGTGAAAGAGGGCGGATTTTCTGGTCGATCCTTCGTGGACACTTGTTTCGTACAGCGTGATAATGTCTAAGGCGCGCCCACAAGTCGCTATTTCACACGCTATTTTTCTCTTGGCTTGGAACATTGCGAGGTTATGATGGAGTTTTGCTCTTTACGAAAGGAGGAAGCAGTCTGACGCAAACGTAACTAGACAGGGCTTTGCCTGATAGTCTATGATACCCCTATGGAATTCAATGAGCATACTCGTCTTCTTTCTGCAACACGTTCCTTACGCTAGTGATGCTGATTTTGGCGTCTGTTGACTGGGTATGATGACGGCGCTAAAAGTACTGCTAATATCCAGGGCAGTCGTCGCCTCGTGAAGCGGCTTTTGTGTCGCGTACAGAAGTCTCATTGACGCCTTTCGTGGCGATGGCCTATCTGGACTCTACATTCAGTAGTCGTCCTTTCCGGGTGTCAGCAAGATTGTTCGTTCCTCTCGTTTGCGTTAATCTTCGCCATCTCTGGCTGGCTATTCAACCAGAACAAGTGCTTTGTATTATCAAATGCCTCGTGCTGCGATACCGTCAGACGCTTCGTAGATGTCACTAGTCTGTTCCTACGTTTCCTTCAAGCTTCAGAAGATGCTCGAACAACCATGCAAAACTTTCCATCTTGGCATCTTGTGCTTCCTCGACTCTTTGATCCTCTAATGATTGAGGCCAATCCTTTGATCCCTTCTTCACTGTTGAAGTTGTCCGTTGACAACAGACTTCCGCCCAACGATTGTGTTGAAGTCAGCTGGATCTCGAAGGTTCAATGAGGCCTGGAGTTGGAGATGTTCCCCTTTTGAATCATCTCGTTTCGTTTTGGTATTTTCTTCATCTTCTTGACCACTTCTTCTCAAACCAAACAGGCCATTCATCATGGCCCTTTCAGATTAGATCTTTCAACATGGCCATATGCCCTAAAAGAAGGCGAAGGACATTCGTCCTTTCAGATATCATTACCCGGTAGTGCGTATTCTCTCAGAAATGTACGAGATTTGAACAGCATGGAGTGACCAACGGCATGATAGATGCCCGGGCTACATGGCAACCATAGCAAGAGCTGTCCCCTGGGGAAAGCCGACTCAGATGACCACAGCAGGTAAAGAATATATGCCATGCCAGGACCTTACCCCCTCCCATGATTTTAGGTGCTCCGGTGTCGAACATTTTGTTTTTCCTGGAATCTCTCTCTTCGTCTATCCAATCCCCCAATGGTTTACCGGTAGCCTTGAGAACCATCTCGGCCCATCTCACAACATCGATACACCCCTTCAACAGCCGCTCATCATCATCATCAGCAGTAGCATCGGCAGCAGCAGCAGCATCAATGATGAGTTATCCGCGTGTAAGTGAGACACTCTTCAAGAGATTACTTCAGCCTAAAGTTTCCTCGAAAACAGGTCCCAAAAGTGCACGTCCTTGCTGGCGACCAACTATACCCTATAACGGAACAATGGCAGTTTGACCGAATGAGGCGATTGGGTGTCGACATGTGTGACTGGGATAGCATCAACGGACGGCTTCTGCGCTACGACCCCCCCGCAGAGCTCCCCTACGAACCTGCGGTCGCCTCCGGCCTGGTGAGAGTCTTCATCGACATCACCAACCGCCCAGCCGTCCTTCCCCCCGGCTTCTGGGCCACCGAAAAGATCCTCATTGGCCCTAGTTGGGGCGTACCGGGCTGGGTTCCCTGGTTTCCGACAGACCCTCTGTTCCTGAGCAATGAGAGATCTCTTGGAGGACGTCCTGGGAAGTTCGACTACATGCAGTGGTGTGGTACCTGTGGGAAGTGGCTCCTCGGACAGTTCTTCTTCGAGCACATCGGCGCCCGCGAGGATTCTCGCACCTGCAACCGGTGTGTCATGCGAAGAGACCTCCGCAACCAGGTCTACGATTCGAGGGACGCCTGGATCGCGGCAAAGCAGCCGATGATGATGTGGCTTTGCCCCTGTGAACCGGGCTACGACCACTAGCTCGAGCCCGGAGCTCCCGGCCGAGGAGGAGGGCGGCAGGAGGACTTGTAAGTCATCTCATTCTTTCTTTCTCCTCTTATTCCTTGCGTCATCCGGTATGCCTTCTCTGCCGAATTGGATCGGCTAAATGGAGTCCAACATCGCAACTCGGGACGAAAGCAGATGATGTTGGACCACGGATCGAACGGCCGACGCAAGATCTGAACCGCCTTAACAAATTCTCTAATATCACTGCGCGGGGGAGAGTCCCTGCCACCCCTGAAGCTTTTGAGGGACGGGACGAAAGAGTTGCTGTCACTGGACCGTGGACGGCCTCAACTCCAGACTGAAAGGACCAGGGGCTTCCCTGACTGTCCGGGTTCGTTCGTCCGGGCTTACCGGCTGCCGCGGACGCTGTGAAACTGGCTTCTTCCCTCATCTCAGGTTTCATCAGATTAAATCCAAGAGACTAACTTTCGATCAAGCAGATGTCCTTCCGTGGGGTAACAGCGGTCCAGATCGAAAGAAAACCATCAAAAAGCCCAAAAACAGCAGAAAAGGAAATAAATCTACCAAAAAAGGGTGAAGAAGAGAGGTAAGCCGATGTTCAGCTTTTCATCCTACCTGCCTTATCATCGGCAGAAAGCAGCTCACCCATCCTCTCACCTTCACGGTTCACATATTTTACATGAGCCTTATCAACGTTGGGCATCAGCAGCAAACACGCCATCCTTTTTCCGGCTCATTTTCCCCTGTCTTTTGGCTTGATTTTTGAATTCCTGCTCCTCAATCGGTAGTGGAGTTTTGGGAGAAACAAAGTCGAGACATGCAGGAACCGTTGCTGACTGTTGGCGCTAGAGCTAAGCGAGTCCCAAAGGAGCGAAGAAGAGGGGCCTTATGTCAGCAGCCGAAGATGCTGCGATGGGCTGCAATTGGCCGGGGATGCAGGCGCCGGGAACGTCGTTCCTCGTGCCGGGAAATTGGTCAAATCGACCATCCTTGTCGATCCCAAGAATTCACCCCCTGGTCATTATTGTCTGTTCTCTTGCAGATTTCCGATTCATCACTCGCCTGACAAGGCCCCAGGTCGAGAGGGTCCATCCAATGTCCGTTGCGACGGGAGAGGACATTCTGGTAGGTTTGCTGTTGTTTGCTTTCCTCACTTGTCTGTCTCTTTTGTATGCAAACTACAAACGCGATCCGAAAGCTGACTTGAACTCGACCATCAATAGCTAAGTACTCGAATGCGAACCGACGAGCTGCCGTTTGCACACGAGAAACCGCGACGTTGCGTCATCTCAACTTGAAATTACCTTCGTTAGTTCCCGACCCGTTTAGGAGCAAACGGAACAGCTTCCCACGCGCCAAAGTAACGCTAGACCATTGCCGACCGTCAGTGCGCAGACTTCGATATTTCCACAAGAATATTCCCCCAAACTTTTTCTTATTCCACGCTCCCGAGCGTTCAGGAAGCACCTTTTCGGCCTTCTTCATGCTCTCAGAGCTGTAGGACACATACCATATCCGCCACAATGGATGAGAAACAGGCACCTGGGAGGCCTAGTGGGATTCCTCGCATGTCCCGTCTGCCTCTCCCAAGAACGACAGCTCCAGCTCCCGCTCCAGCTCCCGCTGTTCGACCATCCCCATCGCGAGAAGGACTGAACTCGAGTATAAGGAATCCTCGCCTCCGCCCAGCTGCTTCGCGAGACCAATTGGCCCCAGCCGCTTCTCTCAAGCAACCTGAACCTCGTGCCATCGCTACAAGACCGAAACGCGAAATCCAGCCTCCAACTACGAGAAAGACAGAGCTGAGAGCCCCGACTACTGCACTGAGATCTTCCAAAAGCTTGCCTCGATTGCAACCAAAGGAATCGACAATCCAGAAACCCCCTACACCTCCAGAAGAACCCCAACGATCATTCACTCCGCGTTCGACAAGCGTTACGCGAAGCCCATCAGAGGACAATGTTGCTACCCCAAGCTCGAGTCGCCTCGGTGATCCGATTACCTTGACGAAAGACACGAGCAGCCCACAAGTTGCCGACGATGATGCCGAGCCTGATCTACCAGACTTTGACACCCTGAGGACGACTCCCTTCAAGCCCCGTCCGTCCCTTTCCGAACGAACAATCGAGACCCTTCAGCAACTGCAATCCTCCCCTTCTCTCAGCAAGAAAACCTCGACGTTCTTCGACCCAGATGGCACCATGCGACCCCGTTCACGCGCCGGCAGTGGCCACTCGAGACCTGGTTCAAGCTACACTTCCGATGGCTCCATGCGGCCTACGTCCCGGCATAGCAGACCAAGCTCGAGCTCTGGTGCTGAAGAGAACCCTTTCGCCAACGCTCGACCGGCTGCGAACGCGTATCGGCCTTTGGACGCCGTTGAGGGTACCCCTGCCCGCCGTGTATCTAGCATCCGTTCCCTCCGAGCACCATCGATGAGAGCTACCCCCCAATCTTCACCTTCCGGTCTGTCGACTACTTCAGCGATACCAGTCAGCCAGAGCCCCAGCCCAACGAGACCAACTGGCATCATGGCACCACCGCCCAAGGCTGGAGCAAAGACGCTTGCTGCTCGCCCTCTGAAGCCCCGCGCCTCGGTCCAAGGACTCTACAAAAAGCCTTCCCTGCCAACAATGACCCAGCCAGCTCCAGCGTCCGTTGCTTCGCCTCAGCCCAAGAAACTGACACCGTCCAAGTCTTATGGATCTCTACGAAGGCCCGGACCGTCAAAGATTGGTGCTCCGGCCCCTGCTGCCTCGAAAGATACCGACGAATCTGGCGAAACTGCTGCGACAAAGTCCTCCAATGCTCTGCGGGAACAGATTGCCAAGGCCCGGACCGCCAAGCGCGCTGCAGACAGACAAGCTGCGGAGGCCTCGTCAGCTCCAAGCGCAGCGCCGGTCACGGATTCTTCTGTGCCAGCCCAGCCTGAACCTCCGATTATCCCACAGGACGACGGCTTCGACTTTGGCATCGCTGTGACGCAAGACCCGTTCAACACCAAGAGATCGGAGAACTCCCAGAAGAAGGTTATTCAGCAGCGGCTCGGCACTGCCCGCAGCAGTGGCAGACTCAACATCGCAGCCATGGGCCTCAAGGAGATTCCGGTCGAGGTTCTCAAGATGTACGACTCAGAGTCTATGGGCACTTATGATGGCTCATGGGCTGAGACTGTCGATCTGACTCGCTTCGTAGCTGCGGATAACGAGCTGGAGACCATCGATGACACCATTTTCCCTGATATCACAGCAGAGGAAATGGCACAGGATGAAGACTCGAATGGCAACATCTTTGGCGGCTTGGAGGCGATGGACTTGCACGGTAACTCGTTAATCTCCTTGCCGATGGGGTTGAGACAGCTTCCTCTGCTCACATCGCTAAACTTGGTAAGCCAACCATGCGACCCTGAGTGTCAAACTTGACTAACAGAAGCAGTCGCAAAATCGCCTTGCAAACAACTGCCTCGAAGTCATCACCCAGGTCAAGGCCCTCCGAGACTTGAAGCTCGCCAACAATCTTCTTTACGGACCTCTCGATCCCATTTTCTCCAACCTCGAGAACCTCGAAATCTTTGACCTTCACGGAAATAACGTATCATCGCTTCCTCCTGGCATCGAAAGTCTATCCAGGCTGCGCGTTCTTAACTTGAGCGAGAATAGCTTCGAATCACTGCCTTTTGCGAGTTTGTCCAAGCTCCCACTGACGGAATTGCTGGTGAAGAAGAACAAGCTCACAGGCACGCTGATTGAAGATGGAGCCGAGTCCCTTCCGAACCTTCAGATGCTCGACCTATCATGCAACCAGTTGACACGCTTGGTACCTTCAGGATCAGTCATCAGCCTGCCCGTTGTCCATCAACTCATCATCTCGATGAACCGCATGCAAGAGCTACCCGATGTCAGCTCCTGGTCTAGTCTCATGACCTTGAACGCCGACGAAAACGCCATTCCTGAATTCCCCAAAGGTTTCACCGCTCTCGAGAAGCTTAGGCATGTCGACTTTTCTGCCAATGACATTCGCGTGGTACCGCCCGAAATTAGCAGAATGGACAACTTGACCATGATTCGCCTGGCTGGCAACCCGTTGCGCGATAAGAAGTTTGTCTCTGCTACCACGGAAGAGCTAAAGGAAGTCCTGGCCGGCAGGCTTGAACCGCCTCCGCCATTCAAGGACGAGGATACTGCTGTGCTAGACGAGACACACCTTGACGAACCCCATGATATTCACCCAGGTACCACTGCCGCGCCTGCAGCCGAAGCTTCAGTTCGTGATAACCACTCGGACGAGGATGACTTTGCTACCCCTCCCACCTCTTCGCCGACATCACCGGCACGAGCGCGTTCGCAAACGCTAGCCAATGAGACGTGGCCCGTCAAGCAAGGTGTCCTGGACCGATCAAATACCAAGTCAGCTTCTTTGCACCCTGTGATGTGCTCTAAGGTTGCGGCCGACAATAAGGTCATTGAGATCCAGCTGCATCACAACCTTTTCACCTGCTTCCCGAACTCTCTATCCTTCTTCGCTGATTCTCTTGCCGCCCTGTCTCTTGCACATAACCAACTGGTTGGCGAATCTTACTTGACGGAGGAGCTTGATCTTCCAGCACTGCGTGAGCTGAACCTTGTCAGCAACCATATCACCAGCCTATCGCCATTGACTACGCATTTGGTCGCTCCGCAGCTGGAGAAGATGGACGTTTCATTGAATCGCATTACTGCGCTCCCGCCTGATTTGCGCTCTGTTTTCCCCCGGCTCGTCGTATTTTTGGCAGCGAACAATCATTTGATCGAGCTCGACCCAGACACCATCAAGGGCATGGAGGTTGTCGATGCTGGTAATAACGACATTGCACACTTGAACCCGAGACTTGGCCTTCTAGGTGGCACTGGCGGGCTCAAGCGTCTAGAGGTCGCTGGCAACCGCTTCAGAGTTCCTAGGTGGAATGTTCTTGAACGGGGTACGGACACTACTCTGCGGTGGCTGCGAGGGCGTGTGCCAGTAGCGGAGATGGCATCGTGGAAGGTCAGCGAGGGTGACTCGGGCAATGCATCCGACACCAGCCTGGACGATGTGGATTAAAGGCACCGGCTGGAAGGGTATGGCATCACTGCAGGGAGGAGAAAGCTTTTCGTTTCCATTCGGGTTGACTTTTGGGGGCTGCTTTGGGGGCTTTTGGGAGCTGTCATTTCGATTCACGCACATACTTTTTCTTACCTGTGGCACCACGATACCACGTTGAGCTTTTCATGGAGTTGAGGGGAAATCTTTGCGATCACAATCGCCTGATATCCTGTACCAGTACTGTATAATACCATAGACATAATAATGGGACGGTGGCAATCCGTCCCAGTAAGGGTTCTGTTTCCAAGGGTCTTCTGATCTCCGTCTCCTATTGACTTTTCACGATGCTGTGGTAGCGCGTGCTGCCAGAGAGGTCCTCGAGAATGTGCAAAAGTCTGTCTCCGATCTTTTCTTCCTGTGATATTAAGCACCGCGTCCATATCCCCATCGTCGACCTAGCCTTCCATTCTCATCTCCAGCATCCCAATCCATCAAACACAGGTCCGTATCACAAGCAACGAGAATAACTTCCTTTATCTTACCTCTTTACTGCAGAATATTATCCGTCACACCGTGTCACAAATTACAATGGCTACATCAATGGCTTCCATTCGGGCAGCTACTTCCCGCCCCATGAGAAATGTCAGTTCCTTCTACACCAACTATCTCGACATCGTCCAAGCCTCCGGCGAGCAGACCGGCCGCGAATCGACAGACTACGACGAAGAGAAGCAATTGTCATCCGGCATGGACTCTCAACGTCAACCATCAAACTCCACCTTCTCCTGGCTTACCGTGAAGGCGGAGATTATTATTATCCAAACTTACGCCGTCCTCATTTTCATCAGCGCGATGGCCTTTATCTACTTTACGAGACACGTCGAACCCTCAGAGAAAGGTCCCATGGATCTCGCAATGGGTATCACCCTTAGGGTCGGCAACGTATAAATTCTGCGGTTTGCTCTATCTCGCTAGTCAGGCCTACGATATCAAGTGGGCGGGACAGGGAACGGTGTCAGAGGGCGCCGCAAATGTCGCTGCAGAGTCGGTTTCGGATGAGCACTCCGGCAACCACTGGTATGAGCCGTGTATCTCCCCCAAGGCTATCGATACGCTGGTCAATATCCAGCTGGGCGTGTTCACCGTCGCCTTTTGGCCTCTTGCTCTGTGCTGGAGCTTTGGACTCCTGTGTTGCGAGGAAATCGAGGACGTTGACGGAGAGATCGCTCTCGGTGATGTATGCTCTGCTGAGTACCGCGCTGCGGAGAAGATGCCTTGTCAATGTAAGAGAGTCTCTGAGATCTAGGAGAAGGAGCCGTTGCTCGGACGGAAGCTGACTGCGGCAGAGATCGTGGCGATTGAGAATGAGTTGGCGGCGGCTCAGGTGCGGAAGATGTATAAGGGCATGATGGTTGAGCAGAAACCGTATGCTCCTCTGGAGCAATAGGCTACGCTGACTCAAGCTGAGAAATTGTCTGGATTAGAAGCTGAGGCTATCGCAGTCACGTTATCTGGAGCCAATGAGCATATTCAATGTACTCAGTATAAGAGTTTGCAAGTTTACCTTAGTCAACCCAAGTCGTCGAATTAATCGTTCGGTGTTGTCAGTGCTAGTAATAATACTCTCCAGGTGATGCCAGTCACCTCCATGTCACCTGCATCACTTGGATCGGGCCATATAAGCCTATTGCACCGAGTTTCGGCTATTCCTGAGCACTCGGGCAAGAAATCTCAGTCGTGATGGGCCTTTTTCTCATTCGTATCCCCTTGGGAGAGAGCTCGTTCCCTACCTTACTACTTTACGTACCCGAGCTCCGTTGATCGTGCATCAGTCCTATCACCTTGCAAGGCTCCAAAGGAAAACCGCAGGCTAACACATGAGTTGTGTACCGCTTTGAGGCTTACTAACCTGGATGGACTGAAAAAGGGGAGAGCGGTGGGATGCCTCTTATACGCTCCAGCATCACGCCCGAACATGAACCCTACTGAGTTCAACCGGTGGAAAGGAGGCATCGTTTTGCTAGTGTCTTTGTCGGAAAGCTCGAAAGTCCTGTTCCTGGATTTATCAAACTCGGGCAGTCTGGATACATTCCGCCCACCGGCCTGTCATGTTTAGGTTGCGGTTCAGGACGGGTGTGCAATATCAAGCGCCGAAGCGGATGTTGACCAAAGAGGTGAAATCTAACTTCACAGCACCGACGGATCAACAACCTATCTCCGATTGAACCATGGCCTGGGGCCATATAAAAAGTACTCGTAGATAGACATATTGTAACCTATATAAATCTCTCTCGTCTTCCGGTCCAACGTGGCCAGATTATACCCGCAACATCTCCTTCTCAACGTCACTTCTCAACTCCAATCTCTCTCTTCCGATTATCCCACCAGGAATATACATCAACCAGAAAATAGATACTGAGGCCTCAAAATACCACGGAAGCTATTATCATCCAGCACAAATACTCCTTCCTCGCCCTAACAAAAATGGCTCCTACTCCTCTCGTCCCAAGCCCTGGTGCTGGCCTCAGCGCCGGCATACGAGAGGACGATTGCAACATGAGAAACACGATAATTATAGCGGCTGCATGCGTTGTCTACACTATTGCGGCGGTTGTATTCTACGCCTTCCTCAACAGGTGTCGTTTTCTTCCCAAGTGGTACGAGAACTCAGCTAGAAGACTGCATAACAAGATCTTGCTGCTCTTGTGGCTTCCTGCCATCTTAATCTTCTGGCCCATCGCTTTAGCCCTAGCTATCTCTTCCAAATGCGGCTTCGACATCGTCGACAAGTTGACCAACCTCTTGCGACGGGTCAAGAGGACTGGCAACGCCATGGGTCGCCACATCAGCGGAGAGCGAAGGGAAGGAATGGAGCTTGAAAGATGGGAAGAGATCGAACTCGAAGAGGGAAACTCTGACGTTATCCGAAAGAACACCACCATGGGAAACTTCATTAACCCTTTCGACGATAGAGGTCGCCTAAGTACCAGAAGTTCAAGCGGGTCCAGTAGCAGCGACCAGTCGCCCACAGATCGTCGGGCCTCCCCTTCGGCCACGGAGACCACCCCTATTAGGTGGTATGAGAGGCTTCCTTCACCTACAGAAATGGCAAGAGCTCTCGATCAGGCGGTCTCTAGCAGTCACGGCCGTCCTTCGTCAGCGGAACGCTCCAGGAGCGAAAGTCCTTACTCCGACGACGGTAATGCTCGGCAACCAACGGCAATTCCGGTTGAGAGCGTGAATACAGCGGTATCGGATCCGGGCAGAAAGTCAAAGATGAAGCGAAAGTTGCAGACTATTCCCGAGCAGACTGATGAAGTCAAAGAGTGGGAGACAATGATCATCTGAGCCGGCGGACTGCTTTACGATCAATTTCTGCTGTCGCCTTGCGTATCTGTCTTCAAAGACCACTTCTTGGATGGGCAAACCATTAGTTATGGCATAGCGGGAGTTATTATCACACAAAATGGGCGTAGCGGCGGGGCTTACTCTGATAATCAAGTTACTACATGTATCGACGCAGGGGAAGCATTGATTAGGTACTTTACTAATTGAGAAGGAGGAACACATCCCGTATGGCTCTCAACCGCCTCAATATACATGTACTCACTGCCAATATTCCAGTGCCTTCACGCTCTTCTATACCTGAAAGCCTTGCACAAGGCGTGCTTAGACCCTCACAAGATATGAGGCATCTTTGTCGCTGCTCCAATCCTCATCCAAGTTGCCTCTATAATGCAGCAGTCCATCACTTGAAGCCGCTCATAGGAATCATACCTCTTACAGGGATCGGGCTTCAAGAGGCACATCAGCATAGTGATACACCAGCCCTCAGAACTACTCGCGCCCGGATGACCGCTGAGGGCCATGAACTCCATATACAAGGCCTTGGGGCGGCTATCTCTCCAGGCACAGTCCAGCCAAATGAAACCAACAGGGTTCTTCACTTCGCAGGCTCCGTGATCCTCGTGGTCTTTGACATCGTAGATCCCTAATGTTTGGTCACCGTGCCGTGGAGGGGCATCATTCATGTATACTCCGTGGGAGGAAGGCAAGGAAGCGAAAGTCCGGCGCAAATAGCTGGATATACCGCGTACAGGCCATTCGAGTCCTCAATATTCCCAGGCGTTGACGAGATACGAAGATCTGCAATGCTTGCCACCAGGTCTAGGGAAGGCTTGTTGAAGAATCCTGACACTAGGCTCGCAGGAAATCCGAAAATGCCATCCTTTGTGTGCGGGACCAAAGAAAGAGCGACTGGCTTCCGTAAGCGATGACTAGGATATTGCACCTCTATACCGCGGCCTACTACCACTACTTCGCCTCGTTCATTTTCCGTCATTTGATGCGTGTGAGCAGACTTCAGCAAACCCCTGTCAAGTGTAACACTGCTGTCCCATCCGAGCCAAGACCAGCTGGGGAAGTTTGGGTTTCGGGCTTGCGGTCGATGCCATACGGTACGCCAGCAAATAGCTTGGTCGAAGGCGCATGTCGGCAAGCCGTAATGAAACATTGACTCTTCCCCATCGATGCTTGCTTTGAACCTCTGAAGAATACCCTGGAAGGCTGACATTTTGTCTTCGCCCTTGGTGAAAGCGCGTTTCGAGTAGTGCTCTGTGGCACACAGAAACGTTTCCAGCTCTTCTCTTGGCGGGATAGTTACTCAAAAGCCCACCTACCCTCTGGGACCTGCTGAGAGTCGTACTTGCTTTGGAGTCAGCAAGACGAGTACCGTCTAGCATGATCGTTGCTTCTTGGCACTGCAGAAAGAAACACCCCCGCTGACGTGAAGAGAATAGCGTGGTGAGACAATGTTTTTTCTTGGAAACACCAACCCCGACTTCCCCAAGGCGAATGTTATTCTTTTTCTTTTTTTTTCTCCTTTTTTTCTTGAGCGGTACTATAAGGGGTTGATTACTGATCCTATTGGCTTCCAGGCCTTTCTCCGCGTGACAGACTTCTTTCAGAAGATCTGCCCGCGGTACTAAGGACTAGGTCTTGACCTAGGCCCGACTAACGAATTTCTCCTCCTAAGGGAACCAGCGGGAACTAGGGACGGATAGAACAGACAGTAGCCCACGGGCAAGATTTGGAGGACGTTAGGAAGAGGCGTGTACTATAGAGTATATAGCTCGAGCCTACGGCCCTCCACGCCATATACCCCTCGGGAGGTCGGCCGCAAGGGCGGCAGCGCCTTTGCCGCCACGGCGTTAAACACAACAACAACAACAACAAGGCGAATGTTCCAGGATAGTGTCAAGCTCATCGGCAGAGTCACATGTTGTGAAAAGCTTAGCCGTGGTAGCTACTTGTAGCCCTTCCCCCGCACTCTTTTATTGAGAGACTGCAGCAATCGTAAACTTGGCGGCGGAGTAGATCTCGCGCATTCGCAATATCTGTGTCTTGACATCTCGAGGAGAATCCTGCACGATACAGAGCGCGTCGACCCAGAGATACCTTTCCCCAACAGTTTCGCACACATGTATGGCGTCTCGTATTGTCTTTGGTATATCTCTCCAGATTGCATCTAGCCTGTAGTCGCACGAGTATTCACCCATGTTTGCCTCCTTCAGCTTGGGCTGTTCAATGCCACCCCAAACGTATGTTAAAACGGCAAAGGAAAGCCCCTTGGGAGCGACGACAACGCTTCTCTTGTGAATGTCAATGAGCCGAAAGCGGACGCCGGGGAGATTCTGCCATCGTAATGGACTTGCGTGGCAATGCTTGTGATCAAGGCTTTCCTCGCAGTTTTGGAGCCAGCTGGGCTACTGTAGTCGTGTCTCCCGCTCTCCGAGAGAAGTAGGCTTCACCATTCTTCCTGGTGTTGAGAAGGTCTTGCCGTGTAGTTGTACTCTGTTGCTCCTTCTCATTGGTATCGCTAGCCCGCAATTCCAATGTCGACCTTGGTGCCAGGAACGCACTGAGCTTTTGTGGTTTATCATCCTCCCAAAAGTCATCTTCATCGTAATCCTGTCAAGGGCACTGTAAAAAGTCATCCGGCCACAGAGTCTCATGCAGGTCGCGAATAGACTTCCATAAAAGCCCATCCCACTTCCCATCAGAACTAAGATAGAGGGATCTTAGCCGCGTCCGTATATCGCAGGCAGCAATTGAGAGACAACCCACTAGACTTTGATACCCTGCGGGCATATAACGGAAGCTCTGAAAATGATGCAAGCGACAGGAAGGTCGTATGGCTTCTCTGCTGTTTTCAGGAATTGCTGTTGGCCATGGTCTTCCCGGCAAAACTGGAAGATGTCGTGGCCATGAATTCCCACCCCGTTGAAGATAATGCCTTCGTCCGCGCTCGTGAATGGCGATGTGATGATATCAGAGGACTCCGACGGTCCGGTCAAGAAGACGTCCGATGATTCTATGATTAGCAGAGCATCTTGAACCAGCTGAGGCCAGATGGCTTGCCACGCTGGGCTGCTCCAATCATTGACCTTATAATAAATAGTGTGTATAGATAGCTACGAAGCTTGAATCAGTACGAATTCTTTGCATGGTAGGCATCCTTACGGACGCTTACCCCATACTTCAATTTTGAAGATACATGTAGTCTAGATCACGGACGAAGGACAGTCTCGAAGCTTTTGAAAGTGACCAAGGAAAGGCTACATAATAAGTGCGTGTTCCGCATCTCCTCATAGCTACCTTAAACAACAAAAATCGAGATCAGGCAGCCGAGCGGCACAACATGCAGCCAAAACGCACAATTGGGTTATGTAGGGAAATGCCAGAAGTCCCCACCCTTTTTGTCGTTTTCACATTCATATCGCATTTGGCTGCAGGACGACTATATTTGGTACCGTAGAGTGAGTGAGATTCTCAGAGGAGATACGTACGATTGACTCACGTAGAAAAAGATGAATAATTCCGAGAGAAAGAAAAGCATATCCTTGAGAGCAGCAGCAAAAATCTAGGGTTTGCGTCGAGGGGGAATCGAACCCCCGGCTCCCCGACGCTGCTGGATGGCAACGGAGAATTTTACCACTAAACCATCGACGCTGATTAAAAGCTTTCTCTTTTGGGTGTCCCTTCCAGCTCCGCGCGCGAGCTCGCCTACCGCGAAGCTCACGCGCAGAGGCGCAGACTCCTTCGATCGTCGGCCAGGGGGAGCTGAACTCGACACTGTGGAAGATAACGAAGTGGTGGTTGGTATCTACATGTAGACCAGAGACTTCCGCAACATCATGGCCACTCACGAAGCCTGCGAAGCCCACTAGCAGATCAAAGCCAGAGAGGTTATTTCAAAGTCCATAGTTGACTGGGGTTGGTATCTGCCTGTCCAAAACTCCGAGCACTCACAAAATCAGTTGAGGTAGTTTGGCATATCCAAGCCGTCCGCCTGGAACTCGTTCATCAGTGTATTCCAGTCGGGGAAATCCTGCATCATGCCGGCCCAATCCATCCCATCAGCGGCCGCCATACTGTCCAATCCACTCTCCGCCATGCCCTCCGCTTCCGATCTATCATCGGTGCCACCCGGTGTCGGGTAGGACTCTTTCTCGGCGCTCCCGTTGGTAGTTCCTCGGCCACCGACGACGACGACGACGCCGCCACTGCCGCCGTTCTGCTGGCCAAGGCTCTGTCGTATTGCTGTTGCCTTGGCCCTCAAGGTTTCCAGAACCGTCATCTTCGCCGCGGGCCCGAAGCTCGCGTTCACGCATTTCAGGAGCATGAAGCTATCGTCCACAGCCTTCCATGCCCTATCGACGCTCGGTCCTTCCGGCTTCACGCATAAATGCCACAGGACGTAGAGAAGCATATGGTACTGGGGATACGCCCGCACCGACCACCGATACTGCCGCAGCAGCTCGTCCGACGCCAGGCTCATACCGTCTTCGAGAATACCGAGCGCTTGAAGAAGATTCTCCTCTGTCGCGAACGAATCGCGCGCCTCTGGATGCTGGAGGTTGAGCCACTGTTGCCGCGTGACCATGTCGACTTTGCGAATGATGAATCGCGCAACGAGGAGTGTCTGCCGTTGTTGGGGGATGACGGGGTTGCAATGTCGCAGAAACCCTTCTGCGTACTCGTGGAGCTCTTGGACGACTTGGGCGCGGACGGATTCCGGTGTTGGGCTTTCCGCCCACGACGAGGCCATGGCCGCTAGACGATGCCATGTGCGAGTAACTTGGATATTAATCAGTCCCAGTGTCAACGTCGTCCAGCCGGTCCGGGAATGTGGGAGCTCCTTCATCTCGGGATACAGATCTCCGTCCTCCAGATTCGACGGGAAGCTCACGCCTATTTGTACGTTAAAGCTTGAGATGTTTGAGAAGCCATAGTCCTCTGCTGCTCGGCCATCGCGCGCGATGAGGTGCCACCAGATTCGTCTACGAATCTCGGAATCAAAGGGCGAGAGGCCTAGCTTGGTGCCGTCTCGGTGCAGACCGATAGATTGAGCTGCCCGGATGGCCAGTCCGTTCAAGGTCCACAAGCCTCGACCGGGGTTGTGTATTCTAAGAGCCGCCTACGCCTAGTGTAAGCAAACGAAGGAATCCATCAAGTAGATATATACATACCAGATACACAGACAAGGCTTCGAGGAATTTCACCGAGGGATGTTCGAGAAAGTCGGCCTTGGCAAAGGCTTGCTCGAGACCCGTTTTGAAGCGATGGAGGCTCGTCACCTTATCCTCTCCAGTGAAACTCTGGACCGAGTTGGGCTCTAGAACGACAGTTGAGACGAAGAATATGGCAAACATGACAGCTAGTGCTTCCAAGGACGCATTACGGGGGTCGTCGATGGCGGTGTAGACGAGGACTTCTGCCGTCGGCCGGTGGAGGACCTTGTTACAAATCTCGATATTGTCGACATAATTCCTCCACAGTTCTATTGCGCCATATTTTGGAGGAAGAAGCTCAGCAAGATCCAATTTAAGATCTGGTGCTGAGAGAATGCCCATTGGATTAAAGGGCGATAGTTCCGCTGTAGCGGGTGACTCACTACTCTGAGGCGTTGTGAGAACTGATTGAATATCATGTTCCTTTAGACAAGTTATCAGCCGACGATCTCATGCACCAAGTGAGTGAAAGAATATCTTACTTCCTCAATAACCCGAGAAATTAGGACATCGTCAAAGTACTGGCTTGACGATCCCTTCCGTAACAGAATTTCATCGTTAACACTCTTCTCATACGGCCCTGAAGCTGGCGCTGTCGTTGGCCTAGATGCTGATGGATTTGAGTGATTTGGATTTCGACCCAAGCCAAAAGCTGTTCCCGGCGTGGAGGCCGATGGCGAACCCCGAAGAGCCGGAAGCTGCTGTTGCTGCTGCTGGCTCGCCGCCCCGGCCACAAGCGTCTTCTCCAGGTCCGATATCCGGCTTGCAACATCGGCGATGGTGGTCTTCCGGACTCGACGTATCGGCTGGCCCGCCTGCGGATAATGGCATTGGAGTCCGCGGCGGGCACACGACGCGCAGGGCTGCTTCTTGTCGCAGCGAATCTTCCGACGGTGGCACAGCTGACAGGATCGCTCAATCTTCCGGCCACCGCTGCTACTCCCGATGCCGAGGCGGGTCATGCTACCGCTGCTGCTGCTTTCGCTCTCATCCCTGGCGGCTGTCGGGGGCTGGGATTGGCCCGGCTGCGGTGTGTCGGAAGCTTCTGTGGGCGAGGTCCGGACAGCTCCGGAGGCAGATGTTGGAGCCGGTCCCATGGGGCCGGTATGAAGGATCCGGGTGACACCGGATCCCGATGCGATGCGACACAACACAAAATTGGATTCGATAACTCGTTGTTATTTTGACTTGGCTTGCACGGATATGCTTAAACTTGCGGCAAACTTGCTGGGGGGCTGAACAAACAGCTGTTCCGGTCAGTCGAGGTGGGTGATGAACTCTAGGTCGATGCCCAGGACTGCTCGGTGTCGGCGCTTACGTGGGGACCGAGGCCGAGAAGAACCATTCCCATATTATCCCACGGGCCCCGCTCTTCCTGACTTCAGGATTTAAAGTGCGAATGCCGCCCAGACAAAATGCGAGATGGAGCACGCGAAACCCGGTGGCAGATGGAGAAATCTGCACCAGACAGCCAGTCAGTTTGACCAGGGCGGCTGACTGGGCCTATGGACCATGGCTTGACCGCATTCAGCTCTTCCCGTCGTCGGCGACTCAGCGCGCCCGCAGAAAGCTCAATGACAGAGTAGACTCCATCCGCATGCGTCTAGGGTTAAGCTTCGAACACGTCCTTTAAGCTTCGCCGAGGTCCCCGAACTCGTCGGGCGTCCCTTTCTCTTTCCAGCCACCACGTGTCTGTTGTCTCTGGTTTCTCTGATCTTCGGAAATCTAGACCGATTGTCTAATCAGTCGTCTTTCAGGACCGGTACAGAGGGGTTTGCCCCTCTTGTGGAAATATGTCACGGGCAAGCCTGGGAAAGATGCAGCGGAGACCCTGCTGCATACTATGCTGACAACTGTAATCCTTGTTTCTTCAATTTATCACTGATGCCAGTTGAATAACCATATTGACATTGGTTGCAAAGTCGCCTTAGAAGGCAGCTTGCCTCGGTACGGGCGGCCGAAGAGGGAAGAATTGGCGTGTCAAAAGGCCCTTGAGCAATATCAATAAGGTTCAACGCGCTGGGAACACCCAAAAAAAAGATCCATGGACAAGGAAAATTCATAGGAACGCAGCGTTATTAAATATCGGACTGTCACTGACACGGTGAGTAACTAAATGAATCGACCCAACCAGGACCTTTTGGTGTTTAGTTCGTGGGGTTCCGCGCTCCACGTCCAGGTCCCCTACCCATCAGGGCAACGGGCTACCCGAGTTAGGTACGGAGGCGTATCCTCCGAGGTTGTTCGGGACCAACGTCGTATATGTGAATGCTGGTTAAACGCCAGTCTTTAACTCTTGTTTAAGTTTCGACGATAATCTTCAACGTAATTTCTTTAACCCTTGACTCTTCCGGACGGATCACTACCGAGGCGGCGGTAAGCTCCCGCGATGGCGCAAAGGGGGGCGGGCCACTGACTATGCCTCGCAGGCCTAGGGATTTCGCCCAACGATGCTTTCCGCGCATATTGGAGTTCATCCTCGTCGACCAGACCACCAGCCTGTAGGGAACTAGCTGCCCTCGTACACATCGCAGGGCACTGGGGGTTCCGGGTGAACTTGCCCGCCGTTTAGCCCGTGAACCGGATGGCAGTTTGGAAAAAGTGACAAAGAAAAATTCATACCCCCTGAAACGCAAACAACGACTTTTCGTCTGGCATGTGGCATATGGTGCCATTCGTTGCGGGACGAAGTAGACTATCACTTCTCTCATCCATACCTGCTATACAGACGGACGTACTGTATCTGACTTTGAGGGCGCGTGATAGTTGATCCCCGTTTAGAATTGGCGAGAAGCAAACAAGGTTTTCGGCTACACATTGGCCTAATTCATGCAAAGTCTGAGCGCACGCCCAGAACCGATGCTGGCATGAAACGTCAGGTACCGCCCTTGGGCGTCGACTTGAAGGCGCGGGAGCTTGATTTAGAAGTATCGCGATTCGATCATCAGGTTGAGGTTGGGCAGAAAATGATCAGACATGCCAGATCAACCTGAAGGCCAGGCGGTCGGGAAATGGATGAGGTTTATGAAGATTGTGAAGTCTGTATTGGTAATGAAACGAGAGAATGGTATCACAAACCCATAGGTAGATCATGATGTCTCTTTTGGGGGCCCCTCATCGTGGGCAGACACCTTTCCATAACCTTCGGACCGAGACTTCTAAAAACCCATTCCCTTTTGTGAGCAATGCTGCAAAAGTCCCGTCATGCTCCTCTGCGTCCTGCAGTCACCACCGCGCCATAGAGAGGGAAAACAAAAAGACAAAAATGTAGGCCTCGACTCCTTGGCGAGGTGCCTCCATGGTTAACCAACGAACGTAAAACAAAATAAAAAAAATAAAAATAAAAAAAGGACAGGAAAGAAAACTCAAAACCTCCGTGGTCTTGCCTCGTGGCAATCGTAGCACCGTGGAGGAAAATTTCCCTACAGCCGTTTACATGAACAGAGTGATATCTCACGCCTCGCCCGAAAAGCAAAAGTTGAATAAATCCATAGGTCTTGAAAAGAGTCCAGATCAAGAAAAGAAAAACCTTCAAAAAAAAGTCCGCTCCGTTATACGCCCACCGAGATCGGCGGCAGAGTTTGCATGAAGTCGAGCCAAGATGCTCCCGGGTTATTGTCCCGAATATCCCACACGGCCTTGAGGAATGTTTCCATGCTGCTTCGGTACTTGCTGTTGCCGCTATCGATCAGCGACTTGATGGCCTCCAACGTTGTCTCCCGCTCAGCCGCGTCCTTTGCTTCGATGGCCGCTAGGGTGTATGGGAAGCTGACGCAGCGTTGCTTGTCTTGCGATACTGTCAACGTCATCTGCAGGTCTGAGATGATGCTCTTTGCCATGGCGGATGCCATGTCATCCTTCTCGCCAAACTTGTACCGTAGACGGTGGATGTACAGCATCGCTGCCGTCTTGTAGATACGACTTTGGGCCAGCATGTGGATGACTTCGGTCGTGGTAAAGCGGTTTGTAAAGTCTGGTGGGATGACGGGCTGCCACGCTTCGACTTCTTGCTCCACTTCGTCCAATGCTTGCGTCTGCTCTTCGACATCGACCTCGTGGTATAGATGATAGCTGATGCGGCACAGGTCGTACATGTGTTGTAGTAGCGGCATGCACACGCCAACATACGCGTCGACGTGGCCGGCTTCGGGGGGCGCAATCCCGCATACCGGCAGTTCGCACTGCATCAGGCATTCGTTGATATCGACGGCTGTCATGTATACGAGAATGTAGTGCGTTCGTGAACTGGATATTTGCGACGTTCCTAGAAGATGGCGAATATGGCTAAGCACGTATCGTCGTACAGGCGCCGCACTGGTTCCGAGGGCCATGTTGGAAAAGTATACGATGCCCAATCCTAGGCCTGCCCATGGTAACAGTTCGTCGCGCTTGAGTGTAGGTAGTGGACAAGATCGGAGGTGTTCAACAGCCATTGCGCCGCGGTGTAGATTCGCTTCCGGGTCGTATTCGCCCGTCTCCAACCCCATTGATGACGCAAACGCGCTGTACATGGCGATATAGGCGTCCTTGCCCTGGTCGAACATGGAAAACAGATGGACTGTCATGTCCAGCTGCATGCTGTCGACAAACGTTGGGCTGATGAAGTATTGCATGAAGTTCGACTTGTGCAGTAATCGCGATAAGGAGTTGCGCTCTACGGCTTCTAACCGGCCCAGTGTGCTACCGTAAGGGCTGAGCGACTCGAGGATCTTGGACGGGGGGCTCGATGCCGATTCGGTTGAGGAGTCGGACGAAGCATCGTCGGGAGGGCTACTGATGCTCGAAGTGGTCACTATGCTCGGCTTTCGCGATACAGAACACGGCGGGGAACTGACGCGAGCAACGGTCGTCGTCGTCGGCGGCGCTGTCGTTGGGACGATCACGTTCGCCTTTCGAGGGATCGGGTTCGGACATGGCACACCGCTGCCCATGATCTTGCTCCTCACTGCGACCTTTGACCTTCCCTTCACTGCTGACCGAGGCACGGGGCGTACAAAGACGCAATCCCGGCCGTTCATCATACAGCGATCGCATCGCGGGTTACCTTCCGAGAATGTGCATTTCGACTTCTGATAGTAGCACGGCGCGCACGCCTTTGCGACGGGCTAGAGACGGAAGGGTCAGCATGGTGATGACGGAGGGGCAAGTCGCCGAGGCACCCCAGTGGTTAGTGGTCAGGGACGGGAAGACATGATCGAGTGTGACCAAGGTGACCAAAGGCAACGGCGATATACCATCAACGCCGATGACGTATATGGTAACACATCACCACAACACCCGGTGAAAGTGAAATGCCTCGACGGAGATAGGCGATGACGAGAAGCTGCTGTGCTGCACTCACCATTGTGAATCAAGATTCAGGTGGGGTAGTCCATTCGATGTGCTCCAACAGACAAAGTTCTGTGGGGAGAGAACAGGAGTGACACGACCAGGACACGCAAGAAATCTGGGTCGAAGAAGGCCGTGGCGGGTCGGTGATGATTAATACGTGTAAGCATGCGTTCTCGGGATCCTGGATAACTTCAATGGTGTAGTGTAAATCCTCCTCGATTCTAGAGTTGCCAAGGTTGAATAGCCGTCGTCCTCGAGTTTGCTGTGCGCTTTGGTGGTGGCGGGCAGAGAATGAGTGTGTGCAGCCCGGGTTCGTTGTTGAATGTGACTGGAAAGTTGAGAGTACGTTGGAGAATCGGCGTTGCAGTGGACGGGCGATGATCAGTAATTGCCGAAGGAGTTAAGGAGGAAGTGGGATGTAGAAGTGATGTTATGTTATGGTTGTTGGGCAGAAGGAGGAAGACAAGACAGGACTACTGGTAGGGGGCCTGGGATGTGAGAATAAGCTTCGGGCATGGCGCGCATGGATTTGATCGAGCGAGCAGTCAGGCTGAGGGAGCGGTCTGATCCATGGTGATCATGAGGGATTGATATTCGGTATCGTGACGACGGAGACTCGAGGCGTTTGGTTTGGTCTGTTTGGTGGGCTTGGGTGATGGTCAAGTCAAGTACTGCAGACAATATATTCTGCAACCCCCCTCTCCCCCCCCCCTTTTGAGAAGTGTAACCTGACGGAGGGGGGGGAACCAGGGTTTGGATGAAGGAGAACGGGGAAGAGAGAGGACGAGCAGGTATGTAGACCCAGAGAGGGTCAAGGCTACCAGGAGTCTAGGGGAACGGAACGAGCAGCCAGCTTGGGGTGTGTGGGCGAGCAAAAGACAAGGTAGGGATTGGTCAGGATGGTATGGGGAAGGCAATGGGAGACGTAGGATGGTGATTTTGGATTAGGCAAAGCCGCCGCGAGGCAACGGCTGTGCTGTAGGTACTTGTTTGCTTGGCTTCTATGGCTTGGGACGCCGCTTTGCTCGCTCGTTTGGCGCAGAGAAGGATGATGAAGGTGACAGAAGAGGATGATTTGATGAAAGGCGGAACAAATTTAGGGGTCCCCGACTACGACCATCAGTAACCAGAGCCATTTGCCATGTACGGATACATGCCTCCAATCTCTTCAATGCTCATTTCTGTTGGCGTACGGAGTACGGAGTATCGAAAGGCAGAATGGGGTGTGCTGATGTACCAGCACTAACAGAATTCCCCTCCACCATTTTCTCAGGCTCCTCTCTCTCTCTCTCTCTCGCTCTCTTCTCTCCCACTCCAGCTGCCACCATCTAGGATGAATGTCTGGTGGGCTGGAAGCCGCATGCGGGTATACAGAGCTAGCGTCTACGGATGCTAGCTGGCAATACATGCGCCAGTCCGTGCGCATCAGAAGTAGAGTACGAAAGATCCAGCAGAGAGAGCAAAGGAAACTGGTGAGTGGTGACTCGGTGAGTGGGAAAGAAGATGAGGAGAAAGGGAAACGAAGCCTGTCAGCCCGAGCAAAGCACAAGCATGGAAGGCTTGGCCTCGCACATGTCTTCCTGTGAGGATAGTTGGGACAGACAGTAAGGTACTTTCGGACTTTCGCTGATATTCGTACGTGAAGAGTTCACCGTACACCGTAACCGTAGACGCTCTTTCGTATCGAGATAGTTGTATCCGTAAGCTGGGCTCGCAGAGAGTCTCTCTGTTGAACGCTACGCTTCCATCGCTTGGCTTCAACCAGCGGCCTTGCTTGCAACACTGCTCCCCCCCTGAAACGTCGAGGCGGTGCAGTCACAATATGGGCACGCCCGTTGGCTCTTAGAAAGCAGAAAAAAACTGGCCTGTTTTGACTTTTTCCCTTGCACTCGCACGGACTTTGTGTTGAGGCAAGGGCAGAAGCGAGGAGAGACACGCATGCTAGACTCCAGAGAGGGCCACCGCAGAATGCTACTCCGTAGGTATCCGTATCCATAGGCTTACTACTAGCAGTAGTCCCGTGGTAGAGACTAGGTATGAATATCCGCAGAGAGTGGAGGATGTTCTGGGGACCAGGACTGGGACTGGGGGCCCACGATGATGAATCCAGGAGTGGAGGAGAGCGTTGTGATGCCCCAGAAATATCCAGGACAGCTTGTTGGAGATCAGATAGGATGGGCGTGCGGGATGTTTCTCTCAGCCCGCCTACTGCTGGTCCGTACGAATACTCGTTCTTAGGCTTCATGCTGTCCATCAATAACCTAAGCGATGCGACTTGATGGTGCTATAGCGATCAGAGAAAGCAATAGATAGTCCTGGACATCAGTGTCGTTGCTATTGGGTGGCAGGGGAGCTCCCGGCTCATGCTGGCACCGAGGCGGCTTGATGTCATTTCATCTTCTCCATTTGCATGGAGAGCACGAACCGCCTTGCTGTCTAACTTGTTCCCACCGTCTGTTGCGCACTCTGATGTGCCTCTCAGACTCGGGCACGATTCGTGCGCTTGCTTGAAGAGTGGTGCCCAAACCAGAACCAAGTGTGTCATCTGCCCTGGCAGACAGGCTGAGAACGAACGTGCAGTGTTGCGAGCCGAGGGAAGTTGGAAACGACGCTCGATATTCGCACATCTCACAAGCACCTACCCCCAGCCATCAAACTGACCTGCTTCTGAGCAATGAGCATTTGCGCAAACAAGATAGCTAGCTGGGTTGATCGAGACCCTGGCGTTGGCGTCTTGGGGCTAGCTCCCGGGGGCCCGCGTCCGTCCGGGTTCAAAGTGACAGAACTGGGGCACGGCTGGGAGGAGCTGAGAGAGATGGCGCGGGGTGGCACCGTGGGAATGAGCCCATAGGCACAGAGCGAGATATGGACTGTTCCGACTTCTTTTTTGTTTCTGTGCCACTGTTTCGGTGTCCCTGACGACTAGATTGGTTGAGACTTTGGGGCGTCTTGTGTTGGCACGCAACGCAAATCAGGAACCAGCACGAGGTTGGTGTCTCAGAGACGAAGCGTCGTTGAACAACAGATGTTCTATTCCTGGGACCATTGCAGGACTTGCGGGCACCGGGGAAAGGTTCCTGCAGGCATGCGGCACTGCAATCTGCATCAGTGCATGCGGCCTCTGGATGTATACTACGTACTTACACCCTTAGTAGTGAACAGATAGGTACTTGGTCCTGCAAGTCGTCAATATTTCCTGGTCTGCGGAGCCTTTGTCTGGACATTTACGGATTAGCATTGATATATCTGCCGTATCAGGTGGCTAGAAATATCCATCTCTCGCCCACCCGTCACCTTCATCACTCAGACCCAAGCCTATTTTAGCCGCCAAGCTTGTCCTGGTTTGTCGCAGCATGCAGAGAAGGGGGGCCTACAAGTCCGCAGGTCCGCAGTGATTCCGTGGGACACAGGGATGGTTATGCAGCGGGTTTATCCCCCTCCATCCTCATCTCCAGAGTCCAGGGTTCAAGGACATGCAAACGACTGCAAGGAAAGCGAGGTATTGCTAACCATTACCCAATGATCTAATGACCTCCCAAGACGCCTCATAAATGTCTGGTGTTGCGATCTGGTCTGAGAGAGAATCTAATAGAGCAATAAGATGGACACATGGATGTTGAAACCCTCATCCATAACAGTAACATGCCGCTAAAATGGCACATGCCCAGGACAGCTGGAGAAGTCTCGCTTTCTACGTAGTAAGCCGACGACTGAGTCGTCATCCTGGCCAACTCCACCGGAGGCAATTTGCTTCCCTTGGTTGTCCCACGTGGGAGGGTCAGATACCGCGCCCGACACTGTGGCGTCAATCTCCCCTCTCTGTCTCGATCTGCACTGCACCTTTCCCATGTGCCTCAATGGGAGACATTGATGGCCAGAAATAATTAGCCCCTATCCCGGCAGATGTTGATTTAGCCCCCAAAAGAACGTGCACAATAAACCTCGGGGACAAGAGCCCAAGACATCACGGTCTAGATCAACAACTCCGGAGTGAACGAGATTGTTCATTCACAACACAATCTCGCAGAAACGAGTCTACAAAGTCAAGCATGTAAGTACGGAATACATGGACAACAAAACCTATCACACCAACCGAGTCTGACAACACACCAGACAAGTCTCGATGGTCAGTCAAATCAACCATATTGTTAGCCTTTCCACCCCGTTAGCACCCATCTGTTAAATACATTTTACAATCCCCCCAGAACGCTAGGCGCCTCCGGGCTAGGGAAAAATGCGACAAGCAGTCAGTTGAAAGCTTCGTGGTAGCACCTACCGGCTTGCACGGCAAGGTCCTTGGTTCTTCCCAGCTTAAGCCAAGCATCAAGTTTGGCCGAAACGCAAGATCACTCCACGCAATTCCCTCCCCTCCCCCCGTCGAACGTTCGCGCGCGATGATCAAGCCAGAGGAGCCTCACAAACGGTGACAGAAGTTCAAGAACCCTTCACATAATCAACCTCAATTAGGGCAGCCATGGGCATCGATTAGATGGCGTCGGAACGGAATGCCGCTTTCTGGACTTGGCTTGGCTCATGCGCCAGCCGCGCCTTTTCTCTTCAGCCTTTGCAAGCAGCTAATGACAGTCTCCCCGAGTTGCCCCATTGCCTTGCGGCTTGGCGACCTAGCATTACTGAGTGTTCAGGAAGGGATACGTAGCACCGTCGCCAAATCATTCTTCTTGGCAGGCAGACAACGGCATCTTTGTCGCCGCTCCAGACCCTCTCACTCTGGACTACTGCGTCAATGAGGCGAGGTATCGCCATCACGACTGGGCAGCTCAGGCTTGGCGCGCGCCCTCAGCCATCAGCCATCGAGAGTGCCAAAAGTCCATTTTTTTTGCCCCTAGAACGTCCCAAGTTTAATTTGGCAGGATGTTCACGCCTCAGGGTTTCACGGGCTCGGGCTGTAACGTGGTTGTTGACTCGCAGAGAAACAGATTAGGAAACATGTGCCTATGCTATACAAAAGAAGCTACTGGAAACCTCTTCTTGCGCATCAGACATGGAACGTAAACTTTCGGACGGAACCCGAGTGTCGCGTAGTTCATCCTTCATGGTCCCATCCGAAGAGAGTTGTTACCTGCTGGGCAGACTCAAGGTCGTCATCAAGGTTTGGGGCAGAGATATCACCATGGCGAGAAGGTCCAGCCCCATCCTTCCCCCAGACTCGAATCATGACGGCGCCTCCCTACGGATAGAATTTCCTTCTGATTAATAAGAAGTCACGGAGAGGCACTACAAATCTGTTCCGAGACCTGCCCTATGAGTTGAATAAGCACTCCTCCTCCAACTCAACCCCAGATTTTAGGGCTCTCCCTTGGAAACAGTCCCTGCAGGGGGGGGCTTTTCCAGAGACCGAACCGGATGAGAAGCCATACCCTTCCAACCCTCCAACCTTTCCTCCCCTGGAGTGTTCTAACTATGGTGAGCTCAGTCAAACTTGGCTCTCGCAGCTCCCTGCCGCTGGCGGAACGTTTATGGGAGCATCCCGGGGACCACGAAACTCAAGCCGCCTCGCTGGCGGGGCCGCTTTCTCGTCCGTCAAAGCTGGTAGCTCACAGTCCACAACTTTTACGCACAGGAAAATCAAGGTTCAGCCAGACCCCGGGTCTGGCCGCGCGGATCATCTCCCCTCCTGCTTTTTTGGACATCATGCTCTTGGCTGTGTCGGACAGCTCGGACGCCCGCTGTCGTCTTGGAGCGGGGGACCCTGCCTTTTCTTTTTCTTCCTGTCTTCCTGCCCCTCCGTACGAATACCTCTTCGTCCGTCAGGCTCCATCTTCACTCGGCCCTCGGGGCGGCCCCCGACCATGGGTGAATGGCAGCAACGTTGAGAGCTTACAATGACGAGATGGTTATGGTCCAAACCTCGGAAGAGGCCGCGGCTGGTTCATGATCACAAGCGAAGACACATTGCAATTTTAGACTCGTAGATAGGTAATCCAGCCTACCCGGTCGAATCAGAGATGTTACCGCTGACCAGCCATAGCGTAGTAGCCAGGATGATACGCAATTGATCCCATCATCCTGGAGGGGCTGTGATATTGCTTTGGCCTTAGTTGTGAGATCAATGAGATGCGGCGATAACTATTTCCGTATAGTCTAATACGCCTGGACTAATCCGAGTCGCTGGACTATTCCGCCTCGTGACAATAACGTGACCACGTCGCCCAGCCTTGGCATAAGGAAAACCTCTTTCATGTTCTCTGTCAAACCCCAATTGACTCGAGCCGACTCAGAATCGTTTCGTTCTGACCTCTTCAGAAAACGAGCTGGCAAATCACAGACGTTGGTACCAGAAGATTTCCAACACTAGCGAGTCAGGAAGCTCAACAAAGGCTATGCCTTCTTTAATGAGGGATCGCTGATCGTGTTTCCATAGCCCGTGAACATTGAACGCCTAGACAGCATGCTGGCACCGGACGACAGGTCGCGCGTCGTATTCTCTTCCACGTTACCCGTAGAGGCTGGTCGTATGCTCTCTCCTCGGTAAGGAGAAGAACACGACCTGTGCTTTCAACGGGAAGCCTGACTCGGAAAGTTCAGGCTTTTCAAGGGTGCTCACAACGATCAACCATTCTCAAAGTGGGAAACCATAACTTGAGTGGAAAATGCCGGGACCCTCATAAGTCCCGTTCACCACGTACACGCCCGTCTCCCTTCCCGAATCACCCCGCGAAAATGAAGCTCGGGCTATCACCCGGCCGGTGATCCAGTGGGAGCCCGTTGTTCCTCCGCGTCTACCCTCCCGCGGTTCCCGATTGTGGATCCTTTTTGGTTCTTCGTTGTCCGCGGCTGTCTCGTCTCTGTCTACGATCCCGCTGCCAAATTCCCAATCCCGATTCGCAGTGTCCTCTTCTCGATCTTTGCCCTCCGCGTGTCCCCTTTCCCCCCTTGATTATCGATCAAAAGTCTCAACGATCCGAGCGTCTTGGAAGGAGACAAGAGAGGAGTGGCCATGGCCTCTACCCGTTGCCGAGAAGTTTCCGATCTGTCAAAACCTCTCCCCGCGAAGAAGGGGGGGGGACTCATATGCTCGGCAATGCGGGCGCAACGCGGACTCGGTAGTTGAGATTAGATCGAACTTGAGGCTCCGTCACCGCGTGTCCGCCGATCTCGGGAACTCGACTGCGCTCCAACGGTCATGGTCATATCCGTACAGTAGATAAAAATTCGTCTCTTTTTTTTCTCGGTAATGTAAACCCACAACCCGCAGCGTTGGGTTCGGCCTGTCTTTGATACTTTTTTCCTTCATTACCTAATACCTACCCTTCGGGCGGTTTTCTGATCTCTCTTCAGGCACCACTTAGATCAGCGGAACTCTGGAGGTTCCGTCTGAAGTCCAGGTGTTGATTCCTAGTAGCACCCAGGAATGCAATCTTGCCCTTTTGCGTTCGTTTTGGAAATATCCATGGCTACCTCGGGTCCACCATCTTAGGATTGAACGTTGCCACCCTCGAGCTGGGCCGACGTGATATCCAAAGACTACATGTACTGCCGACTGTTTCCAGAAATAACATCTCCTCTGCATTTAGATACGATAGTACCACAGACTCACGGCGTTACGTCCTCTCTCGTTGGAATCGTTCTCGCAACAGTCGCACATTCGGCAGCGTGGATGGCTAATTCCGTAATTCCGTAGTCTATCTCTGGCTAACTTCCCCAGGATGACCTGGTGACGAAAGCCACCTCCGCATCGCCCACCCTCCCCGCATCACCACCTCCAGGCTCCCCGTGCTCACCATGACCAATTCGCGTCGGCAGTTCTTTCATTGGCCGTTTAAGCTTTCTCGGACGCCAGTTGTGTCGCCGAAGCAATTTGAATATGGTGAGAGAATGTCCATTTCACTGCGCGGTAGGCCTTGACGAAGGTTTGGTGATGTCAGATCTTTGGGTTTCGGGTTTGGAAGTCGGATTTATGTGTTGGAAGATTGATCGATTTTGCATGGCGCGTATAACGTACATTGAATACGAAGACAAGATACCTATTTCATGCCATCCGTGACGTCTAGCATTGGTGTGAGCCGTTCATCATAGACTCGAGTCGTGATCTTATTTCTTTAATTCGCGGCAAGTTCGTAAAGGTTAATGACGCCTGGGCATCGCGATCGTGCCTGTTCGAATCCTGTCAGATCACCCCAAACCAACCATGGACTCTCCAATAGACGCATTAGACCCGAATGATAGCAGTCACACATACACCGAAGTCGCCGGGCTCTTCCTCCAACAATACTGGCCGATCCTACTCCCTCTGGCCGTGTTAGTCAACGTCTTCCGCACCCGCTACCTCTCCCCGCTCCGTCGATATCCCGGGCCGTTCATCGCCTCGACCACACGCTTGTGGAAAGTCGTGTCTACCGCATCGCGTCGAACGCACCTCGATCACATAGCCCTCCATAGGAAGTATGGCTCTGTCGTGCGCATTGCCCCAAACGAGGTATCTATCGCCTCGCCCGAGGCCGCGCGACATGTCCTGAGCGCCGGCAAGCGGTTCTACAAGACGGCGTTCTACGGCGTCTTTCCACCGCTGGAGAATCCAGACATCTTCACGGAAGTCAATGAGGAGGCTCACGCGAGGAAGAAGAAGGTCGCCAATGTGCCGTATAGCATGGCAGCGATGCAACAGCTGAGCCCTTTTATTGACGACGCTATCGATCTGCTGGTCACTAAACTCGGCGGGTTCACGTCGCGGCCTATGGAGTACAAGACCGACAAGTCCGTTGATCTTGGGGCGTGGCTACACTACTTTGCCTTTGACGTGCTCGGTGAAGTGGCTTTCTCGCGAAGCTTCGGGTTTCTGGCTGAGGGCAGAGATGTGGAGGATGCCATCGCCACTATTGACCGCTCACAGGCGTATAGTGGGATTGTTGGTCAGGTGCCGTGGGTTGACTTTCTTTTGCGACGTAATCCTCTCTGCAAACTCATTCCAACGCTCAACACCAAGAATGCGCCAATCACTCGGATTGCCTTGAGTGAGATGGAGAGAAGACGCCCCTTTGACAAGGAGAGTGAAGGCAAGCTGAGGAATGACGACGGGAGACAAGACCTCTTGGCGAGTCTGATCAAGGGACATTTGAAAGATACTGATCGATTCACCGAGGGCAATGTTTTTGCTGTTGCCCATGGCGCCATGTAAGTGTGATTCATCCATGAGAATACCCCTTTCCCGCCCGGGACTAATGAACTTACGACAGCTTTGCCGGATCAGACTCGACAGCTTCAACCATGCAATCACTGTTCTGGCACGTCCTTTCGGCACCACAGATCCACTCAAGACTGGTAGCGGAAATCGAAGATGCCGTCAAGTCCGGGGCAATATCCCCAACCAGCAACATCTCCTGGAAAGAGGCACAAGAGATGCCGTACTTCCAAGCATGCCTGAAAGAGGCTATGCGTGTTCGACCAGCAGTTGGACTCAACATTGGTCGGGTAGTTCCACCAGAAGGAGCTGAATTAGACGGCCAGTTCTTTCCTGGCGGGACGCAGGTGGCCGTCAACGGCTGGGTCTTGCATCGCGATAGGCGCACGTTTGGCGAAGACGCTGATGATTATCGACCTGAGCGATGGCTAGTGGATGTTGAGGAAGCGAAGCGAATGGAGCGTTACATGTTCCAGGTGCGTAAAACAAGCCGTTCTGACGCGATCCAAGCTAATTGTTACATCAAGTTCGGTGGTGGAAGCCATGTCTGCATCGGCCGGAATCTGGCTCTGCTGGAAATAAACAAGGTTGTGCCGCGTCTCTTTAGAGACTTCAAGTTTGAGCTGGCGCATCCTGGCCGGCCATTAAGAGCAAGTGCTACGTTCTTTGTGGTTCAAGATGGCCTAGAGGTGTTGATTGAGCGACGGGAACTGGCCTAGACACATGTTCATGGTGAATAAGCTACTGTACATGAGCAGAAAAACTGAGCAGTAGATTTCTATAGCATCGCGACTGAAGGAAGTTGACAATGTATATCCACAGGGCTAGGCTTTAAAAGGCTGAGGGTTTTCAATGATGCCGTATTCTCTGCCTTGCCGGATGAATGAAGAGAAGTTTGACCATCCAGCTCACCACGTCCCTACCTAGGAGAATGGTTCAGAGAGAAGCCAGTGAACGCTGTCGTTGAATTTTGCCGATTCCCGACTTCCGGTCCGAGTGAGTGTCCGCCGCCTCATCTCCGCGTACAACGTCGGACAAAGCCCGACATTAAGCTACCAAATCGGAGCGAAACATGCCACCCGCGTGTCTTCATTGTGGGCTGGGATGGTGCGAGACCAAGCTAAAGCGCCGGATTGGCTGCGGAGAGAATCTTAATTCTGCAAGCTCTTAATCGACAACCCAGTCAGAGACGACCAACTGCGAGAATCAGGGTGTTGCTGCGGGGTGTCAGATGCGGTATCACCATCGCGGTGCGATATGGCGTCACGCCGGGCTCGGCCCCGACCCCACCGAGGCTTTCGTTATCTCCAACCCGGAGCCGTGAGCGGCCAACCGTCGGGGAACTTGGGTTTTCTGATAAAAGTGTTGCATGCCCCGTTTGCTGCAGCTCTGTTGTGCATGTGAACTGTTCGGTAAGTTCAAAGTTTGTTTTAGAAACTCGAAACAGAAAATGGGGAGCACAAGTCAGCCACAGCAGCTCCAAGTTGCCATCATCGGCGCGGGCATCGCCGGTCTGACGGCCGCCATAGCGCTGAAAGCGCATCCTGGCATCAAGGTTCAGATCTACGATAAGGCCACAGAGTTGCGGGAAGTTGGCGCTTCGATCGCCTTGGGACCAAATGGCCTACGTACATTGGAAAAGCTGGGTATTCACAACGCTTTAGACGACTCGATCGCCTTCCGCAATAAATCGGGTTATCCAATGATCTACCGGTGAGTACGCCGATGTTGTATCGTGTGATGGCTGAACCTGATCAAATAATTAGCCATTACAAGACTGGCGAGATCGTATCGGTAGATCAGCACCACGGCAGCGTGGAGGCTCGGCACAAGACTGCGAGATTCCACCGCCCGCATCTGCAGCAGGCTCTACTCAAGCACATCGATCCTGCCCATATTCAACTCAAAAGGGCCTTCAAAACTATTGAGAACGAAGAGTCAACAGGCAGGCTCAGGATCACGTTTGCCGATGGTACCGCTGTCACGGCAGACATCCTCCTCGGCGCGGACGGCATCCACTCTGGTGTGCGGAGCTTCTACGTCCCGTCATCTCGGTCAAAGTGGACCGGCTGGACGGCATTCCGCGCGGTGTACCCCGTCTCTCATTTGTCTCACATTCCCGATGTCCCGGACGAGGCAGAGCACTGGTGGGGGATCGATCGGACGTGGTTCATGTCGAAGCTCGGCAAAGATCTTTTCTGCATCGTCGCTTCCCACCAGAGCGACCCTGACGCTCCGGATGCCCTGTACAAGGAAAAAGTCTGGAACACTGGCAGCGATATCGAGTTGCTCAAAGAGCACTACAGCGACTGGCACCGGCTGGTACGCGAAATCATCGAAGCAACGCCTGCGGATTCGCTAAAGGTATATCCCAACGCTTCTGCCCACGGGCTTGAGAGCTGGGTCCTAGGTCAGGATAGAGTGACATTTGCTGGCGATGCGGCGCATGCCCATGGTGGAGCTTTTGCGGCGGGTGGAAGTCTCGCCATCGACGATGCTTGGGCCTTTGCGGCATCGATCCAGCACGTCTTCCCCCCTTCTGCCACGAAGCTCCCATCGGTAACAGACGTTGCGACAGCGTTGAAGTTGTATGAGAAGACGCGGAAAGCTCACACGGACCGAGTGCTTGATACAGTACATTCGACGAACAAGAAGAAGGTCGAACGGTTGGCTGTGGTAGAGAAAGATGATGACTTGCGAGCGAGGATGAAGAATAGAGTTGAGCCTGTTTGGATCCATGAACACGATGTAGAGTCGGTATTCAGGCGGATCTTGGCACAGGAACGAAGCTTTGAAGCGCCACAAGCGACGTCAGATCCGTCAGAGGGGCAGATAGAAAGCTGACTTTAGATAAGGTACTAAGCATAGGCGCCTGGAGACGAGCGGTCTTGATAGCTTTCGCAAAAGAATTTCCCAATAAATCCCTTGAGAGTCGCAGTCATGATCCTGTGGTATCTGCTGCAATGTCTTGTGGGTGTTTTCGAGTTCCAGAGTAACGACTAATACGTATATCCCATGAAGACTTTGTCTGATTGTCTGCCGTTTGTGACAGATCGCAGAGGAAGCGCTTGGATCCTGTTTTGCCCAGCCTCGAGCGCGAAAATACTTCGTTGGAAGCTGTACACACTTAGCCCGTGTCTAATACAGATGAAGTGACCTTCGCGAATAAATTCGAGATGCTCCTTGGTGTTGATTGATGTTGGTTGTTGTTGGTTCCAGGTTTGTGAGCAGGTGGTTAGGGAAGGAGCTGGAAGGGTCGTCCCTGCGCTAGCCCCATTAGATACCGTGGTGGTCTGTGCTGGATGAGCACGTGTGAGGCCCATTTTGGTCGTTCTGATTGGCCAGCCATCAGCCGTTTTTCGACCCTGACGGGCTAAGCGCCGGTCCCGAGGTGTCCGTGCTTCTCGTCCAATGGCTGAGCTCGCGCAGGATCCACTCTACGCTCCTTCCCGTCCTGCGGTGTGATGCAAGTACGTACCTTCGTACCTCTCTCTCTCCCTTCCTCACTGCGACCTGCGACGACATCCCAGCGATCATCCTCAGCCCCAAGGACGACGCCGGGAGGCTACATTCCAACACGACGTGTTTGCTCCCTGACCATCACTTTCGACCCTTGTTCTGTGGCTTTTCTCCTGTGCCAGCTGTCTCGCCCGCGCCATCCCTTTCTCACCGACCGTTTACCCCGCCGAGCCGTTGCGACCAACAGGCGAAATACCTTGATACTTCAACTCCCTCTCCGACGTGCGAAGACCGACATGGCACAGCCTTGCTCCTACTCAATGCTTCTTGGATAACTGGCAACGCAAGATCGATAGGCTATGAGGCCGAATCTATGCCGTCCACTCGCTATCCACATCGGTAGGCATGCCTCCAAGCTTCGACATGGACTTGGATTCTGACCTCCCTCTCCGCTCAAAGCTCCTCGATCCGACCATGGCACCACATACGAAGACCGCCCAAGTAGCCCCGAGGACCCCGAGGAAGCCTACCCAGACCGACCGAGTCAGAGACGTTGTGGACAAGCTCAATCGAGAATACAATCTCGCCATTGAGATACCCGATGTGACACTTACACCGTCCTCGACCCGGCAGCGCGCCGAACAGGACACAGCCTTTGCCCGCAGCGAAAAGATAGTCCGCGGTATCCGATACCATTGCTTCCAAAGCAACTTACTGGATAGGATTCTCAGTTCCTTTCACATGGAAGCTAGAGCTGCTAGTCAGACATGGATCCGGTTGTTTGATGATGACGAACCCATTCCGGGGCCTGGAGGGGCACCCAAGGCCGAATCCCCTGGTCAACTACTAGAGTTGCAGGAGATTCTCATCAGAATATTGGATAATGCTCTGGCTCAAGTCAAGGCACGCAGATTGACGCGGAACCACACCGGACCAGCAGTGTTCGCCTCTACTGAGTCAAGCAAGTCAAAGAGCAGATCCGAAGCCGAAACCAAAGCCGAATCACCCAAGAGAGTCAAGGCTAGTCCCCCACGTGGAGAGGAGAGGGAAGGCGTAATTTCCAATGCTCTAGACAAAGTTCCAAGCCGTTCTCGATCAGCCATGCCCGAGGCCATGCCGGCACACTTCACCAGGGAGGTGTTGAGGCCGAACAAATCTTTCAATACTTCCTTCAGTACCTCAACTTCCATGCGCCAAAGCATATACGGCAACGTTTCTCTGGCAACATCTGCGAGCACCAGTCGGACCTCACTCTTTTCCAGGGCAGAAGAGCAACAACCGGGCACTCAGGAGACAATCCCAGTTCCACTTGAGGAAGAAGAGATGCGCCGGGAGTTTCTGAACCAACGACCGAATTCGTCACAGTCGCAAGACCTTTTCCCGGCATCTTCTGGTCATCTTGATGCATTGAACATCTCCTTCACAGAACACGAAGTAGAATCCGCGAAGAAGAGGTCTAGGACACCAGCAGAACTCGCACCCGAACCGCTCGCCAGCCCTTCTAATCGGACAACCGTCTACTCAGGAGTGTCGGGCCTTCAAGATCCGTTCTTGAATGAGCCGGTTTCCACTCCCCTCAAACGATCTGAGCCGATTGATCTCCGATCTCGCCTGGACGCCTCGTGGCGTAAGTTCTTCCACCAACAGACGTTGAGACCGACGCCTACGCTGCTAATACGGGCTTGCCTCGATCGCGTGCTAACCGTTTTGCAGCCAGATTTCCCAGTTGGCTCAACCGTGCGCCATTCGCCGTCGCATGGGAGATTACGCGCATCGCGGTTCATTGCGAAGTCGACCTGGGAGAAGTCATGATGGACTATGACGAAACATGGATCAACTACAACCAGCTCTGGAAGTCTCTCTTAGCCCATCCCAAGTTCGCTGGCAAGTCGTTCCCTGAGCGTCCCAGCACTGACGCTTGGGCTGCTGCCATGTCCGGGTTTAATACAGTCCGAGGACAGCATGTAGTCTTCTCGGCTCAGTTTGATCACGTTCCCCGAACAAAGAAGAAAGGCCCCATGTTCTCGTTATCGATGCAACCCATCGCCTTGGATCAAGGCTGTCGTCTGCACCGCCACTTTGGTTCCGATCGGTTTCTCGAAATTTTGATCCCAAATCCCAAAGGGTGGCACGAACCAATCGACAAACCCGAAGTGTCTCAAGAAGTCGTCCATTGGTTCTCTTCAGAGCGGCATTACCTCGCAGGCAGACAATGGCGGGCATTCTTCTCTAGAGACGCTGGGTACAAGACGCCACCAAAAACTTTGAGTTTGGTCGCCCCTGAGCCAAAGCCCGTCTATCAAGACAGGATTAGTCTCTTTGCCGAGAACGGGAACAACTTTCATGCAGCCCTCCCTCTCGGAAAATCGTTGCATGACAATCCTCGCGAGTTTAGGGTCAAGCTCAAGACCGGGGAGATGCTTGACTGGCTGTTGCAATTCGACCACAACAAGGAACAACCATTTCTCAAGTTATTCTCCCGCATACAGCTTGGTAAGAGGCACACACAAATCTGCAGCCTATGATGTATACTTATCCACTTTATAGGATTGAGCAAAACGACGCCAGTGATCGTTCTCGAACCCCATCAGATACGACACCGCAAACAAGATATCCTTTCGCCCACCGGCAAGGTCATGAACGATGGTATCGGCCTCATGTCTCGATCACTTGCTCGCAAAATCAGAGATGTTCTTGGACTAAGTGATGTCCCGTCTGCAGTCCAGGGTCGCTTTGGTCCTGCCAAGGGCATGTGGGAGATCGACGTCTTCGACAACGACGACAGCCTGTGGATAGAGACGTGGCCGTCTCAAAGGAAATGGGACTGTGATTATTTTGACCCAGAGCATCGCACGCTCGAAATCCGCGCTCATTCGATGGAGCCACGATCTGCTAGCCTCAACGTCCAGTTCCTTCCAGTCCTTGAAGACCGAGCCATAGACAGAGAAGCGATGAAACACACTATTGGAACGATCCTCGAGGACGAACTTTATCGTGCGCTGGAGGAGCAAAAGAATGCGATGAAGTATCCCTTGGAGTTCCGCAAATGGAATGTTGACAATTCTTCTACAAGAAAGCAGCGGCTAACCTGTGGACGGGTGCCTTTCGTGGCTGGTCTTCCGGAATCACGAGAAGAGAGTATGAACTTCCTTTTGGATGGTGGATTTGAGCCCCTCAAGCAAAAGTTTCTTCAAGAGATCGCCTGGGATCTAAGGCGAACCAAGTGCGAAAACCTGTTGAAGAAGATGAGCATCAAGGTGCCCAACTCAGCTTACTTCTTTATGGTAGTCGATATGTGGAACATAGTTGAGGAGGACGAGGTGCACTTATGCTTTTCGTCAAAGTTCCAGACGGAGACCTTTTCGGACTCCATGCTCCATGGTTGCGATGTTCTCGTAGCCCGCTCTCCGGCGCATTTTGTAAGCGACGTCCAGAGGGTGAAGGCCGTCTTCAAGCCGGAGCTACACGCCCTCAAAGATGTCATTGTTTTCTCAGCCAAAGGAAACGTCCCGCTTGCAGACAAGCTGTCAGGTGGTGACTATGATGGTGATAAGGCATGGGTCTGCTGGGAGCCTGCAATCGTTTCGAACTTTGGAAACGCAGAGGTGCCGCCTAGCCCAGACCTCTCGAGCTATTTGAGGAAAGACAAAACAACATTCGGGGACCTTGTACAGCAGCACGGCAAGGATGCTATATCGGAAATGATCACCCGCAGCATTTTCTTCTGCTTGAAGCCAAGCTTCTTGGGCATTGCAACCAACTACAAGGAGAGACTCTGCTACCACCTCAACAGCGTGAACAATGATTATGCCCTCTGGTTGAGCGCCCTTCTGGGCAACCTTGTTGACCAGGCCAAACAGGGCTTTGAGTTTACGGCAGAAGACTGGTACAGGTTTTGCCGAGAACGGCTCAACAGTCACAAACACAACGGACTCCTTGCAGAGCCGGCTTACAAGTTTGAACATTGGTCACACACGCGGCCACCAGACCACATAATCGACATTTTAAGGTTTGAGGTGGCGAAGCCAGCTATTGAAAAAGAACTGGCAAAGTTCCACAAGTCAATGGCCACGAGGTCGAACGAATCTGGGTACGAGCTGCGATCTCTTCGCTCGAAAAAGGACAGCGAAGAGGAGCCTACAGTGGAAATGTGGGACCCTGATCTTACCAAGCTTCACGAAGACTTCGGGAAGCTTGCGACAAAGGACCCAGCATTGAAAAGAATTCTGCGAAATCTGAGGATTGACTTGGAGGATGCCGGAAAGCTTTGGAGCGAGAAGGTTGGCTCAAGCAAAGACAAGGACGTGAACCGCGCCATGCTCGAAGTTTATGAAGAATGGCGATCGATCCAACCCCGTCCAGACGGTGCGCTCGAGCCAATGACCGACGCTTTGCTGAGGCAGACATACATGAGCGAGGACCACACGACCTGGGCTTTACTGCGTGCAAGTACAACATTCAAGATGTTTTACAAACGCAAAACGAAGTTTGCTTGGAGGATGGCAGGCATTCAATTGCAATTCATGAAGGCGATGACCACAGCAGGGCTTGATCGAGTGCTTGTCCCTATGATCCCAAACATGTACGCAGCCATGAAACCAGACGCCAAATTCATCACCCAGGCCGTCTCAAGAATGAAAGACGAGGGATCCGAGTATCCTGGCCTCGACTCTGACGGCGAGAATGATTGGGGTGGATCAGAGGGCGAGGATTGACCACCTCGCCGTAAACCTCTTATGTCTTTTCACAAGAGCTAATCAAGGTCCAATGGCCTAGGTGCTCAACTATTTGACTACGATTTTGACCTTGCCCGAGGTTTGACTTGGGATGGGAAAGAATTAGAGCTTGGAACAAAACACGGAGCTATGATGAGGGAACGAGAGAGATACGATTTGGAATTTGCTTGGGAGCGATTCTGCGGATACCCTTTGTATACAGCTTGTTGAACTTTTGGTAGACTACCGCGGCGCGTCTGAGAGCACCCGGATGGAGCCAGGTACGGCCGTTTTTCTTCTTGACTGTCGTCAGTCCCAAACTTTGTGTCCTGAAGCGTTCCTCGTGACCAACGCCCCGTTGACCCTAACGTGACCTTTGTGGGAGACTCCGAAGAGGCCATGCATATACTACTGCCTTACACAGGACGTCCAACTTTAATGAATGGATCTTGAGGTAGGCACCAGTAATGAGACTTTTATCGAAATTTTTGTTGCCCTTTATATTTCTGCCACACACCGAAGTTTGCCCAGAACACATACTCACAAACTTTTAAACATCCCTCTCTGCTGAGGCTTTTAGCAATGTCATTATCACTACCGCTTTACAAGCGAGAGGTCCAAGATCCGGACAACAAGCCACTGAGGTCAGTTACTCACGACATCGTCGTCCCTAATTTCCCGCACAAAGTGGCATACATTACTAACACTTCAACACATGTACAGAAGGATCATAACGGCGTCCTCGGTGCGTTCGACTCAATCAACCACCCCGCCCGGGATGGCTACAGTAAATGAAGTCTCTGGGATGTCCTTGCCCTCTGATAAGAGCCATAACTTGAACGCAGGGGCAAATAGCCACACGTGCGACTCGCGGATGATGTACACCGTACGCGCACGCGATGTCCCCTGCGAAGATCCGTCGCAGTGCCCCTACGGTCCCAAGGCGCATTCCCACTCTTTTTACGAGTATAGTAAAGTGGACAAGAAGAAGGTCAAATGTGGCGACAGGGCTGAACAGGTGTGGCGGGCGAATCAGAAGCGACTTTTGGCAGAGAAGCAGGAGGGTGAGTTCGCTGATGAGGCACGCCCCGGGTCTAGTTCTGATCAGAACGAACTGATTCGACTTTTCGCAAAACCGAACACGGCAAAGAAGGGAGACGACCCTAAACTGCGAGAGAGTGGCGGCGAATCTTCCATCAAAAGCACGGCCGAGCCGGAAAAGCTGAGCGGCCCAGTTACCTTTGGGCCTTCCCAGTGCTCTCTGCCCGAGTCCATGATCAGGGGCCCGCCCCTGATCCCGTCGCCGTACCTTTCGGCGGGTGGCTGGACTTTCCCGCGCCCCCAAGCCGAAGCAGAGAAGAAGGATAAGGAGCGCGAGCAGGTGATGAGGGAGGCCGAAAAGGTAAGAGTGGAGATGACCACCCCTATCATGAAGCAAAGCCAAGAAGATGAGCCTCAGCAAGAAAAGACTCAGAAAGAGCCCGAGGAAGAGGCAGAGGCGAAGAAGCAGATGTGGCGACAGATCAACGAGAATACTGCGAGGAAGCAGGCAAAAGAGCAGGAGAGCCAGGCGAGGAAGGTGGGAGAAGAAAATGCCTTGAAGACGGGGAAGCAGAGGCTGACAGACCAGCAGCGACATTGGGAGGAGTTGCGCAATCGGGTCCTCGTAAAGGAGCTCCGTCTAAATGGCACTCTCCTGCGCAACACCGCGCAGGAAACTGGAGAGCACATTCTCAATCTCGCGAATAAGCACGTACAATACTACGAGCTCAAGGTGAAGCACGAACGGAAAGAACGGGAAGACCACGTTCTCAAGCTGAAGCAAGAACGGGAACAACGGGCAGAGTACATCATTAAGCTGAAGCAAGAACAGGAACAGCGAGCAGAGTACATCGTCAAGCTGAAGCAAGAATGGGAACGAAGGGCAGAGCACGTGGTGCTCAGACAGCAGCAGAAACTTGAGCGCGAGCTCGAGATTGGGCAGCAGCATGAGTTAGAGCTTGAGAAGAAGCAAAGAGAGGCGCTCAGACGGCAGAAGCAATTTGAGCGCGAGCTCGAGATTGGGCAGCAGTCTGAGTTAGAGCGTCAGAAGAAGCAGAGAGAGGAGGAACTTCAGCGGCAAGAGCATCAGGCTAAGCAGAGGCAGCAGCAGCAACAACAAGAAGAGCGCGCGCTCAAGCTGAAGAAGTTTTATGAAGACGAGAAGAAGACGATGGAACAGCAGAGACGCGAAGAGCTGCAGAGACAAGAGGAGCAGACCAAGGAGAGACAAAGAGAGGAGTACGAGCTCCAAATGAAGCAGCGAGAGGAGCAACAGCTCAGGCAGAAGCAACAAGAACAGCGACAGCAAGAGCAACAAGAACACGAGCTCAGGCAGAAGCAGCGACAAGAAATTATAATCAAGCAACAGCAGCGACAGGAAGCCATACACAGGAGCAGGCTGGAGCTCCAGGCGCTGCAGAGTGGAGTCAGACAGCGAGAGGCCGAGCTCGTGCAGAAACAGCGACAGGAACTCGAGTTCAAGCAGGAACAGCAGAGGCAACTGAAGCAGCAGCAGGCAGAGAAGGAAGCCAAGAAGAAGCAGACCGAGGCTTCTGACGGCAAGCCCGGCTCCTCGAAACCAATGTACAACCCTGAGCAGGGCTATGCCGATATGATTGAGACAATCAAGAACTGGCAGCTTTCGGCGACGAAGGGAATTCAGTGCATCTCGGAGGAGTTGGGTCGGATCTCTGCTACCGCCGCCAAGGCGGAGGAGCTGGCCGAGTTGGACTCCGTCTCTACGGAGGTTCGTGTTGAGAATGAGACTGTAGCCAAGTCGGCTGAGGCGTCAAAGGCCACAGAGGCCGAGGCTGATGCCGAACGCGAGATTCCTCCCTTCTCGTTGGGCTCTCCTCTCTCTCCTGTGATTGACCCTGTAAGTAACATATCTGTTTCGGGTTCGCCCATTTCGTCATCCCCGCTCATACCAGAATTCACAGCGCAATTGGTCCCATCCCGACGCGAATCAAAGTCGCAGGATGGTGTATAGACTCGTCAAGAAAGAGGACGATATCCCTACTTTTGACGTTGTCAGCTATGAGGATGCCAAAGACCCTGCGGACGAGTTCCTTATCACGGAGTCTGTCAACTGCCAGAATGGCAAGGACTGCAAGATGTGCAACTGCCGGAATTCCCGCCAGGAGCCATCGCAGGCTGGCATTAAGAGAGCGTTGCCTTTGGAGTTCTTTGATGACGATTTCGTCCTCATTTGAGGGTTTTCCGCGGCGGAGGTGCAGAGGGATGAGTGGCGTTTACATGTTTCCTATCGCGCGCGATGCCCAATGATATACGAGGGGCCAGTTTGTGAGATCGCAAATTCGTAGTTTCCTATCCAATTGACCTAGTTTAATCAATTCTCTTCTTCGCTTTGGCAAAGACACGCGAGTGAGTTGAGGCTTCCATAGTCATTCTGCCTGCTTACACTTATTGAGTGGTATTGCTTTATAAGGTAGGTAAAGTACTTGAGCGCAGGGGCTTGGTGGGCTAACACTGGGAGCTTGCAACCTGAAATTTGTGTTTTGCCATGGATAGTATTATTGTATTGTTTTTCAAGGGTTTGCGAGTTTCTATGTGTTTTTGCTATCAGAATCGTGATGTTGATGTTGGTCGATGGTGATGTGCTCTGCATCACAGACTTTTTCGAGTCGTTGACCATGGCATGGCATTTGAGTTGTTGAAGAAACACCTCCGAGTGTCAAAGAAACCTAACGCCGTGACCTAAAGTCGGGAAGATAAGGAAATGTTCGATTGCTCTGCAAATCTGTAGACAACCCCAGAAAAATCAAGCCTCCTTGGCTGGGTCCTGGAAGAAGATGACCTGCACCGTAACATCATCCCTGACGTTCCTCGCCAAGGGCGGGTACGCGAGCGTGACGCCGGTGAAGAGGGACCTGCGCGTGCCGCCCAGCGCATTCTTGATCAGATGCACAGCCGCGTTGTCAAGGTCTTCAACAACAAAGTGCTCCGGCTTGGCGTACCAGTTCGCCCAGCCTGCAGACATGTCGAACTCGCTCTTGACTCCCGGAGTCACGGCAAGCTTGTCTTTCGGTGTCTTTTCGCCGGCCTTTTTGGCCGTGATCCAGCGCGACACGCATTCCACCGCATTGGCGGACGAGATGTGATCCCACAGGCCGTCAGATGCAAGGATGACAAAGTCGGGGCCCTTGATCTCGGTAACCGTGGTCACGACGGGGGCGGCGGTCATGTACGGTGGCGTGAGGTACTTGGGCCGCACACCGGTGCCGAAGAAGTCGTTCTGGGCTTCCTTGATGGCCTCTGCGGTCCACTTCCAGCGGTGGTCGCCAAACGCACGGGTGACGGCGATGCCGAAGAGGCGACCGCTCTTGGTGTCGATCATGTCTGCCTCCTCGCCAGGGTGCTCCTTGGCGATGCGGTCAAACTCATCCTTGTTATGGCCTGTCTGGTCCTTGGAGAGGGCGCGGGCTGAGTACGAGGTCGCGCCGGGAGCGATGGAGCCCAGGACGGCGCGAGAGTCGCCAGTGCAGGCTACGCGGAGGGTCGAGGTGGCTGGATCAAAGATGGAGAGGAGGGCGCAGGACCCTGCGATGGCGGGGGCGAGGGCGGCGATGACGCTCGAGTCGGCGGGCTCGACGGCGCCGGATTTGAGGCCAGCTAGGGCCTTTTGGGCGTTGGATGTGATCAGGTCGTCTAGGTTGGTGAAGGCCTTAGCGATGGCTGTTTCGACTGCTGCGTCTTCGGTGCCACGGCTGAGCTGGGCGATGGAGGAGGATACGGCGGGGATGAGGGCGCTCTTGAGCAGCAGCGAGGTTGCCCAACCGCTGTTTCGGTTAGTATCAGCAGCACTCTTGAGAGACATGAAGGTGACGAGACTCACGCGTGACCATCGTAGACGCCGTTGAACAAAGTCTCCGAGTTTCCAACACCCGGGCCGAGTGAGAATGTCATGACGTCCTCGACAGGGTGGTTGCTCGCGACTCTCGCGGCATGGACGTGGGCGTGCTTGCCTTCGGGAGTGAAAGAACCCACGAAGACATCTTCACGCAGCTTCGCGTCCGCAGTCTCAAAGCTGCCCCCATCAACCGGCGTCTTAGCCAGGGCATCCAAGTCAACGGGCCCGGGTCCCAGGCTGGGAAGGGTGCCAGGCTTCAAGCTCGAAGGGGTGCTGGTGGCCTTGGCGATGAGGTATCCGGCGACGGCGCTAGCGGCCCCGAGTGCGTACGTTGGCAGCTTGGAGGAGCTTGATGACGGGCCGGTGCTGCTCGAGTACGGACGAGTCCATCGTGGAGCCGAGGCGCGGATAGTGCGCGCGGGGACGTGGAACCGGAGGGCGGCCCCGGCATTGGGGCGGTATGCACGCTGCAGCATCATGGCCTTTTGAGAGCTTGGTTGGTGTGGGTTGCTTTAGCTTGGCGATCCCTCAGTCATCTGGGTGCAGCTGCGGTCCCCTTTTTGTAGGTGGATGGGAGGGTGGTGAATCAGCCTCTCTGATTGATTTGAAACGAAGTTCGAGTGATGGAGTGAACAAAGAATAAAAGTGAAAGTGAGAGTGAGAATGAGAATGAGAATGAGAATGAGAATGAGATTGAGATTGAGATTGAGATTGAGATTGAGATTGAGATTGAGAGGTGAGAGATGAGTGAGACTTTGATGAGGTGAGACGGAGTAAGCTGCGGTGAATCGCCGTTGGTGTGGCAGGTGGTCGCGTGCCTGCTTTCTCCCATCCCTGGCTCTTTCCCTCATGTCGCTTCTCCTTCTGCGGCACGGACCGCACGGACCGCACGGCACCAACAGCAGCAACCAGCAGATTGCACCTTGAACTCAGCCTCACTGCCTCATTGAAAAGAACCAGGAACTCGGGAGGGGGGAAATGGGGTGATGGGTCGAAGGATTCAAAAGTCTTACACAGCTTCTTGTTCCCGCTTAGTCTGGCCATCTGTGTGACTCACAAACGGGGTGAGCCCGAATCGAGGTTGGTAGGTTGGTGAGATGTCGGCTATGGAACATCACGAGAGCAGTGCAACCGTCCAGGATGTTGATACTGGCCATGCAGCCAACCGCCTCATTAATTTTACTCAAGATGGTCACCTCCATTGAACCTCCAAAGTCACTTGGAGACTTGCTTGCCATCATTCGATTATCTTTATTTAGTGATTTGTTCTCATCTATAAGGGAATTTATTCCCTAGAAACCCAGACCGATCAGATTGCTGTCTAATTACCTTACTTTACTTTAGCTATTTCACACATGGGAGGTGACAGAATTCGGAATTGTACCGTTGCGCCATATACAAAAGAGAGATCCCTCTTCTGCATTTAGGTAGTTGTGGGTACATATAGTTTCCGTCAGGAGGCCTGCTTTCATCGCGCTCGATATTTCCCAACATATCAAGTATCAAAACATGGAAACCTGTTCAATCTCGCATTCGAATGGTGAAAGCAACCATCTCCTTAAAATGAGCCGCGTTCACCAGTCACGAAAAACTTCCAAAACTTATAGATCTGCCCCTTGTCGTCGTTCAAAGTGGTCACTTGATACGTATTGTCCTTGTCTCCCGATTGACATAACTTTCCTCCATTCCTGAAATGTCAGCAACCATATCAAATACTATAGCAACACCGAGAAATTCAAATGTACCAGGGTCTTCTTTTAATGGCCTGAGAATCGCTGGCGACGTTAAGCCATGTAGCATCCAAATCTCATCGTTGCAACTAGTGGATTTGACTCCAATACAGACTCGGCGGGTCTGCGCAGCTACGCAAGTCCGCAAAACAAACCTAGTAGAGCATGCGAATTCAGCGCAGATTTTTGTAGGCTTTGTATAGTCTCAGGTTTATTTCCGAGGAGGTCGACAACTTCAGACATGATACCAGCCTCTCCGGCTCGGACCATGAGGTCTCGGATCGAGTCCGCCATGCAACCCATCCAAAAAGCCTCTTGACGCTGCTCAATACTCACAAATTTTGTCTGTGTATCATGGTATATTTGTCGCAACCTCCTCGTATCAGGAAGAAACGGTCGACTATCTGGTTCCATTTCGAGAAGCCGGTCAACAAGCTCCATGTATTGATTGAGATTGGGATCAAATACACTTTGTTCGGCATCTTGTGCTACTGGGCAATCAGGACTCAGACGGAACATGATGCTCAGAAATACGTTGAAGAAGAGACCTGCGATAGGGGGCGCAGGAGTCTGCATGCAAAAGCAATCTCCACACATTATCCGCCAGATGAGCCCAGCTCGTCTTGTCCCTAATCTGTAAAATAACGTAGATTTAGTAATAAGTCAATTACTACATGTACGTTAGAAAGGGAGATGACTAAGATGTACTAACTCATGTGATTGAAGCTCTGCATCCATCTCAATCCCAATTATGAACTTGAATAGTTCTAAGATGCATCTCGTGAAGTCCTGGTCTGTATCATTGTCCTCTTCCATCGTGACATTGTCAACGTTGTTGATATGGGTGATGTAGTCATACTGTATTCCCTTGGCGACGAGTATGTTATCGTGCTGTATCTCGAAATCGGGAGCCACAGGTCCCCAAGGTGATGGAATGACCTGATCCAAGGGCGCACCCAAAGTCCGATCAAACGTCGCGTGGCCACGGATACTGTAATCGGGACACCAAGATGGCAGAGAGCAAATCCCCGCTACTGTGTTCCCAGAATCGTTGTATCTCTGGAAACGGGCTCTGCACTTTTCTTTTTGGTCCTGCACTAGGTAGGTGCAAAATATTAAGGCTGTTGTGGTGGTGAATTTCGAGGGCCGTAGCAGCGGCATGTACCTGTTCCACTGGGGTACTATAGTCGATAGGAAACGAAACTTTCCCACTTTACGGATCTGCTTTCATTTCGCTGGCCAGACCAAGTATTCCATAGATATGATCGTGTAACAACGTCGCCTGGCGTCCCGAACAAAGCAGCCTGGCAGTAACAAAACTCATTTTGTCGTCTTTTCCGCGGAGAGCCTTATTATCCTTGTAGTCATGAAGAGCCGTCAATATCTGGAGATTCCTCACGTATACCGGCCAAGACTTAGTTGAAAGCTTGCGTTCGTGGGCCGTCGGTGAATCGTGTTGCACAAATCCTCCTCCAAAGCACATCTCATACCGGATAGAAGAAGGTTGACAATGAGCGCATGACGGACATGCCGGCGTCGAGGTGGAGAAATAAAGTGTAAAATTAGAACGGTAAATGTAAACAGAGCGGACAAGACAGATCCGATGAAGGTAGGTATCGAGACGGCCAAGTCCACGTTTGCTGGAGCCATGGTGGAGGAAAATCAACCTGACGATGGCAGTCGTGAGCGATTCGTTGTGGTCGGTAATGATACCAGGTCCGAAAATAATGGGTGACGTGGACAACTCCAGTCCTGGTCATTTGGCAAAGAATGTCAAAGAAGCATCTATGCACGACCAGGAAGAGTAACTAACGCTTATCCAAGAATTCGACGAATTGGTGACATGGCTTTGCTAAGACTGCCTCATTCTGAGCACATATTTGCAGCTCTTGCCTGCTTCTTTCGAGGGCTGAGGTTCGTGCCTCGATCAACGAGTATCACTGCACAGAAGAAAACTTCTGGCGTCTAACAATACCGGCGAAAGCAGCTTCCAATTCATCAGCGTTGAATGAACACCAAGTTGGCTGGTACAGCAAATCTATACCTCACCTCGATTCCTGTATCACCATGTCGTTTCGCAGTTCACATCGAGTGCCATGTGGGAGACGTGCGCATTTAGGGGTTCTCGTATTGTGGCTTAGTGCCCGTTGTCAATGGGCAACAGGGACGTTGAGGGAGAGATAACGCCTACCTAGCAGCCTAGCATGGAAGAAAAGAAAAGATAGCACCCAAGTAGGACCAGTGAGAAGTTGATTTGGCACCGTCAGATGAAAGGAAAACGCCACTAGTTCGTCTCCCGTATGTAACGTGCATGATAAGCGAGCGGATCGCTCGACAGCAACCACTCCACGTATGTAAATCTTGATCAACATCAACAAAGTTTAATTAATTGAAACTACCCATAATCCTCTTCTCTAGACATTTCTCTTTGAAATGGACATGTGCGCACATTATATCTAGTATTCCCGCAGACGCCACATCGCCGTTGACCTATTTCCGTCCTCGGCCGACGGCCACTACTCCGGCGCATTTCCTCCTCAATCTAAGCTATAACCTCTCTCTGTGATTAAAGATCATCTGCCTCAGCTAAAGTAAGGCTCCCTCCTTACCTGAGACGAGTTTTCTTAGATCTCCGCCGTTATTTAAGTAGATTATTCTCCTCCCGAAGGGTTTTGTTCTCAGCCTCTAGAAGAGCATTACGATATATCATAGCTAGTGTCCCTTTGAGGATATAGTTAACTACGTTATTAGCTGGTGTTGGCGAGCTATTTGGATGATTTAAGATTCGATCTTTAATTAAAGTTGACTGAGAATTTGCCTCTGTTGGGTTGTTTGGTGTCTGAAAAGTCCACGCTGGGGGTGTTGCTGGGAGAGACCCTGGGGGCGTTGGAGTGTGTAACTTCACATCCAGCTTCGAAAGCACACTTTCAGCACTTAACAGAACAAGCCTAGCCCCTCTGAAACCTCCCTGGATGTTTTTTTACCGTTAGGGCTTGCGTGAAAGCGTTGCGAAATGCAGGGAAGAAGTCCTCCTTCGTAATATACGTATTACCCCGGCGCATCTTATCCTCAATTTGTCGACCATAAGCCGCCTTTAGTGGCCCAAAACACCCAACGTCTAAGGGATGAAGTAGATGAGACGAATGGGCTGGCATGCAGAGTGTGATGATATTGTTTTCCTTGCAATATATCTCAAAGTCCGCAGAGTAGTAACTTTCATACCCATCAACGACGAGGAGGCGATATTTACTAGTTATACGCGGTTTTGTATGCCGATCAAAGTACTGGAGCCAGTCTAGGCCTCTTTCATTTGTTATCTATCCGTTTTCAGACGTTGCGATGACCCAGTCGCGTGGGAGATCTGTTTCTATATACCAGGTGGAGAGGTGATATTGGCCTGCAACGATGATGTACGGCGGAACGCTATAGCCTAACGAATTGATGACCTGAATAACTATAACCCATTCACGATTGCCAGGCTGCATCATTTTTGTATTTGAACGCCTTTCGGCACTCGTGACGACCATCCCGGATGCAATCTGGCCTATCATAAACCCAGTCTCGTCGAAGTTGTAGATATCGGAGTCTATCTGTTGGAACAGCAAAGGCTGATAAGGAGTAATGGGAAGGTACCATGGGCTGGCTGGCACCTGCCCTGGGCGAAGTGGGACAACTGGCTTAGTCATCACGGCCGGATAAAGGTGGGGCAACCACCCAGGCCGTCACTACCTACTTCGACCGACTCCTGCCTACAATGTAAGATAGAACAACAACAAGACAAGAACAAGCAATAGGATCACCAACAGACGAGTGATAATTGCTACCACTATTTGTCGTATACGACCCCGTGAACCAACACTATCCCATCGAGTGCTGAATGGCAACAGTACATCCCCCCCAATTATTACCCACTTTTCCCCCTCACAACAGCGATACATGACGGTACGTCATTTACCCCTATGGGTTCCTCCCTATTTTCACCACCAAGACCGACATTTTCCTATGTGATGAATCGTCGCGATGACTTCTAGCGATTCCGAGGGGTCGGTACGGTCGTGTATCAACGTCGCCGTACTTCCCGAAGACCTAGCCGCTGCCTGTACTGCTGACTGTACACCCGAGAGATGCGATAATGCGGTCGTACGCCCATATGAGCCCCCATCCCTCGAAAGGGGCAGCGTATTCAACCCCTTCAACGTACCCGAGCGGAAGCCGACAATACGAGAAATAACTCTGTTCCGTGGCAACAGCATATAAGGGTCTCGCGGAAGAGCGCCTCCGCCTGCGTTGCGTGTAATCGGCCAAAGAAGGCGCTTAGCGAAGTCTCAGGAAACTCACGATCCCATAGGAAGAAGACGAGGTCAGGGTGTGAGCAGTGTGGGGTTGCGATTTGTAACTCAGAAGATTGCTGGTACCTATTTCATAACCAGAATATATAGACGGAAGAGGTACTAGAAAACTAGGCCTTTTGATTGGTTGGAAAAAGGCTTGGCTGGTCTCTGAGTGGCTATTACCCCTCACTGGATGTACTGTTGCCATTCAGCACTCGATGGGATAGCTCTGGGGGAGCCCTAGGTGGCAGAAGGTAAAGACCCACTACCGCTGGTGGCAACTGCTTGTAGCATAGTGACAGAATTCGGAATTGTACCGTTGCGCCATATACAAAAGAGAGATCCCTCTACTGCATTTAGGTAGTTGTGGGTACATATAGTTTCCGTCACATAGCTTATCTAGCAGTTTGGACCATTAGCACAAGGGCGGTAGAGGTCACGGCCTAGACAGGCTGTAGATAAAAGGAATACCTCTAACTATCCCATGGGAACACTATCCCATCGAGTGCTGTTGGGCTACAGATACATTCACAGAAGGGATCCTGACCACTCAGGGGCAGCCAAGAGTTTTCTCGACCAATCAATGGCCCTATTTGAAAGGTACTTCGGTTGCCTATATATTTTGAGTGTGATAGAGGTACCAGCAATCATCAGAGTTACAAATCGCAACCCCACACTGCTTGCATCCTGACCTCGTCTTCTTTCTCCTATCTCTTCGCAAGTTCCGTGTGACTTCGCCTAATGCTATTCGTTTGTTGTTACAAGACAAGCAAGCAGAGGGCTTCCGTGATACCCTCGTATGTTGTTGCCATGGAATAGAATTCTCTCTTGTATCAGTGGCCCTCTGGGGCCGGGCCCGTTGCCTCCCATGAACTAATGGCCCAAAGTGCTGAATTAGCTGGGTGGAAAGGGTCCTTCGCCATTCGTACTGAGAGTTGGCCCGAGCCCATTCCGGCTCGCCCCAGAGCTGGAGAAAGAAGCTATTAACAAGTATGCCTCGTTCCAGCGAAGGTGGTTCATGTGGGCGTACAGTCGCGCTATCACACTTCTCGGGCGTACAGTCAGCTGTACAGGCGCTTGCGAGGTCTTCAGGAAGTATCGCAACGTTGATACAGGAATGTACAGACCCTTCAGAGTCACTATCGTCGCTCGAGGCCATCGTGACGAATTGGCATGTGAAGATAGGCGATTTTGGTGGTGAAGGGAAGCCAGGGATTCCTAGGGGTAAATGACGTACTGTCATGTATTCCTGATGTGAGGGGTTAAGAGTGGGTAAAAGAGTGGAGCAATGTATCTGTAGCCCAACAGCACTCGATGGGATACGCAGACATATAGGCACATAGAAGCGTAGGTATGAGCATCTACGCCCCAGCAGATTGACGAATCCGTCCCCTGGATAGACCGCAACATCGATATGGCCGTCCTCAAGAAGTGCTCGGTGATGGCTTTGCGAACGCCAAGTCCGGGACCAATACTTCCTCCTCAACGAACGCGGGGGAACAATACCCGCCTGGACTCGGCGACGGGGCGAAGAACTATTGTGAGAGCACCGACGCCCCGATTTTCGACACCCAAGGACATGCTCGGCGGGCCGGAGATGCCCATTTCGGAGCTCCAACCGAAAAGGGCACAAACGGTTCTGGAGCGAGATTATTGCGCGCTGGCTACTAGGCTGCGGGACAAAGGTGACCCAGGAGGAAGTGGAGAGGACGTCTTCAGCCAAAATTGAGGATTGCTGCAAGGCATTATGGGTTGCACCAAATGATTTTCTACTCACACTTGAGGAGATATTAAAGGGTCGGTATTGAGGGAGGTACGGAGCCGGGGAAGTCGCATGCCGAGAGAAAACGGTAGAGGGGGCGAGGGCGAGGATAGTGACGAGGACTTTGAGATAGAAAATGCCGAGGTAAAGCAGGAGAAGTCCGACGTTCCGAGAGTGAGGGTTGACAAGGAAGCCGTCTGGGCTTGGGTGATGTACAGGCAAATCAGATTAGTCTTGAAAAGGTATCTGATCCGGATGGATTTATAAGAAGTAAAAATGTGTTGGTTCTTAATTATTAGCTTTGGCGCTTTTTGATTTCCAGGTTGTGATATCAGATGATTGCCGTCACTCAAATCCTAAGGCCGTGTTCGCAATGGCGGTGATGCTGTCGGGTCCCAATAGAGTGCGTACAAATGCGTGAAAGCTACCAACAAAAGCTTTGGGTCTAAAAGCCGCTGGGGTTTATATTAAGTCTCCTCGAGCTGTCTGGATATATCCAGTCCTCATGTAGTTGAGTCTCCGAGCCTGGAGGTAGTGCACCAGTGTCAGCATTTGGGACGGAGCCCTGCGGCTGTTCCGGTATTACTACATGAATGATGAATGATGAAATCCCGCTCGGGGTACGTTGATTTGTCCTACTCCGTGTCAGGGGAGCCGACGGGATATTTCAGACATTCAGTCCAGACCTGTCAGGCCGGCCTATCGGGATGAGATGAAGAACGGCGTGGTCGGATGCGATTTCGTAGGTCAGTTTCATATGTAAGAAATAACCTTTGTTATGTTGACTCTGAGGGCCTGTGAAACGTTGTTGATTAGTTTGGCTTGTGCGCACCGGGTCCTCGGACTCGTATTCGAACCGCTTTCCGAGGACAACTTTTCTTCTAAAGAGTAATTAAATCATCTCGGAATTATTAAGTTTCTGAAGAATTAATGTCTCTCGCTGGTGACATAGTGAGAGTCCCAAATAGGCAACGAGCCGCGAACTCCCAAGCTTCGCCGGCAACTCAGTCCACGAGTGAACGCCTAAGTGGACACGGTCTTCGGGCGAAGATATAAAGTAACTAAAGGAAGAAGGCGAATGCCGATGGATGAGGCGAAATGCAGCCCACGGATCCGAACGCCAACCAGACAATCAGGACACAAGTGTGGACATCGACAACCTCAACATGACGGAAACTTACCAGTCTACCATTGTCTTAGACGCCAATAGCGCTTCAAAGAATATTCACAACCTTTACAGTAGAGTCGATCACTCTTTTGCCATCAAAGGAAATTCTCAAGGAAAACCCCTCGTCTCCTCATGGCTTCCCACCATCCAAGACACTCTCTCCTCACTCCTACGATGGACGGGCTCCTACCCGGACGAGTTGCGGGAGCACTATCTCAACTTCGCGCGTGAGGTTGTGGTCCCCCATCTCAACCCGCCTCGCGCGGCCGACTGGCCGCACTATATCGGGACGCACAATCATGGACCATACGAGATAAGCATCGCCTTTGCACCTCAGAAAAAGGCCAAAGTTCGGTTTTCAGTACAGCCGCTGGCTGCTAGCGATGCAGGTGATGACCCCCTAGGGCAGAAGGATCTACGCAAGAAAGTCGAGGATCTGGCGTCTGCATGCCATGCAGACCGCAAGCGGCTGAATACCTTCATCGACTCAGTCTTCCTCACTGACGAGGAGCAGGCCGGCCTACTCGAGAAGCATGCCAATCGCGGCGACGCGGCTGCTGTGCTGCCGCAGCAAAACTGTTTCATTGCTTTCGATCTTGAACCCGTTGATAATGGAATCCCGTCTATCAACATGAAGCTATACCTGTTTCCGCAGCTGAAAGCTCTTGCGACAGGCCGGGACCTATTGGACGTTACAGAGTCCATTCTGATACGACTCGCCGATGGTGATAAGGCGCTACTAGCGTCCTGGGAAATGGTTCGAACGTTTCTTACCTCTGATGGCAAGGAAAACCTCTTGCATTTCCTTGCCATCGACTGCCTTGGGCCACATACGAAGCCTCGCTTCAAGGTCTACACCCACACACACGTCAACTCGCTCGCCTCAGCCCGTCATGTAATCACCATGGGCGGTCGCATTCCCTCACCTAAATATCTCAATACTCTCTGGCCCCTTCTTATGGATATGGAAGACGTTTCTCTGGCTGATAGGGATGGACTGCAAAAGCCGCTCCGCGAACCGAATAGCAAGTACTGTGGACTCAATCCCACCTTTGAGCTGGTGCCAGGCAACGCAGTCCCGGTAGTCAAGATGTACGTGCCCATGTGGCAATACGCGCGCGACGAGCCCGGGATCGTGCGGCGATACCAGCGCTTGTTACAGACGCAGGGTTTGGGGCACTACGAAATTGAAGATGCTGTTCAAAGCGTATTGTAAGTGCTTTATCCGTTGTGGAAGTTCTTTTAGTTGCTTCAATGCTCATTCACGATAACTGACTGGTTGAAAACAGCGGTGAAGAGAGGGACACAGGCCTGCATAACATGGCATCGATTGTCTCTGCTAGAGACGGAGAGAGTGTAGCGTTTACCGCCTACCTTGGACCAAGGTTCTGGGAGTAACTAACATTTAAGCTTGGGAATCGACTGGTAAGGAGATTTTTGTTAGCTCTTGAATTCATCAAACGGTGTGTTTTGCTTCTATTCTTGACTGCGCTTCCAAAGCAAAATGTGAAATGCGAGAAGTTGAAATACAGCGAGAGTCTCTGCTCTAAAGTTGTCGAAGATGATGCCCGCCGTTGTTAACATACATGTACCCATGAGGTCAAGGCTGAATTCAAATCAGGTCTATAGAAATTCAAAGTACAGTAACTATTTATAACTCCAAGCAGTTACCCGCATTATTTCATGTGACTTCAAGGTACGAGCAGGCTGTCAAGTTGGGATGTTGACGCAGGGTGGAAGCTCTTAGAGGCCAACTGCAGTTAGGGGTAGAATGATGAATTACTGAAATCTGCTCCTCCCTCGACGTGTACTCCCTGCGCTGTATATATATCTGAGCTGCTCCTTTGTTGCTTGGACTCCTTACTACCTCTTACTAGCCCCTATCCGGGAGGGCTCTGACACAGGCTAGCTAGCGGTAGAGCACTTCAGTTAAGGTCTGGAGTCATAGTCGAATGTGAGAAGCCTACCTTAAGGCAACTGAAATGACGGCCAAGCTTGTTTGATTGTCGCAAACTGACTCCTCCCGTCGAAGTACATTTCTATCATTACTGCAGTATCTCGATCTTGAACGCGTTTCTTTCTAGTGAGAATTTATAGAAGTCAGTACCTATACATACACGCCGTGTGCCATTACGTCAAGTTCTAGTCCAGCTTTACGCCTTTGCTAGACACCATTTCATTAGGACTGAGTCAGAAGGGCGCGGATGTTCACTGGCCAGTCGAAGCCCACCCCCACATTCCCTGGAGCGCCGAGGTGATGATATGAGGTTATTTTGAGGGAATATTTGGTTGAGCAGCGTTAACCACTATGCCACTGTGACGCAGGCATTCCACTAGACGCGAACCCATCAGACTTTACAAGTGAGTCCAAACCGAGTAAGGGTAACGCGATTGAACTGACGCCTAGGCTTTTGAAGAGACTGTGAACGAGGTAGCACTGCAACTCAAGTTCCCCAACATGTCTGCATTATCCGCTCCCCCACCAGTTCACTCAGCCCTAGACGCCATTGGCAACACACCATGCGTACGGCTGCGTAATGTTGTCCCAGAAGGTAGCGCCGATGTGTACCTGAAGCTTGAGTCTCTCAATCCCACGGGCTCCTACAAGGATCGCCTGGCTAGAGCTATAGTTGAAGAGGCCGAGAAACGAGGGGATCTGAAGCCAGGTTCAACTATAATCGAGGCCACTGGCGGCAGTACCAGGTCATCTCTGGCTTTCGTCTGCACCTTGAAGGAGTACGGGTTCCATGCCGTCTGCTCAGATGTCTTCGCCAAAGAGAAATTACGCACCATGGCTGCTTTCGGGGCCTTTGTCGACATCGTCCACAGCCCCACCGGCAAGATCACACCGGATCTGTTCCCGTCAATGATTAAGAAGGCGAAGACTATAGTCGAGGAAAACGAGGGGTACTATGCGGCAGAACAATTTAAAAACAAGGACTGCATGGCGGGTTACAAGACGCTTGGAGACGAACTAGTCCAACAGTTCCCACGGGGTATCAACGCCTTCTGCGGTGCCATTGGCGGCGCTGGCATGGTTATGAGAGTTGCTAAGGTGCTTAAAGGTGTGCGTGCCGATACGAAGATTGTCACTCTTGAGCCTGCATCGTCACCCGTTGTTGGCAAAGGACATGGGGGAGTTCACGGAATCGAAGGCATCAGTCCTGGGTTTGTTCCACCTTTGCTTGACGACACTCTGTACGACGAGGCACGAGCATACCCGGAGGACGAGGCGCGGGCCATGTGCCGTAGACTCGCTAAGGAGGAAGGACTCTTGACGGGAACTTCAACTGGGCTGAATGTTGTTGGAGCTCTAGCCTTGGCTAAGGAACTTGGCCCTGGCAAGGTGGTTGTTACGGTGGCCTGCGATACAGGTCTCAAGTACACGACCGGCACTCTGTATGAATAGTCTCACTGCAGAGTTAAAAGAGGCAACTCAATGAGTCGCAAAGTCAATTCTCTTGCTTAGGGTGGCTGGAGTGCATGTTACGGAGTCCGTTGGTTTGACCGGCATCACAAATCAGTTGGCAATTGCATCTTTCAGATGGTTTAAACATATAACTCAATACACATTGTTGAAATTGGAACCCCTTATGTTGTTGAGATTACAATCCCTCAATCTTTCACGATATTCCCCACGCGCACGTCATGGGTTGACTCATCACCGTTCAGCTTTCCGTGTGATCGACAAAAACATAATGAGAAATGTGCCCGGCTCGTTGAAAGACTACTGGACTTACTTTCCTCCGCTCAAAAAAAAGATGCCAGGGCGATCCACGCACTTTTGAAATTTCAACGTTGGAGGTGAAAGGTCGGAGGAGGCTCCTAGTTTAGCTGCGACTGTTGCTCAGATCCCAAGCCCAACCCTGGCTTCAAAATTGTCACAAGAAACACCTCAATGGTCACTCGTCGATGAGCAGATTTCTAAGATTGGCGCGAACCCCCGCTTTTAGCGTGCCGTAGCTTGATCCCTGAATGCCAATAATGCCCGCAATGTTTCGATGGGTCTTGGTTCGTCACTGGGTCCTTGTTCCCACAACCAGCTTGGAGCTGGTGACTCTGTTCAATAGTCACCACGTAGGAGCAGTATCACCGCCAACTCATGATCATTGCAAATTCAGCTCATAGCTCAGCAAAACTTGCAGCAGATGAAGATTCTCCAGATGCCCTCAAGCCTTCAGTGGGAGTACGTAACATTCACCAAGGGGTTCGGGGAGATACTCGCGCGATCCGCGGAGAGTTTTGTTGGGGGCGCTGAGAAGCAGACTGGAGGTCAACGCTTCGCGCGTAAAGCTCTACTCACTGTAGCTACACACCCGGCGGGGGATAACGCGCCCTATGGTATCGTTTCTTTTCGAGATGACCTCTTCCCTGTGCCCCCTCGCTCCCCTTAGTCCCTCTCAACCTCTCCACCGAGGCTTTCCACCAATGCAAGAATCCTGGGGTCACATCCGGTTAGCCGAGAGCTACGGGAAGCTTTGCCAGTGCAGCAGTGCTAACCTAACCGGCCCTTGGCCTTGAAGTTGACTCAGATATACGCACATAGGCGTGTCTAACCGACGGTTATGGCTTATGGCGCCGCTGGAGCAGCTTCAGGCCGGACCGTGTTGGCCAGGGGAGCTATTATTGCTCGACCGATTCCCGAGGTGAGGCGGGAACCCTGAAGCTTCAAAACCCCTCACCCCTCATTCTTCCATGTGCATAAGCTGTTTGACAGCTTACTTACCTTGCCGTGCTCCAAGAGTCATACCCCTTTTGTGCTTCGTTCATCCTAAGAACTGACGAATACCTGCTGTCCGCAGACAACTAGACCCTGAGCTTACTTTGGGGGCGTTGAGAAAGTCAATTGGTGATTTCAGCCTGACTAACATCCCTTATTGAGCGCCAAAACCCACCTTCATCATCAAGGTATCCGGAACAAACACCCCAAGTTACCGAATATGAAGGCCAACGCGATGGCTGTTGCCAGGACCGCTGCCCTGCGAGGCCTTGGACGGTCAGCTCTCACTTCACAATTCACTCACAAGCAACTCCCCGTCATATCACGAGCATGCATGTCCTCCGTCGCAGAAGCTGTCGGCGTGGCACCCGCTCCCCCGCCTCCTACACCGGTCAACGATGCTGACCTGAAGGCCGCGCAGCATGCCATTGAGGCCAAGAAGATCCTGCAAAAGGCTGCCAGCGCAACCACTGTTCGACATGACTGGACGAGAGAGGAGATCTCTGCCATCTACTACCAACCCCTGATGGAGCTGGCTTTCCAAGCTGTACGTTTCCCGAGATCCTCATCGTCACCGCGTACATAGCTAACAAGATATCACCGCCCAGGGCTCCATCCACCGCCGCTTCCACAACCCTTCCGAAGTCCAGCTCTGCACGCTTATGAATATCAAGACTGGCGGCTGCACCGAAGACTGCTCCTATTGCGCCCAGTCGACCCGATACCAAGACGGCACCGGCCTCAAGGCCAAGAAGGTCGAGAGCGTCGAGTCCGTCCTCGCGGCGGCGCGCACCGCAAAGGAGAATGGTAGCACACGCTTCTGCATGGGCGCCGCGTGGCGCGACATGCGCGGCCGCAAGAACAGCTTAAAGAACATCAAGACCATGGTCACGGGCGTGCGGGCAATGGATATGGAAGTGTGCGTCACGCTCGGCATGATTGACTCGGAGCAGGCCAAGGAGCTCAAGGAGGCCGGACTGACGGCCTACAACCACAACGTCGACACCAGCCGCGAGTTCTACCCGTCTGTCATCTCGACTCGCAGCTATGACGAGCGTCTCAAGACGCTGAGCCACGTCCGCGACGCCGGTCTCAACGTTTGCTCCGGCGGCATCCTCGGGCTCGGCGAGTCGTCGGACGACCGCGTCGGTCTGCTGCACACCGTCTCTACGCTTCCTTCCCACCCCGAGAGTTTCCCCGTCAACGCTCTTGTGCCGATCAAGGGTACGCCGCTGGGTGATCGCACACCTATCCAGTTCTCGAGCATGTTGCGTACCATTGCGACAGCCCGCCTTCTTATGCCAGCGACCATCATCCGCATCGCCGCCGGAAGGAAGACCATGTCGGAGGAGAAGCAGGCTATGTGCTTCATGGCTGGAGCCAACGCTATTTTCACAGGAGAGAAGATGTTGACAACTGACTGCAACAGCTGGGACGAGGATAATGCTATGTTTGGCCGCTGGGGCCTGACACCGATGAAGAGCCACCACAAATCGCCGGCTCCCATGGCCGAGATTGAGATCTAGAGATAAAAGGAACTAGAATATGAGTTTTACATCATTATGGGATTGAAACCGGAATTATCGATGCGTGCTTCCCAAAACCTCTGATGAGAAAGTAGCATGTTGCTACATAGAGACCTGCCCCTTTCCCATCATACTCTTCAAAGACCTCCATATGCGCGTTTCTCCCAACTAGAAGTTGATGTTAGAGAATTTCATTTGCCGAATGGCTTGGCCATATTTGTAGAACACTAAGGGTATTGGAATCATGGCGAAAGAAATGAAGCCGAGGAGTGAGTTTCCCCATCCGAGTCCGAGGCTCTGGTACAACCGGTCACCGGCCAGGGGCAAGAACGCGCCCAACAATGATCTGGTGACCGTGCTGGCTGCCATGGCTGACGCTGCATATATTGTAAATGCGTCAACTAGATATGTCGATATTGACATCTTTAAGACACAAAAGTCAGTGCTGATGACGCATTTATAGAGGTAGGTACATGTTCTCACCAGGACTATGACAATTCCGCACCCCAGGATAGCTGTTCCTATGATAGGCAGCATCCATTGAAGTTGTTTATCCGCAGTCCAGCCATACCAGAACAGTCCTATGGGAACCAGTATAGCCCCAATGAGCATGGGCGGCAGTCGATATTCTGGCTGAAAGTGCCCGCCATTTCTGAGTGACAACTTCTGTACGAGTTTATCAGACACTAGACCAGCAAATAGTAGTCCAACCACGGACCCTACACCAATACCAATATACGCCAAGCCCGCTGACCCTTGGGAGAATCCGTACTGCTGCTTGAAGACCTGAGGGAAAGTGGTAAATAGCAGGTAGAGGTAACCGTACAGGATCGCCATGTAGACTGATAGGGAGAAGACGATGGGCGATAGAAACATCATCTTTGCCGGTCGAAGTATGGAGAACATGAATAGGTCTTTTGGCTTGCGGTGAGTCGTTAAAACAGATTCTAGGTGTGGATTTCCGGTTTGTAGGCGGAGTCGTCGCGTCTTTCGCTCGAGAAGAGTCAGGGCGTATGATTCAGGCATGCAGAATGCTGTGCCTAAGGCAGCTAACCCGGCCTTAACAGTCATATTAGCCGTGATGAAAAGGAGCATAGTGAAAACAACCAAGAGGTCAACTCACCGCAACCGACACCACCCGAAAAGACCACCGCCAGCCTATTGTGTCTGATAGGTACCCTCCAGCGATAGGCCCAATGGTCGGGCCCACCATCGGGCCAAGAGTCCAGACCATCATGGCAACTCCTCTCTTCTCTCTCGGAACTGTGTCTGCGAGCGAGGCAGCCCCGAGTGTCAATGGGGCAGATCCGCCTATGCCGGCAAAGATGCGAAACGCAATCATGCTGCCCGAGTTGGGTGCCACGGAGCATGCGACGTTGAAAATGAGAAATAGGAGACTTCCAACGTTGTACAGAACGTAGCGACCGTACATCTCTGACAGTGGTGCAATTGCTAGCGGACCACAGCAGTAGCCGATCAGAAACCCTGATATCATGAAGGCCCCGACGTAGGTATCCGTGACGTTGAAATCAGATTTGATGGAAGAAATCCCCGGTGCCGCGATCGATGATGCAAGAGGGCTACACCGTTTCATGTTAGTAGTGTGATGTGATAATGTGTCTATGTCTGCACGACTTTGGTGTTAGCCATACCTGAGAGTTGAGATGTAGCCAAGCGTTGCGATGAATAGAGCCTTTTTGCCTTTTGACCAGTTCATCGGATTTTCTGGATCATCTGGTCCATCCCAGTCAACCAAGTTGGGATTGATCATCACCGTCTCGCTGTCGTCGGTGGCATCACTATGAGCCATATTGGTATCCTGTCCGGGTTGAGTCGTCTGTCTGCTCATGGCTGCTTTCTTAGACCCCTATCTATCAGACTCACGAACGAATGGGGGAGACATATCCGATCTTCGAATGAACTCAGATACGGTCACGGTTTCCTAGATGACTTGACATAACGTTACGAATTTGATCGACGGCGTTCTCGGGTCGCCCTTGAGACGTTGTTGTGCCGAAGCATGTTGTCGGAGTCTCGGACCTTTTGAAGATTTCCGGGGTGGTGCCGGCTCTTGGCTGAAGACGTCGGTTATGGCGATGTCCGTTCCCCGATTTCCACGAACCCAATCGGTTAACCGTCAGTTTCCGAATCCCATTCCATAGGCTTATTCGCTTCTTCCAATTGTAGGGATAAGTCAAAAACCGCGTTCCCCGTACAGAGACTCCAATCGGATGATAGATATTGAAGGCCGGGTGACTAGTTGTCCGGGCCGTTGCCGCTGTGGTATAAAATGACTGTCTCAAAATTCGAGAAATAAATGCTGGTGGTTATTGATAGTGAGCACCTTATTGTTTATGGTTCAAACCTAAATCACATCGTTCTCACTTCGACGTTGTCATCATGTCGATCAAGCTTGATAAGGTCCCTCCCCACCGTTTGTCGGAGCTCAACGATCCTACATCAGCCAAGCTCAAGAAACTGCTGAATCGAAACCATAACGAGCACGCCATTCTTCGCGACCCCCGATTAATCTTGCATAACCATGTGCCGCATGTAAGTGCTCCCACGAGGAAAACTCACGTATAACTGAGTGATTGAGACGGAGGCTGAAATGACCATGTGACAGGCTCTTGGGTCATCTTATCTCCTCGGCGCGACAGACTCGCAATTACAGCACATCTTCGACGTCGAATCCCCCCATCTAGTGGAGCCTGACGATAAGCGGATCATACACGAAGAGATCACCACGTCCAACTGGAGAAAGTTTCTGGGGCAAAAGCCATACACTGCGGCCTATGCCGCATTCTTTGATGGCGAAGTTGCGAAATATGGCGGAGACTGGCGGAGGGTCGTAGAAGATTATGTCTGGGCTGGACCTGAGCCAATTATCAATGGTTTCTCTGGAGGGCGTAAGTCTTCCGCTTCCTGGGCTGTCTCTCCACACTTCTAATGATGGACCATAGTTCCGACTAACCCTCCATCATCATAGTCAGCCACCCCTTTATCCATCTTGCCTACGCGTATGAATTCGATGACGAAAAAGTCGCCACGGAGGCCTTGAGCATGGGCTGCACCGAGTACGATCCTACGCACGAGATTCTGGACAATCCTCCACCGGACACGTCGACCTACAAGACCAGAAGCATCAAGGAAGTCCTGGGCCGTATTCGTGGCGACAAGAGATGCGACGGCTACGTTGATTCTCCAGGATTTGTGAACCTATTCACCCTCCTCGGCAAGTTCAGATCTGAAGTCATTGAGCATTGGAACGCTTGGGTCGTCGAGGATCCAGACGCGCAGCTTGGGGATTGCGCAAAGATGGCGGCCGAGCTATTCATGCAAACGCGCAATAACGAGGAGGGCATGTTCGATTTCTACGTGGCTCATATTCTGACGTTTGCGCATGCTTTGCGCGTCCTCTTTCCCCTCTGGTCGCATGAGCAGAAGGTCTCAGTATTGCGACAGTACGGGCTTTGGACGATTATGGTGTACATCGCACAGCTTCGACCGGGCCTCGATTGGAAGGAAGAAGGGCTGTCAAAGGGTGACAAAACCCCTGCTTGGGACGCTATCTTCAAAAACTCATTGAATAGTAAGTGGATGACTGATGTGCACTTCCCCAAGGTTGTTAGGGGGATGAAGGTGGTTGAGGAGACTTGGGGGGCGTCAGGCGGGCTGTATCGACGAGCTGCCGACGTGTTCGTGGAAAGGTTTAACGGATGGGGAGGATTTGGCGTGGGTGTCCAAGCTGCGTTTGGGCTTACCGGTGTTGCTTAGCTGCTCATCATTAGGCTCTGTGGTATTTGATCGGTATTTATGCTGCTAACTTGTTGCAACTCAAGTGACCAAGTCAGATAGCACGAGGTGTAAGTGATGTAGTGTGAATGAGACTGAGAGATTCACGTGTGAGATGAGATAGTTAGATGAGTGAGTGAAATGAGATGAATGAGTGAAGTAACAGTAAGATGAGGTAAGCCTGGGGAGCTCTGCTAGCTCCCAATTAACATGAGGAGGTGCGCCCGTTCAGTCTAATTTCATGTGAGCAAGCCCGACTGCCGGAGGGACCTTGTCTCTTACCATTGCACCCCCCGTCTCAAGTAGCGCGAAACAGGCACATCAATCAACAATGTATGGATACGTACTCGTCTTTGGGGACGGCCTTGGGACGTCAAGCGCGCAGCCAAGTGCGGTCATCTGACGCTGTCGTTGTCGCTCTTCACGACCTCTTGGCTGCACATTACGTCCATCTTGAACCTCAACTCGATCCTCTTCCTAATACATCCTGAACCGAGTCGACCTCATCGATAACCTCTCCTAGTCTCTGGCGACATCCCGCATGAGCTCCATCAGCTCTCTCGAGCGGTGGCTCGCGCGCTTCTCGGATCGCTTGCGGCGCTATCTACCACCCCTAAACTTCATCACTATTCACTATGCTTACTTCATCCTTGTGTGTCTCATCACGTCCGTTATCTTCTGGGGCTCGTCCGATCCTGCATTCTCGGTCAGCTACACCGATAGCCTCTTCCTCGTTGTGTCTGCTATGACTGAGGCAGGCCTCAACACCGTCAACCTCAGCCAATTGACGACTTGGCAACAAACACTCCTGTTTATCCTGTTGCTCTTAGGCAGCACCATCTGGGTCTCCATCTGGACTGTCTTGGCCCGCAAACATGTCTTTGAGAAGCGCTTCGATGAGATTGTCCAAGCAGAGCGTGCGCGTAAACTCAATCGTCAGGGCAGTGCCATTGCGCTCAGTTTGCCGCGCTTGCCTCTCGACTTGCCCAGGCTGCAAATGGCGCTCTCCTTTGGAAGATCTCAGACAGCCCCCCCTCCTCCTCTAGACCAGTCCATGAACGCTACAAAGACTGGAGACTCGGAGAAGGGCGACGTTCGGCCAGACGACGAGCGAGCGGATGCTGCCAAAGTTGCAAGCATAGATCGCCAGCCTACGCTCAAGGATGCGCCCGAAGGGATACGGGAGGGGACAGGCTCGCAGGCACCGGGCCACATCACCTTTGACGAAGCACCGCACCCCGATGTTACCGAAGAAGCCACATCGACGGGAGTCTCTCTCCCCGGCAACATGAATGGAACGGCGCGTCCATTGAGAAGGCCCTACAATGCGCCAGCAGAATCCACTGATTTCGACACAGACGCTCGCAATTTCTTCAAACACCGTTCAGCTGGCCGCCACGGCCAATTCCACGACCTAAGCAGCGATGAGCGCGATCACCTCGGCGGCTGCGAGTACCGCGCCCTCAAGGTCTTGGCCATGTTGGTACCAGCCTACTTCTTCCTATGGCAGGTTCTGGCATGTCTTGCCCTTGGGGCTTGGATGAACAACTACATGCCCGATACCGCGAGGGCTAACGGTATTAATCCATGGTGGCTTGGTATCTTTAACGCTGTCTCTGCCTTCAACAATTCGGGCATGTCGCTGCTGGACGCCAACATGATTCCTTTCCAACAGGCGCCGTACGTTCTCATCACAATGGGCCTCTTGATATTAGCAGGAAATACCGCGTACCCCCTTTTCCTTCGTCTTGTTATCTGGTCCTCCCTTCGCCTCCTCAACTTAACCACGCGAGAAGACGCGTTTCTCGACCTTAAAGCTACCCTAGAGTTCATCTTAAAATACCCTCGCCGCGTCTATACCAACCTCTTTCCTTCTCGGCCCTCTTGGTGGCTTTTATTCATGCTGATCTGGCTCAACTGTGTGGACTGGGTGGCCTTTGAGGTTCTGAACATTGGGAACTCGGTCGTCGAGCAGATACCCACAGGCTACCGAGTGCTCAATGGCCTCTTTCAAGCACTTGGTAAGTCGTTCGCTTACTCAAAAAATTTTTTAGATCTTTTTTAAAAAAAATATCTCAGTGTTCAACGGAAGGGCCGACTGACATGCTGGCTAGCTGTGCGTTCCGGAGGCTTCTACGTCGTCCCTATCTCAGGTCTGTTCATCGGCCTACAGCTTCTCTACGTTATCATGATGTACATCTCGGTTTACCCCGTCGTAATTACAATGCGCCACTCTAATATTTACGAGGAGCGATCACTTGGCATTTACAGCGACGACGTGGACAGCACATCCGAGATCGATCCAGAGGTGGGCACTCCCCTGCTTCCGATAGGTAGTCGGCCTCCAACACTGGCACGTACCACTAGCATTGGCGCAGCTTCTGCCCGGCCTTCTGTACTAGCACGTCGCCTGAGCCGTTCGGGACCGGTAAACGATGCCCGCCGCGCACTCAAGAGCACGTTCATGAGCTTCCATGGTGTTGGTGTTACGCCGCCGAAAGGACCGGGACTCGGCCAGAGCGGCAGCGAGCAGGGGGAGAGCCGTGTCAGTTTCATCAGTCACCAGATACGCGGGCAGCTTGCCCATGACCTTTGGTGGTTGGTCCTGGCTGTGCTGATCATCACCATTATCGAGACGTCAAAGTTCATCAAGGATCCCGTGACCTTTTCGGTATTTAACATCATATTCGAAGTCGTCTCTGCATACGGTACGGTAGGAATATCGGTCGGCCTACCCACTGATGCGTTCAGCTTCTGCGGCGCCTGGCACGTCGGCAGCAAGCTCGTTCTGTGTTTGGTGATGCTGCGTGGCAGGCATCGAGGGCTGCCCGTGGCGTTGGATCATGCGGTGCGGCTTCCAGGCCGGCAGCTCCATCGGTACGAAGAGGAGGACCATCAGATACGGAGGAGCAGAACGATTGAATTGGAACGGTAGAAGTAGGTTGCCGCAAGGTACGGTTATTAGAAATGTTAGACAAATTCTTCGGTTGCTATGAGCCATGGGATTGATGCTGTCTACGTGTAAAAGTGCTCTAGATGGGATCTACAGTCATGAAGAGATGACGTTGACAGAGAAAGATGTGGCGTGAAGTACGTGGCAACAGACTCATCAGGAACATGAAAGCTTGCTTCATACAAGGCAACAAACGAAGACCACATGGCACTGTGATTCACGCATACCTAGACCAGATGCGCGGACCAATCTAAAGGCAATAGACGCGATGCGATGAGATATGAAGGAAACAAGACACGAAATGACCAAATGAATCGTATGGAAAGGTTTTCGAGGATGTATGGTCAACATGAAGCGTAGCGTCGTCTCGACGTTGCCACGGTTGCTGGCCGTTGTGCTGTCACGCGGGCAAAGAAACGCTGCGAGGGAAGAAGCGCTCGTGAGTTGATTTCCCGAGCTTGGCTATGGGTACGCTCACACCATGAACCACCTGAAATGTGTCAGTCAATTAGCTTTATACAAAGGTCCATGTGCCGAGAACGCTTGAAACTTGACATGAGGTCACTTACAATGCTGCAGATGATCAAGAACCAAATGGTGACAAGCATGGTTTCGCCCAGCTGCTTAGCATCCGCCCGCTGGCCGTCGTCATCCGTCAAGGTCTCCAGGAACTCGAGACCGACGTAGAGGTAGAAAATGGCAGAAACGCCAATGGGACCAAAATAACCAATAAAAAGCGCCTGTCGCGGGCCTCGGATCTGGCGAATATAGCGATGCAGACCAAGAATGACGGGAAGACGTCTCAGCAGCAGGACAAGTACACCCAGCGCGACCAGCCGACCCGGGCTAATCAGCTCAGAGTTCCAGAAGCTCTCCCACGGACACACGGCGCCCAGCCACATGAAGATGGCCATGTTGAGCATCATGTCGATGGCGGGTTGTACGGGATCCTCGACCGTCTCGAGACGGAACCAGTCGTTCCAGGTGAAAACGTTGCCCGCGATGAAGCACGCCAGCACATCGTCGCTACCGACCATACCACACGTCCCGAGGATGAAGATGGCCATGCCGATGGGGAAGAGGAGGAAGCATTCCCGCTCGACGTACTTGCGTCGCTCGGCCCAGTGGAGGAGTCTCTGCGCGAGCAGGCCGACGACCCAGCCGTAGAAGACGCTCATAAGCACGACGTAGACGCAAGTCTGCCCGAAGAAGAGGCTCAACGCGGCGCCGAAGCCGCCCTCGCTTGAAGCTGGGTTGCCATCGCTCTCGGTGTACTTGATGAGGTAGAGCGCGAGGAAGAGGAAGGGGTACCCGAGGCCGTCATTTGCGCCCGACTCGGCGACGATGATCTGCTGTAAGTCCTCAGGGACGTTCTCCTCTGCGAAACGGCCCTTGACAATAGTGGTGGAGAGGACCGGGTCCGTCGGGGTGATGCAGGCGGCGATGGCGAGAGCGTGGACGAGGGGCAGGTTCGGGACGAGAAGCCAGACGACGGCGCTGGTGCAGGTCCACATGCCAATCATGCCGGGGCCGAGGAGGAGGCAGAGGGATTTCCACTCTGTGCGGAGGTAGCGGCTCGGCAGCTGGACGCCAGCGAGAACGAGCTGAACCCCGAGAACGAGGCGGCTGAAGTCGAGGGTCACGGAGGCGACGGCATCTTCGGAGACGGCGTACTCGCCGGGCTTGAGGAGCTTAGCGACGTGGGTGAAGGTTACGCCTCCAAGGAGAGAGACGACTTGTAAGAATAGCTTTGGTTAGCGAGGTTCCTTGCGCGGTCCTTTTTGTTATGATCATGCCAGAAATAACCATAATCAGAAAAAGGAGAAAGAAATAGCCAGTTGAAGATGTGCTTCACTTACGGGCTTCAGAGAGGTACAGGTTCTCTTTGATGAGATACGAAAAGGCGCCGAATAAGACGAGCCAACCGCCGAGCACGCTAATCACCACATTGAAGTTCGTGATTGAAAGATCCATGATATCGCTCAACGTGCTACAAGCGAGCAGCGCCCACCAAACGTCTCGCCCTTGGATCTCGAGGCCTTGGGATGAAGAAGGGGCAGAGCGTGCTTGGGCTGCGACATGAAATGGAAATGCCTCACCTTACGGGACCAGACCCGATGCCGCTGCGGTTGCAAACTCGGGCGCATGTATGGAAACGCGCCGTGAACCAACACCACTACCAATCACGGAACTAAGAGGGAGAGCGTATGTCAAGGGCAGATCAACTTGGATGTATGAAGAATCAAATCTGGAAAAACACAACAGTTGGAAAAGACATCAACATCTGCGGCTATCGGATCGGAAATCAACATCCACTAAATCTGGCAGCCGTTGTTCTCTCCCCCGCGCGCGCGCCCGCAAGACAGGACGAAGGAGGCCACCAACGGAAGCCCACTCATCCATTTCTTTATTAGTCTCGATCTCCAGTCCTACGTTACCACTTTAAGGTCCTCGCCTCTCACCCATGGGATGAGGCATTTCGATGCCATGGAGGCTTAGCTGCTAGCCCATGTCGGTAGCGCCCGCTGAAGCCAAGTCATCCTGACCCCCTTCTCGCAGACATGTGCCCCCCCCTGTTGTTGACCATCCATGATCCCCTACTTTCTGAAAAGGGCCCATGCAGGGTTCTCGCAGCTTCGCAAACCTACCGCGAAGAGCGCCTGACCGTCTTTTCTGACAATATCATCTTGAATCTGCTTGAGAGGGCCGCGGCTATTTGAGACTGCAGGGTCCAGTCATGCGTTAATGTGCTGCCAGTACGGATAACCTGGGTTCTTCCCCTCGACCAGCGCCTTCAGGCTTTCATATGTATGGTTTTCGTCTCCATAAGCGCTGTAAGACAATGCCGTCGTAACCGTTGAAGAACCGCCGCCGCCCACTAGGTACCCCATTCTCTCCCCGCATACCCCGCTGTGGGATTGAATCCGAGCGCAGACGGACATTTTTCTCATGGTTTAAAGCTCTGTAATGATAGTCGTGGCTCGAGAATATGAGAGAGTTGACGCTATTTCCAAGAGAGGGCACCGAATCACAACAAAACTCACAGAGTGAATGTATCTTTGCGGGAATGGAAGATCCCGAGCCTGCAGTGTTGAGCACTGCCGAGCGATCACTGACGAGTGAGCCAAGCAAGCTTCCTTGAGAAGCCTACAATAAGTCTCAATGAAGCAGTTACAACTAAGTATGCCTACTTTACCTATGTGATGACGCAGGACACCAAGATCCATCATGGACGGCAGCCCGCCCTCGAGCGTCAACCCGCGCTGCCACTGAGCGAGATTCGAGGCTACCGCAATTTTTGATTCATCTTGCTCTCATCGCGCTTCATTTCCGGATGTATTCGTGTTTGGCTTGTTCGCGTCCTGCCCGCTGCCTGCTAAGACGGACCTAGCAGCGTGAGTCGCGAAAACAACCCAGAAACAGTGAGATGAGATGTTTGCAATGTCTCTCCACACTCATCAAGAGGAGGGCACTTCTCATCTTAGTAGCACCTGAGTAACACATGTGGCTACACGCAATGTTTGTCTTTTGAAAACAGCCTTATACATCTTGGCAGATAGATGCGTGTGCCGCTGAAACTCAGGTCTTACACCATTGCTATGTACGTACGAAGAGGACAACACCAACGACGATTATTTTCTTGGATTACTTACTAACAATGTTGCAAACCGATGATCGGAGGATGTTTGACGAGGATGCCGAAGATGAGACGCATCGGCAGCGAAACGCCTCACACATATCGCTCCTTCGCATACTGCTCCGATGAGACGAGGTCTGACGCCCACTGGCAGCGGCTCGAAGTCGACGACAGAGCGCACTGGCAGGATTGCGGGGACTTGTAACAGCCCGAAGATCAACAGCACGATTGATTTGACACTTGATAAATGTCGGTGGGAATGGTCAGCTTCGGTATAAGATATGGGTGGAGACCCCGAAGAGACGCGCTTTTCGCATGAGCCTTTTGTCTCTCCATTATTACATGTATGACTGGTTGCTAATCGATATCGCGATTCTCATTCCAATTCCTCGAGCGCTAACGACGAAACGTAAATACACTAATCATGGGCTCAAGAGGAGAATATTCGGTGCCTCAAGAGGCGGAGGCTGTCTTCCAGCACGGCATCTTGAACAACCCCCTGATGAAGGATCTATCCAGTGACCTCAAATCTCTCAGCCAACATGTCAAGTTCGAGGGCTCAAGTAAGCCGAGCGTTCCAATCAACTGGCGATTCGCCGAAAGCATCTCGGCTTTGAAAGCACTGGAGGCAACCATGCTTAATCGGTTGATCCTGAAGAAGTACAATACGGAGCCGACAGATGTCACGATCAATACGTAAGGAATCCTGCTCCAGTGACCTAAATACACCTTAGTCCGGTAGAGAGTCACTTGTAGCCGTAATGATGGCCAGGCTGACAGAATAGCTAGCGACCATGCGAGCTTGTTCTACTTCTCGCCCTTGATTGCTCAGCTCATCGGGAAGGACGGAAAGTTCACGCCCATGGCTCTCATGAACTTCGTGCCCGAGGCAATGAAGATGTTCCCGGAAACGGACAAGCATAGGACCGCCGCGAGCTTGCATCGGGCCCTGGTGACGAACATTCACAAGACGAAGGATGGAAGATACTACCAACTCCATGGTAAGGCAGTGCCCGAAAGAACCTCGCCCGTTGTGAATTCCTTTGAGAATACTTTGCTAACTGAATAGGCGGTATCAACCCCGACCCCATCCTCAAAGCTCTGGGCTTGCCCGAGGATGGCCCGGCGGATGACACCTACGAATCGGTCTACGAGAGAACCCAAAAGGTCATTGCCGAGAAGGACTCGAAAGACCTGGATGCCCTGCTCAACGACAGGGCACGGCAGTCTGGTACAGTTGCATTATCATCTGATGAGTACTTTGCAAGTGAGCACGGCAAAGCAAATAGCAACGTCGGACTCTACGAGATTGCCAAAGACGATGGCTCAAAGCAGCCCGCCTCCTGGTGGTCCGAAAACTTGAGTCTTCCCTCGTCAGCAAAGAGGCCCCTCGCCGGCCTCAAAATTGTTGACTTGACCCGAATCATCGCCGCTCCTCTCATCTCGCGCGAATTGGCGGAGATGGGCGCGAGCGTCATGCGCGTCACCTCGGATAAGATCACGGACATGTCGTCTCTGCATCAGGATCTCAACTGGGGCAAGTGGAACTGTCATCTGGATCTCACAAAGGATGGAGACAAGGAGAAATTGAGAGAGTTGATCAGGGAAGCCGATGTCGTTGTCGATGGGTACCGGCCTGGTGCCATGGAGAAGCATGGGTTTGGCCGCAAAGAGATTCAGGAGCTGGTCAAGGATCGCCAGCGTGGAATCATTCACGTCCGTGAGAACTGTTACGGATGGCATGGACCTTGGCAGGGCCGTGGTGGGTGGCAGCAAATCAGTGACGCCGTGAGTAACACACCCTCAAGATATTGCTTTGAAAGACTTGACTGACAGGCGATCAAGTGTTGTGGTGTCTCGTTGGAGTACGGAAAGGCGATGGGTCTGGATGAGGCGGTTACTCCGGTGTTCCCAAACTCGGACTACTGGTACGTTATGGGCACAGAAGAAACAACTCCTCGTCTGATATAAAGAGAAGTATGCTAAAACTCGACATAGTGCTGGAGTCTGCGGCAGTACAGCTGTCCTCGATGCGCTCATGAAGCGAGCTGAAGAAGGCGGGAGTTATAGCGTCGATGTAAGTCTCCTTCCATTGACGAACCTTACTTCAGCTTCAAGATGGTTTTCAGCTAACGCCATGTTCACGTAAAGGTCTCCCTCAATTACTATTCCCAATGGCTCGTCCGCTCATGCGGCACATACCCGGAGCCCATCTGGAGGGAAGTCTGGCAACGTCATGGCTCGCCCGTGTTCCGGCACTTCCACACAATGGCCCACAACGTTCCAGTCATGTCGAAGCTGCTTCAGGAGTACGACGCACAGATTCTCTTCAAGCCTGAGTTCTTTGAGATGCGAACGTCAAAGGCGGTTGATGGCACGTTCTGGGTTGTCAAGCCGGTTCTGCAGTATGGCAACAACGCGGTTGAGATGAGGTACAATGTAGGCACTAGAGGCAATGGTGTTGACGAGCCTGTCTGGCCCGAGGACCTCTCTACTGAGGTGGTTGGTGGGAAGTGAGCGTCTAGTAGAAATGAGCTTTGCGTTAAATGTGTATGAATATAAGATCTACGAAATTAAAGAGCGCAATCGACCCTTGTTACAAGTATCATCATGGGCGACTTCTAGTCAAATGAAATGACCTTCCACATATATTAATAACCCAGATCGTTGGCTCTCACTCATGTTCCTCTTGCAATCGAGCATTGCCCACCGCTTCCGCAAGCTCTGCTGGCGTAACCCCAGCCGGATCTCGCAGCTGTGTAAACGAGTCCCCATCTTTCGGCCCAAGAACACCAGCATCTTTCACGAACCCGCGATGGGAATCGAAGAAGAAGATAGTCGCATGTAAGGCATCTGGCGCAACTTCTGAGACGTGGAACTTTGCTGCCGGAACTGTGTACGTTGATCCCCTTGAGTGAGTTTCTGATAGAGTCTTCGAAGCTCGAAACAGCTTTCCCGTGTTCTGCACCGTAGAGGAAGCCTGATGCGTCTTATACGCGGTATTTGCTCCCTTGCCATCGTTCCACGCAAGAGCATACTCTGCATGTGTTGCCTCAGCGGGATCCTCGACAGGGTCGACCTGGTAGGAGTGGTCCACGCCCTGCCCGGCCAAGATCCAGCTCTGCGCAAACGGCTGGTGGGAGTGTAGGTGGAAATCGGGGTTCCCGCGCTTGCCGTCTGGCATCCAAACGTGCAGGCGAATAAGCTCGTCGATACTACCGTCTTTGACCAAGCTGCACAGCGGTACCGAGAGGAAGCCTTGGGCGCTGCGAGAGGCAGTGAACTGCGTTTGGGAAGAGCTTGTGGATGTGAGGGCGTCGTGGATGATGGTCCAGCATTGCCTGATTCCGTCTGCTGTGGCGGGTTGGTTTTGGCGTGCTGTCTCGCGGAGGAATGAGACTGCGACTGCGACGAGTGCAATATGAAGGGTAGTCTTGGTGGTTTCTGTGGCATGTTGCTTGAGAAAGTCTTGCCAGCCTTGAAACGATAGACTGTCGGGCTTGGTCTTGGTCTGAGTGAGGCCCTCATTGGCTGGAGACAGCAACTGTTTGATTGTGTCGATTTCATCAGGAGCAGCCTTAGTAGCCTGCGAGACCCCTGTTAAAGATCTTAAGACTGCTTCGTATGAAATCTTCATTGTGTCTCGTTGATGGAATAGCCCTGCTGATGCAACTCTCAATTCTACCTAGTTTCTGGAAGCTGTAGTATTGATGAAGTAACCACATGCAAACGATGCGCGATTGAAATCATTCACTCCTTATCGATCGGAATGATCAAGCTCTATATAGAAAACCAACTCCAATACCAATACTATTAGTACGGCTATCCGCAAGGCACATTGCATGCTGATTATTGATCCTTTTGACGAATCACAAGCGACACGGTGGTGACACACACTGTCGGCACAGCCCCAATGCATCCAGGCAACACCGGGCTGGGATGTGGAAAATGTGGAATAATGGAAAGAAGACTCATGTTCAACTTATTACTATATGGATATCTATATTACTACAATTCGAAAACCTTCAGTGCCTAGCGCCCTCACCGTTGACAACCTTGTCAACACTGCGATGAGTGCCCCTAGTGGGCGCACCATTGTTCTCCGTCAGACTCTGGCACGTCGTGACGTCAATGCCATTGGCGTACTTGTTCTTCTTCTCCCTTGCGAAACCGTTGTGTGTGCCGTTAAAAGTCAGATTGGCAATACCCTCGTATCCCTTGATGCCTGTGCTCTTCTCCAACCTCTCTGCGATCTCGTGGTCGACCTCTCTGAAGATGGCAATCTGCTTCTTCAAAGGCTCAGGGTTCTTGCACAGCTCCATCTTGCCTGTGACGTTGTTGATGAACCGCTCGCGCGCATCCTCATCCCAGACCTTCTGCCACAGGGCGCGCGGCGCGACAAAGTCCTCGGGCCTGATCTCGGAGAGGAAGGTGATGGCCTGGCCGGTGAAGTGACCATGCGTCTTGTCCAAGTCGACGGTGCGCGCCTTGAACTGGACGGGATCGATGGAGCTGAGGTAGTTAGGTCGGGCACCCTGGTTGAAGAATGCCATGGCACCGTCGCGCTGGAAGTTGGCCATCTTGTGTGCCGTCTTTGGCGCGTTGACGGGAAGCTGCTGGTAGTTCACGCCGATGCGGTGGCGGTGGGTGTCTGGGTAGGAGAACAGGCGGGACTGGAGGACCGGGTCGGCGGAGGGCTCGATGCCGGGGGGCATGTGCGAGGGGTTGAAGGCAACCTGCTCGACCTCGGCGAAATAGTTCTGGGGGTTTTCGTTGAGTGTGAACTCGCCCACCCTGCGCAGAGGGTACTTGCCCTGAGGCCAGACATGTGTAAGATCAAAGACGTTGATCTTGTCGTTCTCCCATGCATCCTCTGCCTCCTTGGGTGTCATGGTCTGAATCTCAACTGACCACTTGGGGTATTCGCCGTTTTGAATCGCCTCGAAGAGGTCTTTGCCAGAGTAGTCGGCTGACTTGGTGAGAGAGTCCTCCTGTGTGATGAACTTAGTGCCCTGCTGGGACTTCATGTGAATCTGAGCGTAGACCCATGATCCATCCTTGTTGACGAGCTTCATCGTGTGGCCAGCATAGCCGTGCATGAAACGATAGCCGTCGGGAATACCGCGGTCACCCATCAAGATCATGACTTGGTGGATTGACTCGGGGTTCTCGCTCAAGTAGTTCCAGAACTATATTGCTTGTTTAGCAAGGTTCCATGTGCACAATTACAAGACCAAACTTACCATGAACGAGTCATCCATGTGGTTGAGATGCGTCTGGGGGTCACGCTTCTGCGTGTGAATGAACATGGGGAACTTGGCAGGGTCTCTCAAGAAGAACACAGGCGTGTTGTTCGCCACCATGTCCCAGTTTCCATCCTCCGTTCTAAACTTGACAGAGAAACCTCTAGGGTCGCGGGCAAGATCCGGTGATCCAGACTCGCCGCCAACAGTCGAGAAGCGCACAGTGATGGGACACTTCTTGCCCTTGGTGCCAAAGATATCGGCTTGTGTAAGCTCGGGGATCGGATCCGTACACTCAAAGAAGCCATGAGCACCGCTGCCCTTTGCGTGCACGACACGCTCCGGAATGCGCTCGCGGTCAAAGTGGGAGAGGAGGTCGATGAGGTGGAAGTCCTGCAGCAGCAACGGGCCGTTCTCGCCGCATCGCTGCGTCTCGTAGGGGTGAGGCATCGGCACGCCATTGCTGGTGCTGTAGATGGCTTCCTTGGAGGTCATTTGTCTGTCCTTCTCGTAGGTGCTGAACTGGCCTGCCACGTGGGCTGCGAACGATGTATCGGTGGATCCCATATCGAATGTCTTTTGGGCAGTTTCAATGGGATGTTTGATGATTCTTTGAACGGTCTCCATGGGATTCAGAAGGTGTCGAGAGGTCTTATACAAGAGAAAGACAGGGGTAAGTAGTGCCGCCACCCGCTGGTGCTTGGGCATTTTATGTTGGGGGGCTCGAACGGGCAAACAGAAAAAAAAGTGCCATCAAAACTCAATGCCATGACGCAGTTCTAGAGGCACAATACCGTCACTCATGTTGGGCGAATCACAAACTGCAGATTACTACATCGAAGCAGTCTGAAGACGGGGAAGTGTTTGTCAATCTGTCGTAGCGGCATGTAGCGGCATGAGGAACTAGGCCATACCCGCATTAGCACCCGCTCTCCAAGGGCGGGTCGCAGGAGTCGATGACGCTTGGAACGGAGCCTCCTTGGCCTCTAGACTTTTCAACTTTTCGCCTTTCCGACTATGGGCTACGGTCCTAGTTCGGGATTAACTCCATGGTAAAGAAGGCCGCTGGATGGAAATCACGACGACTGCCCCGATAACCTGGCGCTGGGATCAATTGGCTAGAGTCCCATGGAGGGATTGGAAGGAACCACGGATTCCAGATCTGGAGACAAGATGTGACGAAGACCAGAGCTGCGGGGGGGGGGCGAGGGGCAGACTAAGACGATTGAGAACGTCAAGCAAACACCGGCACTTATTTGATGCAGCCCAAGATGCAGCCGCTACCACAACTCCGGAGATCTAGTTCCGGTCAAGCCAGATTCCCATCTTCGAAGAATCGAAATCATCAAATTCGATGTGTAGTGGTGCTAGGGTAATCCCAGATTCGGAGCAAAAGCACCGATCCGCATGAACGCAATCGATGATGTATGCGAACAGCCTGCTGATGTCATGAAGCAGAATGCCGAGCCAAGACCGATGACAGGCGCTCCACCCCTGCCGCGACCTTGGCTCGCGAGCGCAGATCTAGGACATTTCTGAAGGGTTTGGTGATAAATCAAAGGGTCTAGAACGTGGTGTGCTCGGCGAGGCGGCACGCGATGAATTTGAAGGTACTGTCTGGGAGAAAACCGTTGAATGATGACTTTAATTCCTTTTGTCCGTTTTTTTATGTACACCTCTCCCAGCGATACCTGTGTTGATAATATGAAAAGATACTCATACTGACTGAGACAACAACGTTCGCCAGGTCTTCTACAGCACACCTTTTGAGGCGCACAGACGATTCTAAATGCCAAATAACGTCGCATATGAGATCAAATGAGATCCAATGGAAAAAGCTTTTACGGGAGGAAACCCATTTTTGTCAATGTTCAATAGACCCAACGTGAAGCCGTAGCCAGTGAGTCTCATGTTCACTATCATTGCGACCGAGTTCACTATCATTGCGACCGAGGAGTGAGCTTAGCCAATCTGGGCACTCAATCATGTCAGGTTTCATCACCTAACTTGATTCGCCAATCTCTTCGACCGCCTCATCCTCGACCCTCGTGCTGTTGAGAGGGGGGTAATGAGCCAGGAGAAGAATGCCCACGGCGACAACGGCGAGGGCCTATGCAGCGATTAGAAAACAAGCATCAAAAGTCTCAATGCATCATGGGTACTCACGGCATTAACGAAGAAGGTGAGATTCGGTTTGCCCATCTCAGACAGTGTGGCAAAAATGAAGCCAAAAATGCCCTGCGTCGTCAGAGTCGCTGCGCTCTCGACCAGGGTGATGGCACTCAGAGCATCTTGTCGCATATGCGGCGGGCACATTTCTGTGATGACGCCCTTAGCAGCGGGAGCCGATCCGGATGCAAATGGGAGCAGGAAAGCGGCTACGAAAGAAAACAATTAGCGTCCTGACCTGGTTTCTGGGGATCTAGGAAAAGCCAGTAGTAGAAATTGGGTACTCACCAGCATAGACATGCCAGCCCTCGGTTGCCCAAGCCGCGAGGGACGTGACGATGCCATCTACCACCAAGCTCCACCTCAGGAAGAACAGGTCAAATGTGCTATCCTCGTCCTCACCTTCAGGCGGCGCCTTTGTTGGCTCGGAAGCGTTCATCAGACCGGGTGCCGGGTCCATGTCTTCGGGATGCGTGGGGATGACGCTCCGTTCTTCCTGAGTGAGCGTCTTCTGCAGAGCTCCAGCATGAGAAGATGAGGCGAACCACCGTCGTCCGCTGTCGATGATTTCCGGGAAGATGAACATCAAGAAGATGCCGCGGATCCATGAGTTGCCGGACATGAGGATACCGTTCTCCGTCGTGCCAAAGTTGAAGCGCGAGGTGGCGTACATCTGGATGAGGATGGGAGCATAACCGGTGGCGAACTGGGATCTACGTTAGCGATGTTGCTCGTGGATGAATGAATGCCATAGATGTTGGTCGGATGGCAGACTTACCACGCCGAAGAAGATGCCCAGGGCAAGGAAGCCAAGGCCATAGTTCTTGATAATCTTGCCGGATTCAAGACGGTACTTTGAAGGCATGAGCAGCTTGATAGGAGCCAGGAAGCCAGAAGCGCCGGGTGTCGTCTTGCCGTCCGTCTCGTCGGTCTTTTCTGGTGATGCTGGCCAGAAGATGGCGCCGTAGATCGTCGCGGAAGCGAAGCAGCCGATGGCAGCGATGAAGGGACTGGTGATGCCGAACACATCACCCAAGACACCGCCAACTAATGGCTCGTTAGCACAAGTGACTGAGCAAGGCAGAAGGATTCAACATACGCAAGTAGCCTATGGCGGTACCGATCATGACTGCGCCTTGCAGCCGACCAAAGACGCCGGTATGCTTTCTTCTTTCAACGACCTCCGCAATTGCCGTGTTCAGAACCAGCCTTGTTTTCAATTGCATTAGCGCCCGTACTTTACCCAGTTCACGTCAACTGCCGTTCTGCACTTACATGTATCCCCTCGGTCCACCAAAGATGCCAATGAGCTGCGTGTACTGCATCATATCGATGCCCTTCTGCGCGCCCTGCGACACGGCGAGGACCTGGCACGAGACGCGGATGCCGAGCAGTCCGGTCTGGCTGATGAGAGCCCAGCGAGTGCCCCAGCGCTTAATGAGGTCGCCGCAGATGAAGAGGTTGAGGATGCCGCAGACGGAGGTCGTCATGCCGAGGATGGAAACCTGCGTGGCCGTGTTTGCGTCAATCTCGCGGCGGTGGCACATCTCGGAGGCGGGGCCATCGTAGGGTGAGTGAGACTCGTAAAAGGTCTCGCATGCCATTACGCGGAAGACATAGATGATGCTGTGGGTTACATGTCAGTTCCCATGGATATTGTTCACAGCCCCAGTACCGTGGTACACACGGATGGGGGGAGAGAGAGAGAGAGAGGGTGGACTTGTGCGCACGGAACTTGAGTGAGGCCTAGTGTGAGGGACACGAGAAAGCCGGCGAAGAGGATACGGTTTGAGGGTGACCAGAGGCCGCGACCGACCCGCTTCACGGCCCCGGCGCCGGATTTGATTTTGAGGAGGGGCGTCCGTTCATCTGCATCGGCGGCCATCGGGGCGGGTTCTTGGGTGTGTGTGTGGATGGGAAACGGTCACAGAGAGAGAGTTCTTAGGGTTCTTAGGGTTCGGAGAATCACGCCTTTCGTCCAATAGAGGGTTTTTTTTTCTTATGAGGCTCAACTAAGAAAGTTTGGTAGAACTAGGAAGGTCGGTTGAACGTTTCGCAGGGTGGGAGGGGGAGAACAGGACAGGATGGGAGAGGAGAGGGTTCGAAAGGGAAACAGATGGTGACAAGGCCAATCTGAGCCGAATGGGGCGATTAAAGGGCACCGGGGGTAAGGTGTGGTAAGAAATTTTTTGAGTGAGAATTGTATGGGTTTTCCTGCGAGTTCCCCGGATTGCTAGGATGTGTGTTGCTGCTGGACCGTTGTGCCGAAAAAAAAGACGTGCGGAATCCCCGCTATTTCGTCAGGAAAATGATGGACCTTCCACCTTTGGGTTCTTTTCAGGAAAGGGACTTTGGTGGAGCGCCACTGACCGGTCACTGGTGTTGGTTGACGGACTGACTGGTGCCGGAGTGTGTGTGTGTGTGTGTGAGTGTGGGGGGGGGAGAGGAGGAAGAACTGCGAATAGCACTCGGTAAAGCCTACAGATAGCCGCGAGAATGACTCTTTACTGACTGGTTAGAGCATGCAAAGACCTTTGGTTTCTGTTGGCTGCGCCCAGATTCGGTGTGTGGTGTCAACTGTCAAGTGGTGTGCGAGAACTGCAGAGAAAGCCGATGAGATGGAGGGGGCCGATGCAGGAGCCGAGCGCGGCCTCTGTGTTGCCGACCCGGAGTGGAGATGGTGGGGTCCCGGATAGCTTGACGGGTGCTGATAGGTCCGAGATAAACTTGCCGGAGTCTAGACCCGTTGGACCGGCGCAGGACCGGAGCTTATCCGGGAATGCGCTGCTTATCGTCGGCCTTGAGCTGCCGAAGGGGCCGGTAGGATGACGCCCCGCCGCGGGACCGCCCGATCCCGGCCTCTTATACATACAGCATACATACAGTAGTCAGCGAAAAGGGCTTCATCCTGTTGACAACTCTCTGATCTCTTTCCGCACGGACATGCAACCTTCTTGGCGCTTACACAGTATGATTTGTTATCTTATCATTTGAAGTATATTTAATAGCCCAGATAGGCTAGACCCACTTGCAGTCCTTTTTGGCTGCTGTCTCAGGACATCCAGTTATGCAGAGGATCCTCTATAATACACGTACTCGTGCCCGCCCCCACTTTAATGGGCATTCGACACTCACCACCCACTAAAGTGGGTGCTTTTCAGCCAAACGGCCGCATCGCCCAAACGGCCAGATAATCGTCGTAATTACACCATTATACTACAGCCTCAACTACACCCTTTTCAACAGCCGCCCGTTGCCTGGACCGTCGACTACGTACGCAGGGTGTAATTGGCCACTATTCCTCATCCTCCTGGCTTTTTTTCCTGCCTCGGAAGCCCCTTTTTTGATAGCAGAACGGATCCTCGCGTTGGCCGCCTCCACGAGAGCTACCGCCTTGGCGATCTCAGATGCCTGCCTCCGTTCGACCATACGTCGACCGTCCTTGACTGTGATGATGCCCTATGGAGGCAATACTACTGTATTGGATCTGATGATGATGATGATAGGAAAAGCTGAGCGCTGGCTGGGCTGGATATCTGGGCAAGGTGTAGGTGGGGCAGCTCCGAGATGTGAAGGAGCTGCCTCACGTGACCCACCTGCACCTGCCACATGCCCCCTGTCTGCAGTTGACTATTCTTGCCCTGCCTACGGGCTCTGCTGACCTGTTGGGCAAGCTGGGTCAGCCCGAGGTCTCTTTTCGTCTGGAGCAGCTCTGACCCCTGTGTAAGTGCTCCTCGAACAAACCGCCCGAGATTCCGCTCAAGCGGGGAGGCCTCGCCAGTCAGCTGCTGAATCTCCTTGTTGAGGTCGTTCATATCATTCTGTAGACGCCAGGCCACGCGACGGAGCTTCCGAATGGTGGTAGGTGTGGCGAATGGCGATGAACCTGGCCCCTGGAAAGGTGGTGTAGTTGGTTGAGAATCGTGGCCACGATCACGGATCTTCTCGAGCACGACTTGTGGATTGTATGGGTAGATGCCAGTCTTCTTGAAGGCTGAAAGGATTGTGGAATGTTTGAATGCCTGCTTGCGAACAGACTGTATAAACCCGAGGAATTCTAGTTTGGTAATGTTGGTACAGCCTTCTCGAACCACGAGGTCAAGTGCCTTAGCGTGGTAATGCTTAAGGGGCTGAAACACCACAACATCGAGAGGTTGGAGGATATGGGTGCTGTGTGGTGGAAATCCGAATGGGATTATGTCGTTCTCATTGCAGTACTTAATGAATTCGATAGTATGGTGAGATCCATACCCATCCATAAGTAAGAGTCTCTTTGCTCCTCTGGTTCGAGCCCTCGTGTGAGTGTCGAAGTGTTTGATCCAATCCAAGGTCATCATATGATTCGTATACCCAGTGGGTGAGACTCCTATGACGGTATCAGAGTCGAGCTCTTTAATACCATACCACCTGGCCATGTGAACAGAGCCGCTAAGGATGAGGAAGGCTGGCACGTAATCTCCAGCGGCAGAGATGGCCTCTACGGCAGTGGCCGACTCTCTGTTGGTTGGAAGGGCGAAGTAGTGAGCTCTGCGTCTCTTCGTAATCACTATGCTGGATTTCCCAACCCCAATTTGGAACCCAGTCTCGTCCATATTCCATATATCACATGGCTGGATCCCATACTCCTCGACGACCTCTTTCAGCTTGAGAAAGTAAGAGTTGATGGCATTCTTGTCTTCAGATTTGCGCCGCTCAGCGTCCAGCACTTTCTCCTTGACCAGAGAGTACTTATGCCTTTTGATAAATCGACTGGCCCATTGGGAGTTGATAGTTGGAGGAGGAGGAGGGCTCTTGGCATTGGATTCAACTGGCGGGTCCCACGACTCGGCAAGTAGGTAATTGGCAGCGCTGACGACCAGCTCTCGCCTCACGGGTAGGTTAATTCGATCCATACGGTCAATATAATTGCAAATCGCCTTTTCCTGGTCCCAAGAGAGCTTGTGGCCGTGGCTGGCACGCTCTTTCAACGAGGCTCTGCCAGAAATCCTCTGAGAGAGCTTCCGACGTGGTACAGAGTGCTGACGAGCCGCCGCTGCGATTGACAACTCCGGGTCTTCGCGAATAGCTGTAATGGCTGCTTTTATACGCTCCTCTTCAACGGCATTAAATTTGGCCATTGTGGTGGATTGTTGTGGTGGTGGCGATGTATGGTGGTAAATCGGGATAATTGTGGTCGTTTGGGCGACGTGGCCGTTTGGCTGAAAAGCACCCACTTTAGTGGGTGGTGAGTGTCGAATGCCCATTAAAGTGGGGGCGGGCACGAGTAATACAGGGGATTACGATTTACAGATACCGGTCGGTCTGAGGGAAAGGACGGGACTCTGGGCAGCATTGATTACTATGGCTCTATTATAATAAGCACGTGGGGCAGTCTAAATCGTGTCTAGCTCCCCTTCAGATGTTCCTTAAAACTCCTCTATTTAGCTTTCAGCCCTCGTTCTGGCTTCTCTTCGCAACAGGAAATATCTGTCCCTTGTATAATAAGCTGTAATAAGGCGATTTTGTCAGATAGATATGTATACCGCTCGTTCTGTGGCCCTTGTACGGATAAGAGGCTGTTCTGTGCCTGATGGTAATATGAGATAGCTTTGCTATTCTCGCCAAGCTTCTCAAACAAAGACCCAAGGTTCTGAAGTGTGTTCAAGGCGGGAATATATGTCTTTATGGCGTCTGGTCCTAGTGCCTTCTCGTAGCCTTGAAGAGCCCGCTCGTACTTTGCCTCGGCCTCTCTGAGTCGGCCCTGGTTCGAGTAAAGGTTACCTAGATTACCGACCGTGTTGAGTATCGATATGTGGTCTGGCCCTAGTGCCTTCTCGTAGCCTTGAAGAGCCCGCTGGTACATCGCCTCGGCTTCCTTAAGTCGGCCCTGGTCCGAGTAAAGGTTACCTAGATTACCGACTGAGTCGAGTGTTGACGTGTGGTCTGGTCCCAGTGCCTTCTCCTTGCCTTGAAGAGCCCGCTGGTACATCGCCTCGGCCTCCTTAAGTCGGCCCTGTTTGGAGAAGAGAATGCCTAGCTTGTGAAACATCCATGCATCTTCTTCCTCTACCGCGTCTGTCGCTGTCCTTGTGATGCATCGGTCTGAATGTTGTAAAAGTCGTCTTTGCACTATCCAATACTCTTGCTGCTTATAGCTTGGGACATGCCATGCTACGCATCTCATCGCTATTAAAGACATCTCCTCATCGACTCCCGTGTTCAGTACGTGTATCATCCACGTATGAACACATCCATGCACACTATATCCTGGTGACTCTCCCCCCGTCTCATTTGTAGTAGGGTCCGCCTCTACTAGTCCATGCTCGCAAAGAACTCTCATTGTTGCATTGAAGCTGAGCGTGTCTTCCGTTATGTCTTGTAGCCAAAGCGGCCCCTCTGAACCCACATCCTGCAGCAGTTCGTACCATATGTCCTCGTTGTCGAAATATGCCCAAAGTCGAAGGAGCATAGCTGCACCTCTGCTTTGCTGCCGAATGTGGTTGAATGAGACTCCCCATGTCGAGTACAACGCTTGGTCGTAATCTAATAGCTGCGGACTCTCTCTCTGTAATCGCAGCCATGATTCGTCGTATAGCCGGAGATACTCGGCGCAGGTCGTCGATACTTGGTTAAGGTACGCTCCAGCCGTTGAGAGGGCAAGCGGAAGGCCGTCAAGTCGCCGCGCAAGCGTATAAGCATCGGGATCTATTTTGATAAATCAGCCCCACCCACACTGCTTATTCGAGCCACTTACTCTGGCTCAGATGGGCACGACTGGATGTTGACTCCAGTATAGCTAAGCTGTCTTTGACATCGCTAAGCTTACTCATTCGGATCAACTGCCCTAGTTTCACCGTTGAGGATCGGGTTGTGATGACGATAGCGCCGTGGTCGGTTTCGGGGAAGTATGGACGGATATCGTACGCCTTTGAGTCTGCTGTCTCAGTTTGACTTGTCTTACTAGAGACAGGCCCACCCTCCTCCGCAATACGTAGGGCACTTTGATCCGCACCACCACGGCCATCGAATCTGACATCATCGTAGTTATCGTAGACAACCAGCCAGCGGTCGTTTCTCGCTTCATCTAGCCATCGCTTCACGGCTTCCGTCGTCTCGTCGAGGTCCTGATTGACCATGGCGTTCTGTACATACGCCACAGTCGGGTGCTCCCGTAAGATTCGCCGGGCCGCTAGTTGGAAGCTTTGCCTGAGTGATGTCTCGTCTCTTGCGTTGAGCCAAAGCATGGCCGAGTAGTCGCCGCGATACCGCTTCATGTACTCTATCGATAACTGAGTCTTTCCCATGCCACCTAGACCCTGCAGCACGGCGGTGCGGCGCTCGCCCGTCCATTTCAGCGCCTCATACAGACGTCCGAGTTCGTCGCCTCTACTAACGAAGAGACTCGCCCCTACAACGCCTGACAGAACAGGGGCAAGCGTAAACATGGTAGGAGTGGGGTCGGCTGAATTGACATCAGCCATCGTTCGTTAGCAGCAGCTGAGGGCTTAGGATTTGGTTACGTACAGTTTGTCCTGGGAGTCCTGCACATGTAGCGCTCCATAAGCGCTTTTGTCGCTGAGGCCGCCATTGCAGCGGCGAAGTCCTGCCACAACTTGTTTTTGTGACTGTCGGCGTAGTCACATACCCCTTTGACAATAATGCACGGGATCTCTTCCCAAACGCCCGCCCCCTCCATCTCAAAAGCGATAATGTCATGTTCTTGAGCAACCCTGTCGCGGTGTTCGCCTGATTTCATCACTGTATCACCCGACCCGATGCAACCAACATGTATTCGTGACTCGAACCTCTTAGACTCCAGTCGTCTTCTCACCACTTGATATACGACGTCGCATCCGAGCTCCTGGCACGACGCTTTGATAGCTCCGTCACACGCAGTGGATTCACTACAGCTACAGCCTGGTTGATCTCGGTGTCTGTGAAGACAGGTCGGCTCGAAAAGCGAGTCCTCTTCGACTGCAGGACGATCGTAGCAGCTTCGGTTATGTGCATCGATGGTCATCTGTTGGATTTGCTCAAGGACCTTGGTGATCCGGCGCTGTAATTCGTCCCGGCCATGTTGCGTCTCGTAGGTAGCGAGAAAAGAACGGACTTCTTTGTTAAGTCGGCTCAGGTTGTCTTCGATACCGTCTTTCCTGCGAAACTTGCCAGGGTATTGTCGGCCTAGGTCATACTGCACGATGCTTTTGCCGATCACCACGTCCCCAAGCAGCACCTCATGATCGGTCCCCGGGCTAGGCACTCCCCCACAGATCCCAGTCAAGAAGGCTACCTCCAGCCCAACATAGATGGACCGGAGCCGGACTACCTCGTTGGCTGCGCTGACTTTTCCCATGTTAGGGAGAAGAACCAAAACAACATAATGAACTCCAATCAACCCCAGCGTGTAATTGTTGTATTGCCTGGGCGCGGGCCCGCGCCCATCTCTATCATCGTTCCATATCTCGTCGAAAGCCAGGATGACGGCATCGTATTCGCGGGCCAGTGCACATATCACGGCGATACGGAAGTCCTCGAAACGGCGTGGTTGAGGGTAGCTCGTCATCGCAAGTTGTCGAATGCAAGTGAATGTCGCGCCTCGTCGGGGTCGGGGTGTATCATATCATGTCGTCGTCAAAACTTGTTTTGTCTTGCGACAACGTGTTAATGCTCTGCTGTCGAGAGCTGGGAGTTATGAGGCCGGAGATCGTCGTTCTCCTTGCTGACGGAGAGGAGGAGTTGGCATCCTAATCGACAGCCTTGTGCGGCGCAGCACCACGGCGTGTCGCTGACAAATCAACCCCATGACTTGTGACTGCCAAGTGTACAGAAGACTTCATCGCGTGTAATGAGCTTAAACAACAACAATACTCAGAAAGCGGCAGCTCAGCTCACGTTAAGTATTATCAGATTGAATCGGTGATAGTCCTCCCGGTATGGGAAGGTCTGCGGTTATGGAGGCCAAAGCGTTGGTGATGTTATATGGCTAGGCGAAACAAAGGGATAGACGGCGCGAGTACCCCCAGCCGTAAAACCATTTATCCGTTGATAAAGCGCGCTACTCTATTTTAGCCATAGATCACACGAACCAAAGTAACAGAATCTTATAACGGGGGCGTTATATCCGTATCGAATCTTCTAGAAGCTAAGTGTTACGGCCAGCTAGTCGTAGTGAGGTATGTTTGCAGAAGTTGAGGCTGCAGAACTGGTAACAGTATTCGTAGTCGGGGATAGCTTCAGGGAAGCTATGTCTGTAAGTCGTAAGGTAAGGGAAGGCTTCGGTGATCAATCGTAGTCTTGTCAAAGAGGTTCTCAGGGAAGATAGCTGAAAGCGATCATAAGATCTGATACGAAGTTAATTGCTGAAGAAGCTATGGAAAGTCTGTCCTAGAGTCCAGCTCAAGTCCGTCCTTATATACAAGTCCCGTATACCATTGAACAGTTCCTTTGTGGTTGGGACCGACATCGTGCTGTCGGTCCTACAGGGGTGGACCGCCTTTATCCTGTCGGTCCATATCATGGACCGCTTATCGCTTGTCGGTCCTTTCTTATCATCACGTGACTTTTCCATAGTTCTTCCGTTCCGTTGGGGTGACTCCTGTGTCTGCATATATGGCGTGTCGTAGCCGCCGTACGCCTGCGGGGCAGGCCCTGGTCTTGGTCATGCATGTTGGGTCGTAACACGATGCCCACATTGTGACCATACGACATCATTGTAGATTGGTATCCTAGTTTTCGTATCTGGAAATCCTTGCGGGCTAATTAAGTAGAACTAGAGTAGACATACTTCCTGGTGAGAGATGATTGTAGTGCTGTGTGTAAACCCGTACTAGAGAAAAGATGGAAAGTATCATGTAAAACGAGTAGGCTGTAAGTAACTAAATAAATTGAACTAGAGTTTAAGAGCGAATAATGCTGTGCATTATCATTTTCTAGATACTTATGTGAGGTGGGGTCAAACCTGTTAGCAGGCCCCCCTTAGTGGGTCGGTATAGCAGTGTTAGATCGTACTGTGTTGGTACCAAGAAGGCAGACGTCCGTGCGGAAAGAGATCAGAGAGTTGCAAACGGGATGAAGCCCTTTTCGCGGACTACTGTACAGCTTGAGTTTCTTGAGTGTAGATGGAATAAGTCTTGGTCAAATCATACAGTTGAACAGAAGGCTTCATACTGGTAGGTAGACAGCCATATGTTCAAGATTATACTCGGGAAAGGATACCCCATGGAACCTCGGACACTGCCCTTCACAGCAAAGGATGCTCCAGCACAAGCTTCCCAAACTTTCCCTGGTCAGCAATCTTCTTCACCTCCTCCAGCGCATCCTCCGCACTCCCCTTGAACACATCCACCACAGGAATCGAAATCTTGGTGCCGTAGTTCTCGACAGACCACATCAACGCCTTCCACATCCTCCCCCAGTCCTCCACCCGCGCCGGGATCTTAACGAGAGGACCGCCGCCCATCTGTAACGTAATCTCCGTGTTCGCCGACGCCAACGGCATCTTGATCCTCCCACCTGGCTTCGCCACGACGGACAGAACAATGGCATCCTCATCGACACAAGCCTCTGTCTGTGACGCCGAGCTGACCCCGCTCATTGAACCTGCACAATCGGCAGCGTAGCGAATCGGCCCCGCCCCAGCCTCTTCCGCCGCCTTCTTGATCTGGGATATCACGTCTGGGGCGTTGTAGTCGAAGCAGCGCGTCGCTCCCATCTTCTTGAGCATCTCATGCCGTGCCGGCGACGCGGTGACGAAGATGGGCGATGCGCCGCTCTCGCGCGCTAATTGAAGCATGCAGATTCCGACGCTGGCGGAAGCACCCCAGATAAGCAGCGGGCCGGCCTTGAACCCATTCTTTGCCTTCTCCCCGGGCAGAGGATACCCGATGATATTGTACAAGCCGTCGGCGGCCGTGGTCAGCACCACCGTCAGACTCGCGGCGTGCGTCTGGGGCAGGTTATCCGGGACCTTGAAGAGCATGTCCTCTGGACAGCTCAAGTACTCCTGGTGCGCGCCGTGCCTCATCGGCTTGCCAATGCCCGTGGGCACGTAGCCGGCCACCAGGTCATCGGGCTTGAAATTGGCCGACGCATTCTTGCCAGCGGCCAGAACGACGCGGCCGCAAAAATCGTAGCCGAGGGTGACGGAGCGGATGCCGAGGATCGGTGCGTGTTTGACGTCGGCGGGGTTCACGCCCGAGTAGAGCACTTTGACTAGGACCTCGCCGTCCACGGGGTCGGGGATGGGGAGGTCGCGGATGACTGAAAAGTTGCAGTCTTCGTCGACGTAGAGCGCTGGCGCTGATGATGTTTTTTTGCTGCCCATTGTGAGATTTGTGTGCCAAGGTCTTGCGGAAATTGAGTCTTCTACAAGCCACGGACACTCAGCAGAGCAGACCAGACGCATCTTATGCAGGTCGGAACGGTTCAAAACATGCAATTGGACAAATGCATTTGCCACCTTTCGCTAGCGTCCACTTCTCCGGGAGCGCGAACCCCTCGTAAAATGGGGCAGCCGGTGGGTGTTGGGCCGCTGAATAACACGATGAACGGAGCTTTGCAGGAAGTATGGACGAATACGGCCGTCTCGGACAAGTTGCTCGATTCATTCATCGGCCACCGGACGGTTCCTAACTACCGAGGTCGCCGGGACCCATCTCTTCTTCACTCTGCCGGCGGGGTTGCAGACGCGCCTCGGGTGATCAGCAGGGCCAAATGGCGGGGAAGAACTCCAACATATGTTGCATGGATATGTCAGGCCCTTTCCGACGTGTCGCATGGCATAGGCAGACCGTAGGGCTACATGATAGTACGTCCCAGGCTGAGTCCAATAAATCCGAGACCCTCGGACCTCCCCAGGCGAGTATTACCCCAAGAGGGCGAAAATGATAATGCCATTGGACGAAAGACAAGTGGAATCTGCCGTGGAGCCATGCCGGTGAAAGGGGCCGTGTTTCTGGGCGTTCACGAAGATCTGTCATCAGGAATTGGGTCCATGGTTAAGTCCGAGGACTTACGAGATGCCTTCAGATGTGAAGAAGGCCCCGGGGCTCGGAATTATGATGCTCTCATATAACAGAGGCACGAAGCTGTCATCGAAGTCGTCATCAGTCTTGTTCTAGAGAAACATTGTACCTGCATCAACGGGTGTTCATCTCTGAGAGTTTTTTGTTAGATTAACGCCCAGCAACAATGGCGCCACTTATCGTCAACAACATCGAAGTCACCCAGATCCCCACCAAACCGCCAGCATGGCCAAGTCCCAAGGAGCCCTCCCGCGTGGAACTCCCAGCCGGAAGTCAAAAGACCCCAGAGCATCGTCCGCTCCCGTGCGACGTCATCCTTGAACGGGACCAGCCGTTGACGCTGCGCGACGGGACCCGCATCCGCGTTGACATCTTTCGGCCGAAGACGGACGAGAAGGTCCCCGCCATTCTGATGTGGTCGCCCTACGGCAAGACTGACACGGGTACGGCCCAATATGATGCCGAATTCCTTCTCCATGTTCCAATTACTGACGTTGCTTTCCAGGTGTTATGAAACTTGATGCAGTTCCTTTGCGATGCGGCGTTCCCTTGAGCAAACTGTCGGGCTATGAGTCTTTCGAGGGGTAAGCTCCCCCTTACATGTGTGCTCTTAGCATTAGACGTGAAGACTGACTCGCTTTCAGGCTAGACCCGGTCGAATGGGTTCCGAAAGGCTATGCCATCATCAACGCCGACGCCAGAGGATGTGGTGACTCGGAAGGCGACATGAGACAGTGGGGTACCCCAGAGGGCCAAGACGGTCACGATGCCATTGAAGGCATCGCGAAGCTGCCCTGGTGCACAGGTAAAGTCGCCATGGCCGGCAACTCGTGGCTCGCGCTGTGCCAGTGGTACATCGCCGCCGAGAGACCGCCTCACCTGGCCTGCATCGCGCCTCTGGAGGGTGCGAGCGATCATATGCGCGAGAGTCTGTGCCGCGGCGGGATTCCTTCGATTGAGTTCGGTTCTATGATTAACAATGTGGTTCGCGGTAAGTGACGCGACAGAGTTCTTGTCGATTTTGTCTCTTAACTCCACTAACTGTGCGTTAGGTCGTGGCCAACAGGAAAACACCGTCGAGATGCTGCTCAAGCATGGGCAGGGTCTCCGATCGTACTGGGATGACAAGAGGGCCCGCATGGACAAGATCGAGGTCCCGGCCTACATCCTGGGCAGCTATTCGACGATGCTGCATACCGTTGGGAGCTTCAGAGGCTTCGAGGAGATCCCTCACCAAAACAAATGGTTCGTCTTACATGCGACCTATATGACGGTTCTCTGACTTGTCTCTTAGGATGACAACCCATGCTACGCAAGAGTGGTTCGACCTGTACAGCCAAGAACGTACAGATGACTTGCAACAGTTTTTTGACCGCTACATGAAAGGTGTCGACAACGGATGGGAGAAGACCTCGCCAGTCAGGTTGGCCGTGCTGGGCTACAACAAGCCACCCGTCATCGACCTCCCCTTTGACTCTCTGCCTTGGCTGTCACCCAGTGCCACGAACACAAAGCTCCAGCGTCTCTACTTGGGTGCCGAAAAGACGCTGCAGCAGTCCAACAATACCAACGCCACAACGCTGAGCTACGAGGGCACGGAAACCATAGTCTTCACGCACACCTTCTCTCAGTCCACGAAGCTGCTGGGCCCGACTAAGCTCGTGGTCCACGTCTCCTGCCCCTCCGCAACAGACTTTGACGTCTACGCCCAGCTCCGGAAGCGAGACAAGAACGGCAAAGACCTCGAGCACCTCAACATCCCCCTTGAGGCACTCCCCGTATCCGATTCCAAGGAGATCCCCAACACCAACCCGCTCAAGTACCTGGGACCTAACGGTAAGCTCCGCGCCTCCAAGCGCAAGATCGCGCCGGAGCTGTCGCCGAACTATTGGCAGACGCTGGCCCACGATGAAGACATTGAGGTCAAGGCGGGGGAGATTGTAAAGATGGAGGTGTGGATCTGGCCTACGGCCATCCAGTTTGATGCCGGGGAGCAGTTGGCTCTCAAGATTACCGGCGCTGATAGCCTGGTGTTGCCAGAGTTTGAGTTCCTGGCCAAGGAGCCGGAGAATGCGGCCGCTCAGGTTGTGCATATTGGCGGAGAGTATGAGAACTACTTGGAGGGACATTGGCATGATTGAGAAGACTGCCCGCACGATAATCACCGAGCTCGGCTGCGGCCCTATTTGTTTCTGCTCTCACAGATAGATATACAATCACGAATACCATAGTCATCAAATAATTAAATTAAGGCAATCTTACGATGAAGCATTACTCCAGTGCCTGAAGGAACTTGGCAAAGTCCAACGTCCCAAGACCAGTCGCCGGATCCCACCCAGCAGTCGCACACCATCCGCTCTCAACCTGGCTCCCATAAGAGCAACTTCCGCTAGACCCGCTCGTGACATCGTTGATCGCAGAACGCACCTTGTCAGAGTACAACAGCGGGTTAAGGAATCCCAGAGCAGGCTTACCCTCCCTCATCCACTTATCATTGGCAAGCGCAATCATCGCCGCGACGACAGGCGTACTAGCGCTTGTCCCCTTCTGCGTCCACCCAGGTTGCATCAAGAACCGGGAACCAATGGCCGAGATATCCGGGCCGGGCTACCACGACCGATGGGCGCGTACCAGCCCGCGTGAGACCCGTTGATGCCGGCAACGTACGCCTTGGCTGCGGTCTCCTGCCACACCGGACGCTCAAAGTATTCGCTGAAGCCGCCGGAGCTGTACCACGCAGGCTCTGTCGGCGCGTAGTTACCCGTCGCGCCAACGCCCGTAACCCAGGGACAGTCGACGGGGAACGTCGGGAAGAATTTCGTCGTGTTCTTCCCATCGTTGGAGATACAGTCTCCAGAGCCGATACCCGCCGCGCGCAGCGACTTGCATGAAGAGGTCGCATACGCGACGGGCATACGGCTGCGGGATAAGCTGCTCGTCGTCGGCGTAGGAGATGGAGATGACGTCCGGGATGGTCTCGCGAGCGAGCAGGGCCTCGAGGAACTCGATCCAGGGCTCGTGGGCGCTGTCCTTGGGATCCTTTTCTTTGCCGTCGGGGCCGATTTCAGGGCCGCGGCCGCCGGTGGAGAAGTAGGTTACGTTCATCGGCTAGATGAAGGGCATACTGTACTGGATATCCAGCAAAGCCTCGACGCCGCCGCCTTCGGTGGTATCGCTGCCGTTGTTGATGGATGCTACGGTGAGGTTGTACTTCGATGAGAAGCCTGTGGCGTTCCGACGGGGGCTGTACGATGCTAGGAATGCTTGGAGAGTCGGGATATTGGGGTACCCCTCCAGGAAGTCGACGATGCCAAAGTCTGTCGGGGACGGGCCATCTGGTGGGCTGTAGTTGATGCTGTAGAGATCCACGATGCAGTCGGGGGTAGTGTAGTCCCAACAGCTTCGAGGCACCGCCGTGTGTTAGTGATTGTTCAGAAAGCCTGGCTGCCGTAGTCCGCTCTTCACTCACTTGCGCTCTGTCGCTTCACTTTGCGCGACTCCCTCGCCTTGATCTATCGTCTAGGCGGCTTGATCATGAACTGAGTCACTGGGAAGACAAAGTCGACAACCTCTGAGACCTGGCTGGAAAGGGTATATTCCTTGGCCCGTAACACTGCCTTCTCGCTCTTGTACTGGTACTTAGAGAACTTGCAATCCAACAAGCGGTTCGCTTTACCGACGGTGGTGTTCAGGCGAACCCATGGGCTGTCCTGAACGAAGTCCCGAATGTCGTGAGCGGAAAGCCAATCCGCGACAACAGCGTAGGCATCGGCGCCCGGCTCTTGGAACATCTTCAACAGGTCGCGAGAGACATGTGCGCCATACTCGGCATGGTTCGGGTCGCTGGTGCACCTCGAGACGCGCCTTCAGCTCCGACAGGCCGGGCTGCTTCAACGCGACGGAAAGCTGAATCGTGTTGAGGTCATCGGCCGGAGCGACGTGCCGCCAGCCCTGCGGCAGCTGCCTCACGGTCTCGTGAACTGCAGGTCCGCTCGTGGTCGGTTGACTGAGAGCCAAGCCGCTCATAAAGCAGAGTTGAAACCGACGATAACCTCATCTTCTTTGTCTCGTTTCCTTGCAAGCGTGTGGGAGCGTGCCGAGTGTCACTCTCTGCCACGGTCTGCTCGGGTTTGCAGTGTCACCTCATCTAATACCCACGGCCAGCCTTCAGGGGCCGTGACAAGCTTTTCGGCAACCCGCCCATATCACTCGACCCGCTGCTTGGCGATGAAGAACATCTTGGGTAGGATTCGACATCATCGTGGACTGTTCCCCCTCACCAGGGGCACCCATGCAACATGCCATTCTAAAAGGTGAAATCTCCGCCAAAAAGCTCGTATCCAAAGGATCGGACGACTGCCGAATCCCAGTAGAACAACAGAAGAACACAACGGGGCCAGCCGTCGGCCCTACCGCCCTGGGTTCAACCCAAAATTCTAGACGAAGCTTGATGGTGGTTCGGCGCATTGAGCCAATCTCGCTTTGGCACGACAATAAGAAAGCCGTCGATATCCACCACTAACGTCCACTGCGACCCCATATGAGCACTTTATTCCATGCCTGTCACAATCTTAATACGAAAAAGGTTCTTCCCTTGAAGTTGCCACGGCTCCCACGGCTCTCACCGGTGTTAACGGCAGCGATTCTTCAAGGGTTGTTCTGGAGCGATTATGGCCAAGCCGGGACTCGAGGCTGCGTGAACCTGCTTTCTCCGAAAAGTCGCCCGAGTATCCCTCGGTCTCGCGGGTCGTAACTCACAAAAGATTCTTAAACGTTAGTATCCGAAAATAGCATTGGCATGTCCCGGTAACGATCTTCCCCGCCATGAACTCACACACATGTATCCGTACGATGGACCACACCGCCCGATGATAAGAGAACGTGAGCCCTCCACCCGGAGTTGAGCCTCTGCTCTTTCGCGCACCTCAGTCACTCGCTCAACTTCGCCCTCCCTTCGACAAGATGCTCGCCTAGTCCCTCGTCATGATGGCCCTGGCCAACGGCGCCCTCGCGGCCATCCCTACCGTACGTCACCCTCGACAACTCGGATGTTTCCACAAAGTCCTGCATGATCGACTCCGGCACCCAGATCAACGACCTGCCCATTAGCGAGGCTGGACTCGCTGGTTTCTTCGCAGCCGCCGGTCTCACTCGTGATTCCATTGGCCACGTCGCCTATAACGGCAGCTGCGACTCTGTCCCCAAGGACCTCACCATCGACCTCGAGTTTGCCGGTGTCGATGGCAAGAGCGTGACCATCAAGACTCCAGTCCGTAACTACATCCGCAACAACGCGGATGCCGAAGCTGGAATCTGCGCACTGAACATCGATACCGGCGCCTGCATGCTTGGTGCTCCCTTTGCCACCTCTGCCTTCTTCGCTGCTGATGATGCCAAGGGCGAGATTGCTTTGGCGCAGGGTGGTGTCTCGAAGAGAGGGAGCAAGGCGGACGATGCCTCTCTGTCTCTGACTATTCCTTGATCAAGGACTAGTCGCGTAGATAATAAATTGATAATCATTAATCGTTGAACCTCGAGAAAGTGCAAAACGACATCTTTGCGTGAACAACCATGAAATTCAATCAGTCATTAACGTCAGACCGCTCTAGAACCCGCTCAATACCAGTCTGGTACAATACAAAGACCCAAAGCAGCTCAAAGTACAGGCGCCTTACTGTCTACCCTCGTCTTGACTCTCACATGGAAGTCCACCGGCCTCAGGTTGAACCAACCATCCTGCTTCAGCACATACGAAGGATCCGCCATCGTGAAGTCAACCTCGTTGATCAGCTTCGCCACCACGACCATGTTCCACAACCAAGCATAATGCTTTCCAATGCACTCTCGCTTGCCATTACCATACGACCTCCTCACGCTCAACGGGAGCTGCTCATACTTGTCGCCCATCATGCGCTCAGGTTTGAATGCCAGCGGATCTTCGAAGACTGAAGGATCCCGGTTCACACCTGCAAGAACGATGATCATGGGCTGGTTGTAGGCGATCTGGTACTGGCCTCCCGCAAGTAGCACGGGGCTCTTGTCGCCGTCCTTGGGGATGGGTTCAATGTTGAAGCCTGGCGCCGCGAAAGAAAGTCGCAGAGACTCACGGACGATGCCCCCGATGTACTTGAGCTGCGACAGGTGCGTATAGGTCAACTCGCCGTCACCGACAACGCGATGGAGCTCGTCACGGGCAGTGGCGATGACATTCGGGTTTTTCAGCATGAAGTAGATGGCTGTACTGACCATACCCGGCGCCGTGCTGCTGCCGATAGGCATGGAGACGATCTCATCCACAATCTGAGCGTGGGTCAATGATTTCTCCGACTCGGAATCCACTGTGCTGAGAAGGGCAGCCAAAAGATCTTTCCGGTCCGAGGGGTTGCTCTTTCGGTATTGGACCAGATCCTCCGCGTAAGCTCGCATCACTTGCTTTCCTTGCTTAAACTTGCTTCCGTAGAGGAGCCAGTTGAAGATACCAGGTCGGGTGGGTCGCTGCATTGCCTCAGATGTCGAGTCCTCCATGCCTCGAAGCATCGGGTGTTCTGGTCCATTAAGGCAGTTGAGCTTCTTGCCAAAAAGGGCCAAGGTTGTGGCCTCAAGGTTCAACCTATTCAGCTCGCCAATGGCGGATACCTCAGCGTTGACGCCGAGGCCCTTCCACTTCTCGAGAAGCTCGTTTGTTGTGCTAAGCATATCGTTGAAGCGCTCCGCCACAGATGCCGATGTCAACTTGGGGGCGATGATGCGGTGGGCAATACCCCAGTTCTCCTCGTGGTCGTAGGCCGTGAAGAGGGCATCGTGGACTGCATATCGGATCTCGACGATAGGTCCTCCGACATACTTGCGGAATCGTTTCTCGTCACAGAGTTCCTCCGCGAGGGCGGCACCAGCGACGAACACCATCGTTTTGCCGAGGACCTTGATTTGGAAGATCTCGCCGTACGTCTCGGATAGCTTCTTGAGGGACGCCCAGGTGTTCTTGGTGTCGATGTTCTTGATGTTGCCCAAGATGGGCACACCCGGTGGTCGCGGGATCGGGGTCGACATCGTGTGGGATACAGATGATGCGGACGTAAGAATATGATGGAAATTAGAGAAAACCTGCCTCTTGGGGACGGTAGATTGTCTAGAAAAGCGGCCCGACCTCGAGCTTTAAATTGAAATGCCCAGCATCTCCCAAGTCCCAGGCCTGAGATGTGGAATCCTCTTTGTTACCCCTTCGCGTCACTGGTCCAAAACTATCTCTCGCCTGTCTCACCGGGTCACGGCTTCTCCCAGGCGCGACGGCCCGTATTTTGCAACGCGGTTGCTGTCATTGGATCGACTGGTATTGGTGTCACGGTTTCTGGCTGTTTTCGTCCAGTTCGGAGGATCATGTCTCACAAGGTCAGACACTACGCTGGACGAGTGCTGAATGCGCCTCGCCGTTACACCTCTGCGGGGAGTCTGCGTTGTGTCATACTCGTCATTATGTGGACTGCGTAAACTCTAGTTTTGACGGTGCATATAGATCAAGAGTCGTCTAAGGTGTAAGTAGTCATAGCACATCTGCGGGTCACGCGGATGCATCCCAAATGCACTGAGGTTTCGGGAATCCGCCTAGAAACCCCAACATCGATGTCTCTGATCTTCTGAACTTTAAGTGGAGAAAAATGCCACCAGATGGGGAAGCAATTCCGGAGATCTGCAAAGTGATTCTCTCTAGCTAATAATTGAGTAAGACATGTGTTAGTTGGCCAGACATCTAGCTTTTTATCATTGGTTCAATGCCGCTTTGCATGTGCACTGCGTCGTCTGTGTATCATCGTAATCTCATCAACCTAACAAAACACTACCTACTTCCGATGATACATGCCATCTATCATCTGTGTAGAACATCACACTATGGGTAGAAGTTCATTCTAATACTATTTCAGCCTACTACTACCCATGAGGCAAATTCGGTGGAGCAACTTGAGCCAAGCGTGGCAGCCAAACACGACCAAAATGCTAGGCACATAGACCACTGACTAACTACTTACTTACTATGACATCCAAGATGATAATATGGGTAATCAATCAGCCTGGTCACATGAACATAAATCTGATTCGATTGCTTGTTCATGGTGTACAACATCTTGCAGGTCCAAACGCTTCCATTGATCGACTATCGTCCTTCAATCAATAATCAGTGTTGGACAATGGGATACCAAAAGTTGACCTAACAACTACTACGCGAACGGACCCAGTGCTGTATTCTCTCGATGGGACAAAAGTGAAGATGCGACCAGTGTGGATTGAACACACGACCTTCAGATTGATTGAATGAAGTTTTCAATGGGTCTGGATGACCCATACTTCAGTCTGACGCTCTCCCAACTGAGCTATGTTCGCCGCTCATCTTCGAGCCCACATCACGTTCGCAAGCTTCATGTGCTACGATGGCGAACGTTCAAAGACACTCAATAGCACACTCAATCCAACGGTGATATCACTTTCAACACCTTGTCCGTCTTTCGGATCTTTGAACTGTGTCTATCAACTTGAGTCCTCGATGGTTGCTTCGTGTCCTTGGGTACCGAGTTGTCAACACAAAGCAAGGCTTGAACAGTGATGCGATGGACAGTGACAGGCATTGAAGTACAGCTTGCGGGATCGACAACTAGTGAAGATAAACCTACAAGAACCTAAGCAGGTAATAAAATCACGAACAGGCGCCTTGATTTCCACTTCTCAGTATATAGTTCCACATCAAATCTTACTGACCAAGTCTGTTCCATTAATCCATCGCACCCAATTTACGGGCATCTCTGGGACCTTCAGTGTATCCTCAGCACAGAAAAAGCAGTCGACAAGCTCGGCAAACTCCTCGGGATATTGCCAGTGTGGAGCATGGCCAGCCAGCATCTGGAAACTCGTAAACACTGACGGCTGTATTGCACATTTGCCTGATCATGGCCTGACACGTTTGCTTTTCAAAGACATATTCGTGAGATCCTGATTGTTCCTTAAGTCAGTACTCATTCGATGTTATGAGATTTAAGGCTAGACTCATTTACTTACCCCGAATTATCAAGACCGGGGCTCTCAGCTCGTGGAATCGTTCGTATAAGCCTTCCGATGAACATTGCGGACTCATAAACTTGGCAAACGCCTGAATTTGACGTCGAGTGTCATCGGTATCAATGAGATCAGACCAATCATCCCTTGCCTCGAGCATTCTCCGGAACGTCGCTCTCACCGCTGCCTGACTGGTCTCCGAAGAGTGACAACAAAATTCTAGCAACGTAGCTTCCTGAGATTCACGATCATGTGCCATGCGGATACCCTGAAAGGGTTCGGGCGGTGGTAGCACGACTCCCGGTCCGATACTGTGTGTGTGTGTGTTATATTTAACGCCGTGGCGGCAGGGGCGCAGCCGCCCTTGCGGCCGACCTCCCGAAGGGTATATGGCGTGGAGAGCCGTCGCCCTATAACTATTGCTAGATACAGTTCAAATCGTCCTCCAAATCGTGCCTTATGGCTACTATGCGTTCTATCTGTCCCTGGTTCCCGCTGGTGCCCCAGTTCCATTCTTGAATTTTGCGGCTTAAGGCCGGATATGTCTGGAGAGGGCGGCCTGCCGAAACAGACCCCTCGTACATGTTCTGATTTGTGGGTAGAGACCTAATGAGAATTAGACGGCGCATCAAAGTTGGGTAGTTCAAAGCCAACATCTGAGCTGGGCATCCACCCATCGAAAAGGCCACAATTTCGACTTGCTTGAATCCGAGTTGCACGATGAGTTCTGCGCAGTAATCTGCCTAACCTGAGTATGATGTAGGTACCTTGGCCGGTAGATCGGCCAATTCCAGCGTTATTAAAAAGAATCACGGGCCGCTTCTCGGCTATCTTGTTAATAGAAACCAGATCTATCTGGTTCATTGTAGCCCTACTTGGTGTGAGGTTATACTCGTTAATTAGAAGTAGGCTGGACTAACCTGAATGAAACGAGATAGATCACGGGAATCCCATTTTTCGGTCCCAGCTAACGATACGTAATTCTTGAGTCCTTGACCAAGATGAACTGATTAGGAGCATTCTCGTATTGAGCTATACTAACGTAGGTAAAGGCTGATACTGTGACCCTTTAATAGCCACGATAGTTGTTTTTCTATCTAGATTCCCTAGTCGGGTTCTAAGCCGGTTTTATAATTGTACTTTACGATTGAAATTATACTCTCTATAGCCCCAGAGATTAATCCCAATGTCTGGCATAAAATCGCTTAGGAAAAGATTGCCTAATGAGAAAAGCTTGGTAAATTATGCTGGCGGTGGAAGAGAACATTTCTTCTATTCTAAGAAGACCGCCGGCTTGCCGCTATTCGAACTTTATTATAAGCTCTGTTCTTAAGCATACACAGAAGCCAAGTGATAGCTGTATATGGCTGTTATGATTGGGGGTCGATAGGCGGGCGACTACTGTAGTTAATAGGCGACTTTATAGATGTGCTATAACTACCTTAGGTGAAGATGGAAAGCTAGTCGGCTGCCCTTCCTGTTTGTGGCCTTTGACAAGGCGAGATAGCAATAGGCGTACACTAGATGTCCTAGCGAAGCTATTAGCAATGCGATACCTGCATGGTGAAGAATGGAAATGACGTCCCTTGGAGTAAGTTAGTGCCGCTAATTCCACTTCACGATAGTAGACTTCGGAACGTCCCCGACCGAAAGCCATAAATCTCCTTAATGTCTGCATTCAAACTTTCACCGGCGCCGAAGCCAATCCGGGGCCAACGGGTACTGTTGGTATCACAGGCGTGACACATTTCCTCATGAGGGTGTATCTTCGGCAACAATCACGTCGATGTCCGTGATAATTGCTGTTGTTGTTCTTGTTTCTATTTACATTGTGGGCAGGGGTCGGTCGAAGTAGGTGGTGACGGCCTGGGTGGTTGCCCCACCTTAACCGGCCGTGGTGACTAAGCCAGTTGTCCCACTTCGCCCAGGGCAGGCGCCAGCCAGCCCACGATACCTGCCCATTGCTCCTTATCAGCCTTGCCGTTCCGACAGGTACTCATGGCTCTCAACACTGACAACTGACGGCAAGGCAGAATTACTCTTGGTGGAAGTTGACCTTGAAGCACTAGTTCTATAAAGAAGATAAGGTGTCTAGTATTTGGGGCGCTCCTGACTGAAGAGAGCATTAGATAGCATGAACTCTCTTCCTTCTACCTTAGCTTACGTTCGAAATCTCATAATATGAAGTCGGATTACCCTGAATTCAGGACCTTCGAAAAGTCATACCCCAGGATTGCTTTCGTCCCTGCACGCAGACTTCTCTCTACTACATCGCCAGAGATGTCGTGGCTTTGGCAGTGCTCGCGTATCTCGACTTCAAATACATTAAAGAAGATCAACTTGGACCCATACTATACTTCTGGCATGGACAGCGTACTCCTTCCTCCAGGGTCTCGTGTGTACCGGGATCTGGGTATTGGCCCATGAATGTGGCCACGGGTCGCTCTTCTCCTCAGCAAGAATGAACGAAACCTTTGGATTCATACTTCATTCTTTCCTGATGGTCCCGTACTTTTCCTGGAAGTACACTCACCGGCGCCATCATCGGTTTACAGGGCACGCAACTAGGGACGTCGCCTTCGTGCCAGCTATGAAACCAGCCGACTCTGACAGAGACATGTTCCCTCCTTCGGCGCCCATGGAAGAATCAGATGTCCCGATAGTACAAGTAGTCTCGCTAATGGGACAGCAACTACTCGGCTGGCCTTTACACGTTTTGTTCAATGTGTCTGCCGGTAAAGACAGTCTTCTGCGAGAGGTTTCCGGACCCTCTCATTGGTTGAGAGTCAGCAACTTTGATCCTTGGAGTTCTATATTCAGGGAAAACGAAGCATGACCCGTCTTGGCCTCAGACTGCGGTCTCGGCCTCATGGTTTTATTCTTGTTCTAGTGTAGCAAGGAACTTGGTGCAACCAGCATAATCCTGCTATATCTTCTTCCTTACCTATGGGTTAACAATTGGCTTGGTAAGAAGAAACGGTGAAACCCCTAAATCCTTAAGCTAAGGGAATCATCTTACGACAATGAAGCTTACATCGAAGTAGTCGCCATCACCTATCTACAACATAACCATCCCAGCGTCCCTCATTACACCGACGATGGATGGAATTTTATAAAAGGTGCCCTTTCAACCATTGATAGAGACTTTGGCTTCATTGGGAGGCACTTCTTCCATCTCATCATTGACAGACACGTGGTTCATCACCTGTTTCCGTAAGCGGTTCCTCTGAGAATGCCCTCACGCGCAATTAGTCGAATGAACTGAATGCTCTAACCCCATTCATAGAAGAATACCATTCTATAAAACAGACACAGCCACGGCTGCCATCAAGTCAGTATTGGGCGAGTTGTATCACTCCGAAGACAGTAGTTTTCTCGGCGAATTATGGTATCAGTTTCGCACTCTCAAGTATGTGGAAAATGACCCCCATCGTCCTGGCTGTACCCGGTGGACGTTGTAACGGGAGATATTGGTGGTATTGCGATTGATTGTATTCATAGAATAACGTATCAAGCTTAATCTGAAAGAAAGCGTTGCGTATTTAATAGCAGTATGGGCCCTTCATAGAACGCCTATCGCCCGCACATGAACACATTTGCATGTCACCTGACTCCTGACTCCCTTCCAAGTTCCAACATCGGCCCCATCTAGTTCTTACTTGGGTGTTGGCAGGTCTGAAGTTGAGCTAGCATGAGATGGCTTATGCTTGGGCTGCCATTCCTCAGAGTCCCCGATCCTGTCAGCTGTGATACCAGCTCTTCCAGCAGGGTTCAAGCCAGCCTCCAATTGCCTCTTGTAGGAAACGTTTCGTAGTCTCTCGGCTTCGGCTGGTGTGAGTTTCAACTACAAACAGATTCTATTAGTAATTGTCACAAACTAACATTTTCAGAAAAGGGAACTTACATATATCTCGATTCCAATTGCATGCAAAGCAAGGGCCAGCCAAAGTGCCATACCAAATGGCATACCCGCAGCCACACCAGCTTCAGCAGCGGATGTTGGGTTGAGAATGTCTGCGTGCACAATTGTTTGTTGACCAGGGTTCTCTCCAGAGAAGTAGGATGCACAGGCGGGATAGAGTTGGAGAGTCCGATTCATGTTGCCGACCATAAAAGCAACTTGATCGCAAGGACGTGCCGCGTAATAGGTTCCAATACTGCTAATCACAGCCGCAGCCGAGAACTGGATCAAACGAAGAGTGATGATGGAGCCAGCCTACATGCGATGTCAAGTAAGTTAACTGTTTGCATTTGGGATCTGTTGTGGCAAGCTTACGTAGAACCACGCTCGTAGCATCCATGCTCGATGCTGCTCGATCTGAAGTCGCTTGATATTGACAAATGCTAGGGTGAGCGCAGTGACGAACATGATTGCCATAACACCGATAGCAGCTTGGGTGTCCAGCGTGCCGCCAAAGGCATTCCTCGCAATCATTAAGGCGCCAGCGATTCCAACGAGTGCGAGGAGGATGACAACATAACCGTTGATGCGATGAAAGAGAAGGACTTTGTGACGAAGTACTGGCACAAACTGGAAACATGCCAAGAAGCCAGCGGGCAAGATTCCAGCAAGGTGTATTATGAGGCCGGCTTTCTCGTGGCCCTTTTGGTAGTTGAAGCATTCCCCTGGCGCTGCTCCCCTGCAGAACGTATCGAAGTTGAGGTACTGAAATCGCGCGAGGGTGAATCCCATGAGTGCACCGAAGAAGACGAAGAAAAGGACAAAGTTGTAGCCTTTCGAGAATCCCAGAGGGTTGTAAAGCTTTCGAGTTGCGGCGACGAAGCCATTGGCCGGCGGGCGAGTTGGCTGAACCATGGTGTCTTTACTGATGTGAACGGTGATGTCGGGGCTTTCTAGGACAGGTGTGGTGAATTCGAAATTGGATAAGTATGCAATTCTTTGATGAGACCAAGTTAGACGTTTTGAAACTGTTTTGATGAGTGTTCAACTCTTTGTATGCATTATTCCAGCCAAGTTTCAGTCTCTTATAGCTCGCAATTTGCGCATTCCGTTGTCTTCCCATCGCGATCCCATTCTTATCGAGACCATACTAACGCACTTTTGGAGTCGCAAATGCCAAGATCGACACGCACTTCTCTGCAAGGTCTGAGAGGCGCATGGACGATTTGGGAAAGAGAATGCGCGACAGCTTAGCATACGGGGGTTGCCGTGGCTCATTTTAGAGTCGAAGTTGAATTCTACCGCCCAAACGCCATCTTGGCGCCGAGAGTTGGTCCTAGGTCTGACTATTGTGAAGATCTCTCGATCTCTAACAGCATCTCACAGTCCACAGCACGCACAATGATTCCCAAACGGGGTTAGGCTCATTCCGCATCCGCAGCCGTTTGAGTGGATTCACGTAAGCATGCGGGCGTTAAACACGAGTGAGCTTGGCCGAATCCATCGCCCCAGATGTTTAAGCAGCGGCGCATCCTTCCCCCGTGTCTTGGAAGAGAATGTCGTCGTCATTGAGCCTGGTTGTGAATGTGTGTTTGATTATTCTGCAAGCCTCATCATTCTCTCCAGCCCTTTGACTGATCCTATAGTTGCTCAGCCATCTGGAGTCTGACGCATCCCACACCCAAGATCTTGGTATTTGTCCGCGCGCACCGTAGGGCGAAGGCTACATACAAGCTTACCGGTTGATCCCGCTGCGCACTCAGTACTTTTCGATTTAACTGCTGGCCCGAGCAGGACTTTATAATTCCTCCGTGGTCATAAACGGGCCACATCCCTCGCCGTCACCTTGCCTGTTTGAGAAGCATCTCGCGCCGGGAACCCACTCTCCCTGAGATCCTTGACACATTCAGCGACATGGTTGGAGTTCCCGGGCGCTCCAAAGGGTGCAACACGTGCAGGAAGCGTAAGAAAGGCGTAAGTTTGCCAAGATGGGCTGGTCTATTCGTTCATTATAACAACGACGCGTTGCACTGCTGACGGAAGTGCTCCCAGTGCGACCTGCAACGACCTTCATGCGGGCAGTGCCTAAAGGCTGGCTTAGAATGTGCAGGCTACGAAAGGAAGCGCATCTTTGTCAATGTCACCAAGCTATCAACAGGCAAAGACTTCAAGGTGACGACTTTGATGCCGGTCTCACCTGCGCTGGTTCAAACACGCTCGATGTCTCAGTCTGCCTTTGAGGAGCGGATCCTCGAGCTCTTTTGGGATGGCTATATGCCTGACGCTCCGCTATATAGTCCCAGGAGTCCTGTCATGCGATATTCCAACGCAGACTGGGCAATGACCGTGCGAGATCTCTACCGCACCGACGCCGCCTTGCGCCTGAGCTTACTGGCACTGAGTCTGGGTACAATAGGTCGTCGCGACAAGCAGCAGTGGATGATAGACGATGGTCTCAAGTTCTATTGCAATGCTTTGACTGAGATGAATGTTGCCCTGAGATATCCAAGGAGATGGAAGTCAGATGCCTTGATGGTGACTTCAAGAATCCTCGGCTTCTATGAGGTGAGCGGGTCATCCCCGGCTGAGAGAACCACGGCAGCTTACTAACTCCTATCCAAAAGCTGCTCTATGGCGCAGACGACCGAGAGCGACATGGCATCTCTCAAGCAGAAAGCTGGGAGGGCCATTCTTTAGGCGAATTAGCCCTGATAATGCAGCGGACCCCGGAGGGCCATATCGACGGCCATGGCCACGACTTGTACGCTTCAGGGCGGCTTCATCTGGTGAGTTGAAGCCCATCCTGTTATTTGGGCTCACAAACATCTGTGTATGTCATACTAATGGTACTTATCTTGCAGGTCATATCTCACATCAAGCGTAGACGAAGGTTCCCGCTAAGCCATCCAGCTTGGAAAACCATCCCGTGGCAGACTATCCCAAAGACCCCGAAGGATATCCTGATTGATGTGTTCGTCGACGTCCCTGGACTTCTTGAAGACCTGGATCAAATGAATAGCTGTAAGGACCCAGAGGAGAAAGAATTGAGGCGCAGCGCACTCATCCAAGAGTGTTGGCGAGTTGACGAAGAGCTCAACTGGTGGCTCGATAATCTGAGCCCAAAGAAAGAACTTGAAGAACTCGCGACTCGGGGCTCGGATAGTCCGACAGCTTGTGACGTTGCCGTTGCCTCGATCATCACGTTATACTGGACGATCTGTATCCTCACATACAGCACTCTCCGCCTTGCAATCGGGCCAACATCTTCGGCGCTGCCCGAGCGAACGGACCCCCGTCTCTATTGCACAAAGATCGCCAACATTGTCGACGTCTTCTTCCATCCATCCGCGGGGACGTTCGGAATACAATCAGCGCCATTGCCAATCGGCATGGCTCTGGTATACCTGAACTCGTACGAAGAAGGGTTCAACTCTGAAACCAAGTATAAGCTGGTGAGCTTCTTTGAACGGACGGCAAATAACGGCATCAGTATTGGGAAGTTTTTGATGAGCACCCAAAGAGATGGGCTCAAGCCCAAGACCAGTGTGGAAATTTCGCCCGAGGGTATCAAGGCAAAAGCAAGAAGTTGGCTGGGCATAGTGCCCCGAAAGGGACCAGTCTGCCAACCATTGCAAGCATCTTCAAGCCAAACACTGGCCTGCCAGTGAAGCTTCCTGTGGTTTTGAGGCAGGCAAAGCGATGTGAAAGAAGCACAATTTCTCCCTCTGCGGGGGCAGCTGTTTCAGCAATTGCTTTTACGCAATTCTTCACTAGCTCGCCGAAATGAGGGCTTCGCGACTCCACACATCAACCAACCAGCTGCATAATGCGCAAAATTGTCCACAACACCCATCGAATTGACACAACATCGTCAACAACCTCATCAGCCCTGGTGGTCTAGCGGTATGATTCTTCCTTAGGGTTATTGAGCATTCAAACACCATCTTGGAAGAGGCCCCAGGTTCGAATCCTGGCCAGGGCCCGCATGACTTTTTGTCTTCCCGAGGACCTCGTCGTTGATTATCTGATAGATTGATTCTCTGCATTTTTGCATTGTTCTGATCAAGCCTCTTCAAGCCTCATTGTTTTTCACTGTATGATTGTTCTCTATGGAGTGCATGCAACCGAGGAAGACCCTAGATAGCTATGTAGAGGTGCTCGATGCCAGGAAACTTGGTGTTGTGAACGGGTCTGACGAACCATGCAACAGATGGCATGGCGGTCTCATTTTGGCCGCCGAAGAACATATGTCAGAAGCCTTGGTGAGAGTAGGTCGATTCAACATTGCTTCCAAATCACAACTTCTTCATCTAGTACCTTGCCCATCTGAATCTCAACGCTTCGTCTAGTGAGTGGCCCAATCTCAGGTCTCATAACAGCCCATGTGAAGTGATATTCCCAGTCCTTCACTCAAGAATGAGTACCCCTCAAGAGGCCCGGCGATCCAATTGACCCGGTTCCCGACTCTACCGAGAGGTCGCCAGCACACAAACACCCAACCACGCCTAAGCCACTTTAGGCGGCGTGCATAATGTAGCGAAGCGGACAGATATGGAAGCTCCCGTGCTATATTGCTGTCGTAACCCCATCATAGCTGTTGTTGCTAAGATCATGGGCAAAGCCGGGCTAAACTGAACCTCTTTTAAATATGCGGTCAGTCAACATCGTCGGTTTCGCCTCTCTGTAACTCTCCCGCTATTGGTTTGCCCGGGTTCGGGCAAAGGTCGTGTAGGTCTGAGCAGTAAAGCTCCTGAGAATGACTGCTCAACACAATATTGCTTATATTAAAATCTCGATCAGTTGGGCTTCTTTCGATTCATCGACATCGTCAGGGCGTCATGACTTTCTATACGAGAGGCTGGATGTAGAGGATACTACAACTATGCGAAGACCTTTGCGGCGCAGCTTCAAGTTGAGTCGCGATATAAGACAAGATGCGACGAACTCTTAGACTCGAAAGAAGGGGCATCAACATCAACACATCAATTGACCATCATCTCATCACACTTCAACCTTCAATCCCGGGCAATCATACCTCGTCGCAAACAATACAGTAATTCCCAATAACTTCATCATGCGTCTTTCAATCTTGCCTGCCTTCCTTATGGCTGGTGTCTCTATGGCCCAGGGAGACATTGCTGCGCTCCTCGCCTCTCAGCCCGACCTCAGCACGCTGCTTGAACTCCTCAGTCTCGTACCCGGACTTGCAGACACTCTCGCCTCATCTTCCAACATCACTATCGTGGCCCCTCCGAATCAAGCATTTGCCAACGTGCCCCGGGATATCCCCGAGGGCGAGGCTATCGAGTATCGCAACAACATCATTGCAATCGGCGCACTCCTTGCAAACCATGTCTTCAAAGGAGTCTATCCGTCGAACGTTATCACCGACGTTCCTACCTTTGCCCAGACCTTGCTTGATGGCTCTTACGTCGATTACAGACAGCCTTTCTCCAACTTCACAGGTGGCGCCTACAACGGGCTCGTGAAGAATGGCAAGGACGTCTGCATCTTGTCGGGAGAGCAGACCATCTCCACTGTCACTCAGGCTGTTCGTGTCCCCCTGATCTAGAACTCCAAGTAAGCAGTGTACTGACATGGAAAATAGGACATCAAACTTGGAGAGGGGATCACTATCCACAAAATCGACACGGTCCTCTCCTTCGGTGCCCCGTTCCAGCTCTTCACCTTCCGAGCGGGCTACCTCGCCATGAACGCCGCCTTGGAAGCTGCGCACCTTAACCTTGCTTTTGGCGAGACTGGTGCTGATGAGCAAGGTCTCAACATCTCCGACTACACCATCTTTGTTCCTACCGATGAGGCCTTCAAGTCAATTGGCTCCGTTCTTGAGACTGCCAGCCTGGAGACGCTTCAGGAGGTTCTTCGCTACCACATCATTCCCAACAATGTCATCTTCTCGCCGTCCTTGGGCAACGTCACAGTTCCATCTCTCCAGGGGACCAACCTCACATTCACGGTCTTGCCCGATGGTTCAGCCTGGGTTAACAACGCAAGAATCACGTTCCCCAACACGATTTTGTTCAACGGTGTCGCCCACGTCATTGACAGGTCAGTGGAATTACAATCATCATAGCAGATGTGCGTTGGACTAAACTCTACTTAGTGATCTGAGCCCTGGAAACTTTGATAGATCTTCCTTGAAGCCAGCGGCACCAGCATCTGAGCGAGTCGCTTTCCAGGGCGCATCCTCAGTTTCAAGCCTGCCTTTCACGAGCGTCTCCTTCGCGACGGACATGATGGCATTCACAGCAACACCCTCTTTGCTTCAGACCGTTGCTGCCGTCGCTACTGCTACCGCTACTGGTGCTGCTAATGCGACTGCCACGACTTCTGGCAAGCCGAGTTTGGTCCCAACTAGCAACGGTATTGACCTGTTCCCCGGCATGATATTGGCCCTTTCCGTGGTTACCGGCATCGCCGCGTTCCTCATTTAGGTCTTCCTGGCCCTGATACGACTCGCATGGAAAGAGTAGGAGAGGGAGATGGCTAAATGAGGGAAGCAAACACAATTTCTAATAAGATGCCCGCTGAACGGTCCTAACGTATATATATGCTCTGAGTACTTTACGCTTTCATAGATAATTAACCACACTGCATTCATCGAGGTATTTTAAAAGAGCCAGCCCGCAAGTACAGCTGATAAGCTACGCTCTTTTCAACCTTGTCATTCTGGAAGAAAACATGTGCATCGAGATCGTCTTTGTGGCCCAAACGAGTATACCATCCAGTCAAAGTCTTATTTGGTTATAGAGATCACATAGTAGATACGATTACTGGATACTTGAACCGGCTAATCGTTGCGGCTCTCGTAGACACTTCCGGAACGCCCTTGGCACGTGAACTCCTATATATAGGTATTGGACATGTCTTGGGTACTTTTGAAGGCACCCGTGCTTATGACTGGACGTTAATGTAAGAGATCTAAGATGTATATTAACAGAAGCTGTGATAACGTGCAAGACTTATCACGCTGTTCATATGGCGCTTTTAATATCAATTCGTAAATCTGACTCTATAGTGTTGAACTATAAAAACAATGTCTTTGATCAGCTGCGTAGGGCAGATTTGTTTTGGGTTCAAGGACGACGTTAGCTAAGGTACAGAAGGAGGTTCTCTGAACCTACTTGACTATCTCTAACTGCACGCATCAATGAGATCAGCTTGTAGATACTTGAATATTTCTCACTAGTAATTAGTGCCTACTTGCAAGTATGGCTACTTTACAATTGCCATCTCTTCCCATGTAGGACTCAAGAAAACCTCGGCAAGTCGACTTTACCTGCACACATGCAAGTCGATCGGACGGGGCGGCTCCGTGCATGCTCCGTACACCCCCATTCAGTCTCTCGCAGCAAGCACCAGACTAGACGCAGGCAGCGGCAACGTGCCACGGGGTTTCACGATGGGCCGATAGTTAAATTGTGGTGGTTCGGCAACCACAACATGCGATTTATCCTCCACCATGGGCCGTTGTGGTCCGTGATTCCGTGTGGGTGAAAAACTGCGAGGAGTAAAACCCGGCGCTAGCACCGCTGTGCGAGGGCCACTTTTTCCGGCATCGTCTCGCCCAGGCATGACCGGTCTGTTGAGCGAAGGATGGCGAGAGACGATCGTCTCGGGTTACACAGTATGCCATATGGGGTTCTTTTTATATGAATTTCAATGTTTTTATTCTTTTGTATTTGAGTGGTTTTGGTTTGTTGTACTGAGAAGTGACAGGTATCTTGTGCATAGAGACGAGTGAAGAAATTTGGTATGCTTTCCTCCGAGCATTCCGTCTCCGGAGCCCGCCGTCTCTCGTACACCGACGCCGGTGCTGCGAAAATATTGATACAATCAAAACAAGGGTATGGGGGTATTGGTCATTGGAAACAAGTATAAATCCAGACGCCAAAAAGAAGCCAGCCCGTTCATTGTCGCCACCGTTCCATCAGGGGAGTAGAGTCACACGGGATGGCCGTGTAGGTTGTTTGCTGATGTAGCGCCGCAAAATTTTCGTTGGAGCCTCAAGGCTGCGAGGTTGTGAAAAAAGCTTGAGGTGTCTGGTGGATGAAAGCTCGGAATTCATCGGCTTGGGTGGTAATGTGGGGGCCATTTGCCAGCCTGGTTGATGTGGGGGTGTGGTGTAAGTTTTTCCCCTTTTCTTTGGTGTTGGGCTTCGGAGCCTCTCTCGGTGCAATGTAGACACCGTCGTATTGGAAGACTTTTCAATTCATCTTGAACGGCGTTACATCTCGAGGATTGTTGATTTAGAGGCAGGTTCGGCACTCGTGGTGGCCGCAGGACGGGCACGAGTTGCTGATGACGATCATGCTTCCGCACTTGCAGCAGGAGGGAGCGACGGGCATGTTGGCGGTTGATTGGGTGAGAATTGGTTGGTGTTGTTGATGGGTTGTGAACGTTGAGAGCTGATGTGGCTTGCTTCAGAGAGTTGTCTTCTTTGTCGTCGAGAGGAATGGTGTTGATGGAAGATGGGAGGGAATCCAGAGGAAGAAGGAGGAGGAAAGGCTCGCACTTATAGACATTTACCTTGCCCACCTTCAGCCCTCGAACGTTCATTCATTTGCGGCGGAACTCTACCTCAACCCAGCCAACCCTCTTCGGAGACTTGGACCCCTGGTCTGTCCGTAATGGTTGTGGTTCGGAGGTGTATGTAAGTGGTGGTGTGCACGGCTCAGCCGGGTGTACATAGTAAGGTAGGCCGAGGAGGATGAGAGGCAAGGCAAAGTAAGGGAACATCGGACAACCCAAGACAGGGTAGGACAGAGTTTGAGCAAGCAAGCGTCAAAGAGAGAAAAAGACGTCTGCTAGGTATGCCAGGTTCATGGTTGGCTGGACCCTGAGATGGGTTGCCCGCCGCCCGCGCAGACACACGGCCAGGGCCCAGCAAATCGGCATGCCGATCGAGTCGAATGCGGGGTTTAGTTCAAACGTTGACAGGGCCTTATTACAACTCGAGAACTCAATAAAAGTGCGAGAAAGACATTCATACACCGAAAGGGTGAGAAGGATGTAGTGAGTAGTACCCCCCAGCCGCCGCCCTAGCTAGGTATGTGCTGCGCTTGTCTTGTCTCTCAACTCTCTCATCTTCTTCTCGCGGGCGAATGACAACCCGAGGAGACCGCACACATCGTAGCACTGGTGAGAAGGCCTGACGTAGGTGTAAGGAACGTGCGCCAGAGCGCCAAGAGAGAACAGAGTTGGGCGAAGCGGCGAAGGGGGAGAATGCGACTTCGGCGGAATTCCTGTGATTCTCTTACCCTCAGCCATCGAGTAACACTTTTCGGATAACAACCACACGTTTGCTCCCATTCAGCTTATACTTTCTACCGCCAAGAACCAGCTCCCCCAGCCCTTACCCTTTCTCCCCCATCGGCAGGCTCCGGGGTTCGGCGGGTGAAACGCAGCGCTTGGAGATGCACAGATGAAATTGTCTGTCCTAGGTTGTGGGATGGCACACACCTTGACGCGCCTTCATTCTAGCGAACTCTCTTGTCGGCTTTCCATTCATCCATCTCTCCTCGCTACCTATCTGAAAAGGCAGCCATCTCTGCTAGAGATGCACAAGTGAGGCGTGGCACGACGCCCGACGGAGTTATACCCGGTAACAAAACTTGGAGCTTAGGGCATTCAACAAGACAGCGCAGCTTCCGGAAGCTCCAGACAGCTGCCAGCTAGCAGGCCTAGCTCCGAAGAATCCGACCTCTACTGTATAGATGGAGGGGGGGGGGGGGGGACTTGAAGCATTCACCCTCACCCATTTTGTCATCTGCGTGCATGAGGCGCGGGAGATGAAAGTAGTGAGTAAAGTACTCTGCAGTTCGTCTCACAAGCTTTCTTGTAGCGCGTCTCCGGGTACACAATCCCCCCACGTCGCTTGCGCTGCAAGTTGCGCTTCGCTGCACGAAGACCTGCAGGCAGCTCGACGCGGCCAAGGGTACACTATCTGTAGTCCGGTCCCGGGGCAAGGGGGGTAACACACACACCTGGCAGTGGGTTGGACCAAGACATCGTGGGCTTCCCGTTCATTGGATGACGACGATAATTATGCGAATGCTGGGGAAATGGAAATGGAAACCGAGCTAATGAAAGGCCCGCGATTACAATGTGGAGAGAAGACATGGAAGATGGAGGGGGAAGTTGGGGGGGATGCTATCCGAAAAGGAGGGGGGACACCACGATGCAGCCAACAGCCGCCGGGCTACTCGGGTTGAATGCCGGCGATGGGAATCCAGAGGATAATGTGGGAGGTTCTGACTCCTCGACCGGAGGCTTGAGCTTGTCAGTCACTCTGACGATCCAACTGCCTGACCATCCAGCTCTCATTCCGCCCGAGCTCGAGCTCCAAAGATGAACACAAAAGGTGTTGATCTTGGTATGCCAACGAAACGATCAACTCTCGCCCAACCGTCTTCCCGCCCCCTGAGGGCCCTGACGGCATGTCTCTCAGCTACCCCGCAAGATGAGCGAGATCGACTCAAGTGAGATCTCTCGACGCGAAACGGTCAGACTTGACGCTTTGGGGGGGGGGAGTGAAAGTGGAAAACCTGGGGCAAGAATGGCAGCCTCTGGGAGGCCAAGCAGTCGCATCAGTTCCCGCGCCACTGAACCACGGACGGCAAGGTTCCTCGATGATCTGGGGTAGCTCTGCTTCAGCCTTCAGAAGCGGGCGGTGACTTTTGGCGAAGGTTTCTAACAAGCAAACGCCACACTGCATGACACAGTAGAAGGGAGGGTGTATGTATCGATACCATAAGGACACCTAACTAACAGTCAATCCGGGGGAAGAATAAGACGGGCGAAAAACACCAAAAACTTCTTCGACAGAGCGGCAAATGAGTCCACAAAAATAGGGCTCCTCTCAATATGAAGATGACCAAAAATAAGGACAAAGGGAATGGGGCATTTCAATGCGGTCTCCGGCTCACACCGAAATAAGAACGTGGAGATGAATCGACTGACAGACAGCCCACGACTCAAGCTCGACAACACGCTGGCGAGGAGACATCCGGCGATGTCCGTCAAACGGGGCCTTTTCTCAGATCTACTCCTCCGTCGTCAAACGACCTAACCCCGTGCAAGCATGAAAATGAGGCATTCTCGCGGCTATTCGAGACCCAACCCCCTCAAAGGTTTGGCGGGTGCCAAGCGAATGAAAGACACTCGGTTGTCATTGCGTTGTATTGCGCCGATATTTTCCTTCTCTCAACGGCGGTCTGTTTTCGTGCTTGTCTTCCTCCCCATGACCGAATGAGTTGAATGTATTGACTGCACACGTGCACAAGTCGGAGTTTTATCCTTCTCTCGTATGTTTGAGTTCATTCTTGGTCAAGGGACTTCTTGGCACCAGGCGTGGAGTGTCGTAGCACAGCCTGATGACGATGCCAAAGCGCTTCCAGACGTGGGTGGGTAGCGCGAGTGTCTCAACTGCATACTACAGTCTCTATGTTCTCGTCCTCTATCCCATCATCACGGCATACCCCTTTTATGTCTATGCGACTTTGCGTCGGAAGAAGTGACTGAAGACTACACGCACGAGGTTGCAAAGCCGCGGTGGTCGTTGGTATGTGCCTTGAGTGTGCCCTGGCAGGCAACGAAGCGACAGTTCCGAGCCATCAGCCGGCACTAACTTCAGGCCCCTCAAGCAGAAGGTGAACCATCGCCGTCAGTGACCAAGCGGCGCCCAGAACTCGGTATACCGGCTCAACTCTCGTCTTTCTACATACCTACCTAGTTAAATTTCCCCCTTTCTCCAGACCCCAAGTTTAGCTATGACGCAAATGTTTCTGCTAAAAGTTGAACGCACGTGAAACTCTAAAAACGGCGTGACAGGGACCCCTGTGGGGACAGAGTTGCCCTCAGAACAGCGGCCATCCCCGTCTTGGACTTGGGGTTTCTCAATGCAACACACCAAAGACGCTCTGCTGGATCTAGCTGCTGTGCGGCGCAGCCTGTGCTAGCGGAAGGCAGATGGAGCGAATCATCCTCCGTTGCTGCGAGGCATAATGGACATCCTAGCAAAAGATGGACGGGAGACTGGGGGCCCCTCATGTGGCAAAGGGACGCTGTGTCACAGCGTTCGAAAATGCCAGAGTTTCTGAGCAGGCCAAGGTTCCCTGAGGGAAGAGATCTCACCACCATTTTCTACTTTTGACTTCCTGCAGAGAGTTTGAATGACCTTTCCACCGTCTGTGATCTAGATCGACTTGAGACGATGAGGGTAAGCTGAAGCCTGAAAGGGCCTTGCGTTGGCCGTGTGCGTCTGACACCAGCGGCGTCTGAGTCACTCGCCTGTCAGCACTTCAGCCTACGTCTACGGGCAACTGGAATAGGCTAGGCAGAATATTTCAGATCTCGGGAATGAAATTGGAGATATGGCACAGGAAGAGGCAGAGTCCAGGATGAAGCCAGAACTTTGGTGCATCCGGTGCATTATATGTCCGTCGGATAGAGAAGGAGGATGCTCTTTATGCGTCTCTCGTAGGTTGGTCCACCTAGAAGCCTTCTGGTGGGGAGAAATGGCCGAGGTCTTTGAGCAAGTTCACCGAGGCGAAGCATACCACACCGCCACATAGCAAATTACCGCGACAAACACCGTTCCCCAAAGACTGAGCACAATCAGAATGCCTTGCGATATGCCAGCCCCACGGCCCTCGTCCGAGAGCCCGGCACCGAATGGCCGGCTCGGCCAGGCTTCGGAGACCCACCCAAAGCCCGAACGAGAACAGCCTCTTTGTTCGAGCTATTACGTGAACACTGTCCTTCCACACCCAAAGCTTTTTGGTATACCGTCACGTTGGCCCTTTTTACAGAAGCATAATCCCACTTAGCCTTTAGGCAGAAGCAGCTAAGTAGCATTCATCTGAAAACCCGTGGAGCGATTTAGGAGAGCTGGTGTAAGCTATCATTGGATAATTAGCATGTGCTCAAGAGAGAGACCGTTGAATTGGCCTCCGAGTGAGGCCGAATCCATTGTTAGGTGTCAGCCTACGTCCCACCGCATGTACGGGTATCCCACAAAGGATTTGTTCCAGTCATCCGGCGACGAGGCCGATTCTGTATTAAAGCAGGCAACCTCAGGGTAAGTCTCACCTTGTAGAATGTGCACCTCTCAAGACCTGCATTCAAACTCGCATCTCAGATCGATCTCGTGATTGTCACGCTTGAACTTGAAACACAACTATCAACAAGTCTAATACTATTTCACAATGGTTGTCTCATCCGTTCGAGTTCCCAAGAACCCAACAGCTTACGACATCTCTTAGGTCATCAAGCACCCCCTCCGAAGTGGCTCTCAGAGCACCGACGATGCCATGGTCAAAGACGAAGACACTAAGTCAGAATCTTCCTTCGAAGATCCCAAGTACGCAGACGTCGAGGCAGAGTCGTCCAGGTGTGATACTCCAACGGCCACGATGACGGAGTACGATACTTCAGACGACGTTGCGTTGTCTCTCCACCCGTTCGCCGAGCGGGACGGCCTCATCGCGAAGATCACTCCGCCTAAACAACCCGAGAAGCCAACAGTCCACGTCCCCTGCGACATTGTCCTCGTCATCGACGTCTCGGGCAGCATGGGCGCCAACGCCCCGATTCCAGCCAACCCTGGTGAGGTAGCAGAGAACTATGGGCTGTCGGTATTGGACTTGGTCAGACACGCTGCCCTCACCATTGTAGAGACCCTGGATGAGGGTGACAGGCTCGGTATCGTCACCTTTGCATCCCAGGTGAAGGTGGTTCAGGAGTTGATCCCGATGAACAAGAAGAACAAGGGTCTTGCCAAGAAAAACATCAAGAAGATGGTACCCACGGATGCAACCAACTTATGGCAAGGCTTGATGGAAGCTATCAAGCTGTTCGGCCGGGGATCAGGCGGGAAGACGGGACGTGTTCCGGCTATGATGGTACTGACGGATGGACAGCCAAACTTGATGTGAGCCTTGTCTACGTGCTTGTGTTGAGAGTCTCTGGAGCTAATCCTTACGAAGGTGCCCTGCCCAGGGATACGTGCCAAAGATGCGTGAAGAAGTTAAGAGGCTCAAAGATGGGCGGCTACCAGCCTCGATTCACACATTCGGCTTCGGATACAACTTGAGATCTGGTCTTTTGAAGTCGATCGCCGAGGAAGGTGGTGGGAACTATGCCTTCATTCACGATTCCGGCATGATTGTAAGTTTATGCGTGTCCGTTTTCTTGTTGCAATAACTAAGATTGTAATCAGGGAACCGTCTTTGTTCATGCTGTCGCTAACTTACAATCAACATACGCCATTAATGCCACGTTGCGCCTTACCTATTCTCCCTTGCTTAGCATTGAAGAGGCGATGGGCGAGTCTGTTAATAAGCAAGAAGTAGAGATCCTTGAAGGTGACGTGAAGAAGGTTATACCAGATCGGCATGAGCTCTCCATCTCACTCGGAAATCTGCAATACGGCCAGTCAAGGGACATCTACCTCCGGGTAAATGCACCCGCGAAGCTCACCTCGGAGGATGCGGTTGTCAAGGCCTCGATCCAGTACTCTCGCATGGTAAGCAGCATTTACGAACAAAGCACCTCACAATCGCTCCTGGTCCCGACAACTCTTCCCGAATCTGAGCTCGCCTACCACCTCTCTCGCTCTAAGATCTGTTCCTTCCTCTCGACCATCATCCCCATTGCTCCCGACGGCGAGCATAAGGCCTTGTCCCGTATCTCACCCGAGAAGATCCAGGAGCTAAAGGCCCTCATCAAAGACCTACCAGCAAAGCGTTTTCCATCCGACCCGAACAATAAGTCCCTCAACGAGGATCTCGAGGGCGCTCAGCCAAAGGGCCAAGTCTCTCTGGCCTTGACGAACGGGGAATACTACAGAAAATGGGGCGTCCACTACATACCCTCATACTTGAACGCGCACACCCGCCAAATCTGCAACACCTTCAAAGACCCTGGGCCGCTACGGTACGGTGACGACAGTCCTCTCTTCATCGCGTGCAGGAACAGGTTGGATCACGCGTTTGACAGCATTCCTCCGCCCAAACCCTCCAACCAGCACACCGCTACCCACCGCGGGCGAGTGCACATGAGCCACTACAACAGCTCCTCCGGCGTATGCTTCATCGCCTCGACGCCTGTACGTCTCGCTTCGAACCGCAGCGTTCCTATGAAAGCTCTCCGTAGGGGCGTAGAGGTGCAGACGCCTTCTGGTCCGCGCAGGATCGTCGCTATTCTGAAGACGCCTGTGCAGAGGGAGATTATGTGCCGTGTTGGCGAGCTCGTCGTCACACCCTGGCATCCCCTGTCTCTCAATGGTGGCAAGACGTGGACCTTCCCGGCCAATGTTGCGGATCGGCCTGTGAGGTACACCGGCTGCATCTACTCGGTTCTGCTTCAGCCAGACCGAGACTCGAAGGCTCATGCGATCAACGTCGCAGGTACATGGGGCGTGACTCTTGGTCATGGAATAGTCACAGGGCAGGACTCGAGGGCCCATCAATTCTTTGGCAACTACAGAAAGGTTGTCAGAAGCCTCAGAAAGATTGGGGTCAGCAAGAAGGGGGTTGCCATGGGCGGAGGTGTAAGCAGAGACTCAGTTACTGGGTTGGTATCTGGGTTTGCTCCTCACACGAAGCGGAATTTGAGTCTGAATGGAGTTGTGAATAATGCTATCTGTATGGCTTGATAGGATTTCTTCTTGTTTTCCTTCCTTCTTAGAACATAGTCGCACACCCGGAGCCCGTGGACTGAGCACGTATAAACGAAACTCATTTAAGGCGTAATTATTCAACTAATTAGCAGACTATAGATAGGTATGAACTGAGTTTATTCAAGTCAAATTCTGTCGGCTCATTGTGTCTGTCTTTCTAGGGGGGTCGCCGGACGATAATTGAGAGGATAAACACTCGTTTCAGTCTATCGCAATGAGACATGGGTGACACTGCTCTCACAAAACCAGCACTGTCTAAATACTCGTTTGCTCGTGGTGCGTTTAATGCCTAGACTATGCCACGACAACAGGCTTATTATTTTTGATTTGTTTGGATTGATGTCATTTCCAGTTGCATCTCTTCATGATAAAAGAGCGACTTCAGGACTTGAGTGCACATATAGACATGCACCTAAGGAGGATGTAAGATGCGTCTTTCCCATATCACCCTCATATCGGTTCCTTCATGCAGTGGCCTTCATGATCGCCGCACCCAAGGCATCGACTTGATCCCCCGTAACCTTGGTGGCCGATGTCTTGAACCCCTCGTTGAACGGGAAGCGCTCCTGCTCAAAGATAATGTTCATGAATTGTTGTACTTACACAAGGGAGAGCGCCATCTGGGTATGACTTAGACTTTGGAAGGAGCGTGGTCTTGGTCGTGCCTTCCGCACGTGACTCATTAATATCCTCATCCGAATAAACGAGAAGGGTATATACCCCCCCTCATCTCCATTCCTGTCACCAGCACAGCAGGCGCCCTCTAGGTCAGGGGTCAGGTCAAACTGTGGCGTGGTGGTGGAATGGTTAATGGTCACCAATTATTCACGCCAACCAGCCTACTCGACGACAGGCTCAGCGCATACGAGTACCCAAGTTCGAATCCCGGCATGAGCACTAAAAGTCTCCCAGCATGAGCACCAAGAGATGTAGCCCCCAGTTCAGCACCGGGGGATTGAACTCTTTTTATTTTTCTCAAGTGGTCCTCATCTTCTTAATACAGATTCACGCATCAGCGGTAAACTCCTCTAAGGTAGAAGAAAATTGGCTGAACAGTACCATCTGGTCAACATCAAGGCGACAATAACACGTACGCCTAATAATACCGATCTTCAGTCGTATATCAAGTCTGAAAGCTGTTGTTTGATCCGATTTCGGCGTTAAGAACACGGAGCCTCTCCTTCTCCGTGTTGTGCGTGCAGAGGGTGGTTCCCCATAGGAAACGGGGTGAGGTTGGGTGACGGAAACTATATGTACCCACAACTACCTAAATGCAGTAGAGGGATCTCTCTTTTGTATATGGCGCAACGGTACAATTCCGAATTCTGTCATTGGGCGTATGGCCGTGACTAAGCGGAGGAGAAACAACCAGACAAGCTCCGATGACATAAGTCACGGAGGACAAATTGGCTCCGGCATGAGCAGATTACACCCTTGTCTGCCGAACCACTGTGCCTCCGACATCTTCAGTGACACACACGTTCTAAGTGATCCAGAAATATGGCGATGCTTGACATCGTTGGTCAGATTGCGTGGTGGAGCGCTTGGTTGGGCAGGAGCATTGGGTGAGGCTCCTTATCAGATCGAGACATGACGGATCTCAAGACTAGGGTATCCAGCTATAAGTATGGCGGCTTCCTGCGAAGAACTCGTCTTGGATGCTTCGCGCATTCGCCGATTGTCTGAATCATCCTTTGCATATCTAACTAACATTCCGCAAAAATGGCCAAACTTCGCGCTACTTGGGCTCGACTCGCATCTAACGACCGCCTCAGGCGTTCTTCACAGGCAGTATCGGTGGTCGGTAACCAAGCTTACGTCTTTGGCGGTGAGCTCCTCCCACGAAAGCCTGTAGACAATCAACTCGATTTTGTCGAGCTCCATTCCGAGAAAGGTACACTCGCAAACCTATCCGTACCCAATTCTCACCACTGACGGACCTCCGCCAAGACCATCTCAATCGACACCGAAGCCCCAACTCCGAGAGTCGGAGCGCCCAGCACGGCGCTGAAAGATGCCTTCTACCTCTTCTCCGGCCGCGGCGGTATAGCCATGGAACCTGTTGAGGAAACTGGTGGCGTCTGGCGATACACCCCGACCCAAACTCGCTGGGATCTCCTCAAGCCGACCGACGCAAGCGCACCACACCCAGCTGGTCGTAGCTACCACTGCACCGCCTCAGACGGCAACAAGACCATCTACGTCCACGCAGGATGCCCAGAGAAGGGCCGCCTCTCCGACTTGTCGTCCTTCGACATCGAGTCAAAGACGTGGAAAGAGCTCGCAGCAGCTCCTCCCCCAGCACGCGGCGGCGCGTCTATCGCCTTTTCTGGGGGCAAGCTGTACCGTATGAACGGCTTCGATGGCACTTCGGAGCAAGGCGGTGCTCTCGACGTCTATGACCCTGCTTCCGCTGCGTGGTCTACAATTTCGTACAAGCCAGACGGTGTCCAGGGTCCCGAGGCACGAAGTGTGTCTGCGCTCGTGGCGGTTGAAGTCGACGGCAAGCCGCATCTTGTGACGCTCTTCGGTGAGCATGATCCTAGTTCGCTAGGCCATGCTGGTGCTGGGAAGATGCTCTCAGACTTGTGGGCTTTCGACGTTGACGGTGGGAAGTGGGAGAAGGTATTCTTCGAGAGAGATGCGCCGCCGCCGAGGGGATGGTTTGATGCGGATGTGGTGGTTGATGGAATCAAGCAGAGTGTGGTTGTTCATGGAGGCCTTGCTGAGGATAACTCGAGACTCGGGGACGTCTGGAGACTCAACTTCGCCTAAAGTGGGGGTTTCTCGATGAACAGAGATTGGTATTGCTAGTCACGGTAACATTGAATTGAACTTGATGTTAGAAAGAGGAAATGAGTGGAAGGGAATCTACTCAACGTCCTTCACCATCCAAATTGACCCCTTCTCTTCCGTAGGATACACCCGGAATCCCAGCTTCTCGTAGAAGGGCACCACCTTGTCGTTCTCGCCACCAACGCCGATATGCACGCCCTCGCCATATAGCCTATTCCCGCTCGAGCCGCCATAGCGCTGGTCGGCCTCTTTCAGACTCTCGACGAACTTGTCAATCAGCTTCCTTCCCCAGCCTTTACCCTGCCACGGCTCCAGCAGGTCAATATGCATCGTAGCCTTCCAGTTGCCCCAAAGCTCCTTCCTCTCATCATCAAGCACAAGCCATGTCGGGTTGAAAGCCTGCTGCAAAAGAGCCTCCTCATTCACCTCGCCCGTGTCTGGGAAGTTCCATGGCTCTTTCGTCTCGAGACTCTTGGGCTTCCTCCCGTCCAGCTCCTTGGAGGTCTCAAGGACCTCCTTGATGTACCGCGGGTACGCAGTCGCAAAGTCGTTCACGTTGGGGCAGCCGATGCAGTAGCCGACGCAGTTTCCCTCGCCGTCGTCAAGGATGTGGCATGTCTCGGGTGAGAGGTGAGTGTATTGATGTGTCCATAGATAAGGCGCGGTTCTGGTCGCTGCTTCGGAGCGCTCCAGGGAGGGGGGTAGCGTGGCGCGGCACTGGGTTCATTGTCAGTCGCTGCAGGACAAAGATAAGCTTCGATAAGAACATTCGAGACGCACGATATGACCCGTCGCATCAAAATCAGATGCCTCGTACGGGCGAATGAAAGCCATGGTTGATGAGCTGAGCTGGAATGAGAGCCTTTGAGTTGAAAGTGAAAGATTGCCGCTCGCAGTGTAGTGGTACCAGGGCCTGAATGGCCGGATGGCGGGGTAGCGGGGTAAATCGCTCCGGACCAGACTGGGGAGGATTGAACTGCTGCAGGATCGACATTCGCGAGGCATCTCAAGCCTGGCGATAGCAGCGAAACTCAAGAGATACAGCACCGTCTATGTAAAAGAGCGATACATAGTAATGAGGCTGAGAACTCACGACACGATGGATATGAGAGCATGAGAATGACGTCGGTCGGAGCTCCTGCTCACCGGATGCCGTCTATTGAGCTTAGACAGGCAGCTCGGCGCCGAAATAATCACCCCGCATTTCCGTTGTTCAACACGGCTGGCCAACTTCATCAAGCCTCTAGTTCCATGATCCCAAACAGGCCTCTTACGCATCTTATTGTGTCTGCATTCTTGTATTATTGGCCCAGAGTGATTGTAGACGGTTTGGTGATGGGGTCTGCTTCTGGGTCTCAGACGGAGATAAAGCCAGACTTCAAAGGCATGGCAAGGGTTTTATTCACAGTTCGTGTGAACAGTACGCAGTATCTTCGACCTTTGTTTGAGGTCGACCACATTATCAATGTGTCATGTATCTACATGACTGTCCTGAGGTCGACTTCTATAGTCCTTCAGTTTGAGACCATATGCTTCAGCCTGTCTAGGGCTATATAAGGCCGAGTGCCCGAGTGTCTAAGCCTCAAGTCCATATCCCTCAGTGCATCTCATCCATCATGTCGCAATCAACACCAACTTACCAAAGCTGCCTCAAGAACTCCAAGGGTTCATCCTTCCGAGTCGAGAAGAAGCGCGTCCGCTTCAATGGCCTAGACCAAGTGCGCACCTTCCAGCGTCGCTCGGGTGAACTAACAACTCCTCCCAGAACCCCAAACGTATCCAAGACCGGCTGGGGCTTCGAGAATGATGACTACATCGTCAAATTGCATCTTGAGCAAGCCAAAATCCATAAGCGCTTGTCTAGACCCAAGGCTATCATGGATAGAGACTTTCTCGCCAGGTTGCTCACCCCCGGTACTGAGCTATGCCAACTGTTGCGGCAGACGCTCTACCAACGAAGGAAGAAGAAAAATGCTTACTTGTACAGACAGAAGAACCGACCTTCCCAGAAGCAGCAAGGTAGAGTACGAGGTAAATGCCGTGTCAAGAAGCTTCACTGGGAGTTTGCGCAGAGGGTCAAGAACCGTCTTCATCAAGGTAGTCAGTACATTGTTTCACTGCTTCAACGTGGCTGGAATCTCAACACCAGATACCGGCCTATGTGATGCAGCAAGTGAGGTTTGGAACGATCTGATTTGTCTTTAAATTGTTACTTAGGTTCTGTAGTCTGAAACAAATGTGAGTGCGTATTGAATGCTCACTCTAAGTAGCCTACCAAGATGAGATCTGACCAAGAAACCAGACGTGAATCGGGGTCATCTTTGGCTTCTGACTGATCTTTTGATTAATTTCATGTCGATTCAATGAAGTCTTATAGTAAGGCGGACGAGATGTCAGAATTTTCAAGAAGCATTGTGTCATATGAAACCATTCCGTTACGTCTACCATCCTCCACAGGTACGAAATTAATCAAGATTCGCCAGCCCTTTTAATGATAAGAAAACAGGGTGCTGTACCAAATGTCTACTGCAATGCACGCAGAAGTGAATTCTACCAAGCTAAAACAAGTTCAAATTCCTAACGGAATCTATTTCTACATTACATGAGAGACCAGCTCGTTCCTTCCTGCCCTCGGGGGATGAGCTTGAGGAAGGTGCGTATGTCGAGTTTCCAGTGGAGGAAGGCACCTCCCTCGCCCCTTCCGCCTATGGGCTGTTGCCAAGCCCCTTCCTTCATCCCCTTCTACTCAATTTTTAGAAGAGGAAAATTCTTTCTCGCACCATCATCATCATCTTTTTCCAATACTTCACTGACAGCTTCTCGCAGAGAAAACCATTCTCTCGCCGACATCGCATTGTCTCGCGAGTCGCAAAGGTCAGAGAACGCCAAGCGTCTTCCACCGCCCTCAGGTTACCTACTCTCGGTCAACTAAAGGTACTATAGTCAATACCCATGTTTTCCAGAAAGTGATCCAAGACTAACGAGCCTATAGCACCAAATCAGCCTTTCACCTTGTTCCTCCAAATCCTCCCTGCCGTGCGATCATCGCGTCCTGCCACTCGGCCATTATGGCGTCGATGTCGAGTCTTCCTCCCGAAATGCTGGGCGAAATTGCCGCATGCTTCCAGGATGACACCTCAATTGGCGCAAACAAAGACTGGATAGCCGACCAGAACACGCTCGCAATCCTATTCAGAGTATCAAAGTCATTTCAGTCAGCAGCCCAGCCTCTCCTACATCGAAAGATTTACCTCGCTGTCCGGGATCCAGTCGGCGTCAGCATTTTGTCCTTGATCAAAGTTCTGCACCATCGTGAGGACCTCCGCTCCAGAGTGGACCAAGTCCATATACACTTCGAAAAGGCCTATTCTTGCCGCCTAAAACGGACCATGAACGATATCCGCAACCTCGGCCATTTCGCTCGAACCATCGGCCTGCCAAGCCTCAGCACCGCACTGGAAGAATGTACAAACAGTTCTCGCTTGTACGATACGGTACTATCTTCGCTACTCTTCCATCAGCTTCAAGGCGTATCTCAAGTGATAATCTCTGGGACATATGGCCCAGACTTGGAAGACGGCTATGAAGAATTCGACCAGATGGACAATGCTTGGTCGGTCTTGCCAGCTCTTTTGGTCTCACCATCCGAGACACCGGAGGCTTTGCTTCAAAATTTGATTTTCCTTCGTTTGGACGCCCACATAAGTACGACTATGGATCTCTCACATTTCCACTTGCTCGCTTGTCTGGCACCCAACCTTGAGAATTTTGAAGGGTTCAGATTTGAAAGCGTCCCGGCAGAGGCATTCAACGCTTTCAAAAAGCTCAAGCACCTGACTCTTTGGGAAGCACCTCTCGTGGAGAATGTTTCTTCAAATCAGCAAGGGAATCTCGAGATTCCGCCTGGTCTTCATTCTTTTGACTACTGTGTGCGTTCTTCCTGGTTCTCGGATGAACTGAACATTTCCCCAATAAAGGTCCGACGGGCGCTAGCGCAACATTCAGATACTCTGATTTACATTTACGTTCGATTCCACCTGGAAAGTGGAATGGAGGAGGACGGATGGTTCGATACTTTCGGGATGTTCAAAAGACTTGAGTACCTTTCGGTGGATCCAGCGGACTTTGCCAGGAATGACCAGAACGGCTCAGGCCCAAATGCATTCATCAAAACACTCCCTCGATCGCTCCGAAGCCTAACTTTCCTGGACCATCATCACTCGAAACTTCAGGACATCGAATGGCTTGCCGACGCCGTTCAGAAAGGTGACTTTGAGAATCTCGAGAGCTTCACCATTCATGTCACAGACGAAGCGAAGGACTTCGTCTACACTGCCTTGGGAGAAATCTGGAATGGGATCGATAAGCCAGAGTTTGTGGAGGATGAAGCTTCGTTCTGTGTCAAAATAGTTTCCCCGAGTGATACGAGAGAATTATGGTGCTATTGGTGATGGACTTCACTGATTCAGTCTTTCGGTTGAACGGTTGGTGTCGCATCACTCTGTCATTTGTTCAGAACCGGGGGTGGGTGTCACACGGGCACAGAGGTACACGTGTCAGATGAGGAGCCTTACGCTTTGGAGAACGAACATGACACATTTATCAGCCGTTTTAACTGAATATTGAAGGTGATACCTTGACTGAATTGGCATCAAAGAATTCAATGTTGATGGCCAGGGTGACTGGAGAGCTCATCCATGTTGACGCCAGTTAACGTCCTCAAACAGGTGAGTTTTACTATCTAAGATATACGTGTTGGCTATCCGGTAGGCACCTAGTTATCGCAGGAATTCAACTAAAGGTTACTTTAGATATACCGGTCCTAAGTCTCCGACCTCTCCTGCGCTACGATAGACTGTCAATCACAAGTGCCCTGCCGTTAATTACGGCAGCGGAAGCGATCGCGACCGTCAAAGTAATCACGACCATAAGCAGCCGTAATCACTCAAGTGCCACCATTGGTTCAGGTGCGTCGTAATGTGATCACGTTGCTATTATTGGTAAGGCACGTATTTGAGCCGGGATCTCATCTACATCGGAAAGCTAGCAAGTACTTCCCGGGTAGTAGACCTCAAGTAGATACAAAAGGCAGTATGACAACCCGGGTTACATTGCAGTTAAAGTATGCCAGCCATTGCGGCTGTGTAGCGAGGCGGGTTACACAGGCGTGTTAGGGGCGTATTTATGCCAGACAGCGTGACATGATGTCACTAGAGAGTCTCGCTCAATCGATGATTCCAGCCAGGATAAAATGACACTTCTCTCCCGAGTTCCCTTGTGTCAAACCACCAGCTACTCTGGGCTGCGGGTTTCCTTGTTACTCACTGGCACATAACAAACAATATGGAGTGTAGACCAACTACTTCATCATGCGCAGACGAAGTGTCCGAAGTCAGCAGTATGAACTCATTCTCAATCCGTACATCTACTACATGTGTCCAACAACGGTCATCTGACGAGCACGATGAGCTACAGGCGCCAATGCTGGTCGACATGTGCCAAGCTACCGAGCCCCAAAAGACATTGGAATACGACGTACCGTCTTGGAAAGTCCTCCCTGCGGCATCATTGATCAACGAGACTGGCTCCCTGCTCAGCCAAGCGAATCAATGCCAAGAACGCAGCCGATGGCGAGCCTTAGGGACGTTTGGACTCTGTGTCCTCGGCATTGGAACTGTCTCCTTAATTGGAGCCGTTGGTTTCATGACCTTTTTCTGGCAAACTTCGATACAGGCCAAAGGAGGATTCGCTGTGCAAAGCACATTTTGGAGTCACATTGTTTTCGCCGACTGGGCGTCAAGGTCAATCACTCTGGCCGCTGCTGCGGTACGTATTTGTCTGGCGCTCCAAATGAGCGTATTCACCGCCATGGTCGCCTCGCTTATGATTGAGCGAACCGGAGTATCATTCGGCGCGGCTCCCTTTGTTTCCATGCTGAGAGCTATGTCAATTGGACCCCTTTCGACATGCCCTGGGGCGTTGGAACCTTGTATACCGTGGCCATCACAACTTCGGTCATTCTAACAACAGCATCTCAATTGGCCTCGACTTTCTTGCTTTCTGATTTCGCGGTAGTCAATGTTACTGCACCGCAAAAGACTGCCGATATGCTGTATGGCAACAGCTACGTCAAAACTCCTGTAATCATGCAGGGCACCAGCATCTGGAAGTCAAAGCCTTGGGTATATCCCAGGTTTGCGGAACTTCGGAGCCGACCTGGCCAGCAGTCCGACCATCACGAAGATACAGGTACTATACTACGAGCATTCATTCCTTTTACGAATGAGCCAAGCCGTATTCGTCTACGATCTTATGAAGGGCCTACTGCTGTTATAGACTCTAGAGTGGTCTGCGTGCAGCCCGTCATCAGCAACGTCACATTTTCTGCGGTTGCTTTTGACTACCTGAAGCACGAGCAGCTAGACACCTACAGAGAGGTCAATGTCTTTGGATACTTTAGCATACCAGAAGGTGATGAACAGCTGCCGATAGATCAAAACCTGCCGGCCGATGACCAGGACGACCTTCACCAGATAGGCGAGTTAAAGTGGTCATTCAACTGCGTTGTGCCCGCTGAAGACATTCACGGTTACTCGAAAGATGACCCCCTCGCTTCGCGAATTGAGAACTTTTCAATCTGCCTAGTGGGTAGGGAAAACAAAGGGGTTTGGTCTAGTATGAAGAACAGCACCATACCATTTCTTCCCTCTCCGATTTCGTCACCGATAGCGTCTACTGATATCTACACCTCGATTTTTCTTGTATTCAACGGCACTGGAACGATGAATAGTTGGCAACGGGGCCTCCGGAGTCAAGGCAGCTTGGACGACGGCGATAGTCGTTGGAAAGCCTCTGCTGAGAATTGGACACTGGCCACCGACGGAATGTGGGCCAGTACTGACAGACCACTGGGAAAACGCTATGATGAGAAAGTAGGCGTGTCGGTCAGCGCATGCTTTACAAATCTACAAGGCCATGTCCAAAATGTCAGCATGTCTAGTGCCTTCGACGGCCACGAACCGATTCTAGCGTGGGACAACCCGAATACCAATCACACGGCGAATGTCATTCGAAACCAGTATTCAAGCATCTGCAAAGAACTTGGACTTTCTGGAATGGGCCCGGACCCGCAACTTCTCGAAGTCATTCCAAAGGAAAGTTGGGAGAGCAAGGGCATAAGCCTACCGCTTGACATTGTCACCTCTCAACTTCCCTTCTTGACACGTAGCATTTACGACCCCTTGATCGACCCGTCGCCTTGTGGGATGCTGCGGACGGGAGGTTATTCCTCGCGTGCCGTCCATTATGCACATTCCGCGCTCTTTCAAGACGTTCTCAGAACGAGTTTGAGCGTACCGGAAGCATTACAGGCTATCTTCACGGTCACTCAGCAACTGTCTTACTACGATACCTTGCCTTACTTCCAGGACACTTGGCCAGCAAAGTGCGCCATGACAGAGGAAAAGCAAATCCCTGTACGGTGGGTAGGGTTTGGTATCGTCGTTACTATCGTCGTATTACACCTACTCCTCGTTGCAGCCGTATCCGTCTTATTCCTCAGGTTAACTACCTGCAGCAGCTTGGGGAATGTGTGGATGTCACTAAGCCAGATCGTGTCTTTGGAGAAGGAAGGTCTGGTTCAGGAGGCTACATCGAAAGATGACAAGGAAGTCGAAGAGATGAATTGGGAAGCAATATCTAAGGGCGATTCAGGATTGAGGCACAGAGTGAAGGTAACGAAGAACGGGCTAAACGGCCGCAATGAGTTGAGCTCATTTTGAACCACAGACGGCAATGGTAGACTTTCCCTTTGAATGGGTGGTTGATGTTACATATTGTAGTGTGTCTCGGGATCCAGAAGCAAGAAATTTAGCAGACATCAGTATGAATTTGAAACAACCGATAGACGAAGAAAGTGTACGTCCGCGCCTGAAAGGATCGCGGAATGCCTTACGAATGACGAACTGAGCAGAGGCTCTCATTGGTTTCGTCAGTAATCGACCCTCTGATCAAGTTACATTTTCTCCCTCTAATAGGTAAATCTCGTCTAAATTATCGGCGGCAGTGATTTGAATCGTGCAAAATATGAAGACTGGTGGCATCACGTATCGCCCCCCATCCCTCTAGTAGGCCTTAGCAAGTCTCCAAGTAAGTGGCTGATGGTGCGCTGGCCTTGGCGCACGCAGCGCTGAGTAGCTTGATTCAGATGCCACCCTAACGGCGGGTAGTTATGATTGTTCTCACTCTGGGGCAAAAGTTGTCCTATTGAGAGCTGGCTCTATTCTGGGTGGCTGCGTACGATGGGCTAGACCCTCAGCCCAACGTTGATCCCACCCGGGCGGGTCGTCGAAGGATCGCCAGGCTTCAAAATTAGGGGCTGACATGCAGTAAGTAGATTCACAGACCTTGGAAGCAAGGGTGTCTCTGCTCCGTGTCCTTCCAGGACTTCAGGTCTCTCAAGATTTACATCGCTTGCATCTTGTTTTATCTTCTTGCCGCGGTGGCGGCAGTTGTCTGGTCATATCAGGGACCCGCGGTTGACAGAGACTACTACTACATGCAACGCGTCTTCCGCACGCCGGACGCCTTGAAGGTCGACCAGCTCTACTCCGGTATCGCGCTTTCAGCACTACTTGCCCCGGCGGGAATGTTGGTCCAATGGATTATGCACGACTTCCGACACCTTCGACTCTTCGCTCTCACGGCGCAGCGGCCCGTTCTCCTGGCGGACTTGGACAAGATCGGAGACGACTCGAGTGCTTGGACGCTACGGATTCTGGGAAAATACTCGTGGCGGTACGCTGTCATGCAGGCGGCCCTCATCGTCATTCGCACTTCGATCGTTCCCGTCGGCACACTTATGCTCACCACCGGAGCGTTTTACGATAACATCACAAGTGTTGACGTTGTAGGAATGCCCATCCTCCCATCGGATGATTCCTCCGTTACAAGGTTGGCCAATGCGATGGGGTGGAACGGGCAGGGTACCTTCAAGCAGACTCTCGGTGACAACGATAACTTCCTCTCGCGAACCGTCTACACCTTTGTTGGAAACATTGTCAGCCAAAGTGCCCTCGTCGACGTCTTCTCAGGCGTCATTGGTCCCATCCCGACACACAGCCTTACCTTCAACATCAACATCAACCTACCACGGCCTAGTCTTGTACCACTGGGACGCCAACTGCGAAGCTGCTACCGAGATACCGTTCACCACCTCTCTCAACGGCGCGAACGCTTCCTTCACCTTCACCCTCCCCGATTCCAGCAACCAGACGATCGACGTTACCCCCAGGAAGCAGGAGTCGCAAAGCCTGCGCCTCTGGAACAGCGCAGCCAATACCTCCATCAACGAGGTCCCCATTGGCGGCACCACATACTTCATCTCCGCGGGCCCTTCTTCATCCCTCAAGGCCGAGACTCTCACCAACGATAGCAGCCTCACACAAACGGCCGAGGGCCACTGGATCTCCCGTAGCAAGTGCACACCCGAGTTCTCATGGGAAGTCGGTGCCTGCACGTACAACGGAACCTTGATGACGGACTGTGTGGGCAACCCGGGATCAAACACCACGGCCATCGATACAGCTGCACTAGACGTGCTGAAGGACTACATGACTGCCATCCCCTGGTGGATCTTCCGCGAGCAACTCCAAATCGTCGACAAAACGATTGATACCCTGTACGCGATACCCACCGCAGAAGACTGGGGCCACTTCTTCGGCAACATCGCACAGTCCATCGCCGCGATCTCGACGGCTGGGTACTTTGGCACCGCTATCGTGCCCGTGGTAGCGAGGGTTAAGGAGGACGTGTACATAAAGCGGACCGTGGTGCTGTGGATCGTACTGGCGATGCTAGGCGTCGTCTTCTCTGTCAGCTGTCTGGATATCTGGAGGAGCAAGTCGCGCGGTCTGCCGTTTAGAGCGGCGACGTTCTTGGCTATTGCGAATGCTGTCAGGGGGCCTTGGTGGGATCAGGAGTTGCATGGGAGCTGCGCTGCTGATGAGTTGACTATGCAGAAGAGGAGCTCGGCGTCGGTCATGTTTGGGGTCGATGCGAATAACTCGTACTCATCTTGGGTTGTTGCCAGCGGCGGTGCTACCGATTCAGCGGGATAGACCGCATTTCGGCATTGGGAGGCGCAAGGGACATGGTACATCATAGGCGATACCGGGGCGACATCTGATACTCAACTTGCTGTGAGGCATTGACATTGATATATGTTCTCGTCCTGTCTAGCTTCTTCATCCCACTCCGCCACGCGCGCCTAACTCCAGTCCTCACAATCCAAGCCTCCCAAAAATAACTCCTCTGAAAAACCATCCACAGCCGTTCCATGCATCAGGGTTACTTGCGAACTTCCCCCAGAGGAATGTCCATTCCGTGACGTCCGCTGTACTTGGAAACCTCGGCAGGGTTCCAGCCACCGCGCTGCAAGAGACCCTCGTCCTCCAGGCGGAATACTTCAACCTTGAGCGGACGACAGCACTTGATCATCTCCTCCTCGCTGTCCTCGCCGAAGCCCCAAAGCGAGAGGTCACCGCCAGGGCACGTGCCTATGATAACAGTCAGTCGTGTGTTCACAACCGCACCATGGCTCCATCAACCCGGACTACTGGAGTCCATGTCGTCGCAGCGCAGACAATAAGCTTGTCAGGAATTAGGATAAGGGGCGACACTCACTCAAAGCCATCAAAAGATCCTGCTCCGCCAAGAACTCGATGTGATCTCCAGGCTGCGCCGGGCAGGGGTTCATAAAGTACCGTCCCTGCTCATCCAATCCCGTCACTTGGAAAATGTTAATCACATCATGGACATCCTGCTCGATCAGCCCGTACGGCAACACGGCGCGCGTCAAGTTAGAATGGCATTGGAAGTTGTAGTTGCCGCCGCTGAGAACCGTGTTGATGTAGGGATCGCAGCGTGTGCCGAGGAGGTCGTGCACGCGTCCACCGTGCTCGTCTTCGCCATACCAGTCCAGAGAGTCCTTGATGATGGTGGCCAGGGGTCGCATGTAAGGCAAGTTGGACCAGAGCCGGTCGCCTGTCGAAACGTGGCTGGCGTGCAGTTGTTTCGTGCGACTCGCCCAGAAGCGTTCGCGGGGGTTGTGCGCATTCCAAATGTTCAAGTCACCTGCAGCCGGAATAAGCCTCTCTCTTTCGTCTTCTTTCAAGATAAGATGGGCTTCGTAACGTACCGACTTGAGGACCCTCTGGGGTGCTAATCCTCACGATTGATCCGGCGGGTGCTTTCCATGCTCTTCCGGACCGGATCGGCAGCGTGAACTCTTCGACCAACACTCTCTTCGCCTGTTGCGCTGATCCGTACAACTCCTTATCGACGGTGAGCACCGAGCCGGCGGTCGGGAGATAAGCCGGAACGGGCTTCGGGATCGGCTTCCGATCTTTGAGACGTTGCGCGGGATCCATGTCGGCGGCTGACATTGTGTAACTTCTGTCGGCGATTCAGTCGAGCAAGGGAAATAATGAAACTTGGCAGAGCAACACCTTGAGTAGAAGGAAACTTGAGACTAGCTAGCCTGTGCAATTCAGAAGGAAGTCGACTGAAGTTCTTGTATCATTCATGGTGCTTACGGCATCCCGATACCTTGAACCGGACGAACCCCGCTACTCTAGAGGACTTTGGGGACCAAAGATCCTTACGTAAAGCGAAACTTTGGAGGTGATTGAGGCAAGAGACTCCGACAATGAGTTGACGGCCAATGCCGGTCCTCCACACGTGCTGTCTCCACACCTCCAAGGTCGGAATCTGTCTGCGAAATGCGCTTGTTATCAAAGTTGTGTGAAGTATCAAAAAGGATATATCCTGTAAGAACAAGACTTGCGCCAGCTTGACTGGAATCACCGCTTTTTCAACTGGTGTTTTTCAAAATTCATTTATCCAAAGAAGAATTGCAGTTTACTATGGACGCGCATACCTAGACAGAGATAGATAGAATAGCATTGAGAAAGTGGAGCACAATCGCGAATTCATCCATCGCCTTGCATCGCTAATCAACGAGATCCAAAAACAAAAATCATGGCTGCCCTCGTTTTGTAAACTGCGAATTGCCTCGTGGCGGAATCGAACCGCCGATCTTCTCATGTCACCATTACTAGTGAGACGCTATACCACTTAGCCAACAAGGCTTGGTGTCTGCTAGGGAATGAGTAACTAAGGACCTTCCAAGTCAGTAAGGAGATGGCTCGGTGGGCCACGACTGACGACCGACACCAGAACGACGGCAGATGAGGCCAAGCGAAGTATCGTCAGCTTCAGGGGTTACAGTGGCTTGCTTTGGATTAACTGTTGTTGGAAATAAGGGGCAAGTGTTGGAGATATGATAGCCTTACATGGAGTTGAAACAAAACGAAGATTGGTTGCAAGACTCAAAGATTCGGATGGATCCTCGTGGCCAAGAGTCATAAAGTCGTATTCAATCCGAGCCTTGAATATTCTTGGTGATCAGGGACATCTTCAAATTGTGTCTGGAACGCATCATGTGGTCAGAAACTTTGAGAAATTCAAAGAATGTTAGAACGAAATGCTTCGTCACTTACTACCTATATATAAAAACAGTCATCAATTTGATATGATTCTTGAGCCTTGGATAGCACAACGCTCATGGAGATCATCATGAGAATACCAGAGAAACATTAAATGCTTACCACAGACATCTTCTCAATAAGGTATATGACATGATGCTAGATCTGACCCTAAGACTGATCCCACTACTTCGTTTGGAAACAGTCTGCAACTTGACCACGTAGGTATCAACATGACTTGTCGCGAGCAAGCATGCTCAGGGCTTTTCCAACGCTGCTTGCTTCCTATTACGTTAATTCATGTATATGTTGGAAGCCTGGACTTTACACAAAGCTCACGGATCAAGATTGTTCAGGAACTATGAGAATGAAAATTAAGGTGAGTCATGTGTCATCGCAGTCCTGATATTTTGAGTCGTCCCACTGTTCTTCAAATGATTGCATCAGAAAAGCCGCAGTCTCTGTGATCGAAACTTGTTACGATATTGGCGTGCTAAAGGCAGCTAGAAATCATTTTCATGGCTGCAGATGTACGCTTGAGAGGCTTCCCTCCTTTGACATCCTGCCCATGACACCTCCCTCCACTGGCTCAGGATTTAACAGAAGCGGAAAAGAATAAAAAGTGTGTACATCTCCATACTGAGAAGTCATGGCTGCGCCATACCGACGAGCATCAAGCTCAGGCTGCTGCCTCAACAGAGTTTACTCTCAATACAATGAAGCTTGTGTTGTCAGTCACGTTACCCCTCTCCGGAGTCCAGACCGCTCTTTTGCCTGGTTGCTCAAGAACATCGAATGGATAGACAGGCTCTTATCGACTGCATACGCCAACGACGCCTCCTGCCTCATCACCAAGTTCTCGAGAACTACTCTTGCTTGCCTGGAGTACTTACACGTCACCATGTGACACCTTGGGGTACAAGTATCGGACCAGGTGTGCTCGGCACCCGCGTTTATCTGGTACTACTTCGCCAACAAGCTATGTATCACGTGGAATGAGCTGGTACTGTGTCGTTCGATATTCGCTACATCCAAGAGATGAAAGGACAAAGGCTTTTCAGCGATATCACCCACCATCACAGCAACCTAGTCGCCCTCTACCAATGATGTTCTAGAACAGCCCAAACAGCTTCTTGCCAACAGCATCTTTCCAGAGTGAAAGGACCAAGCACGAAATTCAGCGTGGAGGTTCGTATCCAGGGTTAGATCCCACCAACCCACAAGTAGCCCAACCAGAAGCATCGCAAGTCTGGAGGCCTCGTACGAATCGGGGCATACAACATGCAGTAACCAGTACCTGCTGCAGGAAGTCGTGTGAATTGCAGGCCAGCCGACAGCGTCCAGACGCATCAGGCGCATGTGTATTACAGAAGCATGGGCTGGATCCGAGTCATTGAGTCAACATCCCAGCACCGGAATCATTACCCTTGAATACCTAATCGCACTCTAAGATACGCATTTCTTCGTTGATGTCCGTATTCGTCACATCTCATTCCCAGATCAATCCATCCTTTGGGCGAGGTATTCAACGAAGAACTTCTTCTTTCGGGCCGACTCTATAGTTCCCAAAAAGCCACGTCTTTCGGAAACTTTTGTTACGATGGAGCGAAAGAAATATCCCAAACCTCCTTCTTGGCTTTTTCACGGTCTGTTCGCACAACACGCCCAGCGGCTCAAATCTGCTGGCCGCGGGCAGTAATTTCAGTCAGCCTCGGAGGTGCCGTATTAGTGGCCTTCCAGAAAGAGATTGGACCATTGGGGTTACATTGTACGATGAACTGTTTTTCCCTAGTTGTTGTTTTGCGCCCGACGCCCAGGACCCCTCAAGCAAGGGTCACCATGTCTTCATACACGAGCCTGCACGGCAAGTCCAGCCAAGGCGCAGCAGCACCATAGCCGTTAGTCACACTAGGCATCCAACGTCGCAGCGGCAACTAAGGACATTTGTTGCGACTAAGGACATGAAGGAACATGTGGAAAGTGAGGGGAAAAAAAAGAAGAAAAAAAAAGAGGTGTCTACGGACTGGAGACAAGACACGCGTCGCACGATGATTGTGACTGGTTCATACCTCGTGGGTTTTGCGTACGATCTGTGTTGCGCGTCAGAGTGTTTCTGCCAGGGCAGAGAATCACCATGTGCGTGACGCGGAACGGACGAGCGTACAGTATTTCGTTGGTGTTGGGTGTTTAGTAATGCCTCAACTCCTGAAGCTTTCTGCGGGTTCCTCCTCGGTTGATCACGTATTCTCGTAAGGCAGAGGATCGACCGGGTTACACGGGGGCTGGAGACAGCAACGGTAACGGGCCAACGGTCAAACCGCGAGATCCCCGGAGGCGGAGTCAGCGTGCCCAAGCGGGAAGGGATGTGGTGTGGTGGCGGTGGTCCAGAACGGCGCAAGCAACAACACGAATGCGCAACAGCAGCGAAGGGAAAACGAGAAAACATCCTTTGAAGATGCGCAGGAACGTCTCGTCGGGTTCGCGTGGGGGTGGGACGGTTCTTGTTCGCGTTGCGCTGCTTGGAAAGTTGGTTTAGCATGAGCGAGGGCACGTAAGCTCGTGTGGACTCGTCAATGGGAAATCAAAACCGCGGGTTGCGAGACAAAAGAGGACCCTGAAAGGTGTCACATTGACACGGACAAGTTCATCTTCCCGTCTGGCAAACACATGCCAAAATAGCTGTCGCGTATTTGGTGACTTAAGGTAAGGTACTTTGCGCTACTTCGCAAGTAGGAAAAATCCGTAGGGTAGTATTCCCAAGAATCCCATCTCAAGGATTTTGTAGGAACTTTTTTCTTCCTCTCCCACACTGCCATGTGCGTTACCGTTACGCGTCCAGTCTGTCTCGATCCAGCACAAACACCTGAACCTGAGGGGCGGGCCAGCTGGGGCTCCATGGGAAATACACTCAGTTTGACGGGCGACATTGGAGCGCAATAAGCTTCGGCTCGCTTGCTTAGCTTGCAGTGGCCAGGTTCCATCGTGAGAATCCGTTTGTCACCCGTATGGACCTCGAGCAGGCCTCCATTCCATCGAGTACCCAAGCACTCGAGGTTCAGAGTATTTTTGGCCTAGATACATGGGCAGCTGGTAGTTGCCTAAGTACGCACGGGGAAAGGGTCCGGAGCTGGGTCCGGGTCGTCGGCGAGGCGAGAAAAGAGGCGAGGAAATCGTCAAAGGGTCCTAGGACCAGCTACCCCCAGCCGCCGCCGTCGTGCCACCACCTACACTCAATTTGAAACCGAAAATCTCCTATTCTGAGCTATCGTGGACCGTGGGACCCCTCGCTACTCTCTCTCTCTCCCTCTTCTCTCTGTCAAGCTCACCTCCTGATCTGTGCCTCTATCTCTTCTCCTTCGTGCCACCTGTTCGAAACTGCGATTCAAGCGACTAGGCTCAAGGGCCACACGGTACACCAACGGGATGCGCGTGATGCACGATGCACGATGTCGACATTGCGACACCAAGAGCCCAGTCCCGTCGGCGGCGTCTAGCTCGCTTACAAGGTTACATTGATCGTGATTGAACCCAGGCCCCCCGTTCAGCCGCCGTGGATTATGCGCGCTCCATTTGCTTTCTTGCGCGCGCAGCAGCCCAGCTCCAGGCTGTGCTGTTGATGGTGATGCGACTTGCACGAGTCGGGTTGTCCCATGTTTGCATTGTCGGCATCGCATTTTCGGCGAAGGCCTAGACCGTTCCCAATTCCTTTTCCCCCTTCCTGCGGTGGAACTGCCAAAAGTCAAGTTGTACCACGCTGCGCGAACGCCGACTGCACAAGAAGGGGGGGCATCCGGGAGTAGAGTGACAGGAAGGCAGCCGCACTAACGTCGATAGCCGTGAGATAGCTTCCCCGGTGCCGCCCTACAAATAACGGCTCTCAAGTTTCGAGACAAGTGATGAGCAAGGCGACACGTGTGATCAGGCCAGAAGCCGTTGATCTGAAGTTCGGGAGACCTTTCCATTCGGGCAACGATTTCCCACTTCGGGCCGGAGCATGCCCACAGTTTGCTCCTGTTCGTAGATTGGTTTGCCGCCTCGCCAAAAAAACGCTTCCGTGGCCGCTTGGTAAAAACCGCTCACTGGAGAGATGGAGAAATAGAGATGGCCGGAGTGCACTGATTTGCGCTGTGCCCAACCCGTGGCCCGCGTGGCTATATGTACAGTAACCTTGATCTTATGACGACGGGTTCAACAGCGTTGGCGAGTTCAGCCTCTCTTGGTCTCGTCAGATGTCGGTCCCAGATAGAAGGGAGGGATGCCGAAACAGAACGGAAATATAGCATGGGCCTGAATGATAGTAGATGGCAGATATTACACGTCGGCCTGGGAGGAGCAGAGGGCAGCCACGAAGGAAGCATCAAAATTAGAGTGCATCGCGTATGGGCATCAACGCATGTAATGTATATGAACATTTGAGAACGGGAATAGCCTTCTTTCAGGAATAGGCGGTTTTTCTGCGAATGGAGTTGCGCAGATCCACTCGAAGATGAGCTCATACGAGGGCCTCTTTGATTATGGCTTGCTGCCAGTCTGCAGTAAGTCACCGGTCAGTAGAGTGAAGGGCAATTAATGATCGCCGGGACATCTCGTATTAGCGACGAGGCATTTCGATCGAGTGCGTCCAATCGGAGGTGCTGAGTTGAAATGACAGTCTGCAGGATTTTCCCTTCCGGTGCCATTTCTCCCTCATAATCTCATGTGTAGATAGATAGATGCCTTACTTTGGACATGTGAATGAGGCTGGCTTCGCAAGACCAGCACTACCGAGATGTTGCATCTCTTGGTCAACGGCGGTTCCGTCTTACCGAAGCTGCAGAACAATTGGAACACATTCACGGCCAAGACGAATAACCTCCAACGCATCCCGCGGCCAATAGTGTTTAAGAGGGCTGAATGGAAGACAAAGGGAGCCGAAATAGAGGCAACTAACTTGGGGGCCGTTTCTGCCCAAGGTTCCAGACGGCATGCTCAAGGGCCAACTCAAAATGACGGGAAATGCAGCGCCTTGGAGAGGGGCCGCAAAAATTCGGCTAACTGGCTAAACGAGCCCCTCAAACTTGAGCCAAAAATACCCAATATCCAAATATGCCACATTGTGGAAATCTTTCAAACACAAGATTCGACATTGACCATACAATAATCACCATGTACACTCGCACAAAAAGAGAGGTTATCAGAAGATTTGATTGCTGGTGGTCAAGTGAATTCGTACGAGAATAGAGTGGCTCGTGTTTCTGAAACACTGTCAATTTGTTCTAGAATCCTATTAATAGTGGCGGCATCCTTGAAGCCCTGGACTGCCCTGGCTGAGGGGAAATGGATGGGCAAAGCAAAAATGCGTTCAATAAGAGCGAGCATAGAGCAATAGTGAATCAGAGGCACAGAGAAGGCCAGAATCAAAGCCAGAGAAAGAAAGCTCAAACACTCTGGAGCAAAGAAAGGAGAGCCTGGCCCAAACCACAGTGCCCCTGGATGATGCCGCGACGGCACTCGTCCTTTCAGACAGCGGACGCAACGGACTTCAGCGAGCAGGTCCCCCGCGGGTCCTCCTCCATTAAGGTAGTCTTAGTCATTATGCGTAACCTCTGGGCGCAAGTTCTGGAATTCCGTGGCATCTACCTGTGCCTGGGTGCTAGCTGGAGCACCACCAGTTCTGGGCGACTGACTGGGGGGGGGAGAAGAAGGAGAATGACACACAAATTCTGGAACCTGGTAACCGCCCTGGAGCCCTTCTGGTGCATTGGTCAGTCTCTGGTACGCTGGTGCGCGCCCCTCTCCGTGTATCCGTACCTTTGATGGCGCTGGGTCTCTTTGTTCCTTGCCCATTCTTACTCCACAGCCCCGGCAAGCGAAAGGACTGGACACTGGCCAAAGGCAGAGTTGCTGTAGCAGAGAGAGACAGAGAGAGCGAGAGAGGCAGCTGGCTGGCAGCAGAGTAAAGGCGAGCAAAAGCGGTGCCACAGTTTGGGCGAGCCCACAGTCAAGGGACGTGAGATATCCACAGTCCTCGGTCCAGCCATGCGCCCCTCCCCAAATCTCTCTCCCAGTCCATGGGGAGCCGTGGGAGACGGACAAGGCAGAGCTGTAGAAAGCCATGGAGTAATATGTACATTACCACATAACCTTGCAGCTCGAGGTACCTGTGTCCTTGTCGATATCCGCAGTACCTTTTACCTAGTACCCATGTGTGATGAGGAAGGGCGACGAGGGTCTCGATGGGCAATGGGCGATGGGATGGGATGGGATGCTGCTGTGTAACTACCAGTACTCCGTACCAGGCGACCATGGCCTTGCCGTGTTATTTGTTCGCTGCCCCCTTCCAGACCCCTTCCCCCTTCCCGTGGATGCCGTGAGGCGTGAGATGATAAAGACCCTTTCAAGTCCCCCTCCACTGCCGCTGCTTCTTTTGATCTCTTTTTCTACCCTAGTTAACCCTTTGCTGTGCATCTGCTTGTCTGGAACATTCTTGTTGACTGCGTTGCTTCCTCTCCTTACCCCATCCAATTTCGACTCTCCTTTCTGCAGTTTCGTCACCACCCGCTACCACCACAACCACCACCAACACCAAATCTAGACTGCCCTCCACATCCTCTAGACGGTTCCTTCGGTATCTACACTTCCAGACAAAGAAACTTCCGTCATTCCGTCTCCCGTGCCGACGCCATAGAATTGTTAAAGGGACTTTGCCTGCAAGCCAGAGCAGACCGGAAAGGATTCCTCGGAAGATTACAAACCTCGACCAGCAGAAACGGCAACAACCTACTCGACTACTAGTAACCTGGTGTCGACGACCTTCCCCGAAAGTAAACGACGACAACAACACCAGCAACGGGATCAACATCTCTCATCAACAACACCCAACGAGAACAACAGCAGCAACAACTAGACAACATCCGATTCGACGATATTAGCATCGTCGATCAAAAAAACCGGTCTCCCCCAAATAACCCCCCCAAACCTTCACCACGGCTTCTCCAGCGATCGCCACCATGGGTTCCCCGAGTGGACCCCTCCGACCCCGAGCGTCGTCAAATTTCATGGGCATCCGCGCATCCGGGTTCCCACCGTCCATGACGCCGTCAGAAAAGCACCTCTTCTCAACCCACGTCAACACAGCCACGACACGCCTCTCTAGCACAATGGCCGCCAGCGAAACCGGCGAGGGCTACGTGTTTGTCGTCTACTTCCACAAGACCACAGCCGCCGATGCTCTCGCCTTGCTCCAGGCCGCAGACATCCGAGTCAGGGGCCACGAGATCCAATTTTCCTGGCACTGAGAGAAACTTGGAAACCGGAACCTCGTTTACTTTTCTTCTCCTTCTACCTCATTTGAGTAATGAGCTTCCCATTGCCTCGTTGTGCCTTGGTTTTTGAGGCCCGGGCTCCCGGCTGGACTGGACTGGACTGGACTGGACTCTTTGAGAGGTGTGGACCGTGGGTTTATGGGACGGGACCATGGGCTCATTCTCGACTCAAGCTCTTTCTGTCTGGAACCTTCCGATCCGTTTCCCGACTTCACACACATCTTGAGTCCTGCGTCCTGCCGCCGGCCGGGATTTGACAGCTTTTTGAACCGACTCGAGAGGGATCATCCCGTTTGTTTCCTTCTTCCTATGGCTTTCTCTATCTCTTTTACCTCTTTTTCTATCATTCACATATACCCCGTTCCAGACATCAGAGAGCAGAACTCTGTCTTCTTCGAATCCATACTCTACTCCTGGTCTGCTCCAACAACCCCCTACCCTACCTCTACCCTCCCATCCATCCTCCAATTCCCGCCCGACCGCCCCGGGACGAATCCTTCAGCGATCCATCCTCCACCCCTCCTCGACCAGTCACCACCCCTCCCCCCCCCCTTGCCACTCTTCTCAGAGATCTGCAAGTCTAGGCCATCCTAGACCACCCCATCCCATCCAACTTTCCAGGGCAATCATCCATCTCACCCATACACTGGCTCCTCCACCCATCTCACCTTATCTCCATCGAGCGATCAATCACGCAAAAAGGAAAAAGCATCGTTCTTCTCACGCTTCTGCGTGGCTCACTGGCTCTCACACCCCCTTATCCCGTATATCCGCGCATCCACCATCCACCACGCAAGCAAGCAAGGGGGGGGTTCGTTCGGTTCGTCGATGACCGCAGATGAGCCGCAGATGAACCAAACCCGTCCAAGTTGTTCTCTCCGCCCGCCCGCACCGCACCGCCCTGCTACTCTATCCCCCGCCCGGGTGGGCCGGCCGGCAACGCTGACGGTCAGGTCGTCGCAGGTGGGAATGAGCAACCCCCGAAAAAAAGGGGTACGCCGCGAGGGGAACGGCACGGGATGTCGGGAACATGGGAAAGAGAGTCCTGAGAAAGAGAGAGCCTGAGCAATAAAATCGAGATGAGGTGAGGTGACGCGGATAAAGGGACACGTTACGCGGCCATCCGCTTCGTCACCACTCCAGCTGCAACCGGACTCCTCCCCCCTCCCCCCCCCCTTTGGACCCTTCGAACGTCAGGCTCGCCGGCCCATCATCCTGCTACTGTTTTTTTCCGTCTTCCCACGCTTGGCACTTTGATCGATCATCGAACGGTGCCCCGTTACCAGGCCCGTTGTCAATCTCTGGGTTTCTGATCAAGGGTTGCATTCGAATTCGGCAATCGGCCCCAGTGGGGATCCCACGGAGAAAAAGAGTACAAACCACCTTAGATGAGACGGCGCCGACGCAATCGAGGACGGATTATCCGCGATTTAATTTTCAAGGGGGCACCGATTGGAGAACATTTGGACCGGGGGTGTCAAAAGTCGTGTGTGTGGAAGTTCGATCAGAAATCCACATTGGCATGCAAAGGTTAGTCCAATTCCAACAGTCACAAATATAACACTACACACAACCTTTATTTCTTTTCCCTTTTGCTTTACTCATCACATTACCTATGGAATACTGCAACTCTGTTTCGGTCTCGCAAGGAATGATCCCAAGCGGAGAATATCCGACCGCGCAGGCAGCAGCACACAGCAAAAGAGACTCTGGCCTTGCATGGAAACATCGGCTGACAGGAGTTCCAGACCAAGTTCGATTTTGATTACCGGCCCGACGTGGGGGAGCATGATGAGGGGGGACCGGGGAGGGCCTACACCACAAGACCCTGAACGGAGCAAAAGGGGACGAGCTGCACTGCACCACCGTTGATGTGCGTTTGCGCCCAGAGGTCAGCCTGTCAGGGAACAACCCCCGAGCCAGCCAAGAGGCAGAGAAAACCAAAGGGGGAAAAAACCCAAGTGGTGCTTGGTCTTGGTTTGTGGTTTGGGCTATTGTCTGGTGCAGCGTGCACTGCCATCCATCAACACCAAGACAACATTGAACACGATCCACTCGACGTAAACCAAGCCCCAGCGTTTCCGATATGGTTGGCATTCACACTCATGGAGGCTTTGCTTCGGGTTGCGGCATATCTTGTTCTCTTTTTCTTTCCTCTACTTTCCCTGCCATCTGTTCTCGTGCAATCCCAACCAGATTGCACCATTCCCCTCTGCCCCGGCTTCGCACCGCGGCGTCCGTGGAAAAGGCACCAGAGGAAACAGAATTTCAGATCCGTACTCGCAATGCACTTGTTGCCGCCACATTTCCCTTTCGGACCTGGGTCCGGAGTCATGGAAGCTACATGTAATGTACACTTCCCCTCGTCCGCATTGGTCGTATCTGGAAGCTGGAGGTGGAGGTGGAGGAGAAAGACCGGTCACCGGCCTGGCCGTACCCAAGTGCTGGTTGCAGCCAGAAAGTGACGAGTCACAAGATAACTGTTTGTCACTTAGAGCTTGGCCTTGTATCATCAGAACATGTATCCGTACAATGCTTAGCAATGAGCAAATAAATATCAAACGTCAAATGTCAAAAATATGCACAGTCACCCCCAGACCAATATTGCGCAGTTCGTCTCACGGTTCCACGGCTCGATGCCCCCCCCCCCCCCCCCCCCCCCGGCAAAGACATTGCTGATTGCAGCCAATGAGACAGACTGAATCTTGAACATGCATATCGGCGGAGACCAAAACCCGGAGCATTTCCACCTGTACTATTTGTATCGTTGAAATCTCGTGGAAGAGAATGTGCAATGTAGCCTGCTTTACAGAGTACCTTGCTCTCAGAGGCATCGCCATCACCAAACTCCAGGCCCCATAAACAACTTCCCGCGTAAACATCTGTCATCTCCCCGCTTGGTCATTGCATCGGATGGGCCGCCGACTGTGTGTGCAACTCCGTCCAAAGAACCGTTTGCTCAAAGTGAAATATGGGAAATTCACATTGCGCGGACCCGGGGAACTGGGTTTCCTTGCGTTAAAATCCCGTTTCCCCGCCGCAGACACGCCCAGTCCAAATCCCTTCATTTTTCTCGTTCCTCTTACTCCAAACGGCAAGAAACTAATACTCCATACATACAATCAACAAGTTACTTAACCCCCATAAAACGCCCATAAAACGGAACTGGACGGGCCACGGCACGGCACGGTCCCTAACTGATTTTTGACTTCCTCACTGATGGAAATGGTCATCTCCCGGTAAACCCGCATGATTTACATGGAGACTTGGGGAGCAGGCAACCGTGGGGCATCAGGAAAAAGAAAGAAGAAACGGCGGCAAACCCCCGCGGCGATTCTTATTCCCGTGTCCCTCCGTTTTGTGATCCATCAGAGCCCCGGCCCCATGTGATGTGGAGGGCCCCCCGGCCTCGGCGCAATCTTTGACGCCGTTCATGTGCTCTGATACTTCAATCTCTATTCGGACCCCGAAAGCGAGTTCCTCGGATCAGACCCGTTTGCCTCCGCGTGGTATCCGTACTCCGACCATCAGACGGGACGGGAGCAGCGCAGCAAGGTTTACGTCTAACGCTGTCGCCGATGTTAAGCTCGACTTTGCTTTCGTGCTAGACGTTTTCATTGGTTGCGATGTCGCGCCATTCGGGATGCTCTATCTGTCCCTCCATGAAGTTTCTCATGTGCGATGCGCTCGGAGTGAGGCACACCTGTCTCCGACTTGTCCTCAAGACCACCTCAAGTAATGTTTTGTGACTAAGCTAGCCCTGCCCGCGGCTGAGATTGAGCTCAAAGCCTCGATATATCAAAGAAGCATGATGCCGACAAGCTGACTACATCCGCCCACCATCCCCAAAGCGGCGATTTTCCAAATGCCACCGGCTTACATCTCCACTGCCCAAACCGGCATGGCGGCAGCATCATTCCCTCTACTTCATTTCGTCATCACATTCCTCAAGCTTCATCGCTCAGTTCTGTCTTCCAACTGGGACGAACCAGCCCGCTCAACCAATAGTTTACTCGCGAATTGCTTACAGACCCGCATGCCTACATGAGCCTAGCATTGAACCGCCATTATGCAGACGGCTTACACTCACGATAGCTTCATCCGTCCAGCGTTACCTAGGAATATGGACTCATCATCGGCCATGTCTCGTTGATCTTACCAGATACAGCATGTAGACAAGGGAATGAAGGATCTTGTGGAGATAGGAGGCCATGGTCTAACGGGCGAAGACACATCGCCGACGGCGCAACTTGGTGAATAGAGCTGTCGTAAACCACATGTATAGCCTAAACATGTAGGGTAGGGGATCTAAGGAACTGTCAGTGCGGTTCGCGGCGCATATTGAGCGAGTCTTGGAAGTACATGAGCTTCATTGAATAGGTATAAGATGCATGAGCCTCCTCCTTCTCTTTCCATATTCTCCAAGACATCCTATCGATCGTAGTCGAGCCACCGGCCCAAGTTCCTACCACCATCCTCAACATCACGAATCGCCAAGATAGGTCTGGATAACCACAGAGCCTACAAAGACTGATATATCAAGTCTAAGAGCTTTCCTCGACCTTGAAAGGATTGCTTGTCATATTCCGACCACGTCTTGCCCAGGTTACTTGCGACTTCAGAATCCGCGGCGGGCGACAAGTAGCTCTTCTCCGACATCTTTGCGACTTCAAGTGCCTAGAAATCAGGCTCACGCTCCCAATCAAGCTTCTGACGCCGCTTGTTTCCTCGGAAAGATGGTCGCCCTCTTTGTGTACGAAAAGGACATGCATGATCCGACTCCGGACATCCCTTCCCTCGAAGGAAAGGTCATCTTCGTCACCGGTGGTGAGTCCATGCCCTCCTTTTTCTGCAGAGGTTTCCATCGCTTTCGCAACTTCCCTCACATCCCTTCGTTTCTCAATGGACAGCTTCCGAGAAGATCAAGGCTTCTTCTGTCTTTTGTCTTCTGCTTTCTTCTTCTTCCTCCCTCATCGGGCTCATTTACTCAGCGCGAGAGTCGATATCGGGGAAAGGAGAGCAGTATGACCCAAAACTTTTCTTGTCATGTCCCATGCTGCTCTCGTTCAACATTGTATCGAAAGGAGCCCTTTGAAGCATCTCATTACTCTGATACGACCCATCGTCGTGGTTATTCTAGCTCGTGCCAACCCCGACATATTCCACCATCCGCTTCCCCTCCCATCGTTCTTGGCTATATCACCTTGTGGTGACTTCATCCTCATAGGAGAGAAACAATCACACCTGACATCCGCCCTTTCCACGCAAGTGCTGGTTGAAGATCACTCAGGACACTGTTGAGATCATTAGGGAAAAGATCACGGCTCTTTCAATATCACCATCCAACATCCGCTTCACGTTCATTCCCCATCAAAAGACACATACCTAGTACACACATATCACAGAATTCGCTCATCACCAACACAACTAACAACCACACAGGAACAGCAGGCCTAGGCAAATCCACAATCCTCGCCTTGCTAGCCCACAACCCATCACGCATCTACTTCTCAGGCCGTTCCCACGCCTCCGCCAAAGCCCTCATCGAGGCCGCTGCCGCCATCTCTTCCCCCGCATCTTCATCCGCAGCCTCCTCCCCTCCTCCCCTAACCTTTATTCCCCTAGACCAAACTTCCCTCCCCTCAATCCGCGCCGCCATCAGAAAACACTTCACCCACACCCGCCTCGACATCCTAATCAACAACGCAGGCATCATGGCCGGCGCCGCAGGCCTGTCAGCCGACGGCTACGAGATCCAGTTCGCTACGAATCATCTCGGTCACGCCATGATTGTGCGCGAGCTCCTGCCCGTCTTACTACGTACCGCCGAGGGATCCGGGTCTGGATCTTCGTCCAGCGGTGGCGGCGGTAGTGATGCCCCGGCAGACGTACGCATCATCAACCTCACGTCCGTCGGGTACCAAGCCCACCCAAGCGATGGCATCTCCTTTGACACGCTGAGTACGACGCAAGCTGGACCACCGGTGCTGGGACAATGGATTCGATACGGGTACGTCACTCCAATCTCTTTCATCACGTACCTACTCTCTCCTTCCTTTCCCCTACTGACCCTCGAACTCATCACAACCCCCCCCCCAAACCACTTCCAACTAACACCCTCCCAGCCAAAGCAAACTCGCAAACATCCTCTACACCCGCTCCCTCGCCCGCCGCCACCCCACAATCACAACCCTCGCAATCCACCCAGGCCTCGTCAACACAGGCCTCGTAACAAACCAAAGCCGCCTCAACCGCCTCCTCGTCTACCTCCCGCAAAAGATCATGGGGTCTACGGTCCTGACGCCGGAGCAAGGCTGCTGGAACCAGGTCTGGGCCGCTGCCGCCGCGAAGAAGGCGGATCTCGTGAATGGTGGGTTTTACATGCCTGTCGGGCACCTGGCGGATGATAAGCTTGGTGAGATGGCGACGGATGATGAGTTGGCTGGGAGGCTTTGGCGATGGTCGGAGGATGTTTTGGATCGGGTTGAGTGAGGGTGTTGCAGGGTCGTATGAGAGTGTTGTCAACCTCAAGTGTACATCAAGTATAAATTTTATTTCCTCATCATTTCGTAGATTCAAATCTACACGGAGATAAACATGGCGAAAGAGGCTAATGCAGTCATTTTATTGCCCGACCATGTACGTGCACAGTTTCTTACCCTGCCAGATTGTCCAAATCGGTTCCCAGAGATCGGAATGCATCGCAGGCCCATGTCAAGGCGGCCCGACGTCTCACTCTCCCGGGACCCGGCTCCGGGGCCGAACCCCGGCCGGCGCAGGCCACATTCCCATCGCCGGGCCGGACGGAAGTATATGTCTCGCTTCCGCACCTGGCACCAAGAGCGTTACACCGGACGTCGAGACAAGATAGCACAATGCCACTTCGCCATCGATCGAACCCTGGATGTCCCACCTGGCGTGTGCCCTCGTCCGCCCATCCAATGTCACCTCACACCACCGCGTCGCCGACGCGCGACCCCATCGTCGCTGCTAATCATTGACATCCCCGAGTTCCAACAGATCATACGGATACCACACCCATCGGACGTTCAGTCCGCCAACTAAATCTCTAGATTTAGACGCAGCACGCCAGCCAGCCGGTCAATGTTTGCCATCGCCTGCGGCTAACCTCGTTCTCTTGGACTCGATCGCCTCACGGGCGAACTATCCCCAAGATGGGCTTATCAGCCGTCCACTACTACGGCCGCTCACACCATCTCTCAACTTCTCAACGTCACCTCAAGAGGAATGGCACACAACGCACGCCCCCTCCCAAATTCCCAATCTCTCATGTTCCGCCGTTCGACAGGGTCGGCCTGTGTGAGCTGTAATACCTTACTCTGAAATCCGTAATAGCGGCTCCAGCGGACAGAATCATACTGTCCAGTTTACCCCGCCAAAACGCCAATTCCCACCGCCCGACGACGCGGACCGCGCCTTGAACCGCGCCTTGAACCGCGTCGAGTTGACACATTCGGGGAAATTTGTAAACAAAAATAACATGAACCCTAACAAAGTGGCATCACACTTTGTGACCGTCATGTCCGGGCCCGCTGTTGGGCGATACTTTGCGCGAAGAAAAGTCGGGAAACCTTACAGATGGGGAGTGCAAATGAAAATCGCCTGCAGTGCACTCGCTCGTGCAGCACATGTTCGAAGCTGTGATAAGCCATGTCCCAGGCGCACTCTCGTCTGGCAAAGACTCAAGTCGGACTCGGAAACGTGTGTGACAAGAAAGCGCAGAGAACAGGAATGGTGATCCAAGACAGGGCCGCAGTAATGCAACCACTTTCGGCCGGTAGTAACCTGTAGCACGTTCCCCGCGACCAGGGAGATCAAATTCCAGTCCAAACCCGCCGTCTCGGGTTGCATTCCTCAAAGCAGGGGTGCATAACAAGCACGGGAAGAGACTGAAATGGCGACTCCATTGGAGGCCCGTGGGGAATGGGAGTCTCTCAGTCATCGGGAGTGACGGAGCGGGAATCATCGCATGGCTTCTGCTGCCATGGTAGAAACGCTCTTCCCAGCTGCTTCCCAGTGACGGAGGGTCCAGACTCTCACAGAAAATTTCTCTTGCAACCTCGACTCCATCATTGCCATTCTTTTTTGTGTGGGCAGCCCTTTGGTTCAGCCCTGACATCGGCTTTCGATGACCCGTCCGATGGGAAGCCCAGGGTGGCGGCCAAACTGGAGGGAGAGGTGCAAATCGCGGAGATTGGGGGGGCCCCAGCGTGGTGCGGAAGCGAAATAACGTCGGCTTCTTAGCGCCGGCAAGGGAGGGGGGGGGAGCAATGGACGTGGGCGTACGGATGCGCATTGTTGGTAACTTAACGCTGCAGAGCCAGACGGCCAGAGTGGCAGAGGCAATCCATCGTTGATCCATCCCAAACGACTTGCCTCTCGTGGTAACACGAATCGTGACTCTCGCCCCGGGGATTGCACAACTCTCCGGCCACACGACCGGTCTAGGCTGTGGGCAGTCTTTCATCTTAGACCGTTTTACCCATATTGACTGACGTAGAGGACGAAGTAGCTATCCTTCTTCTCAACAACCATGGCCAACTTCCAGCATCGAAGAACGGCATTCTGGGCATGGACCTTCAACCCGGACAGTCTCGAGCCGTATCCGTTCCCTGCCTTTCTCTATCCGTATATTCATACGGCGATGAGCGGGAGGCCATGTGTTGGAGGGGCAATAAATGTCCGTCCGCCCTGGATTTTGCCGGGAGGGAGGCCGTCAAAGTCTTGAGGTACCGGTCCGATCACGCCGCCGCGTGAGCCGTGTCCATTGAACAACTTCGTGGATCGTCGGTTTACAACCACGACGCTCGTGATTTTCTGTGCCGTCATCAGTCGATGCCACGTTGGCCCCCGTTGCCCGTCCGTCAGTATGGCCGTCAATCTCTGAATATCCCTCGTCTTCCCCAGCGATCAGCCCCGGGTCAGCCTTGCCAACAAGATGCCGCCGGGTGGACCTGGAGGAGACACGTTCTAGCGCTGGTAAGAGGAAAGGAAAAAAAAAAAAAAAAAAAAAAAAAAAGGATAGGTAAGAAAAAAAGCTTTGGACCGCCAAAAACCAGTTGTAAATCTTAAAGACTGGGAACGGCCCGGCTGGTAGGAGCGTCATTATCAGACGAACTGGCGCACGGCACATCTTTGATGACTCCATTCTTTCTCCAGTCAATCAAGATGCGACAACCTCAATCTGCGGCTGCACCGGGCCATTTCGAACTCAGGCCGCCAGCGTTCATGCCGTGCTGCAGGACCGGGAAAGTCCTGGGAGCAGGCGGGGAAGTTGAATCTGTGTTTCTTGTAGCGTGAATTTTCCCCTTGGCTGTCGAGGCTTTCAGTGCTCCGTCAGCAGAAACCTCGCACCCACATGCCCATCAAACATTGATTAAATCCGATTCGTGCTCAATCTCGATGGCCCAGGTCATATTAACTTGGCTGACGTGTTTTGGTCCAGCAGGGCTTGACCAAGCATGCTGCACCGCTGCCGCAGTGCCTCTAGGCTCTGATGAATAGTTGCTGAAGGACAAATCTCGCTGATTGCTGCCAAGAAAGTAAGTATTTGTTTCTTCAATCTCAAAGAGTTGGACCCGTTGGTAATCTAGGGCTGCGATTCCACCCGCTGGATCAGTAGCTTTCCCGACCGAACAGCCGACAACCATTCGGCTGGGATTCAGGGTGGACTTGCTTGAGAAAGTGTACCTTTACAGCCTGAGTCTGCCCATCTTCATGTCGGAAAGTATTACTGGCCGTTGGGCTGCACCGTTTCCGTACGAATAAGCAGTTATCGACTCGTCAACAGCACCAGCAGCCCCGACGATCCAACTTTCTTTCATACAACGTGAACTTGTGAAGCCCTAGCCTTGGCCGGGATCTGCCATGACTGAGATCTGATGCCACTATCTGGTGCAAGGATGCGCCAGGGCCCAGCAGCTCAGAAGTCCCCGACACTGTGCGTCTTGTACGGATAGTGCAAAATGCTTTCTTTTCCAACATGAGAATGATCAGATACTATTCTTTGAAGCCAGCTGAGCTCACAGTCTTGATGGTGAAATGTGACCCAACCCGCAGAGGCAAGGAGCGCACGATCGCCGCCGCAAAGGTAAAAGTGCCAGGAACAGCTTGCTGATTGGCCGCGGAAGCTGGCGGCAGGTCCACAGGGATGGACCGAGAGAGAGAGAGAGAGAGAGTCGAATGCCCCCTCTTCAAAATTTCCAAAGGGGGTGGGGAAAAAAACGATTGTCGCTGTCTGCCTCTGACGGCGTCCGTTTGCTTGGCTAGCGGGGAGTTCGAACACTTGACGGCTGAAGGCCAAGGGATCGCTGTCCGTCTAACAGGAAGAAGCGAGAGACACCCCCCCCCGGTGGACAAAATTATGCAGCTCGCATGAATCGTGAAGTCGTTGTGTTTCCAAGTCAGACATGAACGCAACGAATACTCCGTACTCCGTAGATGTTGTGAGGTAGACCCGAGCCAGAGCTAATGTATGCATGGGTAAAGATATCCGTATAGTGGGACGAAGTGTTTTCGACGTGTCTTTGTTGGCTTGCAAGGAATGCCAAAGAATCGACATAACGCCAGTAGGGAAATTCTGGATTCTGTTCTAAACGTGTGTCACACACGATAGTGTTGCCACGGCGAAAGAAGCATACGGAGCTTGGAATCCCTCTTCCGTATTGAACCCGTATCCAGAGGCATTTGCAGACCATTTGCAGCCTGCAGGACCGGAATCTCTCTTGCAGTTGACAGCCGTTTCTTCCGCAAAGCCACTCAATTCCCGTGCTGTGACGGGCTCAAGAAGCCGGGATGTCGTCCGTGGTCCAGGCCGGAAGAAAATCGGATCAAGCACGCATGCGGCATTGCCACCTCTCTTCCAAGAGACCAGATCAATGGGGCATTGGGGATGCAGTAGTCCTGCTATTTTGTCGAATGACCGTCCTTCCAGCTCCGAGACATGAGCAAGTTGGAACAGACCTCGATTGGAAACCAAACGACTCAAAGGCAGTAAGGACCGGGAAGCCTGGTGATAGGCGATGCGCTCAAAGTGTAGCCGAGCTGAAGGGTTGTCCAAGACGTCTCGAGGGCTGAAGAGAGGAACGGAATGCAAGAAGCGCTCCATTGGAGGAGTACAGCCGAAACACGAATCTGACGGAAACGCGGGGGTTGCATGGCAGCACGGGTGATGTGCAAAGTGGGCGCGGGCCAAAGCTGACCTGGTAAAGCGTGTCGGCCACTAGGTCTAGGCAGTTGATCGAGGAGACCAGGGTGCCACAGTGGAAAATGGTGTTTGCCATGGTCATCGCCGGTCTGGAAGACGACGACAAATAGTTGCTGGGCATGAGTCTAAGCAAAGCACAAGCTGATGTTTGTGTCACTGCTCGTATCCTGTCATCTGTTGACATTGCTCGCCAGAGCCCCAAGCCGAATAGATGTCGAGGTCGTGCGGCTTGGAGACTTGAAGGTTAAAAGTCAAAAATAGGGGTTGGTCCAGGGAACACCAGCTGACCGGATCATGGACGGATCTTGCGTGGCGGCGCCGAGGGCACAGCAGCTACAGACTGAGCACGCGAGATGCAGACTGACGACAATGGCGCAGATAACACTGCAGTTCCTGTACCTCATTGAACCTTGTGCCGATCAGCAAACACCAACCTTGGCCGGCCAGCCACCCAGCAATACAGCATGGACGCAAAACTCTTGAGAATAAAATGAAGGACGAGGGCGGTACGAATAGGGGATCTGCGGATACCTGAACCTCTGCCGTGGTTCCTGCCGTGGTTCCTGCCGTGGTTCCTGGTACTGGTCTCATTGTGTTTGGTGCAATGACACCAGAGCGGCCCTGGGATGATTTGAGGCTGAACCAATAGACCACGACAGGCGGTTGACGAAATTGTGAGGGCCGTATCCGCCCCGTTATTCAGTTGAGGATTGAGACACCAGAAAAGGGGTCCAGCAGAAGAAGATAGGGCCGCGCATAAGATCAAGTCCTTGCCTAGGTTTCTCAGTCGCAGTGCATCCGCATCGCAGTTGCGAGTCTGAAGTTAAATATCTTTGATCAGAAAAGTCACCTTGCAACTTCGAGGAGGGTTGCGCAACGTCTTGCCGTGCGCACGAATGCCGCTCTTGAAGCTGCGAGGCTACCGGTAGGTACTACGGGGGTTTGGTGAGTCTAGGCAGTGGCTTTCCACATGCTCTTGGATTCAAGACAAGATTGAATGCAGCGACTGCCTCTAGAGCCGGACTTTATGACCTGTGGGCAAGAGCTTGCAACGGTTGGCGTTATAATTTGGTTGGGTGGTGAGACATTTGGATCAGAGGTGGCCTGTTAGTGCGCCCCTGGTTTCTTGATAATCTGGTCGAAACGCCCCTCGTAGATGGTTGTGGGCTCTGCCATTTGTCAGTTCATTTGCCCATGAGCCTGACTGATACTGATCTGACGCTTGCCCGGCTTGCCCGCAGTTTTCAGTGATCAGCGAGGGAGCATCAATGCATACAGCTTCAAAGTTCAAGCATGTGTGCGTGTTGAGTAGCAAGGAGCATTGGGACAGGTCGGGCCAGTTGCTTTCTTTTTAAGGTTAAAGACCCTCGACGAGCACAGGCTGAACAGCGTAGGTGGCCATTCATGCAGTAAAGCATCGGTGATGGAACCGCTGAACCGTGTGCTTGCTGGTCAATATTTGATGTTGACTGCTGGAACTGTAGCATAGCTTGAGAGTGGCCTACTAACAGCCGACACGACTTTGGATGCTCAAATGCTCCATCACGTCCACAAGTAGAGTGGTGGAGCGGCAGGGCGTAGCCATGCAATTAGATGCGGGACGCAACCAACTCCCGTTTCTACTAGGGCCACCCCCTTGTCTCCATCTCGGCGTTTGGGCAAGACGATGGTGATCAGAAACGAGCAGGAAACTTTTTGGACAGCTTCGAACGTAGCCAGGTCGAGAAGAAGGGAGAGATAGAGAGCCGCAGGGCCAAGAAGCAAGTGGTTGATAAACAAAGGTTGTGGCAACGACTTGCGAATGTGATACGCGAACTTGGTGAGGCGAAACGACGGGAAGCATGCGGGGGCCAGGCGATGGTGGGCACGAGAGGGGGCCGGGGCCCTCTGAGCGGCGGGCAGATGACTTGTCAAGGAATCTGGGCGGCCCTGTTGGCGATAGTTACGATGAATTTGACCCTCGTGGCCATGCGTTTTGTCCGTTTGTTGTCGTAGACTAGGATGGGAACGGATGGGCATCGGCAAGAACAGACTCTGGTGACAAGCGCGTAGGTGAGAACGGCAACGCCTCGGATGGGGTCTTGGCTGCGTTGCTGATCAAAGCTTGCAGGCGATGTGAGAGGTGTTTCGCTCGCAGCGTATCATTTGGTGGAAGCGCCAACTTGTACGGTGGAAGGCCACGACGGAAGGCTTTTGGTGATTGAGACGATGCGAATTGATGGCGTAGGTAAACGAGACTATCGAGCTGTAACGACTCCGGACAGAGACAGCCGGCTATCTCGAAGTTGACGAAGACTCTTCAGAACAGAGGAACATTTCCATTGCTTGCTGGTAGGACGAAAGCAAGGCGGCTGTGGCGGTTATTGTGGTTGTTGATGTTGAGGGAGCCGTCGATCAAAAGGATGTGGAATTTGGGGCGGTGTCATGTGCGTTCTCTGGCGTGCGGATGTGTTTCTTCTTTGCCCCTCTAATCCAAAGGCGTCATGGCGATGAGACTGATGGTTTGTTTTGATGATGAATCAATCCTCTGCCAGACCGAGACATTGAGGGTCGAAGGGGAGGGGTCAAATTGTTGTTCACCTCTGTGTGTGTGTGGCAGAGATGGGAATGGTGGTGGTGCTTCCAAGGCTGTTTGAGATGGAAGGAACACTCGCAATTGCTTCCTTCCAGGTTCAATCAGGCACTTTCCGTCCCAAGAAAGGCGCAGGAGACAAGGCAGGCACAACAGGATGGTACGCACGAGTACCTGCATCTTCGCATCTGCGCATCTGCAGCTTCACCTGCCGTTGGTGGCACAGGCAGGCACAGGCAGGCACAGGCAGGCACAGGCATGCCCGTGTTCCTGCCGTCCGGTAGAAGAACCGCGATGTACCTGCCTCACTACCTTCCCTCACCTTAAGGTAGAGAGCCGGTACGTATCCCTCGCTACTCGAGCTGACTAAGGTAAAGTGAGGAAGGGACTGTTTTACTGTGTATCTTCGTACCTACCTGATTAAGGTACTCCGTAAGGAAGGAAGGCGTTTGACGGCGCTTGCTTTTTGGCTTCAGATTGTGCAGAAACATCTACCATTCACCATTGAGACTCAAGACATTCGAATGCATTGAACAAGACACCTCCCCTGCCTCTAGCCTGCTCAGCCAATTGATGCAATGACGGCAATTCATTATCCGCGGCTGCTGGAAAGGAGTAGCAGATAAACCGAGGGGAGCATACCTACCTCCTCACTGAGGTGCGTAAGGTACCTAGGCGCGGGAGGAAAAGAAGAGAAAGCAGCGAGAAATGACCCCACTTGCAATTTTGACATTTGACACCCCTTCTGAGTACGTACCTTTCCACTCCCAGCCCAGCTGACATAAGGCCCTCCCATCTATCTATCAGACTGTTAGTGCTTGTGCATGGCTCTTGACCGAATCTCCGCAGTTCGACCTAACAGACGCTATCACCACTCACTTCCCAACGGCTTTTCCTTGGTGCTGGGTCTGTCTGCTTGGTGTCTGCTGCCCACCAATAAACGACTCAAATTCGTCCGCGCTACGCTGCGCTGTGAACACCATACTCCGTACTCCGTACTCCGTACTGCACAGTAAGGTAGCGTGCAGTGTCCTGTGCCTGGCCAGGTCCCTTGCATTTCGCATCCCGGGCCAGACCCAAGCCAGACAAGTGCCAGAAACAAAATGCCAGGGGCCAGGAACTCACCCACTGTTCGTCCTCAGGGCGTCAGGGGGCCTCTTTTGAGTGTCCAGCCGGGGCCAATCCCGCCCCTCCTCTTCCTCTTTTCTCTTAGTGCCGCCTTCGTGCCTCTCGAATGAGTCTCATCCCTCTCCTCCCGTAGCCCCGTCCCTAGTCGACTCTCCTGTCTGGTGAGCCGATGAGATGACGACTATTCCAGTAGAGTACCTATTAGGAACATAATGAGAGAGTAGTGGGCGGGGATGATGGGGATTTATTCTCTTTTCATTCTACTCCGTATGTGAGGCCGGGACATTTTGAGCCCTAATGTTAGCCTCACCTAACTCACTCATGCACTCACTCACACTGTCACTCACTCATACTGTTTCTCACAATAGTGACAGTGCCACTCACTCACTCATTCCCAGGTTCCCACAGTCCAACTCATAAACCCAATCTCATGATTCATCCCACACCCCTCCTCAACCCCCCTGCTTCAACCATCACCATCCATCCGTCCCGTCGTGCAGCCACAATCCCAGTCCGCCTCTCCCCGTCCACGCCGTCTCCTATCCACAATCCACACACCTCTTCTCGAATCTCCTCCTCCTCCTCCTCCTCCTACTCCTCCTTCACAAGTTCAGTAGGTATCTCTCCCCTGCCGCCCTGACACCGTGACACCCACAACCATCTTCGACCACCCCCCGTTCGTGGCTCGGATTCTCCAATTTCTGGTGCCTGTCACCCTGTCCCTGCACTGCATCCGCAATTCTTCTTTTCCCTCCTTTGGGCTCCTGGGTCACTCCTTTCTCTCCCGTCACTCGCAATCCAATCCAATCCTCGTCCTCCTCCAAGACCATCGTCTCCAGTCGTTTACTTTTGCTTCCACCGGCCTTCCTTGCTCCTCGCCTACCTTCATCCCCCCCCTCCCCTTCTCTCTTTCTGCCCTCTGCTTCCCTCTCCACTGAACCACGAGCCTACCTTAGCTCTGGATCTGATCAGCGTCTCTACTAGTACACTACACTGAACCCAAGTCACTCGTTGCTTTTCTTCCCCTTCTTCTTCTTGGTTCCCTTTTGTTTGCCTGCTAGGAAGAAAACCCAGGTGAGGCAAGGAAAGAGAAAAAAAAGAAAAAAAAAAAAAGGTTTCCCAAGAGAGCTTCCCACATTCCCACCCGAGTCCTTCTTTTCTCGACACACACAACACACACACACACACACATTCTCTCTCGCCTCTTTCTTTCCGCCGTCTTCTCGACTTCGAGTCTTTCAATACGACACTGTCGACGCTGCTCGCCGCCCTGTCTGGTTGACCTCGCCTAAAAACATCGAACGGCACTGCGAGATCCAGTATCTCTGCGACCTTTGGACCGCCCAAACAAGATCACTCGACCGGGATTGTCGAATTACCCCCGACGGGATCTCTCCCTTTCTTATCAGCAACCCGCGATTCAGCCATATTCCACCAAGTCTCCCCACGGAACTTATCCACCTCGCTCGCTACTGCCAACACGTTACGTCCAGTTCCTACACCTCGTGGTACAGTGACCAGACCGAATTCGACGCACCTCTTGCTGCCGCCAGCCTATTGCGCAGAACACCATTGGAATCCGTGTACGACCCTGGACCTGGAGGACTGGAGGAGTCTACCTTGGTTCACGCAACGAACCACTTCTTCTTCTCGTCTTGACGCTTTCGATTCTGTCGTCCAAGCACATTCAACATTTTCGCCAGCAATCTTTTCCTTCGCTGAGACGCTCCAAGGAAGAAGGATCGACGCTGCTTTCGGTCTCCAGGAGCGAAAAGTCTACATGCGACGTTGACAGCCGGGACACAACTCCATCTTGCTGAAACACTCCCGACACGGCGACATCTCTGATCCAGGTACGTTTCTTGCTCGACATGTCTGCTCTCTCCATCTTTCCCATGTTCCACCGCCCACCTACTCGCCCCGTCTTTTGATATTTGTTGCATTTTCTCCCAGAAACACCCAGCCGACGCGCCTTCCTCCCAAGTTTCCAGCTGCGACGGGGCTCAAGCACAGCTTTAAGCGTCTCCGACGTCGTGCTGAACTCAATTGCTGCTTGTTCACGCCCAAAGGCTGAAGCCGTCTGGAGCTGAGACCGGAACGTGGTCGTGTGTCCAAGGGTTCCTGTCAAATCTTTTGCTGACGACTCTGCTATTTGTGTCTAGCCATCCCGCATTTCGACTTCAGACGCACTCTTGGCCAATCGTCCCGAGCGAACATTGCCCGTTTCAAACAAACTTTCGCCCTTCGTCCCAACTTCTCGATCTACCATCCCAACCACCATTAATGGACGCCGCTTAATGAAGAGCACCAACACCTAAGCTTGATAAACCGCCTTGAGAAGGAAAAGAGGGACTGCCTGCCGACCACACGCACGAAGCACCTCTGCCGACGAGGCAGACCCCCGAAAAATCACAATGAACAGATTTCGCACCAAGAAGAGGGCGAAGGATGATATCGCCTCTTCCACGCCAAGGGCCTCCCACGAATCAGAGTCACCTACGCCATTCCGTCTGTTTGGAAAGGCAAAGAAATCACAAGAAGAGGAGCCTAAGAAGGAACTGGATCTCGAGAACGCTTTGCCTAACACCGATGATTTCCGAACAAGTCTGCTTATGACAGGGTTATCTGCACGATTTTCCATGCTGAGAGAACAAGATGACCCGAACACGAAGATTGGCAAGGCGAGTGACGACAGCGTTTTGTTTCCCAAGCGCCAGTCAAGGATGCTGGACTTTGGCTTCGGCCCTGCAAACGGCCTGTCAGACATCGCCGAGGTCGAGTCAATCAGAAAAGAAGTACCCTTTAACCGGATGGATTCTTACCACTCGGCCGATGGTAACTCCATCTCGGGAAGCGTCATGGACCGAGCCAAGCCGGGAGAAGGTAACAACCTATTTGGTGGACGCCAGAAAGTTTACAAGCTTGGCTCTGGCGCTGTTTCCACCAAAAACCTCGACGGCGGTGGCATGAGTGGACGAGTTCTCTACGATGACGACGTCGCGAAGTCGGCCTTCCAGAAATGGAGGCAGACCGAGAAGTCCAAGCCATCATTTGACGACGAACAGGATCAGACGCCCTCAAGCATCGATCTCCCTCGCGCGGAATCACCCCCGCCCTTGGGCTACGATCGTAAGAGAGAAACAAACTCAACAACGTCATCGACGCCCTCACTGGGCCGCAACTCAACGGCAGCTACTTCTGTCATGTCTCAACCAACTTCGGCAGCAAAGGATTGGCAGTCAAACCCGACGGCACCCAGCTCTGCAACGGGCACTCCCAATCTCGACCGGAGCGTTACCCGTGCACGACGCCTCTACGAGACGGGCCTCAACCACGAGCTCCAAGAACAGCAATCTTCAGCTCTGTCACGAATGGACACTCTTTCTCGGCAGCGAACACTCGGCAGTAGGACTCCTGACCTCAACGGACCTTCGCCGACAAGCAGTCTCTTCAGCGATCGTTTCGGCAACGAGAGAAGAATCTTGGCCAAGGGAAGCGCACCGAACCTGCGATCCGCGAGCCCGCCAACCATGGGATCACCAATCGTCCCCATGGATTTGGGCATCAACGTGCCCTCAAACTCAGAGCCCAAGTCCTCCTTTGGAGGCGCACCCCCGCTGAGTCCGCCCATCAGCGAAGGTGAGGAAAGCTCTGTCCTCCCCAGTGACAGAGGCAAGGCCACTGCCATGGGACTGTTCCAAAAGCCGCTTCATTCCTACGACGAGTCCAGATACGCCCAGAGGCAGCTTCAACTCCAGCAAGGCCGAGAGACGCCGACCAACAGATTCCGCACCGAGTCTAATGCATCCCAAACTACCGGCCGATCCCGCTCGTCCTCGTCGGCTCAGAGGCTGCCGGTCGAGAAACCCGAGCCAATGATTCGTACTGAGCCGACCGTGAAGGAAGAGGAAGCTGGATTGAGCTTCTATGACGACTCGCTTTCCCCCCAAGACGACGCGATAAACCCAGCTGCAGCATTGCATGGCGCTACAAGGCGGCCTGCTGACCGCGATCATCCCGCACTCAGGGACTTTGCCGTGCCAACACCACTCTCGTTGAGCACTGGCGCGTCGGTGGAGCCATCACCTGTGTCCGATCAGCCTTTTACTGCCGTGTCCGCCGAGACGACGAGCTCGCCTCAAGACTCCCCTACGCTTCCCTCGTCTGCCGGCCTCAGCGGAATGGTCCGCCAGCACCTGCGGACCGACAGTGCCACTTCATCCATCTACGGCTCAGCCCCGCAGACCTCCAACTTTGCTTCTAGATTCCCTCTTGACCCGTATGATCCCAAGTCTATGGCGGATATGGGAGTGATGGCCAACCCTTGGGAAGTTCAGTCTCCGGACTGGAGAAACTCGGCCTTCAACGACGATGAGCAGACGTCCAACGAGCAGAAGGAACCAGCAGTTCCTGAGCCTACCTCGCAGCCTCGCCAAACGCTGCCATCAGAGAACCAGCCAGCCTCTGAGCGCAATACCGGGTCAAGCACCGAGATGGAAAAGGAACATGACGAATTTGCCAATCAACTCGCTGACCGCGCACGCCGCGTTCGTGAGAGGCTGACTTCGTATGTGGAGTCAGACCGCGACAGCAGGTCGCTCTCACCTCACCCAGTCGATCGTACAAGAGAGCCGTCATTGCCTCGTCCGAATCCTCTGGGTATCTTGAGACAAAAGACGAGCCGTGGTTCTTTGATCGATCGCAATCGCGAGAACCGCGTCGATAGCCAGCACTCAAAGGCCATCAAGATGCTTGGCCTTGCGTCTTCGACCATCAGCAGCGCTCCCAGCCCGAATAAGTCAAGCTTCGAGGAGAAGGAACCACAGTCACCTGTTCATGACGAACGTGAGAAGCCACCGTTCCCTAGGGCTGAGACAGCCCCGGTATTTCCCACGCACGAGCCGGAGAAGGAGAAGGAGGACGACTCGATGCACGCTGGACTCCAAGCATTCAGACAAGCCAGACGACGGCTGATGGAGGCTCAGAAGAGCCCGTCAAGTGTCCCTATCAACCCTGGTCAGATGCCTGGCTCCATGTCCATTCCGATGGCTGGCCCGCCTGCGTCCAGGACTGCCGCCCCTACTAGTCGAGAACGCACTCCCGGCCCACGATCACCTTCCCGTGAGCGCCGACCGCCTCCCGTTACCTACCAGCAACGGGCACCTAGCGAAGAGCTACAGCCCGGCAACGGCCAGGGCCGAGCGCCGTCCCGCCCTTCTTCTCGGACTGAACGAAGTGAGCGTGACCGCAGCGGCTCTGAAGCTAGCAGCGGCGACAGGCCTCACCGTCCTGCGCGGCTGCGTACCGGCACAATCTCATCACCCCATGAAGAGCAGCGCGGCATGGTGCCACCTCCTGGTAGACCTCAAATGCTGAACTCGCCGGGCCTCCCCGGCACTAACATTCGTCGGTCACCCATTATGCCTCCTCAGCCGTACCCGAATGGAGCCCCTCAGGCAAAGTCTCTCGACCGCTCTGCGTCCCAGGGCAACCTCGCGGTTCAGTACCGCCGTCGGGGACCTGATTCCGGTCAGCCTTCACCCATTTCCCCAATGGCTCCGATCCCGTCGCCGTCGATTCCCGTCAGCCAGTCTTCACCCGCTTTCGTTCCCTCCCGACGACCATCCGCACCTACCGTGCCGTCGCCCAACTCTGAGGCTGCACCTGTCAACCGCCTTGACGAGTCAATGAAGAGGGTTGTCAGGAAAAAGGATATTTCTGAGCCGACTTTTGTCTCTTCAACCTCTCGCGTGCCAACTGTGGCTCTCCCCGAGACCTCGGAGTCCCGTTCTAGAAGCGGTTCTCGTTCCCGATCCGGCAGCATCCTCGGTGCCGCCGCCTCAACACCAAACCTCCATGGCAGCGTACACGCCAACATCAACGCTCCGCCTGTGCCTCCGATTAACCCCAAGCGTCGCAACATGATCGGTTCGATGATGGGTCGCCGAGGAGATGACGACATGGGCGCAAGCTCTCCTCACCTGCCGTTCTCCCCGCCGCCGATTCCTCGTGAACACGGTGATGACAGTCACAGCGCATTCTCCGTGAGCGACGAAGAGGACGGTCCTGGTTCCCAGCGGCGCCGTCTCCGAAAGACCATCAGCGAAGCCAATGGCATGAACATGCGTGCCCGTCTCACCCGGGGCAATAGCCCTCCCAACATGCCTCAGCCCACGGCCATGACAGGCGGCTTGAACAACGGAAACATGCCTGGCGGCATGATTTAAACACTTGCAACATGACCGCCACGAATCTCTTCATCATCTCTAATCATCTCTCAGTATCATTAAAACGGATGGCGGGGCTTAAAAAAAAGAGAGAAAATGGTCGTCACGAATCTATGAGAACGTTTTTTGTGTTTTTTTGCCTTTGGTTTTGCTTCATTTCAACTACCCACGAAGTCAATCTCTACGACTACTGGGTTCCTATTGTATATTTCATATTTCCCTTCATTCTTTCCTCTCTGGCCGAGTCACTTTGGTGCTCAGTCTATTCCACGTTAGGCTCCCGGAGGTAGCATTAATAGGGCGGGGTCCTCGTTTTTGGGATGAGTTTGTGTGCGTTTTGGTGGCGGGCCTGGCGTCTACCATCTGAAGGACTTAAAGATTAGGTGGGAAGGCTAGTGCATAGCCATCCTGAGTCTGAAGAATACCAGAATATTTCGAGGCTGTGGCTAGGGTGGGAGTGGTAGTGCAAAGGTCGGAGTCTGATATACCATAGTAAGAGAATTGGGAGCAATCAAATTCATCAAGATCAACATTTGACGTAAACTCTGAGTGATATGCAACGTGGACGTTGGCCAAGCATTGATGCATGGTTTGGGGTCTTGATCATTGGCTGGTCTCGAGAGACACAAAGTGCCGTTCGGCCCTTTCTCCGGTAGACGGCCGGCGTCCCGCCCGGGATCCGCTCCGGACAATACGCCGGCCACGTCAAGATTTGCCGATCAGCATCACACCAATGTCACGATAAAAACTCATCGGCGCCGAGATGCGATCATTGAATAGCACATTGGCCCATCGCATCAATACAACGGCATTTCATACGGGGTAGAAACAATACTACAATGATGCTCGCCGCCATGCGTGTGCTATTCGCGCTGCCCGTATGGCTCGCGCCAGCTTGGGCGATTTGGAACCCCATCATCTCGGGTTTCAACCCTGATCCTGCGATTCTCCGTGTGGGGGATGATTATTACATCGCCACTTCCTCGTTTGAGTATTGGCCTGGAATCCCGATATATCACAGTAAGATCAACAACACCACCGAACCTGCAGAGTGTTGTCACTACAACATGCTGATACGGGGTGAATAGGCAAAGACTTGTCGAACTGGACGCTCGTTTCACACGCCTTGACGAGGCCGGAGCAGCTTCAACTCTACGGCGTCCCAACCGGAGCTGGTACCATACCCCCAACCCCCTCCCATGAACCCCGGTAACGGGTGTATCTCAATCTCAATCATATCCCTAACACCACCTCACAGGCGCCTGGGCCCCAAGCCTAACCCACTTCCACGGCAAATTCTACCTCTCCGGCATGACACGCTGGACCTACGACCCCACAGCCCGCGTCTGGCCGCGCGTATGGTTCATCTCCTCCCCCGATCTTGTGAGTTGGTCCGACCCCGTGTGGGCGGAGCCGTGGGGCATCGATCCGGAGTTATTTCATGATCCAGCGACGGGGAGGACGTATTTGAATCTGATGGCGCCAAATAATAACAAAGAGAGGCTTTGGGGGATTGCGCAGTGTGAGGTTTCAGTTTCGAGTGGAAACTGTGTGCGGGAGGGGTATAAGAGTCTTTGGAATGGGACGTTGGAGAGGAATGCGACGGCTAGGCCTGAGGGGCCAAAGATGTTTTTGAGGAGGGGGTGGTATTACTTGCTTATTGCTGAGGGTGAGCTTTTTGCTATGTGCTACTTTGCGTCTGGTTGTTTGTGTGAGACTGACGTGAGTGATAGGCGGCACCGATGAATTGCATCGCGCCTCGATTGCGAGAAGCAAGTCGCCGTCTGGGCCGTTTGAGCCCTGCCCGCATAATCCCCTCATGTATAACGGACAAGGGGGGGCCAAGAATTTAACTGTGCAGTCGACGGGGCACGCGACGTTTGTGGAGGCTGCTGATGGGAAGTGGTTTGCTTCGTTTATTGCGAGGCGGAATGTGAATGGGAGCTCGCCTCTTGGTATGTTCGATTCATGAGGTACATGTTCATGCCATATGAGAGCTAATGTGCGGTTTCTAGGCCGCGAGACGTTCCTAGCGGCAGTAACATGGGAAAACGACTGGCCCATCATTAACAACGGCAACCCCATTCTCCTAAGCGAAGAAGTAGGCCCCAAGACGGGACCCAAGAACACGCCCGCCGCTTGGATGGACGACTTCTCCGGAAAAGAGCTAGATCCATCATGGTACCAGCTCCGAACGCCGTACGTCAAGTCGTACGATATCTACAACGGGCGTCTAGCTTTCAAGCCCAACGTCTTTGGTCTAAGTGACCGGGATCACCCCGCGGCGGTACTGCGGAAGCAGACGTCGCTGAACATGACATTTTCTGCGGAGCTGCTTGGATTTGAGGGGCTTTTGGGGCAGAGGATGAGGGTTGGGGTGGCGAGTTATTTGAGTGAGTTTCAGCATCAGGATGTTGGTGTTAAGGGGTGTGATGGTGTTGGCGGGGTTTGTTTGTTTACGGAGGTTAGGAGGAACGGGACTGTTGATGTGAGTTCTTGTTTAATATTGGGTTCTCTCCGCTGGGTTGAGGCGCAAAATGATGGGACGATGAGGGTATGCTGACATGGATTTCACAACAGTACTGGCAACGGCCTCTCAACTCGTCGTCTCTGCTCAAGGGCGGGTTCAAGTTCCATATTCGGGCCGAACCATTGGCATATCACCTGGGATACAGCTTTGGCAATGACGAACCGACGTATGTCACAGAGATTGAGTCAAAATGGCAGGCTTTCGCGCCAACGGCATTCTATGTGTTCACTGGCGCGTCTTTTGCGTTGTTTGCTACCGGGGAAGGTGAGCCGTGGCCCGTTGATGGGCCGAAAGTTGGGTTCACGAGAGTTGAGGAGAGGTATTACGAGGAAGAGATTGGAGATTATGATCGCTGGTGAGAATTCGTAAGCCTTCTGAGTTCTCGGCAAATGCATACTAGGGGAGCGCACTCATGCAATGTTGAACGCGAGACTGCGAGCCCTTCTTGAATCCGCGCGGGGCCAAATGCGCTTAGAAACATTGCCATTGATCGTGGTGCTCTTGATCGCTGTTCAACAGATCAAGACGCTGTATTATTCTCTACGAAATATCCAGACGTTGAGGGACTTTGGCTTTGGCAAGTTATACGTGCGCAAACCCCATTCTTCGTCCGGGGCAGCAAGCGGAAACGTCTTAGTAGCGCAGCCATGACTTTCCATATCTCCATGACGGCAATGTGGCGTCCTAGACAGATACGTGCGCCATGAGAGAACTATGTCGCAGTTAGAAGTGAATTGGGCCGAGAAAGGAACCAATGTTAGGGGAGCAACTTACATGCAGACAACCATTTTCCATCTCAAAGGCTCTTTCCGGTGAACACTCGAGCCAACGCTCCGGTCGAAACGCATCCGAATCTTCCCCAAAGAGGGTCTTGTCTCTTGCCACGACGAAGGGCGAGACACTCACTCTGGTGCCGCCCGGAAAGAAGCGGCCGCAGATGTACGCTCCGCCAGGCGGCACATGGCGCGGAAGGGTGGTGGTGACGGGTGGGTGGATGCGGAAGGCTTCTTTAATACATGCCGCGAGGTATGGCATGGCTTGGTGATTTGTTTCGCTGTACTTTGGCGGGTCCTATAGGTTCCCTTTGACCGCGGCTTGGTCTATCTCGGCCTGCAGCTTTTCGTAGGCCGGCTGGTTCTTGAGGAGGTGGTAAATCAGGGAGTCCATGGCGATGCCGGTCGTGTCCGAGCCACCGGATAGGTTGACCACGGCATGCTGGAAGATTTCGCTGTGCGGAAACTCCTGAGGTCCAATCCTCTTCTGAGACTGGATGATCTTATCCATGATGTCGACGTGCACTGCATCTGGATCCGCTTCACGCCTGTCTATCTCCTGCTTGGTGACGTCCGAGATGACAAGCGCCGGAGAGCTCAGGAAGTAGGCCACCAAGGGGTTTCCGAGAAGGAATTTGTGCAGTTCTGGCATCATGGCTACGGTGGATGCGTACTGGATGAAGCTGTCGAGCACTTTTTTCATGTTGCCCACATCGGACTTGCTGTCGAGGAAACCGAGACGGCGCGAGAAGCTCAGCTCGCCTACCACGTCAAAGGCGTACCACTGGAACCACTCCGCCATGTTGATCGGGTCCTTGAGCTGTGACGGCGGGACTGGAGGCGATATGGCGAGCTCATCCATGCACTGGATGAAGAGCGTCACGGTCGAGTCGACAAAATCTTCCAAGGCCATGAGGGCAGACATGGAGAATTGTTGTTGTTGTTGTATTTTAACGCCGTAGCGGCAAGGGCGCAGCCGCCCTTGCGGCAGACCTCCCGAAGGGTATATGGCGTGGAGGGCCGTAGGCCTATAGCTATCACTAGATACAGTCCAGCTCGTCCTCCAAATCGTGCCCAAAGGCAACTATGTGTTTAACCTGTCTCTGGGTGCCGCTGGCTTGCCCGAGACAGTGCTATGGTCGTCCCTAGAACGCGATTCCGCCAGTATCTCCTATCCTTCGACCCAGAGCCCGCAGGCTTCTGGTTTACACAACGTTCCAGTAACCGTCCGGAGTATATCGTAATAGGTAATACCGCCACAAGGGAAACCACAAGGGGCAAAACCTCGTAAGACTAGGTTGTAGGGCTTGCTGTTAGGTTCTGTAACGAGCATAGCTGTATATAGCCGTGGCTATACATCGCTACCCAATGGTCGTTTCGTCTCTTCGAGGGAGTCTTCGATCGTTTAAGGGGCAAAGGTGCTGAGAGAGCGAAGTCGAAAAGTCGGTCGGTGATGTTCAATTTGGGCCCGGAAGCGCCACTTGCGCCGGGAAAGAAAGTCGCCCGTCTCCTTCGGGAGGCTAGATGGAACCTCTGCTCCCTGCCCTACCAGGAAGACTTCGTCTAGCCTGCGGAAGGCGAATTCGAGTCGACGGCGGCTCGTTAGGTTGAATAATCGTCGGCTCGATTCGAGGGGAAAATGTGCGTTGTTAAGGGTTTGATTAGCGTATAGCTAATCCACCCCAGCGCGCAGCGGCAAACCGCGGGGACTGGGGCCCCTCCTTAGCATGGCACTAACAGCCCGTGCCAAGCTGGAGAGATGTTTCGTGGAGGTTGCAGACATGGAGAAGGCTGAGGCGACATTGCGCTTCAGGCGCTTATGTTCGACTGCATCGATTACCGAGAAGAGGTTGGCGTCGTCTGGTGTTGGAAACCCAAACATGTAATACCAGTCTGTCTTGTTCGTGTTGATGGGTTTGAAGCGCAGAAGGTCTTTGCAAGATGCGGGCTTACCTTGACGAATCTCTGTTCGTTGTCAAAGATGATGGGGATAGCTGCCGGATCTGCAATCGAGACTTCATTGTGGGTGATACGGACGATGGGACCTACATTGATTAGCTTCAACAAGTATACAACATTTAAGCTTGATCTAAAGACTTACCAAGCTTCCTATGTGCTTCTAACAAGTTCCTCTGAGCGTGAGTTGACAACACTTGGAGGACCTTGTTCCAACGATTCACAGTTGCAAGGAAGTTGACTGCAGGGATATTCCTGAGGCTGGGAGCATACCGACGACAGACACCACGAATAAAAAAAAATAGGCAGGCTGAGAGCCAGTGGCTCGAAAGCACTTGAAAAGGAGTAAGAAGCAGGGTTGGAAAAGACATTACGCAGTTTTCGTGTCCGTGCAAGAAGCGCGCGCCAAGTTGTTAGTTGCCGATTAGAGACGAATCACGACATTATGATATAGACACTTCATGATTCGCTCGGGGATTGTCGGTAACGAAATAATCCTATAGAGTTGTGTAGTTTCACAGCCACGCGTAGGGGGAGATAGGATAGATCCTTGGGAGGCACATTTGGTACTGTAGCACTGATGACCCTGCATATCCACGCAGAACCGTTGCATTGTATACATATCTCAAAAGCCTATATTTGGACCGATGTAACTCCCCGACTCATACGCGCTCCGCAATCGCCTTTGGGACCATGTCTGTCGTTAGACATCAATCTTGGCAGCCTCACCACCATATCTGGAAGTTACAGCCGAGTAGAACAGGTTCCCCGCCGTCATGGTCAACGCAGCGGAAACGAACTGCTCCTCCTTGGGGGGCAAGATTCTTTCTTTGGCAAGCCTTTCCAGCTCCTCCTCCATCTGCGCCTCCACTTCGAGCTGCACGCTGTAAGTGACGGCCTTGGCGGCAGAATAGGTAGCTAAACCAAGCAGACGACGCACGACGTCGACCGCGTTGATCATGTAACAGACCTTGCCATCCTCAAGCGCCTTCAGCTCCTTGTCGAAAGATGCCAGGTCGTTGACTAGCGACACGTGGTTGCTTACAAGACGGAGGATCCTGGCCATCTTGGGGTCCTCAATTTCAACATCGGACTCTAGCGAGAACTTCACACATGCCAAGATATACCTTGCAAACAATTGATTGTTAGATGCGGGTCGGGTCTTTTGTAATAGAGAGAAGTGCGCGGCACTTGAAAGGACATGATATCGAATGTTGAACTTACGGGACACCCGCATTAATGTTGCGGTAGGATAAGTAGTCTGCCAGGCTGGCAAAGTTTGACTGGGGCGGGACGTGTCGACAAAAGTCCGCGAGTCGGTCAATGACCTCCTGGCCTCCGTTGCCAGCGATCTTGTCGTGACTTTTGAGACCGTCCACAACGTAACCGATGAGGGACTGCAGTTCGGACTTGGACTTTTCTTTCTCTCCGTTGGACTCCAGGCGGCGCAGAAAGTCATCACGAACCACGCCAAGCTAAAATCCAAGGTCAATACTCACTCAGTGCAAGGATCTGGTATTGTTCCGGGGATGGGATGTGTACCTTGTTCTCGCTATGCATCTCCCATGAGTCTGTGAGACAGTTCAGTGATCCTGAAGTACATACAGTTATGCATCGTCACTTACCATCAAAGATGACAATGAACACAATAGTGGCTGCGAGAAGGCGAGTTCTCTCCTTGTCTGCCTCAGGGAACAGGTACGTGGCAAACTTGGTGAACCGGTCCTCTTCCGGCAATAAAAGTTCGTGAGACGCAATTCTGGCAAACGACCTGCCATTAAGCTTGACGGCGGTGAACATGCTGGAATCAGTGCTGAAAATCTCCAGGAGCTCTGAAGAGATTCTCAGTCCGGCCTCCCAGTGGCGGCTCTGGCATGCCTTGGGAAGTGCCGTCGGCCAAGGCAGACCGGCTCGAACGGGAAAGATATCGAACCCATTAACATCAGTAGGCTCGTCTTCTCCATCAGTAGAAGGAGTACGGCATTGTTGAAGCCGCTCGTAGCCGGCCAACGGGAGCAGAGATGTCTTGGGATCCAAATAAGGAGCATCGTGGAGCCAGTCGTAGGCGTAAGCAATCTGTGAGACATCTTTCAGATCCTCCGGGGCGCAAATGCTCCCTGTAAGAGTATGAGAAAAGTGTAATATGGAGTGATACGACGGTGGGCGGTGAGCTTACCGTTGACAGAGGATACGCTCAGCTTTGACGAAGGCATTTTGGTGATTTGATAATTTCGTTTTCTTAATCTGTTGTGTAGTGTTGCATGAAAGGCCATTACCGTCAGTAGTTGAATTTTGACCCTCTTATATCCTCAAGCTCATGTGCCACCAGGACCCTTACGACCGTAGGCCACTGAGCCATGAGCTAGAAGTGAGGTCGTCAAAGGCATGGCTAAACTACGGAACAGCGTACCATAGAGTCTTGCAGGGGCCAGAGACCCATGCCAAAGTCATATTAAAATGGAATGGATCTTGCAGAATAGCAACATTTGAGTTTCTTGGACGTGACCCGAAACGTAGGGGTGGCCGATAAGCAGGCTTGGGCCACCACTGCCAGGTACTTTTGTTTACATGGCTTCCAACGTAGTATCGTAGGGGGGGCTTGTATTCCGTTTACAACGAATCGTCCCTGATAGGAAATATTTCAGACCTTACTTTACTTCCTAACGCTGGGGAGCTCTCATATATAGCTGAATTATTGGATTTCGGTCCGCCTATTGCTACCGCATTGTGCTATCTTGCTTCTTGAGCTTTTCTGTTGGGACACTCTGATCAAACACCATCATACATCATCTTACAGTGACTTGGAACCATACCAATCTCGCGCTGGACGCTCTGAAGTCTGGTATCATATTTGCTACCAGCCTTTGGGTCTTGTTTTGGCTTGCAGAGTGCATTCGCAACGTTTATTTCCACCCACTCTCCAAGTTCCCAGGACCACGACTAGCCGCAGCCAGTAGCTGGTGGTCGACATATCAGCAGACTATTGTCAATAGGTCGATGCATCATATTTGTATCGATCTACATGCCAGATATGGTAGTTACAATCGACTCTGCGGTCGTTGATTCTTCTGACCTCTGTGTACAGGCGACATCGTTAGAATTGGGCCGAACCGGGTAGGCAAATCTGATGACTCGTTGAACGCATGGTCACTCATGGCGATAGCTTCACTTCAACCATCCTGACGCATACTCTGGAATCTATCGCACCAAGTTCGACAAAGATCCGTTCATATACGCTCTTCTAGGCGGCGACGGCGCCACCGTCACCTTTGTCAAACACCAAGACAACAAGAATCGCAAGGACATCCTCCATCCATTCTTCTCCAAGAGTTCTGTTTACAACCGAGAGCAACTTATCCAAGAAAATGCAAGCATATCCTATGTACACCCGTAGGATTCTTCGCTGATCGTGCGTTCAGATTGACAAGTTCTGTTCAAACTTGGTCAAACATTACGAAAGGGGCGTTTCTGTCAACATGAGTCTCGCCTTTCGGTGCATTGGCCTGGAGACAATCACGTCCATCTGTTTTGGAAAATCGGCAGCTTGTTTCGAGCACGAAGACTTCCATAGCCCGATTTTGGAGTCCATGGAAAGTATCGTCGCTTGGTTCATGGTGTTCAAGCACTTCTGGCTAGTGAGACAGCTCATCCTCTGGGTGCCTGATTGGGTTGGCCTTACGTTCTTCAAGAGCGGCGTGGCATTCGCGCAGATGATAAACGTGCGTCCGCTATCTTTTCCCTATAACAATGGACATCTAAATCCGTGAGAACTCCGGCTAACAAGTATCTTCCTGCCAGATGTTCGCGGAACAAATTGACAACATCAGGGCCAACGTCGGGAATCCCAGTCCAGATGAGATCCCAATCATCTACGGCGCCCTCGCAGATCCAGAGAACTACAGCATGTCCAGGCCTCCGCCTTCTCGTGCCTCCTTGATGGAAGAGGCTATTGCTCTTGTCATCGCCGGCACGGATACAACCGGAGCAACTATGACACTTGGCACCTATCACTTGTGCAAGCACCCCGAGAAGTACGCGAGGTTGAAGGCAGAGCTGAAGGAAGTATGGCCGGAATTGAAAGGCCCTACACCAACAGCACAGCAGCTGGAGAAACTGCCTCATTTGGTGAGTATCTCGCCACCATTTTTGAATGAAGCTAGCATGAAGGCAGACATCGGTCATCAAGGAAGCACTGCGGATGGCACCAACAACCACATCTGAAAATTCTAGGCTCGTGCCTCCTCATGGAGCAAAGATTGACGGAGCAGAAGTCCCAGGAAATGTGAGTTCCGACCTAATACAGAGGATGCAATAACCAGAAAATTGACATAACTCCTAGACGATTGTGAGCATGGGGGTCCTGTTTCCCATGCAACATCCATGGGCATTTGAGAACCCTGATCAGTACATCCCGGAGCGATGGCTTATAGCAGACGAGGCTGCGAAACAGAGGCTTGATCGTTACTTTGTTCCGTTCTCCAAGGGACCGCGCAGCTGTCTCGGAATCAACTTGGCATGGTGCGAGTTGTATCTTGCGTACGCAAACCTCTTCCGTCGCTTCGACCTGAGCTTAGACGGGACAAAGGACGATGACTTTCGACTGGATTGATGTTGGACTTGCGTTGTTCAAGGGTCACTTGAGATGCTATGTAACTCCAGTCACAGAATAGATAAAATTAGACGATACGCACTTTTGCGCATATAATTATTACCAACTTGTGCTATTCAGTGAAGACGAACCAACTCCTGCACGAGCTGGAATCCGGGGACCTTGCCTTCACGATAACCTCGTGAGTCGTTTGACGCAGGTAGATCTGGTCTTCGTGCTTCTTTCATCACGCCCAGGTCATAGTACCTAGTGCCCCATATCAAAACTTTACTGTAATGCCAGAGATGATGATCCCCGTGCCACGTTGGGTGGTCCGACATCGAACCCAGTTGAAACCGAGGTCCTCACCGGCAGGAGTCAACCTAACACTGCCTCGTTGCCAATGTCATCGATTAACAAAAGTTCCTGCAGGAACATATGAGACTTAGAATTGACTGTGCATGCTCTGCAAATGTTCAACTCCAGATTCGCATTTGACCCACACGGATTTGCACGACAAGATCTCGACCGGAAATCCGGCACCCCACGGAGCGCGGGCCCCGAAGTCCCCGAGGAACGTTCAACATTCCCAAAAGGGGCTTTCTGGCAACCAAGTCAGATGCAAGGTCAGACGCAATGCGATTACATGCCATTCGTAAGGCATAATGATCTCAAACAGATGCGCAACAACTGCCAAAACTACTTCAAGACCATTACAGTATCTAGAGTTAAGGAACTTTTGATCATACCGGGGTCACGAATTAGAAGGGTAGTCTGCCGACTAGAAAGACGAGCCCCTGTTGACGTCTACGAGCTGGCCCGATGTCCTATCTGGATCCTTGCGTACTAGAGATAAGAGGCCCGGCATTTGACTTTGAGGCAAACTGTGCCTCAATCACCGGAGATGCCAGAGTCGCCTAGTTGGATCATAAGCTGACTGAGTACCTTACTTGTTGGGTCTGCAAACAGTAGATGTTTCTCTATATCGTACTTTTGCGGTGATGTATCTAGGTATTTAAGAAAGGATCAAAGCGGCTGGAAAGAATATTCTACAGGCTTGAAACGTTTGCTAGTGAAGCTCGTGTACTGAGGTAATCTGCTATGGCATGATGGCTCTCACAGAATCTCTAAGCCTTGACAGGCTGGCCACTAGAGCTGACAGCACCACAGTTGCCTACAATCACGTTGTGGCTGCCGTCAAAGTTCTGGCCAGCGGACCACGTCTTGCAAGTATGGGCTGGCTGCTTTGGGTCAAAGCAGATGTCCACCCAGATGCAGTCGTGGGCGATAGCCTGCGCAAGATCGGCAACGTGACCGCATGAGACCTCGAGATCGTAATAGTTGTCGTTGCAAAGAGCGATTGCTGCTTCACCGACACACTGAGTGCGAATACACTGGCGGGCTCTGACCTTGCAACCTCCGTTGACGGCGCGCAAATTGTTCACGCCAGTGTTGACCTGGAAGCCATCTACTTTACCCCATTTCTCGAAGCAATGGGGAGCCTTTAACATCACATAGTTAGTGTTTTGCTAGTGATTTTCGAGATTAAGGACATGGAATGTGTAACGTATTCTCTTCTCAAGGGATCGCTTTGCGTTTTGACGGTTCTGGGCTTCGTTGTAGAAGGCTGTGGTAACCTCAGGGGTGGCGGGAATGCCTTCAACATCGACAGTACCGTTGAAGATGGACGCGCCGTGCGCCTCCTGGACCTTGGTTTCCATATCCTAAGAATGCTGTAAGGAAGGAGAAGATAGATACCACGAGGAAAAGAGACTGCCTTACGAGTAGGTCGGATCTCCAGACCTCAACCACAAGGCCTCCCTCCTCCAAGACCCCAACCCATCCGGCCTCGCCAACTGGAAAAGGTAGGGGCACGTATTGGACTTCAACATCGCGAGACTAGGCCGTTCATGTCAGTCATCACGATGCCTCAGCCGATTGGGTCACTGTTGGCCGGCAACTTGCTAGTTGAGCGTTTAAGATGGGACTTTCGTAACGAATAACTAGCGAACACGAGAAAACAAATGCAGCTCACATCATGTCCGGAGTTCCAGATATGCAGGCAGCGAGTGGAATCCTACCATTCTCATACTTTCCCTCGTATAAGCACTAGGCTGGTTCCATTCAAGTTGAGACAATTTCATAGAGCTCGAAATATAACTGTCGGAACGGCAAGGGTGATAAGGAGCAATGGGCAGGTATCGTGGGCTGGCTGGCGCCTGCCCTGGGCGAAGTGGGACAACCGGCTTAGTCATCACGGCCGGTTAAGGTGGGGCAACCACCCAGGCCGTCCCCACCTACTTCGATCGGCCCCTGCCCACAATGTAAATAGGAAGAACAAGAACAACAGCAATTATCACGGACATCGACGTGATTGTTGCCGAAGATACACCCTCATGAGGAAATGTACCACGCCTGTAATACCAACAATAACCTTTGCTCACGGCACTGACGGAGGCACGAGGTTTTAGAAACCTCTATGGATTTGAACTTCCATGCTGAGCCTTTTATCGGAATGGCGATTAAAGTCGGGTATTGACTCTTGCTAATGTTATTGACTCTACATTGCTCCAAAACCTCAACTTGCCCTCTCATACATCGAACTATCTCTCCCTCTCCAATTTCCTCTTGTGCCAACGCATGATACCTAATTAAGTAGAACGCAAGTAGTTTGTTCGTGGACTAGTACAGTAGTCAGCCTTGAATTTGGAAGCCTCAAAAGGGCCAGAAGTCCTCGTAGGCTCGGGCTGGTGGATATTCGACCCCATGGGTATTCGCAGATTCATCGGTTCATCCAAAACAACCAAGTAGTAATCAATTCTGCACATGATTCAAGAGATTCAACAGCAGCCTTTTCTGAAAGGGAGGGAGACAAATCCGAATCCACTGAATCTCGACCTGTGCGGATGACCGGCGACATCTTCAAACAATTACAGCCCTACAAAGGCTCTCAGTGTTCAAGTCAAACCAAGTGCAAATATACTAGGGCGACAATTGAGATGCCAGGTCATTACTGGTGTGGCAGATTTCCGGCAGTTTGGATCACCGGTGATCTTAAGCTTTCTAGAATACGAGGTGAACTTCGAGCTTGTTTCACTTCTTGAGACGACACAGGAAAGTCCGGGGCACGAATCAATCGATGGCCTGTCGTCTGCACAACATGAGTCAACCCGCCTTCCGAAACATGACATGAGGTGGTCTGCATGACTGCGCTGAATACCGCTTTCGCTTTCTGACCGTCTACGTGGACGCGAGTATGGAACTTGGTTAAATACTCACTTAGCTTCCCAATGAAAACAATGCTTAGTATTCCACAACTCTAAGATCTACGATCAGACCATCCGCCTCGAAAAGAGCCGACTAAAGTCCCAGTTCGCATAGTAATGATCATTTTGATCTGGTTCAGCACCTTTACAACGAACATGAAGACCATTCCGTACGCTACTCTGTTGATGGCTCTTGACTACTTCGCGAATGCGTTACCTCAGACGCCCGGAGAAGGTTGCGACTCCGTTGCAATTTGTAATGATGTTTGCGGCAAGCAAGGAATGGTAAGCAGTAATCATCAAGCCTTCTTGGCATTTCTACTCTTCGTAGGTGTCATTTCTGATCAAGAGTCCCACAGAAACGCGGCGGATCCTCGTGTACAGGGAACAAATCGGCCAATTGCGTCTGTGTTCCTAAGTGATCATGACACCATGATAGGCATGGCATATGCCTATTGCAAGAAATTAGGATCTGGAATATTGCAAATTACTTTTGTTCAAGTTTTGTATCAAGATTGTGTAGCGTTATAGGTTTAAATGGTAGAAATTACTCATATTGATGCGTCTGTCCGAGATACAGGCTGGAAATCTGTCTAGATAGCCCAAAAGCTCTGATAACTGATACCGTGAGCAAAAAAGCCCACATGGCTGCGGGAGAAGCATGCTGAAGCAAAAGGTTAGGCCCTGGCCAGGATTCGAACCTGGGACCTCTTCCAACCTGGCTGTTAAGAGTCGAAAGTCTTGTTGAAGCCCTAAGGAAGAATCATACCGCTAGACCACCAGGGCTAGTGATCCTGAAGCATCGTACGATGTTCTGGATGCTGTGAGCGCGCTGCAGTTTCGCTGAAGAAAGCTGGTGGGAGACGAGTTGTGCGTTTGTGGAGTTGGAGCGGGTCACGATGGGGGCACGCACCAGACGTTTCGACTACACGAGGGTAACGTGTGCCTAGGTTGCGGGGGACAGAGCGCTAGCTTGATCCAAACGCAAGTCCCGGCTGATTAGAGCCAGGAACACGTGTGTCTGGCCAAAGACAGTGCTACAACTTCAATGTAGACAAAGGACCATCATAATATCTCCTTCTCAGCCGACAGGGGCACGAGTCGACAAAGAGAAGCACGATGGCATAGTAAAACTATGACAAACGGCCTGCTACTGTCATGGAAACCAAGTGTGGTTTAGATATAGACATTATGTGGTTTGTATCTACTATTGCCGGATACGGCGGTTTTTATATACCAAAAAACAGACCCGAACGCCTCTAAGTCCCAGACTTGACAGGATGGAAACCAGAAGATGCTTACCACCTGAAGTGGAAGACTCCCTTCAGCCAGCTCATAACAGAGGCAATCATACCGTTGATGTCGTCACCGTTCCTCAGCTGGTCGGCAATGTTGTTAAGACGGTCTTTGGTAGCGAGCCACTTATCCAAAACAGCTTGGTCGGGAGCATTGAAGGTGCTTCCAGTACGAGGAGGCAGGGCCTTGGTGCACTCAGTCAAGTCGTTGATGTTGAAGACACCAAGGAGAGAGAGACGGATGTACTCGCGAGCGTAGTCCTCGTTCCAGTGAGACTGCCCACCTTGGCCGGCGAACGCCTGGAACTCGGCGCTGATGCGGGAGTCCTTGGAGAGGACGACATCGCTGGCGAACTTGAAGACACGAGCGGGGGCCGATCCGAGGGTCTCCTTGTAGAACTTGACGTCCCAGACACCGGGGGTGCTGTCTTGCGGGTCGCCGGAGCGGCTGGGGTCCACGAAGCGCTGCTGGCTGGTGGTGTGGGCACCGATGAGTGCGGTGAGACCGTGGGGCTTGATGGTCTTGTTCTCAAAGAGCTCGATCAAGAAGTCGGCAGAGCCGGTGACGGGAGGAAGAAGGTTGTTAGGAGCCGGGACGGACGAGTCCTTGCGGCCGACGTATGTGCGGATGCGGGGACCCAAGGGGCAGCTGTCATGAGATCAGTTTGTGCTCAGATTGAAGGACTAAGGGTCCGAATGACTTACACGACAGTGGCTACGGTCGCCGAGAACTGGATGAGATCGGCCATTCCGATTCCGAACTGCTTATACCGGTCGAACCAGACCTGGGTCTGGGCAACGATCTCCTCGAGACCATGGTTCTCGCCGCGTGACATCTCTTCGGAAGCAAGGATGATAGAGCCGTCAGCTCCACCAAGATTGCCGGTACCCTTGGACCAACCGCCGGCATCGTGGAAGCCCAGGCGGACGGCAGCACGGGCGAAGTCGGTGCAACGGCCGGACCGGCCTCTGAAGGTACCCTGAAGATCGTTGGCGATGTACTTCCAGATGCAGCAGGTGTCAGCAGCGCAAGCTGCGGAGCCCTTTGGTGCGAGAGTGCCAGATCTTCCGACGGTCGGGTAGGCGTCGTCACTCTCGGGCTCATCGAAACCGGTGAGGAGCTTCTTGACGCTGCTGCCGACGGCGGTGAGCTTGGAGTCGTCGAGGGTGATGAGATCGCCAATGAGCTCGTTGGAGTCACCGTCGTCGGCGCCGTTACCGTCTACATCGGCGCGGGAGCGGATCTCGGCAAATGTGTTCTTCATGCCAGGGTAGGCAATGATGGGCGTGGCCGCGAGGGCGGTGGTGAGGAAAGTTGACACACGCATGATGAGTTCGAAATAGTTGTGTACCTGGAAGAAAAGAAGTTGAGAGAGAGTGGTCTAGGCAGTGTGTATCACTGGATGCTGAAGTCGTAGAACGAAAGGATGATTCTATAGAATCGAGAAGGAATGTTGGAGACTAAGGAGATGATGAGGCGTATCCTGATGAACCAAGTGCTTGAGACTGGGCATATTGGGTTCATTATATCCTCATAGATAGCTTCCAAGCCCGGGAGGCCCTGCTCTCTTCCCTGCGAATCTATTCTTGGTAAAGGAAGCCATCGTACAGCTTGAATGCTGACTGTGGAGATGAGGAGTCTCCAATCGTGTTGGTTAGTTCCGGGGCGTCTCGGCGCCGTCGACGTTGTAGTGAAGGCTTGCTTTTCCTCCTTCTCATCTGCTGTCAGTCGTTGGTAGCCTCGTATTGGGCAGAGTCAACCGAGTAGGAGTTGCTTCAGTCCGAGCGCCACCTTGTGCACTTTTGCTCCGCCTCCACGAAGCCTTGAAGAGTCGGACGAGAATCATGTTGATGGTGATTGGACAGCCAGACCGGGGCAAGACGGTGGTTGTTACAGCGGTGAGCGAGGCGTTGACCAGGAGGAAACAAAGAGGTCTGTGTGCCGACTAATACCACGTCGAGATTCCACTTGCTAGGCATTATTTCCCTTGCTCTATTATCCGGGGTGTTAGTATTACTGTCGAGTTTTGCTGCAAATGAACGTCAATAGTCGGTAATAGTTGTTCATCTTGAATTACGTGCGGACATGGACTCACTTGCACCATGTCTGGCAGTCTGCCAATGTCAGTCGCCGTGCTTCGTATCGATGCACCCATCATCCGACCTTGAGAGATGTGCCAGGAACAGAACGCGAGTTCAGACGCATAACATTCTTAGCTCCCATCTCCGTACTGGGTCTAATCCAGATCCGATCTACGGGCGAGGCCACTTTTCCCCTTCTAGTAACTGACTTTGACCGAGTTAGAGCAGAGTTACTGTTGTTCAGGGGTAATAGAGCGAGTCGCAATCTCACAAAGGAGAGAGTTGCTTTAGCGTTGCATCCCGTATCCTGCACAATCCCGACGCTAATCCAATGCTGCTTCTAGCGCGCGACGGCACGGCTTGGCTGCTAAGTTCCCCTGAAACATCAGGTGGGATGGCCCAGAAGACCCTAATACTCTGAACACGACCATCGTTGAGCCTGTTTTCCTGTGTGACTCGTGAGGTGGATGGACGTTTCTTGTCGTCCGATTCTGTCTCAGAAACTTTCAACGCTCGGATGGCGCGCCAACCAGCTGGATCGTCCAATAATTGAGATGCTATTTCTAACTCGTAATAGTAGAGGATCTTTTGGTACAGGGATTTTCGTTACGTTCCCTCCCTGCTAGATTGGTCGTGTCTCGTGAACGTATGGACACGCATCGACGTGAAGTGGGAGTGCAAGTTGCCGCTTGACAGATTGGACGCGCAAGCAATTCCTCATGATCTGATACCAGTATCGTGCCTTTCTACAATGAAGATCGAATCACTCAACACCCTCTTCTTTATTCAGCCTTGCAATTGCCTCGCTCTCTTGACTTGTCATGCCAAGCTTTTCTGACAATCGAAATGCCCTCGACACGCCTCGTCCGAGGCGGGCTGCTGACATCGGACCGGCTTTGACTGGTCAGACACAAGCTGATAAAATAAGCTCGAAGCCTTCAAGCCTTACTCTGAACCTCGGTCTGAGCGAGCTGAACGAGTGGCATCCTGCTTCCTCTTGTTGGTCTTTGTGTGTTCCTGCAAGAGAACGTTTCTGAACCCGAGAAGATGGCGGCAACGACACTAAACCTTCTTTGTCCTTTTGTTCTGTGTCTTTGACCCCCCTCTCCTTGCTGGCGCCTGGCGCTAGGTTGGGAGCCATCGGCCCGTCGAGGATCGTCAGGGGCAGCACACAAGTCTGGTTTCCTCGCGATTATGTTTGTTCTGTTTGGCGTGCCGTAACGGCTCGGACTTCAGCTGGCAGGTAAAGATCCAAATTGGCCCATCTTTGTCGCATCTTCCTGATCCAACTGCCAGTACCCACCGATTTCGCCGAACGTCTGCTCGACCCCAGGTAGAATCTCGTTCAGGTCTCTAGCCTGTACATCAAACATGTCGGTGCATTGAGCCGCTACAAACTTTTCAGATTGCTGAGGCATGTATGTAGCGCCATCGAATTTGATGGCGACGTTGACATTCACCTCGGGACTCTCTTCGCTCAGCGCCCTCTTGTAATGCCGCAGATATCCGCCCTTAACGTCCCGATTCCACCTCATGACTTCGAGAGATGCAGTCTTGACAAGCCCTCCATGGAGGAAGGCGACGCGGCCATCGTCTGGGTGGTGCTGTGCGAACGAATGCCCGCAGTAGAAGCCATCATTCTCCGTTCCGACACTCGTGACCCATTTCTTGGGCTTTCCAAACATTGTCCGCAGAGCGTGCCACGCGAAGCGGAACATGTCCTTGTCGCCCAGCAGGATCTCGTTGTAATATTTCCCCTGCTCGTTGTTGAGCCAAGAGGCAAGCTGAAGATGGTACCAGAAACGCTGTTTATCTACCAGAAGTTGTCCGCTTTCCTGCTCGTGCTCGGCCATTCGGCATGGCGTGTCGAAGATGGCCCAGGCGGGGTTCTGAGGACGCGTGCGAGCGATATCGGGCCAGAATACGGAGTGGTATTCTCTGTACTGAATCGAGTCGTAGAGAATCGATGGGTCGATCATGGGAATGTTGTCAGAGTCCAGCAGCAGAGGCTCAGCCCAACGCGAGTTGAGCAGTGCGGCAGTCTTCAGCTGATAGTTGATCCCAAAGATCCCATCCTTCTTGATATGCACGATATTATGATCCTTGGATAAGTCATTGTAGTATATCGGCTCATAGAGGGCATTGAGATCTGCCATAGCGCCCATGTTCATCTCGGTGTCCCAGTAGTGAATCTCAATGGCGATTGTCGACCCAAGCCTCTTCAGCTGACGCAATATCACTTTGACGCGCATCACCGTGTCGGCGTTGCCCGCGACTATGACCAGCCCTCGCCCGGAGAAACGATCCTTGACGCGTGCGTATGGGATCATGCCGCTTTTGACGAAATCATGCCACTCGCGTCTGCGCAGCTCAATTTCAAGCACCGGCCGTTCTTCAATAACCCACGGCAGAGAGTCGGAGAATTGAAAATCGACATACATGCCCGCTGGCCAGGTACATGATGCGCGGGCTTCCCGCTGGGAGATGCCCTTGATACTGGTCAAGGCAGCAAAGTGGGGGATGAAGTCGTCGGCTGTCGCGAGGTTATGTGCGTCGGGGAGGACGTGCGATTGGATTGGTGGCGGCTGGAACTCGAGATTGTTGTCGATGATGGGTACCTCGATGTGATCTGGAGGGATGTCGAGATTGATGGGCGAGCTGCCCAGTGGCTGCTCTGGTGGTGAATTGGGTGTCCATTGTGATGTTTGGGGGTTCGCGTCGCCCTTCTTGAACAGTAGAATCAGAATGACAGTGATGACCAGCGCAGAAATGATGCGTGTTCTCTTGATGCCGGCCATATTGACGATGAACCGCGGACTTCAGACTTGAGAGGAATAGTGGACCAAATGAACAGCCATCACTAGGGATACGCTGCTCATATCAACTGGAACCCCTGGACGCGACATCCAGATCAAGCGATTCCCATGGTTCACCTCATCTTGTTTGTCTCTTGCCGGCCTCGGTCCCAGCCATCCCATTTCGTGCTGATCTCCATGTGAAGCGAGCAGGGGTGTTCCCCCGCGCACCAAGACCTTGCTGTGTGATTGCGTCGTGCGGGGTTCGTCACATCCTACAAGACGCCGTCGCAAAGCTTGAATCCAACTATTTCATATCACAGACTTCCATTGGTTGACATGTTGATGAGCGACAGTCCATCTCCCGTCCCCAGCGGGAATGCAGGGCAAGCGGTCCGGAGCGTCTAGAGTCGCTGGTTTGATGCAGAGTATCCCTACCGTGCGATAGATAGACGGGACTTGCCTTGTCGCATGAAGTGGTCGGTTTCAGTAAGTTCCCCGAGATTGACAAGACTCTTTAGCAAGGTAACATGGGCTTACTGTTTAGACATTTTGAGCATTCGTGTGACTCCTCATCACACCGTTTATCTACACGACGTGTCTCTCTAGAACAATTACAGCTTAGCCTTCCCCATACCGAGGTTGTTCCAGTCATCCTGAGTGAATGGCACATATGTGTTGCCTTTCCCGTGTTTCTCGATCCACAACAGTTGATCACCACCTTGGATCTTGCTTGGATCAACGCCCTCATTCTTCAGCGGTACCTTGTTCTGTTTGTTATTGTGCGTCGCCGTTCCCTCATTCAAGAGTCGGATGAAGACTGGCACGGCGTATCTTGGCAGCTTTGATCGGGCGAAACTGTATACAAGTCAGTCTTGATGCCTGCGAAATCTTGAGGCCGAGTCTACTCACCTGAGGAAGTCGGTATAGTTGAAAGACCCCTTCTGGTCCGCAGCGATGTCGAGGGCTGCCGCGCCAGCCTTGCCATCATGGCCGGAAAGCTGGACGCCGTAGACGACTGCCTCATTGACGCCCGGATAGCTGCCAAGGACCTCTGAGACTTCCGCAGTCGAGACGTTCTCTCCTTTCCAGCGATACGTGTCACCTAGACTGGATGTGTGTTAGTGGGTGCAGCCGGGAGTGCGATATTTCTGACACTTACCGGTCAAGGAAGAACCATCTGCCTTCAGTATCGCGCCGTAATGAGTCTCCGGTCCGGTAGAAGCAATCTCCCTTCTTCAGGATATCGCGGACGAACTTCTTGTTGGTGGCGTCCTCGTTGTTGAAGTAGCCCGGGAACGCTCGTTCTCCTGGATGCTCAACCAGGATCTCTCCACCGACCTCATATGATGCGCGCAAGGCGAGCCCAGTCTTTGGATCTCGCTTGATGTTACCGGTCTCCGCATCAATCTCTACAGGTACCACCATGTTTCTGTACTTGAGTCGGAGCAGAAGCCCGTGGTGACCAAGAGCATTCGCGAAGAAGTCTCCCCGAGAGAGGTTGCGAAGCCCTAATGCGCCCTCGGTGCTGTTGTAGAACTCGCAGACCGTGTCGATGCCGAACCTCTCTTGGAAGCGTTTCCATACATCGGGTCGGCAGCCGTTGCCAAAGACGGCATGGATATTGTGGTCTTTGTCGCGCGGCGAGGGCGGCGAGGCCAAGAGGTATCGAAGAGTCTCTCCAACGTAGACGAACCAAGTCGCGTGGGAGTCACGGACATCTTGCCAGAAGTTCGAGACACTAAACTTGGGCGCCATGCAGACTGTGGAACCGGACTATATCGTGTTAACCAGGACTCGCCGGTGAAGTAGCACATGATGGGAATTTCTCACCAAAATCTGGGATATCATGGTAATACCGCCAGTCCCGTGATAGTACGGCTATATCCATCTGATTAGAGACCGTGATTATCACAGTATAGGCGCATTCACTTACCATGCAAATGTAGCATCTCTCGTTCCTGCCGTTTGTCGGATGCAAACCAAGGTCATTCTGGGCAGATTAGCAAGCCGGAGGAAGGCAGAAAACGCATCATATACTCACCGACAACGCAAGGCCACCCGCCGCAGCGGCAGGCATGATGACGGCCTTTGGTAGGCCGGTAGTCCCACTACGGTTGTCAGATAAGTCAAGACCCGACTTCAATGAGCTTACCTTGTGTAGAACATGGCCATTGCATCAGCTGGCGTCAATTTCTTCCTGAGCTCGTCTCTCGGTCGAATGGGGTCCATCTGGTATATTCTTTCCCTCTCCTCCCCAATGTTGACGACTTTGACGCCTTTGAGGTCCAACTCGGTCTGAACGTCGTTGTACTTGGCGGCAATCTCGGGGCTTCCGTCCACGACTACGAGCTTGGCGGTGCTGATTTCAATGCAGCCGAGAAGGGCTTTACCCACGAGGTTGTAGTTAATCATGGCGGGCGCCGCGCCAATGGCAAGCAGTCCAACCCAGGCGAACGCAAAGTCGGGCGAGTTTTGCATGAGAAACGCAACAAAGTCCCCAGGCCTGACCCCTTGCGACAAGAACATCTGTGCATACTGGTTCACTCGGTCGTAGGCCAACTTCCACGACACGCTGCCGCTTCGTGTCCAGATGGCTTCATCGTACGGATGCTTCTGGACCGCTTCTTCGAAGAAGTAATAGGGAGAAACACGGCTGTTCTTGACTGAATCCTTGGTCAGTCTATCGCACAAGCTTATAACAGGCTCCGGCTTTCCTTACTCGAGTTTTCAACAAATTTCGTCATCGTTCGTCGACCTCTGATGGCCTTGAAGTCCTTGGAGATGTGGTATTTGGCATCTACGTACATGCTGGAGGCCATGCTGCCGGCCAGCGCTGCAGCAGTGACTGCTATCGAGTGAGCGCGCGTTCATGGTTATGGCGGTGTTCAGTGCAGCCAATGCCAGCCAATTGGTCGCAATTGGGAATCTGGCCGAGGATCGCGATTAAGGGAATCTTACCTAGTGCCATGGTTCCCGTTTCTTCGTCTTGATTTTAGAGACTGTCCGAATGTTCTCAGCCCTACCCTCAATCGAACTCCAGTAGCTGCAGCTTGGCACAGCGATTCCAATTCCCGATTACTGATACCTGGCGAGGCTTTTGCGATACAATGACGATGTCTACGTGACAAGCTGCGTAGGTAGATTCTTGAGAAAATTGGGGGTTCGACAATGATTCTTTGCTGTTGACAAGCCCGAGATACGGAGCTGGATCCTTGGGGAACGTGGGGCTACCCAAATACCAAGATGTTGGCCAGCTTACCGAGGTCACGGAGTCGGACTTAAAAAATAAAACTCAAAAGATGCCTTTGGAGAAGCAGTTTTGGGGGTTTGCCGTTTGGGGGTTTTACCGATCTGCCGTGCTTCACTACTGCTGCTTGACCGAGCAACCGAGCTCCAAGCTTCCCCCAGTCTTTACCCGTCCCTTGTCCCACCAGATCCCGAAACGAACAGCCGGCAGATGCTTTTTCATGCGAGGCGAAGCGAAAATGGATCTAGGGGTGTCACGTAGTCCCACCAAGTGCGTTACCCCAGAATTGGGCATCATTGAACTACTCCGTAAGGTACCCTAGCGGAAACCCAAGCTTGGAGAAGAGGGACGCGGGGAAGTGGCTCCGGGGTTTTTAATTTGGCAGAGTTCATTTGTTCGAGGTGCCCAGCCATTCGCATTCCACTCAACTGAGAGAGAGCAGAAGAGGTCCGGCACACTGCCTTGCGAGACGGCAAGGTAAGTTGAACAGAGTTTGGACGTGTCTCGTGTTTACGACGGTCTGATTGGGAGACGCATCTCAACACGAGTCTGAGCTTCAAGGATAGAGCTTCTGGAATGTTGCGAGAACGAGGAGGCAGGACGGAATAGCCGAACCTCGAAGTCCGCGCGGAGAGTCCGTGAGAGATGACTTGAGTTCGAAGCCGGCAAAAAACCTCGTCATTCCTTGACACCAGACTTCGTTGGTTTCGGAGCCCTTGCCGCGATTTGCAACCCGATCCCGTAAGACGGCCCCATAATTGCGCAGTTGCACACCTCCAACGGAGTCGGCATCGGGCGCGCCTGGCTCAAGTTGATATACCCGTCTTGACGGTTCCCGGCAGTACGGGCCTGTGAGCATACGATTGCTATGATCATTGCTTGGAGCCGTATCACGATAGCTACGTAAACTTCACTGTATGAGCTCTTGTGAACTCGCATCCACATCAGTAGGCTGGAAATGCTGCGCCTCGAGTAAGCGAGAGGCGAGAAGCCAAGCAGGCAGCAGGCTTCTCACCGCACATAATCTAGTTTTGAGAAGAATTCAGTAGTGGCCTTTTGCTCCGTCGGTGTTTTCCTGATGTTGGAACACGATTGCGGCACTTCCCAACCTACCCGTTCTCACCATTTTGCTTACCACCGAAGAGAGTTGAGTTGCTGCAAGTCATTGGAGTAATGGCTTTGCCGACATGGCATCCCTTAGCGAAGAATCCCTACCACAGAATGGAACACTTCCACTGGAAGAATCGAGCACAGAGCAATCGGATCTCTCAAGCTCAGCTCAGACATAGATGTACTGTAGTCATTCAGCAGTCGATGGGATAGCGTTCCCATCACAGCAGCAGCAACAGCCATGCCATCAATCAACATCCTTGTAGCCGAGCACAATCAAGTCATGGGAAAGGTCATCGCCAGGCAGATAGACACATTAGGTCTCAATTGCGTGTACGATTTCGCATGCAACGGCCAGGAAGCTTTCGAAGCATACAAGAAAGGGTACCAGACATATCAGTGCATCTTGATGCAGCCCTCGATGCCCGTCATAGATGGTTTGTATGCCACAAGACTCATTCGCGCATTCGGAACCGAGAACAGTCTGAAACCATGCTACATTGCAGTGATGGCTGCTGGCATATCGATGGCGCTAGACATGGAGAGGACACGCAGTCTTGGGTTTGATGCCTTGATTCAGAAGCCTTTCAAGGCAGAGAGGGCTTAGAACGCCTTTTGGTTGAGCTAGGTCTAGTTACCAAAAGGCCAGCAGAGACATCGTGAGACTGAAAAGGAAGGAAAAGTCAGTTTCATCAAGTCAAGTATTGCAACTAAAATCAGCCCAGCAGATTCACGTAAATAAGAAATAAATAACATCAAGATCCTACGTGCATAGACCGAAAAAGGCCCAAGAAACTACCCCCTCGATGACCCCGCATCAAGTTGGTGCTCGTACCCCGCCAGATTTGGAATCCCGTCATCGGCCCGTCAATCAGCTGCTTCTGTCTGAGCACCCGGCACTCGCGACATTTCCGGCCTTTCTCAAATCCAGCGGTCATCAAGAAATCAAGATAACGCTTCGCAACCTGTCACGTTCCTGTGCAATCGTTGGCAAAACCACACATCTCGCTGGAATGGCTTCTCTGCCTCGCACCGATGACCTACGAAAGCTGTTCAGCAAACTGATCGATGGCTCTCACATCCTTCACTTCCATCAAGTCGTTGATGCCTACGGTCACCTGTCTTTCCGCTATCCGCTAGATCCCGACATCTTCGTCATGTCTCGCAACGTTGCCCCAGCTCAGGTGTTAGACATCGGAGATCTTGTCGCCTACAGAGTCGGCGATGCCGAGCCCCACGCCGCGGAGTCACCTCCGGGCTTTGCGGAGCGGCGAATCCACTCGGAAATTTACAAGCGGCACCCGAAGATCAACGCGGTGGTCCACAGCCACTCCGAGGCTGTGGTACCCTACACGATATCCGGTGTTCCGCTTAGAGCTGTGAGCCACATGTGTGGATTCTTAGGCGCCAAAGGCTTGCCGGTGTTTGATACTGCAGACCACATGGAGGACGGCGACGTTCATGACCTACTTGTACGCAGCGAGAACATGGGCGCCCACTTGGCAAAGCACTTTGATGATGGTAATAATGTGGCGTTGATGCGCGGGCATGGTTTTACGGTCGTTGCCGAGGCCATCGAGCTAGCTGTGATGCGGGCAGTGTATACGCAGAAGAACGCAAGTATACAAACTACTGCTTTGATGCTTCAAGGTGTTACTGGAGTTACTGGCGGCGTGAGGAGTCTAAGTCACGAAGAGTGCATGGCTTCTGACAAGACGACACAGTGGTCATTGATGCGACCGTGGAACTTGTGGGTTCAGGAGATCGAATGCAATGAGGTGTATAAGAAGTTGCTCTGAATCAAAATCCAATCAAGCGAACTAAGGCATTCAATTGATTCGAGTCTATTTCGTTAAACTGAAGAGCGGCCGTCGTCCAAGGCCGATGGGGCGCTGTGCGATCGAGGAAACTTGACCAGGTACCAATCGCTCTATGCACGCACTTGACTTCAGAGCCCGGATAGTAGAACAGCCTACCAAGTCATGGAGAGCAGCAGCTCTACCTAGTTAATAATGTGTCTCACGTCTAGGGATCGCAATGAAGCTTTATCGAACGAGAGGCACCAAGCCAGAGAAAGTGTGCTCAGGGAATAACACCATTCTTCGATGGCCAAGTCCACAGTTCGCAGCGGAAACAGGTGCCGGCATTGACGCAACTTGGATTCGTTGTCATCGTATGCGGGGTGATCGGCTGATAGACCTCCACAGCTGCGTCTTCGATCCACAGCCGGCCGTGGGGTTCATCTTTTCCTTTGCTTAAGACTACCACTTCGGGGATAGCGTGTTGATAGACCACCGTCATTACTCGCAGCTTCGCAGCTACCCGAGAGGATAATCCCGTTGCTGTTTGTTGGCTTGTTATTAAGCGTAAAGACGTCTCTCCTTATCACCTGCATTGTTATCATCAGTGCGACACTGAGATGTACAAGTGAAACAGCCTTCAACGACCATAAGAGGACATGAGAGTATCACCTTCTTTTGCGAACATCCTTGTTTCTACCTCCAGTTCACAACATTGAAACTCCGCTGTCACCATGGCCACATCACCAGCGGATGGCCAAGATGGCCACCTGCAGAAGCGGTTCTCCAAAATCACCATGATTGGCATGGCCTTTGCTATCCTCAAGTTAGTCATTAACTTGTCATTCCACACTTTCTAATCCTGGTACTAACTCTCAAAGTACTTGGATTTCTCTAGCTGGGTCCATTGGTTTGGTGATGCCCTCGGGTGGGTCAGTGTCATTTGTGTACGGCTTCATCTTCTGTGTCATTTGCAACGTCGCTCTTAGTGCCAGCGTTGGAGAGCTTGCATCGCTCTATCCGACAGCTGGTGGACAGTATCACTACGCTTATGCACTTTCGACGAAGAAGTGGAGGAAGCTGACGGTGAAAACCCTCTTTCTCACAGCCTAGCTGGAGATCAAATGCTAACATGCACCAGAGCTTCTTCGTTGGATGGGTCAACATCGCTGGCTGGCTTACACTTAATACTACAGCGGCGTATTTTGGAGGTGCGAACTGGTTATCATCAACGATCTGAATGGCTTTGCTTACTCCCGCTACAGCTCGATTCCTCGCCGCAGCAGCTGTCGCGGCTTCTGGCGGCTCCTACGAGATCACGCAATGGAGCACGTACTTGATGTTCGTTGCTGTGTCCATCATTGGGGTCTTCCTGAACATTTTTGCATATCCAATCCTCAACCGCTGGAACGAAGGAGCGCGTAAGTAACCAATGACTAGAGACTACATTTGACGGATTGCTAATCTTTTCAAGTGTACTGGTCTTTGCTCAGTGTCGTCGTGATCAGCATCGTGCTCCTTGCAACCTCCCCAAAGACAGACGCCGAGTTTGTCTTCACGAATTTCTCCAATACAACCGGATGGAGCGATGGTACCGCTTGGATGCTTGGGCTTCTTCAGTCTGCCCTCAGCCTGATTGGGTTGGTCATGGACTTCACTGTTGCATTACAGCAGCGAGGCTAATATTGCTGCAGGTTTGATGCTGTCGCGCACATGGTTGAGGAGATGCCTAGCCCATCTAAAGATGCCCCCCAAGCCATGGTCGGTGCTGTGATCGTTGGTGGAACGACGTAAGTACAGACCTACCAAGGACTGTAGTGTCGTTATTCTGACAGTTAATGTAGGGGAATTGCGTTCATCCTCGTGATGCTCTTCTGTGCCGTTGATATCGATGTACTGCTCTCCTCGCCCACCCAAAGTCCTCTGACAGAGATGATATTGCAAGCTACAAAGAGCAAAGCAGCCGCGACTGTTTTGAGCGTCGCAGTTGCCCTGTGTTTCGTCAATGGCGCCAACGGTTGCGTTACGTCGGGCAGTCGCTTGGTCTGGTCTATGGCTCGAGACAATGGAACTCCATTTTCGAAATAGTAAGCACACGTTGACCTCACCACCACATAAAAACTCTGTCTAACCTTGCTCTTGCGCAGCCTCTCACACCTTCACCCCAAGCTAAATGTCCCTGTACGCGCAATTGTTGTGCAAGCCATCTTCAACATCCTTTTCGGTCTTCTTTACCTCGGTAAGTCTCCTCATCCGTGCATGAGACTCGATATCTGACGTCGTCTAGGTCCTGAAGTGGCGTTCAATGCGTACATCGCAAGCTGCACATTGTTCTTGAATCTTTCTTATGCAATGCCCGTCATGATTCTGCTGATCAGGGGGCGCAAACTAGTTACGGATAACCCACCTGTTTTCTCCTTGGGTGGAGGCTTCATGGGCTATCTCACGAATTGGACATCGGTTCTCTTTGTAGTTGTAACGTCTGTCGTAAGTACAAAGATGCATTCAGATTATGAGAGGTTGCTGACGTAGACTGCAATAGTTCTTTTGCTTCCCACCAGCAATCCCCATTGATCTTTCGACCATGAGTAAGTCTCCATCTACTAGTACCATGCCCATGCATCTTAGATCTAACATGCCACAGACTACGTAACCGCCGTCATTGGAGTTTTCATCGTCTACGCGGTTGCACTCTGGGTGATCAAGAGAAAAACTTACAATGGTCCTAGGTTTGAGCTGATCCTCGGGGAGGAGTTGCCGACAGCAAACCCTATCGAAGATCAAGACTATGCAAAAGGAATAGTCGTCTCACCACATAATAAGTTGTGAACCTTTACATAGTTCTCAGTCAAATAGAAATAAATTTTGCCATGAGCCCAATTACTCCATATTTAGGTAGAGAGAGTCAGCAAGGACTGTTTTCCCCGCCAGGAACGCATTTTAATGTGTTCCTTTCTATACACAACCCGCGTAGAAATAACTGTTTCGACGGCCTATTGGTTTCAGTTTGTTCGTACCCTATAACCCGACTGTCCTGGAAGATCAACTTGAGATTATTTGAGGCATCATCCGCAGCGGACAAGACTGATGATCAGGGACAAACAAGAATCTAGACTTACAAGTGCTGACATTCAGCGCATCTCAAATAGATCATAGATGATATTATGGAGTCAGGCATAGGTAGCGTTTTCTTTCATTAAACTACAACTTGGCCCCTTTGACATACCCATAATGCCAATCAACGCGTCCCAAATCCTGTCTGATCTGATAATTCCGCTCAGCGATCTCAACAACTCGCATATCCACATCCACTACCCGCATGCCATCCTCACCGTCTGTGAAACTCCCTGGAACCTTGCCGACGATGGGTAGTGCAACTTGGCTGCAACCAAAAAAGCCCTGCTCCGAAGGTCCTCCTGCATTGCAGTAGATGATGGCAGCAGTGTTTTCGAATGCCCTCGTAGTAAGCGTAGACTCCACAAACATCTTTTCGCAAGTCGCGTTATACTCAAGACCCTCCTTGCTCATATCCGATAAGGTCCAAAACGAGGGCATGATGATGATCTTTGCCCCTGCAAGAACGAGCTGGCGGAACGCTTCTGGGAAGGCCAAATCCCAGCACACCAGTATTCCCACGGGACCCAACGGCGTATCGAAGACCTGATGAGGTTTCGGCGTGCCTTCGTCGACTTGCATCTTGTGCGCATAGTCGATGCTTGAAGTTAGGTGATTGCGTTCAGGAATCCAGAGGTTGGTCTTGGTGTAAGCGCCCAAAAGGTGTCCATCATGGTCGATAAAGTACGAGGTGTTGAGAAGAGTTGGCTTGGACTTCGTGTGTTGGTCGTCTGGTGCGCGGTAGGCGATTGTGCCGGCACAGATGTTGATGTGCACTTCGGCTGCGAGTTGCTGATATCGGCGTTGGAAACTTTGAGCTTCCTCATAGCTGAGTGCGAATGAGGGTTCGTCCGGCATCCATCCTGTCATATGATATTCTGGTAGAACGGCAAGCGATGCTCCTTGAGTTGCAGCAAGCCGAATTTGTTTGGAAGCATGGGCAAAGTTGTGCTCGGCATCCAGAACCTGCGAAGGTGAGAGTTGGCGATGGTTCGTGTTCGTGTTCGTGTTTGAGTGACGTCGATAGTGGGCTCACCTTTGGACTGGTTTGTATCAGTGCGACCTTGAAAGACTGATTTCCTGAGACGGCTGCCATGTTGAAAGATAATGAGATCAGAACTGATAGCACTGGGATTTGATATAGCTTGAGCGTGGCTTAGTGCTTCCAGTAAGTCTTATCAAACAAACTTTGAATAAGAGAAGAGACTGGCTCCATCGTCTGTCTCCTCATCAATCATTACCCATTTCAGCATCATTTTCCTTCGCCTCGAGAAACCTGATTCGGCTTAGCGGATGGGGGCATGCGCTCATCTTCGCTGGGTCATGCAATCCCCCGAGCGGTCCACTGCCGATAAGCTCCCCGCATCCGGACGCGAGTCAGTTCATCCACCGAGACAATCGTCGCTCAAGCACTTGGAAAGCTTCACACACAGGAATCGCAAGTTTGAATGAGTGCCTCACTGAATTGTGCTGCTATCTCATTTTTCATCGATCGTGACTATCTCAGTATGACTAGATGCAGTCAACGTCTCAAAAAACGATCACCAGATCCCGCAATGGATGCGCAGTATGCAAGTCTAAACGAGTATGAGACTAATCACCAACATTATTTACCCTTCACTGTGTTGATTCCTAATACGCTTTCTATTAGTTGAAATGCGACGAACTGAAGCCACATTGCTCAAGATGTAAGAGGCTCGGGATACCTTGCCCCGGCTACCAAAAGCCTCTCAGATGGCCGCCAACCTCAAGATCACCTAGGATCGACATCACGACTCCGACAAATAGCGAACCAGAAAGCCGGCAGCAAAGGATTAAAGACCCATGTCGAACTCTACAATCCCTTGATTCATCTGACAATGATCTCTGTGACGTGGAGTTGTTCAGTCAGTTTGCAAATATCAACACTTCGTCAAGCATGGACTTTCAAGATGGCAACCATCTAGACCATGCATTTCCTTTCTCGGACCTGCCGGCTCAACCGCCAACTCCTTTTACTATTCTCGAGACATCATGTCCTGCCGGGTTGCCAGAACTCGGGACCGATGACTTGTGGCCGAATATTACTCCCAATAGTCCGGACAATGGCCTTTTCGCTATTGAGAAGCGAAACGATCCGGCTCCATGGCGCGTAGCTCGCTACGAAACACCACTATCACCCTCCTTACAAGACAATACATCAGTGCTAGTGGAGTACTACTTCAAAGAAGTTTGCGGAATGATGTCTTGCTACGATAGCAACTTGAATCCATACAGAACGACCATTTCCAATCTCTGGGGCAACTCGCCGTCTCTCTACTACGTCACGCAAAGCATGGCAGCAGCCTGCTTGGCCGAGGTCTCGCCTGGTCTTTCGATAGCGAGTGGCCGGCTTCGAGATCAGGCTGTCAATTCTCTATGGAAAGAAAGCAAAGCAGGTCCGACGGATACATCATCACTATTGGCGCTGGTCATGCTGGGCTTCAGTCTCTGTTGGCACGATCCGAGCAAACTAGGCCAATCCGAGTTTGAGTTACTGGCTGAGACTCTGCTCCACCTTGAAGCCCAAGAAAGCAACTTGGCAATGGCGGACAAGCAGAAGCGCTTCTTCTTCTATAATTCTCTTGTCTACTGGAAGATGCTGCTTTCCTTCGTAACCGACCAGGAGCTGCCTTCACCGGCGTCCACTGGAGCCATTCAGCCACAGCCACCTCGCTTTCCGAGTCGCAATGACGCGAGGATGCCACATCCGCAGACAGGAATTGGAGTAGAGGTATTAGAGATTGTAGGCCAAGTTGGGACCCTGGTCAGAAAAGAGCGAAAACGGATTCGTAGCCGCCAGCGCTCGTCGAGGCACGACATTGAGCAGTCCGTTGCCGCCATCCAGACGGCGGAGCAGCTTCACTCGCAGCTTTGCAAGATTGACCTTCCAAAAGAGGTTACAGTCATGGACTCGGGCGATGACATGACGCCAACCGACCATCTCTTGAAAGCTGCAGAGGCATACAGGTGCACCGGACTGCTGCAGCTCTATCGCAATTTTCCTGATCTACTCTTGCAAGATGCGGCGTCCGCCAGTCCGTCCGCATGGCTGGATATACCAGGAGACATGGAACACAGCCTTTCCGACGACTCGGAAATTGTCCATGAAACGTGGCTGACTTGTCTTGCCTTACACATCCTCGATCTTTTGCACGATATTCCAATCACGTCGCGGTCTCGATCCATCCAACCACTGCTTCTGGTAAGCATCTGCAGCGAGCTTTCTATGAATCGTGAGTTTGCTTCTTTGGATTCTGTGGTAGACACACCTGTGGCAAGCATTGCTTCTAGTCCCAGGTTGAAAGTACTACCAACCACGACCGACATATTGCACGCTAGACGGCTGGTCCTCTCACGTCTTGCATCTTTTGAGGGTATCCTGGCAGCCAAGCCAATACGGCAGATGATCATTCTTGCGAAAGAGACGTGGAATTGTATGGATGAGAAACAGCAGGATGTGTGTTGGATGGATGTCATGATGGAGAAGGGATACGAAACCTTGATGGGATAGTTGTCATGACTGGAAAGATGATGGTACCACTTGTTGCATGATCTGTAGTTGACTTGACAGCTATTCTCGAGAAAAGTGAAAGATTCATTCGGGATGCTTGAAATGAACTTCTATACTCTAAATAACAGTGTGTTATTCATAAAAGACATAACCAAGAATCACAAGATGTCTCCGTACAGACCACCAAGCTCATTGAGGACATCATCCGAGAACAAGTCATCCACATGGTAAGCCTCCTACGCACCCATAGTTCACACCCGTCCACCACCGCAAGATACAAAGTGTATGCTCATCAACGTCTCCTAGCTCAAAACAGCCAGCGACCTCGCCGCCCGCCGCAGCTCCCGCGTCTTCTCCAATAACGGCCTAATCTTCCAAGTGCGCCATGACAAAGCCCGCGCCGAACGTCTCCGCATCTTCCTTATCTGGAAAGCCATCCGCAGAACCGTCAAAGACTCTGACGAAAAAGAAGGCTTCGTCGACGAAGTCGATATGGAAGAAAATGTCGCCGCTCCCACAGACGATGCACCCGCCGGCGGCAAGGCCAGGCTACCTACCGTCACACTCCCATGGGACGCGGCATCCTACTTTTCCGAACAAGTCACCGAGGCGAGCCAGGAGGATCTGGTGGATATCACCAGCAGCGAGGCGGGCGCTGGAGAAGCTGAGGAGGAATGATGACCGGACGAGGGATATGACCGTTGCGGAGTACGCGACGTGGTCAGAGTACCGTCACGCGTCGCTGACCTACCGCAAGGCCAAGAGGTTTCGAGAATGGTGCGGGCTAGGCGTGATTGCAGAGAATAAGCCCAGTGACGATGTGATGGATATTCTGGGGTTCTTGACGAGTGAAATGGTGCAAAACTTGACTGCGCAGGCACTCAGGGTCCAAAAGCAAGAGGCCCTCCTCCTTCTCGGCAAGGGGACGGCGGTAGCTGGGGAAGAGAGGGGCTTGGTGGCGGGCTTGGGTGGGTTATTCGCTGAACCGGAGGGTCTTAGGAAGGCGGTTGACGTGAGGCATGTCCGGATGGCGTTCCAGCAATTGCAGGGGAGACCGAAGAAGAGTCGGGCGTTGTTGAATAGGACTCGACTTTCGCAGCCATCTACGTTGAGACTTGTGAGTATTGCTCCGTGCCCTGGCTGGGTTGATGGGAGGCATACGCTGACAAGACTACATCGTAGCTGTGATCTCACCGTATAACCTTGTTGTTTACCTCTTGTCTATTCGTGTGTTGGAAATTTTCTACGGTCGTAGCAAGCTTCGAATGCCAAAATGCTACTATGAGATTTAAGAATCGATGCTGTATTTCTCATAATTACCATCTCCCTGAATCCGTGCCAGGTAACACTGATCCAAGAAATTGACATCCTTGCTGCATAGTCCATGAGGAGAACGTTATCTCCGTCAATTACCTCAATTGACTTTAGAAATGTGCTTCTCTTTGGTGCTCTGATGACTGAACTCAGACTTTGGGTATGACAGTAACACCATGGAGCACGGTTATTCGTTGCACTGTTGCCGCCACCACACCTCGAGGTTGCAGCGAACCAGGGGCAGCAAGTGGCCATTGCGACCGACCGAGTAATGTGAATAGCTAGCTCTGAAAGATTTTTCTCTCTGACATTTTGCTTTCAATCTAGTTTCTTCCTTCTCTCCTACTCGTCCGTCACCTTTCCAGAAAAATTCTCAAACAGCTTGCTAGCGTTCGCCGACAACACCTGAATTCAATCCTCGTGCAAGCACGAATTAGAGTTTCTGCCCCTCGAGACGGGACGACAGATGCTGCGGTCGCCCCAGGTGGGCAGAGCGGACATGCTACGGCTCGACCCTACTGAGCACGTCGGAAGGCTTCGAATTTCAACAACAGTCACTAGTCAAGGTGCCAGAGTGGTTAATGGGCTGCCCTGCTATCAAACCTTGATTCCAGATTAGGCAGTGGCTTCGGTCGCGCAGGTTCGAATCCTGTCCTTGACGCATCTTGTCTTTTGCACTTTTGCCTCTCATGCATCGTCATCCGCTGCTCTCGCTCTTGTTGATGGCCAACTCAGTTTTTGCTTTGGAGCATTGTTGAGCTGGTTGTGTGATGGGACAATTTGGATACCTAACAAGTAGTGGGATAGATAGGCTGTAGGTACGTACCCACGCACGACCACGGCACCTCAAGCTGGTGTGGCCCATGTGATGGCACAGGGTCGGTCCTCAGGTACGTATCGTGATTAGATAACGTTGAAGTCCATCGGGTGCCGGGCAGGAGGCAACCCCACCATTGCCAGTTTCCGAAAGCTGCCACCCCGATCCGACCCCGCGGCCGTCACATGACGATGACGTGAAAGTCACAAAAGGTTGAGGTTGTCGTCTCCCTGATATTAATCGCGGAAGGTCCGTTACTTCATTCCGTAGATTCATATTCTGATCCATTGCCTCTTTCACAACACTCATTCTTCACGTGGGTACCGTACGTACGTACGTACGTTGAGTAAAATCGTCGAGCACCACCAAACATCACATCACCATCTGAGCACTGGAAGAGTGGGATTCACAATGGCAGCTGCACAGCAACTCAACCTGCCTGACGGCCGTATTCTCTCATACGAACTCTCAGGCCCGGACTCGAAGCCCATCGTCCTATTAGCCAACTCACTTGCGGCGCCCTTTACGCTCTGGGATCATGTTGTCAAGGTTCTCCACGCCAACGGCTTCCGTACGCTGCGCTTTGACCAGCCGGGCCACGGCAAGTCGTCGGCACCAAAGAAGCTCGACACCGAGTTCGAGACGATAGCCGACGACGTGCACTCTCTGGTCAAGTCGCTCAAGATTGAGAAGCTCTTTGGGTGGATTGGAGTATCCATGGGCGCGGCGACGAGCTTCTACTTTGCGACAAAGTACCCTGGCATCATCCAAAAGGTAGCCATCTGCGATACCATCAGCTCGTCGCCCAAGCACGCCGGGGTGGAGGACTTGTTCGGCCCGCGGGCCAAGGCAGCGGGCGAGGCCGGCAACATGGAAGCCCAGGTCGACCAGACGATGGACCGCTGGTTCGGCGCCGAATGGATCAAGGCCAACCCTGAAGAGGCGGCCCGCGCACGCACGATCATGAACCAGACTACCGTGGAGGGATTCCAGACGTGCTGCTTTGCGCTGCAGAGCGACAGCTTCGATATTCGACCTCTGTTTGAGAGGATTGGGTCTGGTGTTGACGAGGCACTGTTGGTTGTTGGTGAGAAGGACGCGAATCTACCGCAGGCGATGCAGGGGATGCGGGACAGCGTGGAGAAGGGATTCAGGGCGGCTGGCAAGGACAACAAGATTGAGCTCAAGGTGATTAAGAACGCGGGTCACGTCCCGTTTGTCGACAACTTTGAGCAGTTTAAGGAGGTGATTCTGGGCTACCTCAAGGCGTGATCAATCAACCTACCTACCCAAGGTAGTCGCGAGTCAATGGATACCCTAGGAGGAAACGAAGAAAAAAAATCATCACCATCATCCTTACTCCATTTGGGCATTGGAGGTTGGAGTTGATGAAGCTATTGCAATCGGCTTCCGTTCCCAGCCTCTGGTCGCTTTGGTGGCTTTTGTGAAATGAATTAACAGAAAAGGGGCAGTCCTGGGAGCACAAAGACGGGGGGGGGGGGGGATTAGCGTCTCGGTGAAGCAACCAATTAAATTACTTACCGTCCACCTTGGCCTGGCCCATGCTCCTGACCTTGCTCACCTTCCAGTCACCGAGCCCACCTTGGACCTTGTCTGGGACTAGCGCCGACTCAGCCTCCCACCGCCAGCCTTCCTTTTTTCCCTGGTTTTTCCCTTCGCGGCCCAGCTCCCGTCCCCCTTCGTCTTCCCGTCTACGAGCCGTCGTCTTCCCAGCCCCGGCCGTCCGCTGATTGTGTCTCTTTTTTGGTGTTCCGCTGGCTCGTGCTCTGGGTGCGCCGTTCCGTTTCCATCTACTCCCACAGCAACCGCCCACCAACCATCGCCAATACACCACCACACCACACACACATACATACACACACTACACTACACACCTCCACAGTCAACCCGTGCGGCAGACAAAGAGCGTTCGGTTGAGCACAGAGACACCACCAAGGAGTCTTTGCTCTCTTTTCTCCTTTTCCTCCCCCCGCCTCCTCGTCTCTATATCTCTGCATCGAACCCAACGCTCCATCCATCGTCTTTCTGTGGTTCTGTCATCGCCGGCTTCTCTGAACCAATCCACGCTGCCTTGTTTCCACCGCTGACGTGGTTCTCAACGCGACGCCTCCTCTCCGCACTCATCCACCTCCGGCTCCCAAACCGGCACTACTCTACTAGAGTCGCACATACAGTTACCCCGCGCTCTTGTTGCTTCAATCAATTACCCAACATACACATCTTCCCGATCGCATTTCAAGCATAGCTCGCTCGCTTCGAACTATCGCTCCCACTTCCATCATGGCCACCGCCCCCGATGCTGCGGCCCAGCAGCCCAAAGACACCACGACCGTTCCCACAACACCTCAGGACAACGACGTCCTCGCATTGAACTCGTCACAAGTAACACTCCCCTCGACTGAGGTTCCCGCATCGCCCGCCGAATCCAATCAATCATTCAAGACCGAAGTCAACGACGATCGTCTGAGCTCTTCCGCCGTGATTCCCTCGTCCTTGACCCCGCCGCCCTCGTCACAATTGCTCGCGCATACGGGCAACGGCGCCCTACAGACCGCATACGGCGCCTCCCAACGATCTGCTCTCTTCTCCCCGCCTGCCACAGGCCACAACACGACTGTACGACGAGATGGAGGGCTCGGCACCGAATACATGCCACCCACCCCCCAGCAGGTCGTCGAAGCCACCGCAGACGAACTTCGAGCCATGATGCAGGCTAGCATCGCAGAACACGCCAAGTTGAAGATGGAGGCCGCACACCACAAGCTGCAGTACAACTTGCTGAGTCTCCAGGCCGATGAGGATGCGAAGAGGGCAGCCGTTGAGCACGAGATGACCAGGCGAGAGATCGAGGCCCTCAGAACAGCAGAATACTCCCGCCACGCCGTCCGCGAACTCAGCGCCGCATCAGAGTCGGCGCAGATGAAGTATCTCCAGATGAAGATGTGGTATGAAGAGGCCACCGACGAGAACGAAGGTCTCATTCGACGGGTCAAGATGGCCAAGAAGGTCATTTCACACAAGGAAGAAGAGATCATCGGTCTTACAGAGGAGCGCGACATGCTCCTAAACCGTATCCGGGAGAATCGGGAACACTTTCACATGCTGTGCAGCCCAGGCGGAATCTTTCACGGTGCCATGACACCCAAGCAGGCCACCGTCTCAACTCCGCAGCAGCCTCATCGAGCGACTCCCAAGCAGCAGACGCCTCGGTCGGCAACCCGTGAGGCCAGGGTGGTCAACCGCGACCACGGCCCCGAGCCCATTGCGGCTCTGCTGCAGGCTCTTAGCCAGGACAACAACAGCGCGCCCTCGACGCCCACAACCGCGGTCAGACCCGCGCCCCGCATGCCTCCCAAGCACACTCGAAACGCACAGTCTCTGTCTGCCCTGCCAACGACGCCGCTCTCCCGCACCCAGCGCCATGAGCAGCAGTCTGGCCTCTTGCCCTCTGTGAATCTGGTCCCCCAGAGCGAGCCTCGGTATAGGTACACCAACTCGTCCATGATTCCCGGCACGCCGCCACCGGCCATCCAGGAGCGGGTTCAAGAGCGCGCACGCAAGAGCCGCGAGAGCACCATTTCAGCCGACGACAATGAGGAGCTTGCCCGTCAGGCCCTCGAGTCTGTCGCCAAATCGGCCTCGTTCCTCTCGCAAGCGTCTCGCAACTCACGTGGTGCTCGTCGTCCCCTCCCCGGCGGCAGTGGCAAAGAGGACGAGGACGTCTACGAGAGCCAAGCAAGCCAGGCGGCGTCAGAGATGTTGCGCCGCGATCCCCGTGAGAGCTTCGAGGTGGCCAGCTCCGTTGGCTCTCGCGACGGCACACCGGCACCGGCAGAGAAGAGCGCCAGACTCCAGGCGAAGCTGTTCTCTGGCATCACTAAGAGTGGTGCGGACAAGCGCAAGTTCAATGGGGGTGGGTCTAACGGTCATGGTCAAGAGGCACGATCGGATATGGTGAGCCCGACCAAGAAGATGCGGGTGGGCGGCCCCCTTGGCGGCGACAACCCAAAAGTTGGTCTTGGGATCCAGTACGGTTACAGTTGAAACCCGACGTAAGGCATCGCGTGCGTACTCCGTAGTGCCTCTCTGCCAGGCCCTGACCGTACCACGCCCACGCCCACGCGTGTGCAAGCGCACAAGCGATCCCCGCCGCGGATGGTTCGTCCGGTGAGGTGGCTGGGTTTGGGAGGCAGAGAGCGGTGTGTGGGGGGGGATAGCACGGCGGCTGCGGCGTTGTTTCCTAGCCGAGGAGGGGTCCATGGCTTTTGTCTACAGTGTAAATTTTTTTTTTTTGCTGCCCTTTTGCTGCAGCTACAGGGGATATTTGACGTGGCATCATGCAGGTGGGCTTTGGGCCGCGCTTTATGGAGACAAATTATTTTATTTTTTATTTTTTTTTGAGGAGGGAGAGTCACCGATCAGAGGGACGCCGACAAAAGGGAGAGAGAAGGATGGAAGATGGCCAAAAATTGCATCAACGAAGATTATGATACCACTGGCCATCGCTGGCCGTCGTTTGGTTTTTTTGGGTTTTTATCAGGCAGGGTTCCAAGGGTTGGACAAAAAGTCTGTACAATACGATATTGCATTTATACATCAGTGGGTAACGACATTTGACGACAACACTGAAGTCTCTCTTCGGGCAACCATACTTGACGCATTTGAATTTGAATCTGAATCTCCCTTTTCCGATCCGGAAAACTTGGTGACCGGCCGGAGGGGTCTCGACCGATGGACGGCGGGTAGACCGACAGACACTGCAATGTCCAGCCCAGACTCTCGAAAGTCTCCCAAAGTGATGCGGAAACAAACCCCTGTCAGTTCTTTCGCACTCTGGGCCAGATCCAGAACGAATTGAACCACCCAAACCTACGAATTGGAACGAACCCCCCTCCCCAGCTAACGTGCTGCAGAATCCATATGCGCGCACACACACAAACAAACTCGCATGTGCCAACGGCCGATTTGCCCTTCTCTTTGCAACCCGCCCATCTTCACCTTCCCTTCCTTACCTTTCGTTCGCGTGATTCGACTTGGGATATATCCCCTTTCGAGAGGCGCGCTATCCCTCATTCTCGCTCTTCTTTTGTATCATTCGTCTCTCTCTTGCGTTGGATCCCACTCTTTTGCCTCCCTCTCTGGTCTACTTACTGTACCTACCCCATCCACTCACTCACTTACTCATACATCCATTCATACCTTTGACCTCTCAGTCTCGTCAACCATACTCCGTACCCACATGTTCGTGGATGGACGTCCCGTCCGTGCCTAGGTCTTGACCGAAGTTTATCTTGACCGCCGATCGGAAACACCTTCTTCTGCGCATCTGCAAGACTTGCATACATACCTTTTCACCTTACCTTACATACTAACTAACTACATTTGCTCTTTTCCTTTTGGTCTTTTGGGTCTTTTAGTCTTTTTCCGGCTGCAGCTTTTCTTAAAACTGCACCCAACCACACACCACGGCAAGCCGTCTCCGAAAGGTTTCATCCTAGCTCTATAGATCGCTCCATCTCATCTTTTTCCTTTCCTTCATCGTAACAAATGTCCCCGAGATCTTGAAAAAGGATCGTGCTTTGGGTCCTTGGGAGAGGCAACTTTCCATTTCAGCCTTTAGCAGCAACGCAAACTGACCATCGTGCGGCCTTTTTCTTTTTTTCACTCACCGCCAGCCCCCCAGCCCACTCACCCCGCGCCAAGGGTCCCTCCCCTCCCTCACTCACACCACACACACCCCTTGCCGCCAATCCGCAATCCCTCATCCCAACCAGCGCCCACTTGGGAGCTGACCAAGACCAACACTTCAAACAGCGTTCATCCACGCAAAGCAACAACTCACCCATCCATAATTCTCAAAACCGGAGCCTCACTTGAGACCTTTGAACATCTCATCAACTCTACACACATAACAGATCAAAACACAACAGCACAATGAGGGATCTCCCAGCCAGTCCCCGACAAGGGTCCCCCGCCCTCGCACCAAGACGACTCTCAGAGGAACTCGGTGACTTCATGTTCTCCAGCGACGAGTACGACGACGAGGAAGAGGGGGATGAGGAAGACGAGAGCCACGACGGTATCGAGACGCCCGCCTCATCGCGCAAATCTTCACAAAGCCTGGACGGCTACTTTGACGAGGTGGACGCCTACAAGCAACAGCAGCTCCAGGACACAACCTCCGAGTCAGAACGCACCGAAAAAAAGAATGACAGCCGTCCGTCCACGGCGACTTACAGCAGCCGCCCATCCACGGCGGTCTCCATGCCGCCATTCCGCCGCTCATCAACCTGCCCCGTTCTCCTGCCGGACGACTTTATTTCCAGTGCAGCCGATGAGGTCGTCAAGCTCATGCCCGAACAGGCAGCGTTTATGAAGCGCATGGTGGCAGGTTGGACAGAGATTCAAAGGCGGTCATCAGTAAGCACCACCATATCGCCCATGTCGCCGGCGAGCGCAATATCGCCGGGCACGATAAACTCGCCAAAGAGACCGCATACAGCGCCTTCGCCCATGTACGCGCCTCAAATGTGCTTCGCGTCATTCCCGCAGGCTGTCCCGGAGCAGGAGGAGCCTGATAGTCCCACAGAATCGGTGGGGAGCTTTTCCAATGTGGTGGAGCGGCTGGACAAGGTCGAGGAGACGCTGGAGGAGCTGAGGGACTTGGCTAAGCAACAGGCCGGCGCGGCGATTGCGTCAACCTCGGCGAGCGCGACCGAGCAGAATGCAAAGTTTGCCGTTGTGAACAAGTGCATCGACACGATCGGCAGGGTATGCGAGAGGGAGCAGGAGGTGCAGAATGATTCGCAGCTGGACAGGAGATGCGTTGACGCGCTGATCCAAATCTGCGAAATGTTTGCGCGTCAGAGCGCTGACCAGGACCCCTATCGGTTTGGCTCTAGCTTCATGGCCGAGGAGAGTGAGGATGACGATGTTGAGTACGAGGGCGAGGACGAGGAAGAGGATGGCGGGAGTGAGAGTGACGGTGAAAGCGATTATGGGTCCGACGACGATTATGAAGCACACCCAATAGATTCGGACCCGACCGAGTACGAATCAGGAGACTTTTTAGGGAAATCTCCAACCATCGAAACCGACAAAACCTTGCCTCCTCTATCAGGATCAAGGACGAGGTCATCAACACCAACTCAAGTAGTACCCGCAGGGATCCGAGTCGAGGCTCCCGATACGCCTCGCCGGCGAGCTCGACTGGTCCGCGAGGCAAAAGCAGAGCTCGATGCCCTCTTCTCCGAATGGGCTGAGCCAAAGAACTCGTACGAAGAACGGCACTCGCGTATCGTATACGCGACGGAGGCATACCATCTGCGCCTCGTAGACATGAAATCAGCTCACGAATGCGAGTTCAAGTGGAAAAACGAACTGATGAATTACGAAGAAAAGATGAAGGATAGAGGCGCCTTTGGTCCCAATGTGTGGCCCATTGTGGATTTGGCGTTGCCCATCGCTCAATGCCTGCTGAGTGTGACGCTGCTGTTGGTGCACTTCTTCGGCCTGGACTCTTGGCTGATGGGACAGAAAGCATTCCTCGCGTTCCTTGCTGCATGGCTGGCAAGCGTGATCGTGTTGGCACGCTGTACCGAGGTCAAGGCGAGAGAAACTCTGTACAAGACGATGCTGCCTCCCGATGCTAGGGAGATGCGGAGCAGACACGAACGCGAGCTGGTGCTGCTCAAGGCGGCCCACGACCGCGCAGTTCAGCGCGTCTACGCACCGGAACAACAGTCACGGGCGGAAGACAGGAGCTAAAGTGGTGGAGAGTGTATACTACTAAGTCGTAGAGTGTATCAGTAGGCCTGCCACTGCCAGTGAAGAAAGTCCGTCCTTCGTCAGGGTCCCTCCCATCCATCATGTGCGTTCCCACCGCAGTTGTATCGCCTACAGTCAAGACCGATCGTACGATTGGAGTGCCATCATTGAGAGCGAGTATCTGCTGCGACTTGCCTCTGGAACGGCATACCACGGGGTAGCTGCTGTAATGGAGGGTGTAGATGGAAGGTCGATCGGTTTCCAAGCTTCTTCCCTAGGACCTCCTCTTCGCTCGGGGGCCAGGACGACACGAGCTAGCGGGGCTTGTTCCTTCACCTTGTCCATTGCCACGACGATGCCGCGGGCAGAGCGTAGCCTTTTGGTGCTGGTACGGGGCTGCTAAGAGAAAAGGTACTTGGGTCAGTAATGTAGTGGGAGGAATGGACAAGCAACGCGACGTACGCTCTCGTCATCGATCGGCTTTTTGTGTCTAGCCAGGTACCACAGTGTGACGCCGAAATATAGGATGGTGGCAAGTGTCTCGACCACTCCGATGACAATAAGAAACCGGAGCAACGGTGAAATTTCGTTCCATCTGTCGGCTGTGCGATCCATGATGGTAACAGGTCGTCAGGTCACCCGCCCTCATTCGTGATCCGAAATGGAAGAGCTCGAGAAGCTTGCCGCTCTCGCTGAGATATCTGGTGATGGCGTGGAAAGTTACCGACTGCGATGCTTCAGTCAGAAAATACGGCCAGCCCTAGGAAGAGCCAGAGTTAAGGATATACAGGAATATGAATGTTGCCCGGACGTTGATGCGACAAAGGGGGGCAAAGAAACGGAGGAAGAACCCGAGGCTGCACCCAACACCACCACCACCACCACCACCACGACGACTTTCAGAATTGGCATGAGCGATGCAAACCTCTCCTGCTTTGTCAAAAATGAAGCTGGTTCTTTTCTGGGATTTATCAAGTAGTACCTACTACCGTCCTGCCTTCCTTCAATATCCAACATCCCAAGGTACCTTGACTAGCGTGCGTTGAGTAAGTGGAAGGAAGTACCCCGTGAACAAAATTATCAATAGCTTTAACCTCACAAAACAGGCCGCGTCCATCCACGACTGAATCCCCTGATGGATCCCATCTCTTGCTTCCTCTACGCTCACAAGAACGCTCGATTTCCTGGCTCGTTCCGCAGGAACGCATCGGGAAGCTTGAAGTTGGGATCGAGCTTCCGCATGTGTTCAGCCGCGTCTTCCATGATGTCGTAACTGAAATGAAAATCATAAAATCCACGTGGATTTTCTGCTCAATTCGATTAGATGTGTGTATTTGCATCGACGACATCGAGGAATTAGGCCGTGACTCACTAGGAATACGCTCGACAGGTATGAACTCTGACGCAGCCTCCTTGATCTTCTGCGCCTCGTCTTGTCCTGCGTTGCTGAAGATGGTGACCACGCTAGCCCTATTTCTGCGAATCTTTTCGAATACTTCCAGTCTCTCTCTTACATGGTCTTTTGCAGTTGTGTTGTATAGACACACGCCGAGGGCAACACCGTCCTCGATGCCTTGCGCGCCTCCTTGCCCCTGGTCTACAAGCAGTATGTGAGTAAAGGCGCGACAAAATGGGCAAAAGAAGACCGGAAATGAATCTCTTACGCGGAAGCATGGGATGTGCTGCATCCCCAATGAGAATCATTCGACCTTTTCTCCATTTGGGTATAGGGGCTCTATAAAGTAAAGGCCATTGCTTCACCTCGTTTGCCTTGCTGTTAAACCCGTCAGCCGCCAAGACTTGCGTTGCTTGAGGTCCTCACTTACCGAAGAAGAGCCAACACACTGGGGTGAAAGTCGTCAAAAAGCTTCAGTAAGTGGGATTTGTCAACAGAGTTGTGCCAGTCTGAGAATGAAGGTTAGCTCTTCGTTTCTTTCCAGCCAGCAAATCGGAGCACAGCTGCCCCTGGTGGCCTCGACCTGCATGCCACCATAATGCTTATGAAAACATATTTACCTTCTTTGCTAGAAGAATCAGCTTCGTTGTGGAAGATAGCAATGCAATTGAGCACCTCACCACTAGATCACGTCAGTCGCAGATTCGGTGGGCAATGCCGGCTGATCAACATACTCTCTGCACGGGTAGGTGACGATTCTCTTCCCGTCCCCCAGAAATAGTCTGAAGCCTCCAGCTGCGTCTTTATATAGCTTGGAGGTGATGGGGTCCGAAAGCACATAATCCATGGGGATTAAGAACCGGTAGCAAAAGTTGTCTTGTGCCGCTGGGAACGCGGGATTGGGTGACCCCAGAATTGCCTCGACGCCGCCACTGTGGATACCATCCGCCACTACCACGAGGTCCGCAGAAATGACTGTCCCGTCTCGAAGAGTAAAGCTGGCAGCTTCGGGATTCTGGAAACACCGTCAGCACGTCGATGTCTCTGCATAGAGTCAGATTCCTAGGTGACACAAACTCACATAACTCGTCACCTCACTCCGCAACTTGAATGTCACAGGCGGGCCGCCATCAGCTGCAGTCACCATCCGCTTCAGTTCCTCATGCAAATCGACCCTGTGTGCAAAGTACCACGGCGACCCGTAACTATTCGCAATGGACCCTAGGTTGAGTTCGTGGGTCACCTCCAAGGTATCCCCCCGCATGAGTCGGCTGTCCGTGGCCATCACGAACCTCGCCCTGACCGGATCCATACCCAGCGCCACCAGCGGACGCGAAGCATTCGTCTGCACGTTGATCGCGGCACCGATCTCGTTGTTCAGGGATGATTTCTCGTATATCGTCACCGAGTGGCCTGCTCGCCGGAGCGCGATTGCTGCCGTAAGCCCCGCGAGTCCGGCGCCAACAATTGCAATGTCCAGCATGATGACTCTATTGCGTGCTAGAGGCAGACGCCCTCAATCAACACAGCGAGTCGCTCAACGTTTGGTTCGTATTTTCGCAGGGGCTTACCAGCGGCTACGGAAGGTGAAGCTGGAGACAAAAGTTGAGAAAAGGAGGGGTAGTCGCATGCTCCCGAGTGGACGAACGCCGGACTTTATCAAGTGTTTACAGGAGCATAACCTAACTGTAGGTATGCAGCAGGAGGCGTCGTCTTATGTTGCAGCTCAGATATTGTCTCACGGACTGGCGTCGATAGCCGGCAAGCAATCTGCAAGCCACTCGATCCATCGTTGGGGGAATATTTTGCGGTCAGACAAGCAGCGGATTCTGGTCAGCACGGTGTGCAATTCGAATGGGGAGTTGACAGCTGTAAATGCTGCAATAATGCCAAACACTCGATGGCGCCTTGAAAGCCTCATTTTCAGCTCTTGAAACTAAAGTTTCCTGCCCATCATGAATTGCGCCAAGACTTTCTCTCACTATCAGTATCGAGGGCCTGTATCTGCTGCAAAAGAGGGCCCGTCGGCCGAAGGTCTTCGGACCGGACCGATCGTGGGGAAGTCCTGGCCGGGACCCTGCTGTTTGCTTGCAGATCAGGCGAAACTCCACGGGACCCCCAGCAGAAATCCGTTGGCCAATTGTTTGGGCAGAATATCTTGATGCGGAAGATCAGGCTCGTCAATCCCCCGACTTGGCACAGCTAACAATCCCAGAGTGTCGGAACGGCAAGGGTGATAAGGAGCAATGGGCAGGTATCGTGGGCTGGCTGGCGCCTGCCCTGGGCGAAGTGGGACAACTGGCTTAGTCACCACGGCCGGTTAAGGTGGGGCAACCACCCAGGCCGTCACCACCTACTTCGACCGACCCCTGCCCACAATGTAAATAGGAAGTGTCAGGCCCATCCCAGTACACTCGTTACAACGATTGTCACACTATGCCTATGAAACAATATGGTCTTACACAAGCATGACTAAGTTTGCCAAGGATATGCCAGTATAAAGGGTCTTCCACTCACTATATAGATAGTCGGGATATTCCCATAGCCACTCGTTCTTCATACTCATCAATACATCCCATTGACCCCCTACCTGATAATCGCTGCCCAACAGGAAGAACAAGAACAACAGCAATTATCACGGACATCGACGTGATTGTTGCCGAAGATACACCCTCATGAGGAAATGTATCACGCCTGTGATACCAATACAGAGGTAACCGCAAGGGGTAAAGCCGAGCATCATTCAATCCCGGATTCGTTCTGTCCTCCGAGGCGTTGCTTAATTCCCGAAAGTTTGTGGGTCGTACTAACTAATCACTCCCGACTCCCGCGCTGCGTAAAGGTTGTGAATTTTCGTACTCCAAGCGATGTCAATGGGGGTAGGGTACCAAGCTACACGGCAGATCTTCCGCGGATCCGAACCACTCGGCTCCCAAACTGAGGTGTATGACGCGGAGGCACATGCTGCGTATCACGGCCTGATGGAAGCCACCCGGGCTCCTACGGCTCGTATGGCAGATAACGTCCACATCTGCCTCGACAACCTCGCAGTCGCGGCTAGACTATACTCCCAGAGCACAGGAAGCAGCCAGGCTAGATTTAGGGCCTTCAATAGGCTCTCTTCCTCCTGGACTCGGAGACAAAGAGAGAGCTGGACAACCCCCGGCAGGGTTTATGTTTGGTGGTGCCCTGGGCACACGGGAGTACCAGGAAATGAAGAAGCGGATGCTCTAGCCAAGGAAGCCTGCAAACTAATCCCAAAATCACAACCACAGCCCTCATTAGCGCACCTAGAAAGGCAAGCTAAAGCAGCTGCCTTCCAAGCCTTTGCCAGAAAATGGCTGTCCCAATGCCCTCGGCAATATGCCGACCTCGAGATAATTCTTCACCCCAAGCCGCCCGAACTCCGCCTCCCTCGGCACTTACTAGGAAAGCTATACGCAGCAAGATCCCATCATGGAGACTTTGCAGCATACCACGAGAGATTCGCTCATCAAGATGCGTTGCTCAACTGCAGCTGTGGGAAACCCAAGACACCAGTCCATTCCTACTTCTGCAAGCGTGGACGCAAGGCTACACCGCGCTACCTCCGCCAACGTATGGC